CGCTTCAAATTGCTTTTAAATTTGCATGGCGAGTGAAGTTGCCCAGTGCATAGGTTAGCAAATGTTGGTTGGGTTGCAAAGAGGTTAGTTTTTAACCCTTGTGGCAGAACTAAGTAATTGCCTAACATATCTGCTAAAGAGGTCGGTCCATTGACACCAAAGAAGCTGTAAAATAAGCTCATTGAAGTAATATTTGCTTGCGAACGGGTGTCAGCCATTATTTGTATAAATAAGCAAACAACTGCATTGCGCCTTGAGGCTGTTGCCAGCAATTGCCGATTTGTGAAACGATTTCCAGGTTTTATTTCCAACGATATCTTAGTGGAATGGAAGGTTTTGCGTGCGGTTGTGACCGTTTTCTGTCATTTCATTGCATAAGTCGATATTCTTAATACATCTTGAAAATCATCGAGCAATGACTTACGTTAATGCTAGCATAGTTTCGTGTCCGTATGCCAGCTATTAGTAAAATCCACATCAAGATGTTGTTTGAAGATTTTAACCAAACTGCACGATGGTTTATTTGTCCAGGAAGTGCCGGTCTGTTTTGAATTCGGCGAGGTGGGACCCGCGTCTAGTATACGAGATGTACATTACTGGGAATAGGTTTTCCTTTTCAGATTTCATATCCTGCTATGTTCATATCTACGTGTGCATTCTTGTGTCATGATATTGGGCGCGAAACCGACCTCATCCCCTTTTGCCTCGCTTCAGGAAACCAGATTCTCCTGTGTTCGCTGAGAGTTTCTTTCACCCAGTCGCCCAAATCCAGAGTTGTACGTCTTTGAACAGTACGTTGTTTCAATGCCACTGGTTCTGAACTAAGATGTTTGTTTCTTATTGTTTGAACTGTGTATAAGTATAAGTACGAGAAGAGTACAGCTTGTAAGAATGTTGCAAGACACATGATCTGTTGTGAAATGAATACAAAGCTTCACTGCGATCTTAAGCTAGCAGGGCCAACTACACTTCTTACACTACCAACCCCTTTTACTAGCAACCCCTTTACTAACAACCCCTTTACTAACAACCCCTTTACTAGCAACTCCTTTACTAGCAACCCCTTTTACTAGTAGCCCCTTTGCTGGCAACCCCTTTACTAGCAACCCCTTTACTAGTAACCCCTTTACTAGCAACCCCTTTACTAGCAATCCCTTTTTTAGAAACCCCTTTACTTGCATGCCAGTACTCGTGCTGAAAATATATATTACCAAGAAACCCATTTCCTTTAATATTAAAACCGGTTTATTTGGTTTTTATAATACTTTTGTTATGCTTGATAAGCCATGGTTGAACATAGTTTAAACAACGCGACTCTTGAAGATTAATTTAATAGAAGCCTATATTGCAAGTGAAAACTAAGACATTAACATAAAAATTTTTATTTCTTACGACAAAAGATTACTGTTGAGAAACCCTCAAGAAACTCAAAATTTGATGTTTGCGGGGCCAAATATCACCCAAAGAAGCTCTCTAGCACTGATCCCGAGGTTAATTTTTTTAAAAAAATTCGTGTATCCGGAGAAAGTGAAAGTTTGTGATTTAGGTTTTACATCAACAATGTTCTGCTAGATAACCCCCAACGCTGCTTCTAGAGGTACAGCAACAATGAAGCATTAATATGATTAGATCAACTTAGAAATAATTATTTAACAAACAGTAAGGTTTTAACGCTGTAATCCTGCCGAGAGAGTATTATGGTCTGGCCATTTCGCATTTCTCTGCAGATTCACTGAAAACCAGTCTCATCAATCGGCCACTTTGACTTGAGCTTTTAACTAACTTATTTATAACGTAGAAGAAATTTGTTAGCACGCCCACGACTTATCGATGGTAAGCACTGATAATTTAGTTTCAGCAAAAGATATCAAGAAAAGCCACACGGGGATTTTTATTCTAGAGGTCATATTAGTTTCACCTGCCAGTGTCAGATTCTCGTCCATATACATTTATGTCTGAATTTATCTGAAGTTTGTTCCTCTTGTCGCTAACATGTTCCAGCAAAACTAATAACTTCGAAATTTTAAGCTTGTCTTTGTGGGAATGGCTTTGCTCTCTTGTTATTGTCATTCAAATAGGATTTTCGTTTAGGCTAATATATTTAAAGACAAGTGTGGCGCAGATCGTTATCAAATTTATAGCTTCGGAGCAGTAATACGCGGACCAGAAGAACGCGGACTTGTTTACTTTCGGAGCAGTGATTGTTTAGCGAATGAACATCTGAAAACAACTTTGAACAGTATGTGTACGGTATTTTGAGTTTTATATGCGGGTCAAGTTTTTCATGCGAAAATTAACTTAATCGAAAGTAGACGCAACTTTAAATGCACGAAATTACACCTCATTCGTTACTTTGCATCTAATGTAGCTCATAGTAAAATAATTGGAAACATAACTTTATTCGTGCTTCAGTTTAAAGGACCGTTTTCTCAATCTACAATGAAAATAGATGCTCTCTGTCACCAGCCTTCGTAGCATGATCCCCCAACTTCTCGAAAGACGGAGTCACATGTGCGTTGTTTGTTGCGGTGTGCAGCATCACTCCCAAGTAATCATAGGTCGATCCACTCAAGTGACTGGCAAACGAAACAACAGCGGCTGTTTGCCAAAATAACAGTCAAATCATAGTGCATTGAAAAGAGAATTTGCAGCAGAACAGATGCTCATAGTTTTTGAGAGCCAAGAATAAATGACTTTGCTGAATCGTTTGAGCGATTTTTTAACCAAAGATCTCAATGACATTCCTTATCAGCACAAATAATTTCTATCATTTTTAATAGATTTTTTCTGCTATCCGCTTCCAATTTTTTCCATATTCACCACATAGAGATTAGGATGTTTAAATATTTACGACTAAAACATAGCCAGTGTTCTCCGCGGATTTTTAAATCTAAGTCCGCGACAATGATGCGGTGCTCAGGTCGTCATCATCAGGAAGATTTTGGTGATCCGAAGATGGAAAACAAGTTTGAGGATGCGAGATTTGACTAATCCCAGTTTTCTTGTCGTTTGAATCAGTTTTCGATGGTTTCCTTGTTCAGTCACTGCTCATAATTCCAACAGCTGTCTCTCTCAAAATATAACTTTCTCATAATTCCTATTTTTATTACCATCATTAATTTTAATTGTTGTATTGTTTTTCTGTCATGATGATTATGATTATTTATTGATTATCACCTATCTTCTTTATAAGTCGCCATTATCAGCCGTTTATCGTTCAATCAGTAATCAGCAATATCAGCAATCAGCAATCATCAATTAGAGCGAGGCGTGGATCACTCTTTCCAGAATGCATACGAGATTTTTTAAAAAACAGGATTTTTAAGGATTTTTCGGGGGATTGTTTCGAAAACAAAAACATTTTTGCCAAAGACGGACGAATTTTTCTTGGAATGTCCATTTTTTTGGAAATTTTCAAGTTTTTCAATTTTCAATGATTCATCAATTAATCCTAAAAAGAATTCTACATAAATACATTGCAGCTTGTGCAAACAAACGTTACTTCGTTGCGTTCTTTGAGTGTAGCCTCGAAGATAAATATCCATTCTAGAAGCAAAATAACTCAATTTCTGAAGCTTTGAATTTCCCTCGATTAATTTCCTGTTTCTGAATTTATGATGATTTTGTTTTAACCTACAGAAACATGAATAGTTTAGAATTGCTAATCATTTGCGACTGGGATGAAAACTGTACCCAACGCTAGTTACGTTACCAATTTAAATGCTGTTTAACACAGGAATGATATTGTATTAGATATCTATTGACTTTGGTGTGTGATATTGTTGAGAATCGCAATGCAAATTAGTCCGGGCAAAGAAAGGCATTACCAAAAGCTAGACAGGTGGCTGCTTGAATATTGAAATCAAACAAGCGTTTTAATTAAAACGAAATTGTTTGAGGTCACAAAGCTTCCTTTAGAAGCACAATGTTCTTTAGTATCCTTGACCTAGCTATAACAGAACTTATGTTTTTTGTGATTGGTTTCAGATTTTATTAAAAACCGTCTTATGTCAGGGCCTGTTTATATTGAGAAAATCACTTCATCTTTCAGCCTATGAACTAACAGATGAGATTCTACCCTCCTATAGCATCAACTGTATTTTTTTTCTTGGGTTTATATGGAAAACGAGCCAACCCGGTTAGGTATGATCCCACTGCATGAGAGGTCGGGTGAAGCTGAAAGGTGGATAGAATTTTCATATACACGCCTTCAAATTTCGTCCCACTTGTCAGCACACAGGCTGGGAAGTGGGATGATTTTCTTCATACGCAGTTATAAGGTGGGATAGAATCTGCATGTAAACATTTGATGATTTCATCCCACCTGCAGGATGATGGGCCCTTGGTCTCTTTGATCTGAAATTCAACACTGCGTTATATTTGCTTTTTGAGAATATAATTTGAACGATTTTTGCTTCACCCGAGTCTTTCGGAGTTCGATGCTTTGTAGTTCGTGACGATTGATCTGCCAACGTCATTTTTTGCAACTAATTTAAATAAGCCTATTAATTGGCACCTGCTTGTCTTTCTTCAAAATCTTAGTGCCTTGTCTATCAACTTTATATTGATAAACTGATTCAAAATGTTTCTATATTCGTATTGACCAAAAATGGCTTTTCAGTTCTGCAATCAGGTTTAACAGAATTCCTCCGTCAAGAGTCCGATGTGTGACCTTTTGTTGTTACTGTGAATTTGGCTAGTTTGTAAATAGTTCATTTGGTTACTTGTGGTTGAATAAATGCTTATCTCGAAAAGCCACATTTCTGTTTTGTGGATTTGTCAATCCTATCATCACAAACAGGAATTAACTCAAGATATACCTGCCTATTTAATTATTTTTTTACAAACTTATTTCTTGTACCTTTGTCAGTTGAAAGCAGCCAACATGCGTTCATGTTTTTAGATTGTTTATACACTCCCATGACGAGCGTGTGGTGGGCTCCGTATTGTTGTTTTAGTTCTTTGCGAGACCCTTAACCAATTGTTTATTTACCCTACAGGCTGACGGTCCATTAAAGCCAGGGGCTATCTTTTCTAATAACGACGAACCTACAACACCAACAACGACTTTCACTCCCATGAAGAAGAGGCGAGATGTAAAATCCAATACGAGGAAGACACTCAATGGCGTTGAGTCACAGAAGAACAAGAAAGGTGCTACATTGCCTAGAAAACCCAAATCTGTCAAGGCGGAGAAGTCAAAGCAAAAAACGAAAAAAACCAAGGATGATACTGTGAGTTGAATTCAAATGTAATCAAATCATTCAAGGTTTTCAATTTAAAATGAATATGACGATAATTCCAAATTAAATATCGACTAGGCCAAATTTATTTAGGGCCTCTCGATAGGATTTCCTCTCATCTTTTGTTGTACAATTAATAATCTCAAAGAGTGCGCAATCATTTTTCAATCTTTCAAACGTGAAAGATTAGAGCTCTGTTGGCTAATCCTAGATCGTAAAAGACAATTAGATTTACTGATGTAATCGCACTCGCAGTTTTTGCATTCGCAGTCATGCACTAGCGTTAATGCGACAGCCTAAAATTAGTGAACGTTATCTAAACCAGAAGTGCCCTTCGTAAACAAGCATGGGAAAGATTTCCATCTTTGGTATACGTTTTGTCAATTGGAACTAAGAGTCATCTGAATACAATTTAAATTTCCCGTGGATATTCCTCCGTCTTTATTCCTCTTTGAATGTTTTTAGCAAAAGCTGGCCCAACCTGATTGTTTTCCAGAGTTCGATGGCGAGGCAAATTATTCCATTGCTTGAAAGCATCAATCTTCTCTTCATTTTAAATTATTACCTCGTTTCTTGTGGTAACTTGGAACACTTTCGAGGCAATATGAACAGTTAGTCATTTTCGAAAAGGCTTCATAGATCAATTTTTTGTAGCAAGTCCAGATTTCTTAGACCATATTTAAGTATTCAGTACAGGTCAATATATTTTCTCGCCAGGCAACAATAACAAAACCGGAAACGCCTCTTGCTATTATCACCGAGGAAGAAAATAAACCAGTCGAGCTGATTAAGAATGTCCTTGAGAAACGAGAATTTTCAGCCACTCAATCCATTGACAGCTGCACTGAAGTGAAGCCAGATAACTTAATCTCGGTTTCGAACGACATTGAAAAGTCCATAGTGGCCGCAGCAACGACAGCAACAACAGCATCAGATCTGTTTGTTAGCGAAAAGATCGTATCCAAAGTCTCAATTGTAAGTAGACCCTTTCGGTTCGTTTGTATTTTCATGTCATTGGAGATAGGGGCCTAAATTTTGTTCCAAAAAGTGTTCCCAAAAGCAGCATTGAAAAGAGTATCGGGGATTCTGTGAAGAAGGTACCTGAACATAAGAATTACCAAAGTTTGTTCAAAAGTTCTTGTTTAAATGTTGAAAGTTCAATAGACAGGTGTTTCAATGCATAGATACGATGTCAGGGTTGTGACATTTCAGAGGAGTACATATTTCAATTGTGGTCCTTTACGTTTAAGCACAAAGTCGCGAGGAATCATTTGGATAGTGTTCATTTTCCAGCGAAATAAACATTTAACCGAGAACCATGGTTCCCATTTTCAAGAAGTCCAAATTTTGACCTGGATGTGTTTTAAAAAAAACGAATCCAAACATCTTTCAAACCCTTCCCCCATCACATGATTCCCCTGAACAGTGTTTCAATTGCACCGAAGATCTTATAAGACTTGTGACTATGTGAACTGCCATATGAGAAAGGGGAGCCTGTTCACACAGTGTCTTATTGGGTAGCAACACCGCTATTCTTTGCCGGAGCTTGAGAACAAATGCAGCTGCTGAGCAAAAAAGGTGATCATTAAGGCTTTATTATCAACCGTACGGATGATCCCCAAAGATCTAGAAGCATGAATATGTCTCGAGAAAAAAATCAATGCCACCCAGATTTGAGAAAACTCTTGGTATATGCCTTTGCTAAAAAAAGATTACACCCGTTTTTGTTAAGTTTATTTTTCTTTTGATGTCATTATGCCATATCCATTTGCCAGGTTGTCTACACTAGCAAGATTTTCAATTAAACACTTTTTACTCATCAAGTTTACATGTTCAAGATGGCAAAGGCTTTTGATAAAGTGAACTTGTCAAGGAAAATTGCAATATTTTCCATTTTGAGTACCCAATCTACAAGAGCAAATTACACAGGAAATTCCAATAGAAGAGGTCTAATTGACGAGAAGAAATTGCTCATTTAGATATGACATTACCTAGCAGTGCAATGACATTACCTAGCAGTGCAATGACATTGTTTTCAATTCCTTTCGTGTTGGTTACTTTCATCCTCTTTGTACAGTGAAACTATGCAGTGCCCTTTGTATCGGCGTGTAAGATTTTTTCAGCAGTTTCAAGCCTAAGTTACTCGGAACCTTAAAATTTTATCCTACACGTTACAAACGTAAGTTCTAAATGCTTCTTGTTTTCTAAGGTTACAAACAAAGAGTCGACAAAATGCAAGGAAGAAATTCAAGCTTCGCACGCCCCTCGAAGTAAGTGAATCTCAAAATTTTTTAATATATTTTTCCAGTATCCAGGGTCTTTACACAAGAAATTACGCAAAACTCTCCATTTTTGCCACCTGGATGGTCCCAGACACGACATAATTGACACCAAATAAAGCTGAAATTCTCCGGTGTACTTTTCAACATCTGTTTATTAGAAAACCTGACCACAATCCAACAGGTACCTTCTTTCGTTGCCTCTGTCTCCAATCTCCCTAAACCAAATGTAAGTCTTCGACCTCTATTAACATTCATACCCAACCTGGAATGCGCGCTGTAATCTACATTTTTTCACCATCTTACCGGATTACCATAAATCACAAAGACCAACCGGTATTTCTATGATTTGAATTCTTAAAACCCCAACATTGAGCAGCAGTATGATTACTTTCAAACACGCTCATGAAACTTTAATAAGTTACCTGTAACTTTCAATACCGACAATTAGACTGTTCCAAATGATGTCGTATCGGCGACGAGTACAATCGAGGACATATTGGTGACACGTGTTTCTTGCCTCTAACTCTGTCTGTAAGGAACAATAGGGCCGCCAGTGCTTGCGCTTCGGGGGCTTGGGGAAATGTAGTCAAGAATGAGCTAGGGCTTTGGGGTTAAATTTGATACATCGTCCCTTGTAGCTACACAATTCTGTCGTTTTTTGGAGCAACTTCGCCTGCCCGCCCTCAAAATGAACTTTCTTGCTTATTGAACCCAGTTCTGAGTCAACAATTCCACCTCCAGAGTCTGCCAGAACACATGTATTCAAGAACTTTGAAACAGGGATGTAGTTAACAATTTGCGTTTTCTAAATGTAGAAAAAGTTCAATCTCTCTTGAAGAACCCTAGGTTTGGCAAACCCGCATATGGCACCGTCTCTGCTGATTTGACCGTGTCTCTTCTCAGATTTATTTTGATGGGTAATTCTTTTGCCCTGTGAGTTTAATGACTCTCCAGTTTCTAATACAGGTATTAATCCAATGATGGAATTTGGATTCCTTTGATCATTCAGTATCGTCTTTCCGAGAATTGTGCGAAATCTCTGAAACATATTTAATCTCGAACGATGGTCTTCTGTCAACACTAGGATAAATTCTTTCACAGAAAAGTAAATCGCCTTGTAAGCTATGAGAAAAGCATTTTGAAGCCAGTTCATAAACCCAATCTACGCTTCGGAAGAGCATTAAAGATTCCCCAGGCTAATTGCATCTCAGGTTATTCTTGAAACGCTGAGAGGCAAGCAAAGCAGTCAAATCGCGCCAGCCAAAGTGTAGTACACAGCAGTTGGCGATTTAATGAAGAAACCAACATAACTGACTAATTACATTCAAGAATACGATTATTAGTGTAGGCTTTCCGTATTAAGGAAATCGTATCACACTAAAGATGTAATCTCATCAATCAAGTTTCAGGGAGTCCGAGCTTTTAAGGCATTGGTCCTGTTATCCCAATTTATATAAAACGTATTGGGGGAAATACATTATGTTGGTCTACGAAGTCTGCCTCGAAAACAGGAGGCCTGTTTTATACTTATATCGTGTCATTTCCAACGAAGTCGTTCTGGAATACTTCATTCTTCCTGCACTGTTTTTCTGTTCGGTACCATTTTCAATCTGAGAAGCTATTTATACAACCTACAGGGCTGTTGCAAATCGCCTGCTTTTTTTAATGAAAGTGCATTCGATTCTTCTTTCTTTCCCGAATCATTCGCGAGATGGAAAGAACTTGTAATGCAAATCGAGGCTTGATTATTACGTCATATCTACGAAGGAGACATTTCCCTGCTCCCAGGCCCCAAAATGAATGTCCTAGCCTTCCCTGCGTTCATTAGCGTCAGTAAGTCGGTAATTGGAATAAGACAGTCGAGATTTAAAGCAATTCTCCAAGCTCATAAGTTTCTGAAAGCATTTTTTAAGATTTAAAGAAAATAATAGGTTTATGTAAATATGATCAATTATTTACTACAGTTGTTTATAATCGCAACTGCAGTGCTCAAATCTGAGGTTTCAGAACAACACGCTATGAAATTTGATTACCGTAAGAAAGCCGGTTTTTTAAAGAGTGTTATTGTGATGAGCTAGTCATAACTGGATAAATTTTGTAACCCAGCGTGAAATCATTGTTTGATTTGTGCCTTTTACGATGTCTTGTAAATTCCGTGTTCTAGGTTATCAGGCATCATGTTGTGGCCTTGTGAAAAATAGTAGGTCTTCGTGTGAGTTTTAACGACGCCCAGTCGCAAGGTCATCTGGAAGACATGGCTAATAACGCTGGTAGCTCGTCGTTAGCACACGGGCTCAGATATATAAAAGCTTGTTACTTTGTACACGGTGCTTAATCATAAATGCCCAGTGGTCAATTTAATTGAAATTTTCATCGTATAGATACTTTTAGTTGCATTGAGACTCCTTAATTTTAGCTCCATTGTAAGTGACAGATTATGAGGCACCCTTAAAGTATGTTTTTACCGTAAATCCCATCCCAACGCGAAAATCCAGTATCCACTTAGATGGCCCTCACCTGATTGGCTCTTTTTGCCTCTGTTGTTTAATCAGCCAACGTCCGATTAAATGAGGTGTTTTTGCCAGACTACAACCCTACATTGTACAGTGCGAAAAATCGTATTTTGGGATATTACTGTGTGAGGGAAAGGTCTCATTGGACATTTCAAACCCGTTTTGCACTTTTCTTGTTTTCTGCGATAAATTTCAACAGCTCCAGAACCTTGTTTTACGGATAAGTAAAATCTTTCGAAGAGCGAAAGTCATTTATGTATACCCTCTTCTTTCACTGACGCGGCCTTATTTCTCCTCGTGTAAAAACAGCTGCCGCAAAGCATGCTGGGTGCGCAAGAGGTTTAAAATCTTATAATTTGGTTGCTTATGAAAAGAACCTTTTTTGTGGGATAATCAGATACCATTGGTAAGGCTTTCGACCTAAATGAATCTAGAGTGTCATCATCAAACAGAATCCTTTTCTTCTTGTTTGTTGAAAAATATTGTTTAAGTTAAGGCTAATCGGTCAGCAGGTGATAACCACTCTCGGTTCTGTAGGAAAAGAACCTCAATGTTTTTATGTGTAATTCTCCCTCAATACACCTTCTTTATAGAAGGAATTATAAGGAGGCTTGATGGGCTGGAGGTCATATTTGCATGTGACGTCAATCTGAAGTGGTTATTGGTTTTACTTGATAACTCTATCGTGGATTTGAATGAGAAGCTGCACTTTTGGTCGATGAAAAATGTCCAAGTTTCTTAGCTTTTTGAGAACCCTTGATCAGTCTTTTGGAAGGACCTGTCACATGAGCCAACGTTGCTTCAGTACTTTTTAATAGTTCATTTACCCATAATAATGTAATCTAGACTTTCATTCCTAATAACCGCAATGCCGACGGCCATTAATGAGAAAAACTCCCGTGTTGTGTTCTCATCGCAAATGTGATATCTTTCATTTTCAAGGAAATTTTTTAGTTTCAAATATCATGCATTGAGTCATTGTTGACTATATTTAGCAGTTCTGAAAGCCACGGATCTGCTTAGGCTTGTTGAAGATCTCTGCCGGATCGTCACATTAAGCCCAAATTTTCGTTTTAAATGAGTTGTATAAGTTTTGCCAAGGCACCTGGGCTCTCTCATTAGCTCTGTGGTTTCCTAAGGTATTTTGCTAGCAATCTTTCCTTGACAGTCTAACGATAGGTACGCTTCGATGCCAAGTCAATTCGATATGGTTCTGCATTCTCAAAAATTATTCTTTCATTAATGTGTCTGCTTTGGATTAATGGAATTTTCAAAGATGATTCCTGTAAGTCACCCACGTTTATGCTGGGATTAAATCATATTTTCAAGAGCTTAGAACGGTCTCTCAACCGACAAAGACGTTGTGGTCAGCAGTGCACACTTGAAAACCTTTGGACATAGAAAGGCACAATCTTGAGTCTAGAAAGAACAGAGAATTGTGCTATCTAGCCGGTCAGTGTGATCTAGGCGGGGTTGCCCTTTTATCACTGCCTTGGGCAAAGATCGGCCACAACGATGAACGATAACATCAGTAGTTGTCTCCCTGAAGGCCATCGGGGCTTCACTAAAATTTCAAGCAATTCACAAACAAATGTTTGCGGTGGCTTTCAGGGGTGCTTCATTTGCTGTGATTAATTAAGTGCCTTGATCTCCTTTATTCACGTTTGTTTATTTGTCTTTGCAGACGTCTTTTGTATGTTTCCCTGAATCTATACTCCTCCCTTGGGCAAATTAACATTCGCTTTTAAACTCGCTATTGAATTTTTTTTCTGCGAATGCCCAAGAATTAAGAATCTGTCCCTACTGTTGTTGAACAAGTGAAGGAAGAGCCCTTTTACTTACGCGTATTAAAAAAACGTACTGGATAAGATTTTCGCCCATTGCTGTCCTTCATCAAAACATTATCACGAAAGAAGACTGTTAATAATAGAAGGAAACAATTTTTTTCGTCTTCTTTAGAAAACATCGATGATTCAACTTTATGTGTTGTTTAAAGAATTCTGTTGTTAGTTTCAATGACATAAAATGTATGAATGTTTTTTTTATCAAATTCATAGGACTTGCTTTATAAGCCTCTTATCTTTATTTCGTAGAGCCTCTGTCTGACTTCAGCATCAATGCCATCCAGAGCATGCGTGGTTCGTCTGTAATTTCAACAGTAAGCCAGGAAGGAAGTGCAGCAGGAGCCACAAAGACTCCATCAACCCCACTTCCAGGGGAAACCCAGACCGAGACAAAAAGTATTGCAACGATGACCGCAGAACCGAAACAAGACAAATCGATATCGCCAATGGAATTTGTAATGAGAAAGGAGACTGGGTTCCAATATAGCCGATACGAAGAGACGAAGATCTCGGCAACGATGGGACGCTTTTCGCCGGCTAAATCTTCATGCATAGGTATGGACGATACCGTCATCAGAAAGAGTGTCCACCATCAAATTGATCTGACCGGATCTACAATAACTGCAACCACGGACAAATCCCGAAGTGTCATCTCCGGATTTAAAGGTGGGTTATTTTTCCAGGACTTTTTTCACTGTTTATTTGAAGTTTTGCTTGTGATTTGGAATAATCGGGGACGGTACAGGTTGTGCTTTGTTTATACCACAGTACATGCACGTTTTGTATTCCCATTTTCGTGTTGGTTTGTATTAAGAAATAAATACATTTGCTATGAAGTTTTTATGAAGTCTCTCTCCAAAGTGCTTGAGTACAGTCATTTTTAATCAACGTGCTTATGATTTTAGGGCTATTAGTTTGATTCCTGTACTTTTTAACGACTTTTTAAATTCTGTGTACAAATTTCTGTGATACATTTCTATAGGTTTGATATATATGCACCAAAAATTATCATGTTTTTTGGAAAATTAGAGGGATATGATTTTTCCCCTCCCCAGGCAAGAGTGTATGCACAGATTTACTACCTCAGTAGCTGTTCCCTTTGGTTCTGTTTCTTTTTTAGATCCAAGTTAAGGGACCACGTATAACGATTTAGAAGTAACTGTTAATCGGCAAAGGCCTATTTTAGCACAGTTTCCGTGCAAAGAACCTGGATATTGAGAGAGCTTTAGAATGCCAAAAATGAAATAATTCAGTTCAGTTTAGTGTTTCACATCATTTTGTATTTTTTGCGTTGCAGGTCGTGAAATGGTGCCAAAAGAAGGGCGGAATCGCTCGCCAAAACTCCATTCAGAGAACAGGCCGCCATCTTCGAGCAGTCTCTCTTCGAGTCAGGAATCCACAAAGCACCAACACCAGCATCAGCACATACACCAGCACCAGCATTCCCACCAACATCAACATTTTCATCCTCCCTACGGCATGGTTCCCATGGCACCATCGGTTTGTACTTTGTTTGAGTGGTATTTATTAATTTGCTTGACGTTAGAAATGCCAGTGGTTTTCTGCACATATGCCAAACTTGTCTAAAGGCACGGATGCTCAGAACTATTTATTTTAAATAAAAGGTAAAAATCTCAAAAAATAATAAAAATGTATTTTTGCTTATTCCAAATGAATAGATGTAAATAATTTTCATTGAATACAAAAATTATTAATTTGGTGATTTTTTCGAAAGTTTTTGATGCTATTTTTGGCTTTAAAGAATTATGGAATTAACATTTCTAATGATTTTTGCTGAAGAAAAAGTTGTTAGAATTGTTAGCAAATTTATCACAAATTGACAATGAAATTCTCGCCTGCCAGTTATGCATAAGTGTTTAGTAATTTTAGTTACAAGTGATGTCGAGACATTTCTTATAAAGGAAAATGCTTTACTTTGAAAAGTTGAAGAAATAGCTGGGTACAGAAAATTAACGTGTCCAACAATTAAAATGAAATGTTGAATCGTGTTGTTTCTTCCACATCTGAGTTTACTTCTGTCTGGTATTTAAGCCTTGGCCTTGTACTAAGATCCTTTCACCAACTAAGCTAGAATATAAAGTCATCTCTTTTTTCAGTATTATGGCGGAATGCCGTATCTGCCTCCGGTCCCAGGTTCAACGGCACACAATCACCTTTCCAAACCAGTTCCGGTAAGTCGATCCGGCTAGACATATTTATTTCACTCAAATTTAGCACCATCGGCTTTTTTTTGGCTCGCAGTTTTTTGAAAACCGGATTTTTATGACAATTTAAATTGACCAAAGATTGTTCACTGTGGGTTTTTATTTTCCGGGTGTTTTTTGTGGCCGGATTATATTATTAAAGTATGCAATGTCCCACCGATAAACGTTGTATTAAGCGTGAAAGCCGAAGTGACAACTTAGAGCCGTCCTGTTCCATGGACTAAATGTTCCATGAATCATGTTTCTATGTTTCTGAATTGATGCTTTCGTGTTTATGTACCCAATCGGTACCAGAACATCTTTTTTTTATGCATATGATCAAAATTCGGGTTTTTCTTGAGATTTCAAAGGGTCAGGAAATCTCGCACTGCAATTTTGAAATTGTCGCACATAAACTTCTCAGATAAATAATTCCTCTTGTAGCAAATATAATAAGAAGTGTTTCTTGCTTTAACTAATAATTCTAGTTTCTTTTATGCGAAGTTGCAATGTATTTTGGCTCTTTTTACAGCACTCTATATAATTTTTCGTGTTTTTCCTGAATACAAGGCCTGCAGTTTTGCATTTCAAACATTTATTGCTTGGCAATGTTGAATAATTCAGTTCCATTAAAAAAAATTTATCTTAATGTGCCCGTTCTATTATGGGTTGTATCTACTCGTTCTATTAATGTGCTAAGATGGGCCGCGGTATCAACATTCACGTTGTCCTGCAGATTGCCCGCAGATTGCCTGCAGATTATCCACTAATACGATTCAGCCTATGATAATCATTCGTAAATCGTTAATTCTGTCTAAAAATATCCTCAACCATCCGTTTTTATTTTGATGTTTGCAATTCTCTCCTAGAAACAGGGAAAATGGTGTTCACTTCACGTTAAAATTGCTCATCTTATAACAAAAGCACAAAAAGAGGTTTGAAATCTTATTTCTATTTATATTTATATTTCTATTTCAATTTATCTCGCTATTTATTATTGAAAGTCTTATTCTCGCTATGTATCACTGATTATTTTCAACTATGCTCGATATTTTAATAGTCATTTCATACTGCAGGCAAGAAACGAATTGATTAATATGTCTTCGCAACTGTGTCTGGATATATTTAAAAGTCTTTAATGATATTGGTTGCGATTTTAAAAATCTTAATTTTTTTACAAGGAATCAAAGACTTCTACTTTTGACTTCTTGGGGCCGAAATTCCAATCTGTCTTGAATTGCAATTCAAGAAGTTCAAATTTTGTGAAGAGTAATGACCCCTTCAAGTTTACTGCCCAAATGTCAAATACTAGAGGTGATTTAACTGGCAATCACAATGATTTACAGGTTGAAAGAACGAGTAACATAACCTCTGATGGAATGATGCCAAATAGACCTGGTTTGCACGCTTTCCAAGCTGTTCCATCCCGTGCCAACTATGAAAGGGACTTCCCCTTTCATTCCTCTATGCGTCCTCATATGTCAGCAAGCCCGAAAAGCATTCACTCAACAGGTAGGTTTCAGTTTCAATATTTCTTATATCTCTTTTTATAAGATGATTTTTTCTATATCCAGTTATTGAAATACGCTTGCTGAAATGGATCCCTGAAAAACACGACCCTATCTTGCTCCATGTTTCATTAATTCGAAGACCCTTCAGATAAGACCTATGTATAGAATTTGTTGATTATGAATTGTGGTAAAATTTTCATTAAAAAAGGTTAGAAAAAGTGGTCTAGCAAAAGGCTGTAAATTCCAGCGAAAGTCATGAATGCCTAGTTGGATTCCGTAGTAAAATTAGCCCTTATTCCCTTTATAAGAGGTTAGTTGCAAAGAACGCCAGATAAATATTTTCGAAATCGTGAAAAAACAAGTACCTACCTTGAAAAAGAACGTACCTATTTGTCATGTTTAGTAAAACATCGACAAATGCATTTGAAGACTTTTGGGTCGTCATTTGCCGGAATGGGGAAGCGAACAGTTTATGCAATTGCTATATATTTTATTACAATAAATTTAGCCTGCTAATTGTTAATATTGGTTTACACCTCTTTATATATTTACAGTGTTGTGTTCCACATTTGAGTTTAATTTGTTCATCTTCAAATGATCTTTGTTTATGCTTTTATCTAATTTTTTTGGGTTGGGTGTAAATTGTTGAAATTTTCCCGTTCATATTTCAACTTCTAAATTTTTGTTTTTGAGTTTTTGTATAATGCTTTCATTTCAATCATTTCCATGGTTTTTGTATATTTTTTCTACAAAAGCATTGAATTTCACGTTAGTTGGATCAAACAGACGCCCTTGCTGTTTCTGGTCGTCTGAAGTCAAACTTCACTTTTCTTTGTAAATCAGTAATTAAAAGACTATTTGCTTTGAAATATTTGTGTATAAATCTTATCAGATATAATAGTGGGTCATGTTTGACCCTGGGTCACCATAGATTAAGGCTGTAATTTTCTTTTTATGACAAATTACATCTTAATTGACTTTTTTCTAGCGTCTGTTGTTTGTAGTTTTCATATCCCTAACCATCGCTGCTGGAAGATTGTTCAATCACCTTTTAGGCAAAACCTAACTTCTTTTGGGCTAACATAATGAAAGCCAACCTTAGATTCTGTTACCGATCTGATTTGATTCTAGTAATTTGACTGAGATTGTAATTTCACGTGGCTTCGTGTAATTTTGCTAATCTACACTGTTTTAATTGGTTTATATTTATCTAGTCCAAACAAAAAGCAATTTAACAGGACTAAGTTCGACTGAATCGAATGGACTAATGCTGTTTTATTCACAACTTTGAACTGCCTGATTTTGACGTTTTGGTCCTGTTACTAACAAAGTTAATAATATAATTAAATGAAGAAAACTAAACCAAAAATGTATGTAATAACGTCTCTTCATAGCGTGCTCTACCAGGGAGTTTTTTCCAGTTGCTTTCGGCTTGTCTATGCAACACATCCACAGTTATTTGAAAGTATGCTGTAAACAGAAATAGGCCCATTCACCGCTTTACTGTAAACATTTGTAACAAAGAAAATATATTCCTGCCCCATCTACCTGACTGCGCAATTTGCAATAATGGATTATTATTTTTTTGGCATTACTGTGAATGGGCCTAATTGACTACCTCGCCGCCAGTATTATAAATATTGTCTAATTGTTGTTATAAAAATCTTATCATTACCATTGAATTTTAGGATTGATCCGAGGTTCATTCAGCGGAGAGTCTGAGAGACACCCCTTCCACCACCAAGGAAGACATCTTCCATATTTTCATGGCCGCGATGGCCTAGCTAGCAGCCACAAACGACCAGAATTTGAGCCACCGTTCACCTACGATGGCCTGAGCCATCCACTGGGCAGGGCCTACCACAGCTTGTTTGATCGAGACCGCAGCTCGCCGCCGCATCTTGAGTCGATGTATCACCGAAGAGCTGGAGAAAGAGGCGTGACTGACATAGAGAAACCAACTCGACTACTACATCATGATCGTAGCATTTTGAATATGACGGTCGACAGAGAAACCCATCATGAAGCCGAAAGGCATCGTCATACGTCATTTTTGAATCGTGATAAATCGTCATACTTTCAGCCTGTCAAAGTTGATACCCAGTCGTGTCGGTCTTTAACGAGCCACAGCATGTGTGCAAGCGACTTGACGAGGAAGATCAGTCCTCGAAGATTGTCTCCTCTTGGATCGTCGTTGACTTCGCAGAAGCCCCATCTCCGTGGTACAGAACTTTTTGACCGATTTCATCCCGATCATATGGACCATCGCAGGTTCTTCGGTACGGAATCGAGACTTATCGGAGGGGAAAGTCGCATCTTCGGACAAGAAAGTCGTTTATTTTCCACGGACAACCGGCTGATGGGCACGTCCGAGCCGAGGTTGTTCGGTCCCGATAAAAGACTACCGACGGGTGAAAGCCGACTGCTTGGAACTGATGCCCGCAAGGGGCTTCTGCCCTTCGGCCATGAACCTCCAGTTGGCTCGCATGCCGGAATTTTAGGAAATCTTGGCCGCATGAGTTCAAAATACACTTCATCGTCATAATTTGACCTGACTTGGCTAAGATTGGTTTAACTTTGATCTGACCGAACCCAGCAACATCATGTGAATGTGCTGGGAACTTGGTGTAAATTTTATGCAAATTTTCAATTACATGCAGATTTCATTGTTAAATTTATTATTAATTTTCTAAGAGAAGGGCAAGTATTCTGGAGCGTGAATGTACTGGAATTATGCTTTCACTTTGAATTTTGAACATTGAATAGTTTACAGATTTCATAAATCTGATTATTTGATTTGAACATCCAGAAGTAACGTTTTTACAGCGATGCAAATCCTTAAAATTGGTTGCAGGTCTAATGGTCCCTCATCAGTACTTAAACTTTATTTCCAGACCTGCCTGTGCAATGCAACTCTTGCCTCTACCTTAGTTGACTTCCACCTTAGTTAACTTCCACCTTAGTAAACTTCCACCTTAGTTAATTTCCACCTTAGTAATCTTCCACCTTAGTAAACTTCCACCTTAGCAAACTTCCACCTTAGCAAACTTCCACCTTAATTACTTGCTTCTTGCTGCAACCTGTCATTAAGTGAAATTTAAAACCCCATTGCCAGGGGGAGGACTTTTCTTACGCGATGCCTAAAGCCGCGATGCCTAAAGCCGCGTTGCCTTCATTTTTTGTGTATCATATGCATTGAACTCACTGCTGAAAATTACACTTTCAAGGCTGGATCCTTTGGATAAAACTGCTCAGAGCACTGACAGAAACCCGAGGAAAAGTCTTAATATTACACGTGCTCATTACCGTCACCCCTACCCTCCCATTCCTCTTAACCCAAAATCTTTCACGTTGTTAGAAGTTTGCTTGTCAATTTATCGAAATGTGCACACAAGGCAGAAAGTTAAACAAATGACATCTCAAAAAACCTTTCAAATAATTCGGCCAAGTAGAAGAAAGCCTGCCCGTTGTTAATTTATTGTTACCAATGGCAGTGTTATTTTCTTCCAGCTTTATTTCCATAAACAATGTCAATCAAAGCCATTGTTTGTAAAACATGTTTGTTCCAGATACTTACCATAAAGATATGATTGCTTATCGTCACGACAATGATTGAGAATCAATAGGATATATATTGTACATAAAAGTTGTGCATTGTAATTAGTTTGTTTCGTATTGTTATTACAACGGCATATTAAGTGGGTGTTAATACAATGTTGTTTATAAATTGGCGAGTCAACAGTGCCTTTGAAATCGACCGTTATTTTTTGCGCGTTTACTTCTATACGTTTTAAGTCTTTGTTCATGAGTCGCAAATTTTGCTATTGGATTAAATGGAAAGATGCTTTATTTGTTGTAACAGCTGTGAATTGAGCAAAAGCGAGATAGTGGCTCGTGGAATAAATCTAACACTTTGCAAGAACAATCTTGAAACTAAAATGGCTGCCATCGTCTCTTGGTGACTCCAAATATCACCCTGATGGAAGTTGCTTCAAAGCTTTTCCTACAATGAAGATTGGCTCTTTTATCTGTCGCGTTCCGTTCCAGTATGTTGATTAAATCCATGTTGATTAAAGGTTTCGTCATAATGTTTATGCTGTCTTTTCCTGTCATATTTTACCAATCTTTGGATAAGATGGTTTTATATCAATGACAGGCCTAAAAGTCATTGAAAATCAAAGCAGTAATTTCCTTATTGAAACGTAATACAGCCACATTCAATGATACTTCATTATTTTACCATTTTCAAGGAATAAACACTGAGCCAATAGCTTACAAATAGGGGGACAATTTCCAGAATTTACATCATACTTTTTTCATAAAAGGCGCGGTGATATCATTCCTAATTCACTTATGGAAACGATTCCAAATCAACGTCTTTTTTATTTGTAGTCATCTTTATATTATCCAGAAAAAGCTTTTAGCAAGAGTCACTTTGCTTATTAAATTGTAGTCAAATTATTTCATTTTAAAACCTTAAGCAACGAGCCAAACTGTCAAAAGGAGCAACTGTTTTTCTGAGGCCATAACCGAAACGCATTAAGAAGAAAGTGTAACGATAGTGACCATTTTATCGAGGAATTGGCAATAGGGTTTGCACCTGAAAACACGTGTATCATATATCTGTTTTTCGTGTATCGGCTTCGTATGCTAAGACAAATGAAAGTAGTTATCGACAGGTTTAAATATTTTCCAGATATTTTGAATAAAGGCACACTATTGGCAACTATTGAATACTTTCACGGCTGACAATCAGTTTGAGAACTAACATGCACTTTCGTTTTCTTTCCTTTTTGGCTTTCATTTCCCCCTCTTTTAACTCTCGCACTCTCATACACTTTTCTTATTAGATACTTAGGTCAACTGTCTTTCTTTATTTACTTCTTTATTAAATAAAGTACGGTTTCTAGGCCGAAATCACCTTTTGATCTAAGCTATATTTTATTTTACTATGGAAAAAGTTAATTTAGCCCATGGCAAAATTGAGTCAATATTGGTAGCTAGTAAAGGAAAAGTACACAGGAGATAAAGAAATATTGGCTGATACAAGAGAGAAAAAGAAATTAGCAACAAAGATAAGACACACTGAAACATGCACGAAGTTAACAGTTTTAATTGATTACAGTTTGAAATTTTATGAAGTCAAAAATCTTCCATTCTCTTTCTGATTAAAACCAGAACCTGATATTTGCCCAATTTCTTCTCATGGTGCAAAATATTCAATTCCATTTGGTGCAAAATTGAAGAAAATTCAATCGAAGTTAAAATATAAATGTTATTTCATACTCTTTAACTCATCTATATTAATTTCTTTTGTTATCCTGGTTTGCCAAGCAGCATGATTCTTTGATTAAAAGATTCTTTTTTGAGAGCAAGGCACAGTGTAAAAGAGTTACTGAATGAACGTATAAGAAGAAATCAAAAATATTTTATTACATAAAAAACTGACAGCCGGAGACCTATTGTATAGCATCCAGTGAAAAAGAGAAGAATTTTCAACCAGAAAAATGCTTTTTCAACGACTATAGATACTGTTCAGGCAAATGTTTCACAAATTGAATGAAAATTTTACTTTAAAAATAAGCCATCCGTACCTTAATAATTGAATCAAATCTTTTACAAGAATTTTTATCCCGAGTAGTAGTCAAATTTCACAGAAGAATGGTTCAATCTAGACTGTTGTTTTTTGCAAACAAAGCAAAACGATTTTCTTCAAATTCTTCATTTAATACTTGTTGGTTTTGCCATCCGTCCATATGCAATGAGTCGACAACGTAATTAAAATCGTTTAGCCAAGATTAAAAATTGTTCCAAAGCCATGGCAGTACCGTCTTTAAGCTTAAAAAGCATATTGAATAAACAGCAATTTGTTTTAAATTTGTAGTTGTGGTATAGCATCATAATATTTAGCTACAATTATCTAGAAACAATTTTCAACTCTAGTAAACATTCGCTAAATAATACGCCCTTCGGTCTCTAATCTATTATTGTGCTTTGGCAAAAAAAATTGTTAATTGGCCAACAAAAACATTTTTTCGAAAAGGAGGTCTTTTGGATTGAGCTGTTTTAAAAATTTAAAAATTTTTACTCGGTGTTAGATTCATATGTCAAGCAATTTTAAGTTCACTCGGTAAAATTGCTTGACATATGAATCTAACACCGAGTAAAAAATTTAACAACACCGAGTAACAAATATTAAAAAAGCCAATAATTTCTCACAAAATGTGACAATTTTTTGAAGGTAAAAGCTTATACATTCTTTGACAAAAAAGCTTGGAGATACATTCCGAAGTAAACCAATACAAACTAGCGTCCAACGAGAGAATTTCAACAAGGGTGACAATTCGCAAACGTTGTTAGATTTAGGTTGTTATATTTTGAAAAATTTGTTGAGTTCAATGATTTTTTGCAAAGATAATAAGCTGACATTTATTCTTGATCTTAAACGCCCTAAAGAAATATCAAATTTTATTTGTTTAAGATAGTTTGACGCAATGACTTTTGTATCACTTAAACATTTTTATGACATCGACTATATCGCAAAATATTTCCAGTAATGGTGGCGAATTTCTAACATTAATAGAAGGCGCTTGAAATTTTTCATTCCTTACAATTTTTCGTAGAAGGCGCTTGAAAGAAAAATGGACAAAAATTATCCTTAAAGCTACGACCATTTACATCTAGTACTTTTGACATGAGTAGAAAATAGGATATTTGATCATGAAAGGTGAATCCATTTGCTTAAAGATTTCCTTAACATAATTATCAATCCAAACAGACGCTCGATAAGACTACCTTAAACCAATGATATAATGCGGGAGAATCAAACTTCAGCTCAAAATTATATCCCTATGCGATTGTCACAAGCAAAGCGTAAAACCTAGGGATTATTTTGGACAGGTAAATAAAAAGACAATTTTCTCATCTGGCTTTCTCAGCTAATCAGCCAGCTTAGAGGTGAATTACTACGAACTTGTGTATAGAGACTTTGGACGTTTTCATTGACGGTTTTATAATATGCAGCAAAAACTCAATAGAAACGTAAAAAAAACGAAAACTTTAGAGATTATCTGTTTAGTTTTGAAGCATATATAACTGCATTTATACATTTTAAATTGAGAGGACAATAAAGACCTTGCTTTAGTGAAGATGACCCTTATTGAATAGAAGCAAAAGCTAGATTGCAGTTAAGTTTTGATTGGCATTAGGCAACTGATTTACAGTATGCAAGTACAGTATGTAAGTAGCTTTTATAAACAAAAGTCAACCGCATTAAAGGTGGATTGCAGTTAAGTTTCAATTGGCATTAGACAACTGATTTACAGTATGCAAGTACAGTATGTAAGTAGCTTTTATAAGCAAAAGTCGACCGCATTAAAGGAGTGACCTCAGCAAATGACTGTTCATCTTGGTGGGTGAATGAGGTGAAACGAGAAAATCGCGCGAACTTGTTAGAGTTCTTAACAAATCGTGGTTGCTGCCTACCTAAAGCTCTTTCAACGCGTCTAATCGACTGATGCAGATTTGTCAATGTTGCAATTCAACTGCCTGCTTTCAAAAATATACTATCTCTCCAGTCTAGAGGTAGCAAGCTTCGAAGAAAGTTTTTCGTGGTCCGGAAGAGCACATCTTCACCTGTGAAATACGAGAGGAGAACCTTATTTTCCTAACAGCTTTCTGAAGTCATCATTGCTTAACTTGCCAGCTGCTTCTTTAGGCTGGGTGCTTTCTGATGTTCCGGGTTGCGTTTGTGATTGTTTCGGCTGTTGATTTGTTCCTGGTTGTTGAGTGGCATGGGTGTGTATTGATCTTGGTACCAGAGCGAGTTGGGTCTTTGCTCTTCCACGGCTGTAATCAGAAGTTAATACGAGTTATCTCAAAGGAAGACAAATGACAAATTAGCAGGGACGAAGTTGATACTAAGTCAACAAGACAGGGTTAGCTCATACGTTTTTTAGGAAAGATCATTTATATAACAAAAAGTTAAATAAAAAAGTCGGCTTAATCATTCTAATTTGCAAAAAATTCATCATTATCCAAACTAGTACTATTCTTGTGCATTTTATAATCTACCGTATCTTTTCTTTCTTCTATCAAGCATTCCATTTCAAGTCAATGAATGAGATAAAGGTCTGGTTGGCTGCTGTTGCAAATAATTTTTTTTAATCAAATTTAACATTGATTATGTAAACAAAAGTTTGTTTAAACACAATCAATATTTCCTTTTTGTTTACTATTTGTTTGAAGGTTACAAATCTAATCGTGAGCTCGATCATTTTGTTTGTTTCAAAACAGCATTGAAAAGTACAGCAGGATATTCTGAATGAAAATGGAAATGACAATTTAGGTTTCGTTATGTTGGTAATTATTGCTGTAGCCCTATATGCTTCCAAAATGTACATAGGCTGTTGATAACAACGATGTGCAGTGTATGTTTACATTGCCTATTAATTTACCCTTCACTTCCACTCACTTGCATTCTTTAAAAAACCGTTAATCAAACCATAGCAGTTCGGAGAATTTCTGCCTTTCTGTTAATATTTTTCTTTCAACAATAGAATTTAAGATACAAATAAAAACTACAATACAAAATTTGTCTAAAATGTGAGGGGTACGAACCTTGGCTATCGAGTAGCCTCTCATACTGCAACCCGAATTTACAGTGACAGTTGATTTACAGTAATAAACCTCAAAAATATAGCAGCAGCAACTTAGGCTGTAGCATTAAAACCATGGCTCAAAGAGATCAGTTCTGAAACAAGAGCAGTCTCTGAAACAGGTGCAAACGGGCACATAATCTGATGTATCTATGGGCCTATCGACAGCTCTAACAAGTAGCTCCAAGGAGATGGCTCATTCAAGAGCCATTTCCATCCTAAAGCCATGGTCCTGGTCCATGGGCAAAAACCTTGCACATGCCTCCGGATCGAACCCATCCCAGTGGACCAACGTTTATGTTAACCAAGTCCTGCTTACATGGAGAATTAGATGCATTCCATATGTTCTACTCAGTCAACAGTCGGATCAATTATCTCTCACCTTCCAGGTATTGGTTGCTTGTTTTGATCTGTCCTTTGCTTAGCTTTTTCTTCACGGGAAGGAGCCTTTGATATGGCGACGAAAATCTGTCTTTCTTTAATCGTATGACCATCCAATTTCAAAACGGCACCAGAAGCCGATGTCTACATAATAAAAAATCACTATTTCGAAACTCAAACATTAAAAAAACTTCAAAAAAATAAATAAATGAATTCGCTGAAATCTAACGCTGAAATTTGTCAGTTTGGTTTTGATGTTAATGTCGAGAACAGTTCACCAGTGGTCTCTCACACAGGCTCTCAACTGAAAATCACAAAATCGAAAGACTTCTAGCAATAGCAGGCATACAAAAGACAGACAGACTTGTCCAAAATGCTTTTGACCGTTGTTAAAGCTTTGAAAGGGTAACCCCGAGAAATGGGAAATTTCCTTATTACGGAAGTGACTGTAACATCCTTAATAAGGACAATAACTAATATATGCATATGCATAATATGCATATGCACGTAACGCTATAACATCAAATTTACCTCATCTAAGTACTCTATGTAAGCATATCCCTTTGGCTTTCCCGCTCTGTTCGTAACGATTCGTATTTCTTTTATCTCGCCAACCTACAACAAAAATTCCCTGGTAGTTAAGTGGCATTCAATGCAGCGTTTGATTTTCCTTCAGAGTTTTATTTGGCTAAATTTTTGGAAGAGCTATCTAGAGCAATGGTATAGAAAGCGTTTTATTGGTGAGTGCAAAACACAAAGCTTTGAGGATAGGATATCATTCAAAATTTCAAGGTAAACAGCAAGACAGGGACAGAAATGTAAAGCCCAACAATAAATGAAAAAATTCTGAAGAGCACATGATTTTCAATTAATCTTTAAAAGAGTCAATAACCAGAAAGCCTTTTATTACATTAAGTTATCGAATAGATTCGTGTTAACAAATAACAAATCAAATAACATCAACATTAAAATGGATGGTCGAATAAAATGGGAAGCATCTTCCAGTACCTTGTTGAAGATTTGTTCCAGTTCTTCTTTAGTTACATCAAAAGGTATGTTTGTAACAAAAACTGTGTGTTTGTCAACTGTCAAGGCATACTGCAAAAACAAGGAAGTAAAAAAATAATGGAGAGGAGATGATAAGGTACGAAATTAAACAGAGCACTGTGTAAAATAATTGTTTGAGAATAGTTTTTTACATGAAAAATGTTACAAAGAAACCTATCCATTAAGTGTGCGAAAGGTAGATTTTAAGACACATTCTATGACAATGTCCCAACAGCTAAATTTTTATGTTTATGATCTTCCCATAGGAATTGAACTATTTCTAGAATTACCAGTATTCATCAACATAGGCAGAGCCAAGAAAAAATGGCCGAAAAGTGTCACACCTAAACCAAGATTTACTTTCATTGCGTTTCATTAAAGGTATAACCATCAAAACAGGCTTTTTTGCGTACCTCAAGACTCATCTCTGGTAACTTCACTTTTCACATAACGTGTTTAAGCTTGCCAAGAAGCTTCTTGTCCTTTAGTGGAGTTCTTAATTATTTAGTTATCAGATTTTCTTATCGTTTGTAAGTCATTATACATCAAGAATAAAAATAATTTTTCACTTGCCTTAAATTGTGGTTGTTTATTTGCTTCTTTATCGAGGCATGGCGAGACGAAAACCGGACGACCATTAAGTAATGCCCGATCTTGCTGCAAAGCCTTTTCGCATGAAACCTGCAAAATAAATCATGATAAAATTAAAGAGGTGCCAGATAAAAATATGTTATGACACCCTCTAAAAATGAAAGCCTGAAAGCATCATTTAAAAATAAAAGTCTGAAAGCATCTAATAAAGCAAAAATAAAAACCTCAAGTTTTGACACTTTTTTACGCGAGGAGAAATGGACTGTATTCGGTATTTTCATGCAGTACGATATGAGGCCGGTTTTGCAAATAAAGTCACAAAGCATGCCGGTTGCGCAAGAGTTTTTAAGAGTCTGGCGTGCGAATTCAGTCTGTTAATCTTATTATCGTGAAGTGGCACTTGAGTGCTAAAAATAGTTTCCTTTTAGCAGCAATAAAAACAAACCAAATACTTTTATTTAGAATGGGCATTAGGTATGGGCAATTTTTATCGTATTTTTCGAATATAAGCCCCCTCTCTTGGAAAAAGGGGCACTTATTCCTAGGGAAGACAATTTTTCTAAAACTACATAGCACCCCATTTTGCGACGGGAATATATGCGGTGGGTAGGGGCTTCTAAAGAAAATACAGAAAGAGAAATCTTGCCTTGTCTTTGAATTCAAGGTAGGCGAATCCTTTGGAACGGCCCATAAAATTTCTGCTTATACGAATGTCAGCTATCTCCCCGCACTACAACAGAAATAAATCTCGTTAAATCAGGTCATGGATTAAAATAACTCAAAAAATATGTCAGCATAAAGGGGGTATGGCATACAATTCAGAAAGCTATATTGGCAAACTCAAATTGCTACGACAATTGCCATCGGATTTGATTACAATGATTTTCTGCGCCAAATAATGAGTAACGGTGCGATGAAACCATCTTTATTGAAGGTATGTAATATTAAACAATGTGCAACATAAAAACGGGATGCTTTGCAATAACACTAGGTTTGGGATGCTAACTAAAACTCTATAGTCATTAACTCTAGCAATTTACATATCTGAGGGATACAAAGTCAACCAAACATCAAAATAGATATATCAATTTGATACTAGAGTATCAAGAACGGGGCTCTTATAATGGACGATAAATGAAGACCCGCACCTTTTCGCGTTAATTTAATTGATAATGAAGCTTTGCGCAACCGAAACTGCTGCACGTCGTTTACAATAGGATCGTATTAAAAACCCCTCCCTCTTTTGAATAATTGGGCAAGTTATGCTTTATTAATGTACGAGCCCTTTTTTGTTAAGGTACGGAAGTTGGCTTAAAAAGTGATGAAAATTTTGGAGGGTAGAGCAACAGAGGGAAACAATAACTAATTGACACAGAGGGAAACAATAACTAATTGATTATGCAACTGGTCATACATCAGACTGTGGGCACAAACAATCAAACAGCGATGAAAATGTATCGTTTCGTAACCAAGGCAAAAAGCCACCCGTGTCCAAACATGTTTATTTTAAGCACACTATTCATGGCATCTGCCAAAGCACAGTTGCCGAGGCCCTCAACAATGCTATAACTACAGATTCATTTCAGTGGTGAACCATAGCAGCAAGATCAGAAGAGCCACCATGAATAGTGTATCAGTGACTGTGTGGCACGTCTACAATGGTTTTTTTGTATTAGGATACGAAACAATACTATCCCACCACTAATGGATTGATGATTGCCCTTAACTGCATGTACATTTCTATCTAAGCCGATCACATTTGAAAAGCAAGTTCGTGAAAAGTTACTTTAATTAAGCACTGAAATTGAACATTGTCCGAAATAAAATACCAGTAGCAGATAAACACCTGTTGAAATTTCTCCTCAATATCCTTTTCTCCGACACTGAATAAAAGATTGCTGAGAAACACGGTTCGGTCCTTTGCGTCTTCAGAAGCACTAATCAAACAGAACAACTGATTAATATACAAAATGTTTTCAACTCGATGCTGCAATAACAAAGTATGAGGTGAACATCAAAGGAGATGAATGAGACCAGCTATTAAGATCGTAAACTTTGTACTTTCGGATACCTTGAATAGCTAAAATTTTTCATTTTAAAAACCATCATTAAAATACATAACGATATATCTACTATATCATGAAGTTACACAGACGAATGGAAAGCATTTGAGTGCACCTAAACTGTGATGTGCCGAGAGTGACGTGACCAGGACAGTACTAGAACCACGATCAGTGAGACTCAATGCCCTTGCTCTACCAACTGAGCAACCCGGTTATTTTATCAAAACCTGCACTCATACTTACCCAAAATAGAAGTTTTAAGCAAAAAGAATAACGACCGAAACTTTATGTCTTATGGAAATTACAAAATACATATCATACACACACGCATGATTTACTTTGAAATTCAACTGACCGTTTTATCAAACTTTTATCTTCGATAAAATTATCATCGGTCTTTGCTTCAACTTTGTTTTGATCCGCAGGTCCACCATCATGTCTAGAAGCTTCTATAAACAATTGCAAGCAAGAGATCAAATTACCCAACTTGAGATAACACATAGCTATTTAGATGATCTGTTCCTTCTTAAGAATACAGAATGCAATGTTTTCTGTTTCTATAAAGCATTAAACCACCTAGAAATAATTATGGGCTAAAAGGTCTGTACGGTAAAATATCAAACAGCATTCGTTAGATGACAAAAGGTTTTGTATCAGAAGAAGAAAACTATATCGAAGCAAGTTTCGAAATTCATCTTCTCAGTTTGAAGCATGTGTATATTCATGTTTATACAGTAAAAAATTCAAGGAACTGAATCTACCTCTGCACCAGCCATAAGGTTCTGGAAACAGTAACAAAAAAAGTAGGCCTAAAGTTTATAAATTTAGCCTTAGTTGACCAAGCTTGGCATAATAGGTTCAATATTGGTGCCGTGACCTGTTAAAGGGAAAATACTGCGGAGTAATACCCAATGCAACTGAATTTATGATTGACGACTAGATCTCTACAGATTTAAGGGCCTGAATATCTATTAGTTACTTTCTTGAACTTATATTACTGCGAGAAAACCTCGATTATCTGTTAAGGGCCAGTACAGGTTTTGCCATCGACAGCCGAAAGCAATGAAAAGGTTTGATGTACATAAAAGAATCGAGATAAAATGGCAAGGAGCAAAGTTCCATTTTGGCGATAAATCCAATCATTCAAAAGTGTTTAGAGGCCCTCGTGTTAAAGGACAGCGTTAAGAAAAACCTCACCTTTGGCCTTTTTTGTAGGAGGTTCATCTTTGCCTCCAGTAGATATTGGAAGTTTACGTTTAGGAAAAGCCTGAAACAACGAGAGCAGGAAAGGCAATGCACTTAAAAAGGCCTCGCTTTAAAAACAAAATCGAAACATAAAAGTTTTGAATTCTGAATTTTAAATGCTGACGAAATTTGGAAATTTGAATCTTAAAATACTTTGTTGCCAAAGAGTAATGACAAAAGAGATGAAATTGATTGAAATAAAACATCTATGCAAGATGTCTTGACCTCAAGGCCCGTATATTGTTCATTACAACAATAAATAAAAAGACGAAAAGTTTAGAGCAACCTCCTGAATCCACTTACATTCTTCTTTAAGGAACTTTCATCAGTCAATTTTTGCTGTTTACCGAGTTTTCTGTTTTGTTTATTTTTTTGTAACTTTGCTTGTTTTTGTCGCTCCTGCTTCTGCTCCCTCTCGGCAACTTTGCTTGCATCAAATTCAGTTTCCTAGGCATAAACAGAGAAACAAATTTGATAAAACAGTCTTTAAAGCTGAAAATGTCTAGCTACTATCATGGACAAAAGACAATTCTTTTATAAGTGATTTTCTGCGTAATTGCCCACAAAACCAGTGACACGCCCCTCTCCCCAATGTCAATCCTGGTTGTGGGTAACGACAGTTGATTGTAGAAGCTAGGAAAACTAAAAATCAACATCAACATTGATATTGGTGGAAGGAGATTGAGTGTTTTTGCCAAATGACGTCACGTCACGTCAATGACGATAACAGCAAAAACTTTCTAACTTTTGTCTAGGGTTGTAGGTTTCAGGCCAAGTATTTTCAGGGTGTCTTTGAGATAATTCACTATCGCGCCCAATCACTTAACCCAATAACTATCACTTAACCCAAAAAGAGAAGATCATTCCTTTCTTTGTCCACCTCTCATGATTTATCAATATAAGTTAAATTGCAAGGCTGTTAGTGGGGTCTTTGAAATGACGAATCTTTCACTTAGAGCGAGAAGGTTTGCCAGATCTCTGTCACTCCAGGTGTAAGAATCACGAGCTTCCCAGTGTCCTTAAAAAACTACTTTCGAAAGCTAGGTAGTAACAAATACAAAATACAGAGTTGGTATAGAATGGTTTCAATATCAAACTCCAGCTCCCGAATTCGAAGTTATTTGTAAACCTAGCTCCTTTGCCTAGGAAGTGTTTTTACCTTTTGACGCCTGTTTTCAACTTTCTTGAGCTGGTTCTCCGTTCTTTCTATCGCAGACTCAAGTTGTTCAAATGTTCCTGCATGAGAAAAAGATAGGAAATAAGTTCAAAGAGCAAATCTACAACAGAGCGTCCGTAAAGTGAGGCAGTAGTAAAACAGAGGCTCACGGAGTAAGTCTATATAGGGCAACTTGACCTGTATACATTATCACAGCGTGGCTTGGTGATGACGTCAAAATGTATTCTTATGCAAGAATACAATCTGGAAGAACGTTTAAAGTCACGAAAAGAACATAGCTGAATTCATCTAAAATTGGCAGAAATATAACCATATAAGCAGAGGTCTTTCCTTTCCCAACAAAATCGCTGTAATGTGATCATGGTTCTAAAATATATGCCAAAACAGCAGAAAATCAAGAAAACATTAGCAGTTCTTTAGCAAACTTTAGATCACTCACAAGCCCTGTGCCAGTCAATTTGTAACAGATTTAGTTCATTTTTCACATCTTTTGTATAGTGCTCTTTCATATTATACATGTTTTTATTCGAAATAATAACAAATGTTTTGGAAACGTCACAACAAAGCCTCCCTGTTGATATTCAAATATTCCAAATGATGGCGTAACATTGAAAAAGACAGCTGGTTCTACCTGCACGTGACTCCTCAGGTAATAAAGGTAAATAGAGTTGGATTTCTTTGTACTTGGTACTTGAAATAAATTGAATGACAGTTGAAAAACATGAACAGACGTGATCATCAATGTCAATAAATGCTTTTAATGAATGAGAATCAAAACCTTCACCACGACTCTGGTTATAGCCCCCTTTACCCAGGCCACTTCATTCTTGAAAGAGACTGAAGAGTTTGGCCGACAATGGGTGCAATTATATGTTTTCACTTTCTTTGGGCTGACATCAAATATTGATCATAAAGATTATAAAAACTGTTTCTTTTGTCAGGCGTCATTATACTTCAAGTATTATTAGACGAAAAAGGAACATAGTCAAGTAACAGCAAATTAACGAATTCAAGGCTGTGACGATTACCTTCCTCCCGTTCAAAACATACAAAGGCTCCACAAAGTTTTTCTGTGTCATCCACGGTGGTTTGTACAGCTCTTTGAAAAACTCTTCTACATGAAACAAGATCACCATGCAACCTATCAAGAAAACAAACTATGAGCAACGAAGGCCTCTCGAAAGCCGCAAAAAGTATATTTCTTGGATACTTGGATACAATTGTTTTTTTTCAATGCCATTTTAACATATTAACTCGGGGCAAAATCCCCATTTATAGAATAGTGAAGGCTGAAAGTTCTGTAGAACGGCATCTAGAGTCCTGCAGAAAAAGATCAGATGTTGACACCAAACAGTACAATACATATTACAACAACTTTACAGCTAATAATTTATATTGAATAAATTTATTAATTAACCAGAATAAAAGAATGCTTGCTGTGAAGATATTAAAAGTTCAATGCAAAAATTTTGTAGTTGGCGGGCAAATTTTCTGAAATGGCAAAAAATGAAACAGATGCTACAATTATGATCACCAGTTTCTTCACAGTTAATTGACCAAGCATTAAAAACTAACCTTAAGAAATGCGTGTATTCTAGCCACATGTGGGTTTCTTTGCCGTGAATTTTCATCACAGAATCCCAGATTTCTTGCGCTTTACGTAAGTTATTGAGGTATTTCGCCTGAAAACGGATACGTTCTTTTAGAATGAAAATTAATCATCAAGATACCTTTCGAAAACTTTTTGGGATTATTATAATCACCGTAGAAATTGCAATAATTTGCTTCAAAATATGCCTTAAGTTATCAACAATCGCGTTTTTATATTTGGTCAATATTGCCTTGATCTTGTGATGTCATACAAAAGTTATTTTGCCAAAAGGGAGTTTTCAATATGGAACAAAATGCAGCATATTATTCTTTATATTGGAAATTCAAATAGACAAGGTAAGGAAGGTTCTTGATTAAAAATTAGGTTATTTATAGAAAAAATTGTGCTACAGTTGTCTTCAAGACTGAATGTTTACCTCGATAGCAGCCCAATACCTCCTCAAAAGAGATAATTTATCACCATCAGTACCAAAATCTGCATTGAAAAATCAATTCTTAATATATAATTAAAATTTTGAAAGAATTGACTTAACTGGTTTATTTCACAAGACAATTAGCTATTAAAAAATATAAAATTTCACAAAATATAAAAGACATGATTAGGTTTAAAAGATGAGAGCCTCTAAACATTTTTGAGTGATTGGATTAATCGCCAAAATTATAAAAAGCATTGAAAGCGATAACTGTCGATTTTCGTTAACAGGTTTTTATAAACTACCGACACCATACGAGGAACCCTTTGATATTAAGATCGGTTTTGAATGAAAAGACCAACTGAATCGCTATACCTGTTCAAAACCTCAAGCGGTTAATCCGCAAGTAAAAATAGTCCTTAAAATCATTACATCGAGGTGTTTTTATCAATTATTTAGCCATCTACGATGATAACTCAAAAAAGAGGAGGTTAAACAGGCTACATGACCTCGAACTCAACGAAAAAGAATTGAAATTTTTTCACATTGGCATTACTGGTGAAATCCAGGAGAAAACCACAGACAACGCAGCCTCAAAGAGAGCTGCTAGCAGGTTTGGGGAGGGCAGTGGGGGGGGGGGGGGGGGGGAGAATTATCATCATTTTCATCATCACCATCTTCTACCCCTTCTCAGACCAGTGTCCAGGGAGACAGGGTGGGCAGAGTTACCTCATGACATTATTTCTTCTGGGTATAATGCTATTACTTTTATGATAATTTATTCAATTAATAATTTTGATTGCGAGATATTACTGCATAGCTCTTCGCTCACTATTCGGAGAAACAGGCACAGGTTTTGGACAATGGGAATAAAGAGAAGCTATTGACTAAAAAAGAATGCATATCTTACAGTGATCCATGTAATTAACTGCGTTCTCAAATGTCTCTCTTAGATCTTTAATTTTGCCTTCATCTACAAGAAAAAGACAACGTAGTGTAAGTTGTGCCATCAATAAGGCCATCGACCATCGATTAAAGCAACAGTTTCATAAGAGTAGGCATTCTTGGATTTATAAATGTTTTAAGATTCCAAAGAAGCCTTACACACGACGACTGTCAAAAATAAGACTACCCTTTCACAAAATGGCTTTCTTTTTGGGTCTTAGCGTTTCTCGGAGACTTTGCAGCGGATAAATGAGGGGTCCTCCACGTTCTAATGAAATCAGAAAATCAGAAAGTAACCTTCTGGAAAGTTCTAGTGGAGGTAGGCCAACTGAACAGAACAACAAATTACCATATAAAGTCACCTACAAAAATCTCCAAGATTGAAAATTTCTAGGGTTTCCAACATTCTACACAAAGTTTCAGGCTTGAAAATGACATTCCTGCTTTCAGGGCTGCATACATATGTACTATCCCTCTCAAAAAATTTCTGATACCAATCCCCATTGTATCCTTACGGCTACAAGCAAAAGAGGATTCTTTTCAATATCTCAAAACAACCTCCTAGCAATGTTTGCTGAAGTATGGTTACCATTTAGATACTTTTGGACGTTTTAGTGGCATAAATCTTGGCATTTAAATGCATGGTTTTTTAAAGAATAACATTTTCAATACAAATTTTGATCGAGCTACCACCACCCACCACCCACCACCCCCCCCCCCCCCCCCCCCCATGCACCCACTATCTTCTCCACCCAAGAACCCACACCTTCAATCATAAAGCGACATCCCTGGCAGGGAGCTGCAACATATAGCAATATCAACTAAACAGCACCTGTATCCCAGGATGTGATCTGCCGCTTCATATAATCCGAGTAAGTGAGCCACAGTTCAGTGTAGGCGGAACCCGAACTAAATCCACATGTGAGTGCCTTTTGGAAAACAACTAACAAAACAAATTTGATTAGGCAGTAAAATTTTGGGAATGCTTTATAAAAAGAGTCATCAAACAGTGGCAATAGGAAAGAATTCAACATCGATTCAATATTTTCTGCCTCAGAACAGCGAATTTAAAATATCCTAGAAATTCCAATGATAAAACAGTAAAATGAAGTCACACGCAAAACAGTGGGCGATAGAAAAATGATAACGCGACTATGATGATACAAAAACTAGCACATAAGCAGCTACTAGGCAATATTCATGCCTTCAAATTAAATTCAAGTCGTGATATGTTGAGAAAGTGGAGTTTTGACTGCGGTTTGAATGCACAAACCAGAACACCTTCCACTGTTAAGGAAACTGATGCACGTTTTAGTAAACAATGCACAATTAATGACCGTCATGAATGATTTAATACAACTATCAATAGATTGGTGAGTAAAACTATCTCAAGAATAAACTATATTAGTCATGGTGAACAGTATCATAAACAAAGATAAAAGGAAGTATCATGATGAACGTACCATTTAAATTTTGGCAACAATGGTTTATACAAAGAAAGACCCTAAACGAAGTTGACTAAAAGAATAGGGGCAATTTACAAAACTAAAGTACATAATTCACCTTTTACATCAGATGGTTCCCTGTTCTCTTTCTCCTAATATAAATAAAATCGAAATGGGTGAGTGCAAGGGTAAAAAAGGAGACGGAACATCAAATAATACACATATCATTTAATATTACTTAGAAATATAGTAATGCTCAAAAAATATAATAGATATTATTAGGTAATAGGTAACAAGTAAAATATATGTATAAATTACAACCTAGTTATTCTCTCATTCGTATGCAGCTATGTTGACTGGAATAAGACAGAGTCATTGAAGGCAAAATGAAAAGGATAGCTGCTAGAAGAGAAAGGACAAAAAAGTTTTGGCAAAATTAGGGTGTGTGGATGTTTTTAGAAATGTTTGCTGCAACGAATCAAGAAGTTGAGCGAATTGCACAGACAAAAAATCTTTTTATCTTTACAAAAAGAGAAGATTGTTAGAAGATTAGATTGGTTTTGGGTCTAAAGCAGGGTTCGAACAAACTTGGCTTATGAGCCATGGCATTAGAAACCAATATTTGTGATCAAGAAAACTATTTACATAATTGTTAATCAAACTTTCACATAAGTTCATTTTCTAATAGCTCATGCATTCTTTCAAGCTTTTTAAGGCGCTGGAAGGTACACAAATAACTAAAACTAACGATTCGTAGACCGGGATGTAGCGTCTAAAGGTTAAATACAGACACAAAAATTTAACAACCCAGGACCCTTGTAATCAGGCGAAAGAAAGCCAAAATACTTACCATCGCCTTGATATAATTAACCCAGAGTTTGCCAACCCACGGACAATTCCTGGTTGCTCTTTCATGAACAGGTAATGCAACTGATGCCACTTTAAGCTTCTTGTCCTGCAAAAAATCAGATGACAGGACACCGTATGTAATCAATTGACAGTGACATGTGGGTATACAGCCATGGGAATACAATTATATAAGAGAATCGCTAAACATGCCAGTTTCCTAGCCCGAAATCTATACAACCCGGCCATGTTTTTATTACATTTATCAAGAAAGATTTTAGAGGTACTGTTTAGTGAGAAGATGTACTCTTTTCCGGACGGGATGCACATACCAAGTATTCAGTGTATTCAATCCATAAGCTCGGGTCCAGGCAGTTATCCTTTATGGCTCTTTCGTAAATACATTGGACTCTGGCAGGATCACCGTCCTTCATTTCAAGAGCAATGTAATCTCGATACTCGGCTAACTTGGGCTTCAATGCTTTGCTCTAAAGGAGAAAAAAATTTGCCTAAGACTGAACATAAGAAAATATGAAAGACTAATAATGCTTGAAACTGTAAGGTCAAGAAAAAATGTCGAGTGTTTTCCATTCTGAAAATGCTTTGCCTGGATAGCCTTCACTATAATCTAAAAAATCTTTGCTCAAAGTTCTTTGAGATATGAAGGAGCTTGGATTGAATATAGGACCAAATGAAGCAATCCCAGTGTAATACGGCAAATAGTTCCGGCAAAGTAAAATGGATATCATACAACCTTAGGCCCACAAAGCTTTGCATCTAGCACAGGCAATCCAATCAGATACCCCGTGGCAAAGATATTAAAGATGTCTTGGAGGAGGAAAACTATATTTTGGGGCTTTGACGTGACGAGTTTTAGGAAGTAGAATGAAATTGAAATCTCTGGGTAACAATGCAATGTTTGGATTGATTATTTGGATTGATACGATGTTTCACAAAGCTAGATTCTTTTGTTGCATTAGAAAGATATGCCCACCATTCATCTTCATACCATTAGATTGCAGAAAAGCATAGTTTTTACTAGCGCTGAGGTCTACGAACGAATGACGTCATTCCACAAAATTATTTTCTGCTCTAGGATATGGACAATGTTACTTACAAGTGCATCCTCTAAGGGCATACATTTTTCTAGTTTTGCCAACGCCTTCTGGTATGCTTTGTCCACTGTATCTGGGATCGGGTTCGAGGTCCAGTCTTCATATTCTTGCATTGTCTGTTCCATGCCTAAGTAGCATTGAAAACAACAAGAAGAAAATAGCAACCTTAAATTTGCGCCATTGTAATCATCCTAAAAACTGCATTTTTTGTTTGTATTTTCAATAACATCAGAGATTTTTGACAAAAAGTGACAGACTTATCTTAGAAACCTTTAGGAGACTTAAAACGTCTTGGATTAAACAACTTTCATTCAAGCATTGCCTATAATGGCTTCTCCTGATTAGCAAACAAAATTGCTGCCACTGATAAAGATTCATCAACAAAATAGAGAGCGAAAAATTAATGTTTATTAAAGAATTGTTCTTACCAAACAGCGGTACTGCAAGCTGCCTCTTAAAGAGAACTTCCACTCGAGCTATCTGCTCCTCACTAGAAAGTTAGAGAACACACTTACTTTCAAGGTTCTCACATTTTAAGATTGACCAAATTCAACTGCCTAACAACAACGCTCTGTTTGCAATGGCATGTAAAGGAACTGATCTACTAAATGAGAGAGCGTTCGTATTTTCTTTATTATTATCAAAGCTTAATCAATAAAAGATAAAATTTGAAATAACATTATTTTGATTAGATAAGACATCTCACATTCTTTGCAGCGATGTTCCCGCGTTCTCAATGCCATGTAGTTGCTAGATATTAAGAAAACAAGAGTAAAAAACTCTATGACTTCAGTCGGCATAATTGTTATTAGGAACATAACAATAAAATTTCTAAAACAAAGGTGGTACAAGGTTGCAAAGACCATTTTGAATAACCACGAACATGCATTCTGATAAAAGAATATATAACAAAATAGAGTGAAATTTTACAATTACATTGTTTATATAAGATTGGTAAATCATCAATGCTGATTGTCAGAAGCTCTATTATGACACATGAACTTATAAAACACATCAATTAATGTTAATTCCTATATGAAATATAAACGCGAAATAGAATTGAAAATACCTGATAAGACTGTAAAATCTCCATCTCAAATTCTCTGTAGCTATCCCATACAGAGGAGCCCTTGTAAAAGAAGCATTAAAGCCTGATAAACTCCAGTACTTGTACAGTTTGTCAAAAAATTGTTGTATATCTAAATTATAATTCACTGCAATTTTCTATTTTGGCTTGCAGATTGATTGTGGCTTTTTTCCTTAGATGGAAAATATCTGAAACCAAATCCCTTCAATTTTGCAATTCTCTCTATAAGGTGTGTCAGAAATAGTACACCATCTTTGGCCTGACAACTGAAAAGGACTTGGAAATGCACAAAAACATAATTCTTACTTCAGTTAGATGCAAACCAACAGCTGTCACTGCTTTTTCATACAGTTTTCGCACATTATCAATTCCATTTGCACTTTGAATCCCATCCATAGCAACTTGACAGTACTCTATCCAGACACGAACACCTGGAAATATAGCCAGAGACCTAACATAGGGTCCAATACATGCTGACATTCTGAGATACGCATTGTTGTTGCAAAGGGCAAAGAAAAGAGTTTGCGATTGAAGATAGTTTTGAACTGACAGTTGTTCATCCCTAGTTTAATCTAACCAACTGTAGAAGAAAAGAAAGTGTACAAGACAAAGAATGGTTTATCTTGTGTGCTACTTTGAAGTCATCTAAGCAGATATCAGACTTCTACATGTAACTACGGCAGCTAAAAACCAGTTACTTCAAAGCACCTACAGCAATGTCATTATCATTACATTCTTCCTCTTTTATTTTAATCAATGATCAATATTTACTTTGATAATCCTTGACAGCCTTTTGAAGCAGTGATTCCATGTAGTTTCTTTGAGCTGGTAATGATGCTAACGGCTTTTCATCATTTATCCATTCTAACCAAAGCTCTTGAGATAAATAAACAAAGGCAAGAAAATGCAACATGGTAAGAAAAGCCCTTACATCTTTGAATGAAAATAGTGATGTTGCAGCTGCAAAATTCAATTTGATGAAGTATAAAACAACACCAAGAGATGAAAACCAACATTAGAGACTTATACTTTATTCAATTCAATTCAATTCAATTCAATTTCATTGACAAATATATCTAAATACATTTCAATACAGAAATAAAAATAATCAACATGACATTGCAATAGTATCCACACAAACAAAGCATGAATTACTGTTCTTTTGCTGCAGGAAGAATAACAGTATTTACATGTATAAATATTAGAAAAAAGGCAAAGATCCCTTGCAACGCATACATCTTTACAGGACTTTGGCAACACAAGATGATCAAGTGAGTAGCTAACTCTTACTATAAAACAGCAAGTGCAACATATGTGTAACTTTTACATCAGTTTGCATTTGGATATGAAAACTTTAATAGCAGGCATTTCAAGCAGCGTTACCTTCTGTCAAAGGAAAGATTTCAGACATGCACTCTCTTGCTTTACGTGTAGCATCAAGATCCCCGGATAACCGTAATGCTTTAATGAGACTAATGTGGCCATCATATTGAAATGGGTTTGCTGTGACCTGAAACACAGCAATCACTGAATGCTGACCAAATTAATGTCTTACTTAAACATTCAATTTTAAAACTTCATTGCATGACAATGTATGAGGCACAGCACATTTTAGCTAATTTAGATGCAGAATGCAAGAGCAGTCATTTCTTGATTCAATGAATTACTACATTTTGCATAATATAGAGTTCTGCACAATCTATCTGGGTTGTCTAAAAGGTGTTCTCTGATGGCATTCCTTCCAACATAAGAAAAAAAGCCCCTCAAAGAAAACAGCCTCCCTGATCTTGTAGGTCTAAAAACACAGTTAAAACTAGTGACTCTGTCATCAGACAGCACATTTTGTATATTATTTGAACTAGGTGCCAATCAAAGTGATATAAAAAGAAACAATGACATAATTGACTTCTTCTTATTTTTGACCAGTCATAAACAACTAGTCCCTTGCAGGGATCAAGAAACAGAGAGAAAGAAGACCAGTTCTTTCAGTCCTAACAAGTTGAGGTCTTCTCTTTTTTTTGTACTTAGAAATATGACCTTGCCTGCTGGTTGATTTTACAATTATCAATTTCCGTATGTTTTGGTGTACTCTGAATTTTAGAGCAAATACATCAACAAATAGCTGTTTACCTTTGGAAACTATCATGTGCATGATTATAATCCTTTGAATGCAATCCCTTTGAACAGATGTTATCTTTTCAAGACAACTTGAGGCTTCCAAGAGGAAAAATCTACTGTTCTTTTTTCAATTTGATTTTGAAATTATGACAAAACATTGCAAACCCAATAAACTCTTAATAGATACAAAACCCTAATCAGATTGAACTTCTTCTGTACACTTTATATAATTTTTCAACTTTTTGGTCATTATCAGGCATTTAGAGTGTTGAAAAAATTGACATTTTCCAGCAAAAGAGTTGAAGCACTTGAAAATAATTTCTTTATCCAAAATATTCCTGGAAAAAACACCCTTAAAACTTTCCAAATCAGAGTACAGATGAAATATAGAATAGCCAACTAAAATGGAGGCATTACACATAAAGAGCCAGAGACAAAGATAACACATTTTGTGTGCTCTTAAATTGCATTCCAATTAATTCATAGTAATTAAATTATTGCTTTTTTACATGCAAACATTTGAACAGAGCATAGACTGATTGTCAGAATGTGAAATTATATGTGACTATATGAATATGTCCTATTATCTCCCCCCATAGTTATACAGGGCCTTTAAACCACCTGCAATAGGTACCCTGATTCCAGAATTTCTGCCCAATTTTTAGCCTGATTCCAGAACATCGGTTCCCAAATCCCTGTTTTCTAAAAACCCTGTTTTTCAAAACCCCAGTCACAAAAATGTGCCAATTTCTGACTCCAAAAATAAAAATTCCAGCTTCCCCAAAAAACATATCAAGTCCCCTCAAAAAGGTTTTCGAGTAGCAAGATATCAAAAGTGCTAGATAGTGGGCAGCTTGTATTGAGATTATGAACTGACTAATGGTTCTAAAGAGTGTAAACAACATCAGAAGCAAAATTGGCAGAAATTAATATGTTAGGTCCTATTACAGATCCCACCGGGGGGACAGGAAGCACAAAACAGAGGAAAAATACTTATGTGAAGCTCTCAGAGGTACCCCTATTATATTAAAAGTACCCCCACCCCCGCCCCAACTTATGAAATGCTTCCTATTCACATGTCTATAGATGGCCTAGAAATGTCCTTCAGAACACATACGAAAATGACTTAAAGAGTTAGAGTTGATACAAGTAAAATATATATCACTTGATTCTCTTACCTATGAGCTAGTAATAAATGTATAAACTGCATGTTCACCTTTTCTGGTTAGGCAGCGGGAGATAAGAGTTGTTAATGTACAACCACACTGCTGATGTGCTAGCAAGACTAAGATCAGGGGTAGTTACACGGGAAAAAAAGTGACTCACAGACTCTTGAAGATTTTGAATTTCTTCGTCATATCTATTGTTGCTTTCATCAGAATCTGAAGAATCTGAGCTTTCCTCGTTCATTTCCATTGAGCCATCAACATCGTCAGAACCCAACACTCCACTTTCCTCCATTTTGGCGAGACGGATAAATGTTGTTGCAGTTGTGGGAACTTTTCGTGTAGGGGAATGTCCTATGTCATAGGTTCGAGTTCTCTCAAAAGTTTCGAACATCAGCCAGAAAAGTAAGGCACTACATGGCCAGAGGGTACATAAACCCCTAATTTTTTTACTAAATACATGATTTGAATTTGGCCAGATTTTTCAGAATGGTAAGCTTGTAGATTACAAAAATACGCTGAACCAAAATCAACAAGTAAAACAGAGTCAGCCTAATTTTTGCCAAAAACTGCACTAGGGCAGGGGCGTGGGAGAGGGTAAAAGTAAAGACAGAGATGCTTCTTGTTTTGGGGGCCATTCCTTATAAATGAGAATGACAATAGCCATTCTTAATCATAGAAAATAATTTACTCATGCTACATGGGATCCGATGCAGGTTGAAAAGTGAGGGGGGGCAAGGGAGATTTTAACAAACATAACTAAAGATCATAAAAAAAGCTCTATTGCTTTCCAAAAAAGTGGAGGGGCTATGCCTCCCCCGGGCCCCCTTCATCGGAGGCCCTGTGCTACTACCTTGTTGGGGGGACCCTGTATCTCGGTTCTTTGGTAAATGGACAGTTTCTTTACATTGCTCCAGAATTGCAGAATTGTTTGAGAATCTACAATTAAAGCAAACGGCCAAGTGCATTGGGAGAGGGATGCCTGGGGTAAGAAGCCCCAGAAACCTCATCCTTAGGGGGCCCGTGAATGTGTGATTCCTATAAAGGGTAGTGTCTATATTTCTTAAAAGTTACTCCTGCCTGAGATGGCTCTGGTCATCACGATAGAAAAAGCGAGTCTTACTCAAAAATTATCTATGTTCATTATTGGATAAGTAGGCCCGTTTAAATGTCCCAGTTTTTTAGAATCAACAATGATTTAAAGGATTAGTGAAGGTAAAGTTTCTGGAGTTAAACATAATCTTCAAAGATATTAAATGCTGCAAATGTCATATATTCAATAAAATGTCTACAGGCAGCAGCTCAATCTGTAGATTGCAGAGAGCATTTGGACATTTTGCTCGTTGACGGAATCAACTGACACGAGGCTGCTGGAACTCAATAATACCACCTTTCCATTTTCAATTATTTCATTCCATTCGTGTTGCGTCAAATACACCAATTCCGAATAATTCTTTCCAAACAGTCTAACCAGCTTCTGGGATTTAGTTAAACCATAAAGCTCCATGTTTGTGTTATCGAAAAATGTAACATTGGTGATGATTTTGCTCAAAGGCTGCCATGAATTTGTCGATACGTTGCCAAAATAACAGTTTTGACCATTTCTCCGGATGAATTCGCTGTACCTGACACACACGAATAATATAGACGCATTTTTGTCGTATATCCTCGTTATGACGTCATTCACAACTCGCTTTGTTTCATTATATGAGAAATTGAAACTGTAGAATCTCTCCGTCGTCAGTATTATAATCTCAATGCTAGAACTATTTTCATTTCGACAATCTTTACGAGGACAGAAGTAAGCTTTTTCAAGGAGAATCTCACCTTTGTAGATTCTTCCTTTTTTCTGTTTCCATTTTGACAAGTTCTCTATGCTTATGGCGAAAATTATTGTTCTGTTATCACCAAGGAAAAGTTCGGGTATCCAAATGCTTCTCGACTTTCCAGAATCGAACGTATCAACATCTCCAAATGACGATTCTACACCAGTAACATTGACAACTGTCATGAATTCCGGTACAGTAAGTCTTATGTTTACCTTATAAGCTCTAGAAACCGACATGTTGTATTTGTGGGACACTTGCACTTTAAAGGTTACGTTTTCCCCAACAAAGAAACGTCGTTTCTCCATAATTTCTCCTTGGTAAAGTAGAGAGGCACTTTCGTTGCCATGCCTCAGGATCTCCATGTCTCTTTCAAAGGTTCTTATGTACTCGTCCATAAACATCACGGCTACAAAAAACTTCGTAGCAAATGGGGAACCAATCTGTATCTTATCGTTGTCATAAGCACGAGCTGAAATTTCAATCGTCGCATCAGACAATAGATTTTTTATGGTTCCAGTGATGCTATGGGCATGTCCACTCTTGGTGAATAACCTTTTCTTGCTGATCGTGCCATTTGTTTTGCAAGTTGTTGAAACGATAGAGATATCTTCAAAGTAGATTAAAGGATGTCCATTCATGGTAGGGACTTTGGCTGTTATGAACAATGGTCTCAAAGCCGATGTATAGAACCCTTTCAGTTTCAAAGAATGTTTAACAGCCTGTCCTATGGAAACCGTTCTCTCCTGACCAACCCTTGTCAAGACTGCATCCATACCTTTGAAACAAGGTGGTGATGCCCTCAAATCATCAAAAAGCGTATGTCCCCAATGTGCGGGCGATGAGTCAACCATCTTAACACTGGCACATTTGCCTATATAGGTTGATACGTCCCACCAGTACCTTCCCATGCGCACTGTCCCTGTTGATGATGTTTTAGCCACACTTTTCCCTGAGCTTTGAAATCTTTCAACTCCATCAATCACTAATCCAACATAATTGTTAGGGTGTGAACCCCCTCCAACTGTGAAATGCAGCATATTTGTTCGTATCTGAAACAATGGTGATATTGCTATTCCGACCGGGGAATCACCAATCGTTGCATTTTGGTTCGATGTAAAAGTATCTATGCATCGTTTTCCAACTTTGCCTATTGCTCCCACAACTGAGCTTTGGCTGAATGTCGGTTGCATCTCGAAAACGGTTCCAGTTTTTTCCCATTCGGAAAGGTCGTTGTCTTCAAAGTCGAAAATCGGGCAACCAGTCAGAACGTATATATTCCCATCTGTGCCAAGTGCATAAGCTTTCTTGTCAGTTACTGCTACATCTTTGAAAGCCTGTTGTTGATAGCCGCGTCGTTCCCAAGTAAACTTAATGAAATTGCTGTCGTATACGTTGACCGCTTCCCATATGAATCCGTTTGTGTCTAGTTTCCAGAGTGTCTTCTCTCCATAGGCAGATATGTCTTTGACATTCGGATATATATAAATCCAAGGTGCAGTCCAAGAGGGAGGATTCGCATCATCCATAAGACCAGTAGTGTAAAGATGACGATAGCTGTTAACACAAAAACAAACTTTTCTTGCACACGATTCCTTAATCAAACCACTGCCCGATACACCCAGCCAACCACTTCCAGAATGTGACGATGACGTTATTCCACTCCTTTTATATACCAATGTGGCAGCGTTATGCCCTAAGACCAGGCCATAACGTCCAGTAGTTATTCCTTTTAGCAATCCGTCTGTCTGAACCCATCCTGTACCTAACATATTGGTGGATGACACGCCGGCCCTAAAAAATATCTGTGAATAAATGTTAGTTATCCAAATTCCATAATCATCATTGGCATCAACATCAATGACGTCGCTCATCATTTTAACGAATCCCCCATCGTCATGAAGGGACTTGAGTCCCTTTGCAATGTCTATTTGGTACAAGGCATGTTTACTTGTAGCAATGACATCTGTTGATCCTCCTCTGTTAATCCTTTGCCACAAATCTTGGGAACTTCCAGAAAATCCTGCCAAAAGTAACACCGAGAGCAAGCATAAAAACAACATAGTGCTCTCACTTGGCTGGTTTCCTTTCTATTTATCGGAATGTTTAATGTCGCTGCCTCAAAGTAAATGCTGTTTAGTTTCTGTTGAGGGTTGGTGTATTTTTATGGTTTACTATGATGAAGCTTAATCAAACTAATATCCTTGCCAATCTGCATTTCTGGTCCTGTTCATCTGTTTGACACAACTCTCTTTAAGTCGTGAAAGCTACGAGAGATCTGCTGCATTGCATGCCCCAGGCGAAGGCTTAAAATGTTCATTGTCGATTCTATTTATTCAATCAAATTCAAAAAATGCATTAACAAAATTTTGTTGATATAACAACTGTTTCTTTGCCACCAGTCTCAACATTCAATGTTTTTTAATACCTGATTGTTGCTTGCCCAGATATGTATTCAATAGCAATTGTTAAACATTTAAAAATTTAAACAGCCACATAATTAATGTATCGGAGGACTTTGATGAGAAATCGCTACAACGCGACATATATTCTGAAGACGTTATGCTGGATAGTAATATTGGTTCATTCTTTTCTTGGTGAATCCGCTTTTCTCTTAAAAGCCCCCATCCTGAGATGCAAATTAACAAAGAAAGAACTAACATCAAGAGTGAACCCAAGCCCTCTTCCCCCACAAAGAGACCCGGAGGAAACCAGGGACGCCGGAACGACCAAGGGGCAAGGGGGCAAGCTTGAGTAAAAGGGCCTTTGAAAGACAACTCCCAGCTTCTACTAATTCCTTCTACTAACTGCCGTTTTATTTCGATCTTCTGTAGGTATTTGAAAAATTGGCTAACTTTCAGCATAAGGATTTATTTTACAAATTCTAAGAAATGTCGTCATGAATTGAGCACTGCAATCAGAATTTCATATGAACCTCTCTGATTATTACATTTGGTCGGTTTCGAAGGTACTTTAATCAATAGGGCATTCTGACCCTTCTTGCCCCTCCTATAACAATAATAATAATAATATAGAAATAACGAATAATTTGTTAAAAGTTGGCGTACTAAATGAACGTCTAATAGCTATAAAGAAGCTAATTAAGGCCAACTGTCTATAAAGAACTAGTATTAAATAAATATATGATACAATATTAAAAATGTTTATGGTATAATGCTCTAAATAAAACCTGCAGAAGTGTGCAAAAAAAATGTGCAAAAGCACTCGCACTCCTACATTAATCGATATTCTTGTTTTATATCTTTGGACAACCAGATCATTTTTGAGTGTTCTCATTCTTATTATTTACATTCTCCATCCTAAAAATTTTTACCATAAGATGAGCACATACCTGTCAAGCTACTGTGTTGTTTTGCAGTGACGTAGATAGGATATTTCATAAAAGGTGCGAAAAACTGAAATTTACCGACAAAACATCTAGCAAACAATTTTAATTTTTTCATAGATTTTCATAACATAATTAAATTAGAACTAAAATAAAACAGACGATGAAATCTAATCATTTACTGGAAGTCAATTGTCATTAATCATATTAACTGAATTGAATTTGAATTGAATTTTATAGTCTTCTCCTCTAAAAAAAGCATTTTAAGTACCATATTTTATCAATAGAGACTGCCGATTTGATTCAGAATAACTGAAAAATTAGCTATATTAGGCTATGTTCATATTGCTCCGTATTCGTTTTTATCCGTTTTCATATTGATCCGTTTTACCTTTTCACACTTGTTGTGTATGCGCGCGCTATGCCTAAGATCCGCTGCGACCTAACGCTAGACCTAGAAAGCACACGAGACAAGACGCCATGTTTTCACTCCGACCCTGATTTAATCTAATCTATCAACTCCAATCCGAGGCTAGTATAAAATGGTTCATGCCTAATACATTACAACACTGCTCCGGATACAGTCTGAAAACGGTATGAAAACGATGAAGCGTTAACATTGCTCCGCTCTGGACGAAAAGGAAAACGCCACGAAAACGTGACAACAAACGTGGTTTGGCTGCTAATAAACTTTCCAAACAACTCACTGCCACTGATATTCCTCCGATCAGTTTACTAACTTCGAGTGAATCAGCCATGTTTAGAGCCGTTGTTGTTAGCGTTTTCAAAAGTATCCGTTTTCGGTGTGCACATTGCATTTTGCGTTTCCAAAAACGCTCTGTTTTCAAAAGTCTCCGTTTTCGCAGCAGTCTGGTTACTTTTTATACGTTTTTACTTGAACCCGGTTTCTTTTTATGTTTCCATTTCAATCCGGAGCAATGTGAACGGGGCCTTCGCCTTTAAGATCTTTCCTCTCGAGTGTAACACTCAGGTAAAAAGAGGCAAGCATTTTATATTTCCGAGAAGATCAGAAATTTTCGGAAAAAATAACTATTTGCTTTTAGGGGGTTGTTCCCACTGGTGTCTTGTTTTTTATTTGCTTCAAAAAATGCGGAATGAAGACCTAATTTAAATAACAAAATACATGATTAAATGTTTTGTTATTTTCTTTCTTCGGCGTTACATATGATTAAGTGTTTTGCTATTCAGTATTACGTACCTCTTTCAGCTTAAAATTTCAATATTTTTGGGAATATTTCAACTTTTGCATCCTTCAACAGATTCTTCAACTTTTTAACTTGCACTAACTGCTTTGCGAAGTGATCTGGTTCACTCAGGACAGTTTGCTATCAATCAAAGCATCAAGACATTCAGATTTGCTTGCGTAGTCACGGTTTACTGAAGGCTTCAGATAATTCATCAACATATATCGAGAGCAATCTAGGTCCAAGAACTGAGCCCTGCGGCACATCGTACCTACTTATCTCTTAGTGAATTTTTTTTCTTCAATTACGGACCTTTCTCACATTGAGCATGACAAAAAGGTTGTTATTTCAATAGCGGCACACGATGATGATAATGCTGGAAGTTGTCAATTGAGTAAATAGACGATTTTAGATAATCAAAAGAACTTTAAGGAATAGTTTCGTTTTACTTTCTACTACCCAGATATTACTTTAATATTATTACTATAATTACTTTCAATATTCCCATCAATGTCTTTTATTTTTCTTCTACTTTCTATCTTTTACTACCATTGTTATTATTATTAATATTATTTAATATTATAATAACTTATTATTATTCTCACCAATGCCCACTCTCATAACACATTCATTCCACCACCACCAACCACACTCTCGCACTCGCCACCCTTCCCTCTGCCACTTTCATAACGTGTTTCTTCTCTGCTGCGCTGCATTTACCCTATTCCACATCCACCAATCCGACTCACTATCGCCACTTTGAATGTGTACACTTTTCAGTCCGTTTACATTTGCTCTGGTGAAGCCCCGTAGGCCGGGGTGTAATATTAGCCATGACTGATTTACTCGTGTCTGTTGTTGCTTACTCTCTGCGCGCTGCCGACTTTCTTATTTACTACATTACAACATTACCCCTTCCTCTTTCTTTAATAGTGATCCAAATTTGAATATTTTTATGTTCTTTTTACATTAAAAAGGCTTTATTCTGTCCTTTGGTTTTTTTTGCTTTACTGGACTTTACTTTTATTGGTATCAGCTTTTTGTTAGTTGAAGAGTTATCTCAACTCAATTATTCGTTAAATGAAATAAGGCCCGCATATCAAAAGAAACTTCCACGCCTATATCAAAAGAAAATTTTTGGACCAGAATATGTTGCTTATACACCAGTTACTGCATTTCATGTTCGCAATCTACTTCTATTCATCAATTCATTCCTTGCAAAACAAACACCTGAAACTATGAAGCAATTATAAAGGCAATTATCATCAATCTGTTAAAACAGTGTGAGCTGAATTGAAAAGTAAATTGCTTGCTATCTTCATTGGTAAATATATTAATCATCTTAATCATTAACAAAACAAATGTTCTCCTGGAGCCTTGAATCGTTAATGCACCCAAATGAAATCAACCAGTAAAAACACAATGAACAGCGCATGGAGTGGTTTTGGTAGCCATAGGAGAGAGTAATTTGAATTGTATTATGGCAATTGAAGGGTACTTATATCCTTTGCCCACATAGAATAACAAGTGACCAGAATTCTGGAAGTCATTTGTAGCTTGATGCTGCCATGGTTAGTTTGATTGCTGCCCTATTTGACTGATACTCAAATTGAAACTTGGTGTATTGCTAGCATCGAAATCACTCAAAAGAGCGATGTTGTTTCCGAGGGTCTTCATCCAGCTGCAACTGATAGTTCTTGCAACGAGTGATCACGATTTGTGGCAAAAGATTAACAAAGGAGGATCAGCAAATGTGATTGCTACAAGTAAACATGCCTTGTACCAAATAAACATTGCAAAGGAACTCAAGTCCCTTCACAAAGAAGAGGGATTCCTTACAATGACACACAGCGTCATTGATGTTGATGCCAATGATGATTATGGAATTTGGATAACTAACATTTATTCACATATATTTTTTAGGGCCGGCGTGTCATCCACCAATATGTTAGGTACAGGATGGGTTCACAAAGACGGATTACTAAAAGGAATAACTACTGGACGTTATGGCCTAGTCTTTGGGCACAACCAATATACATATATATTTAAAAGAGGTGGAATCACGTCCTCTGTTCCTACAGGAACATATTGGCATTTATTAACAGGTTTCAATGTGATTGATGAATCATGCTCAAGAAAAGTTTGTTTTTGTGTTAACAGCTTTCATAAACTATTCACTACTGGTCTTATGGAAAATACGGATTCCCCCTCATGGACTGGCCCTTGGATATATATATATCCGAATGTCAAAGACATCTCTGCCTATGGAGAGAAGACACTCTGGAAACTAGACACAAACGGATTCATATGGGAAGCGGTCAACGTATACGACAGCAATTTCATTAAGTTGACTTGGGAACGTCGCGGCTATCAACATCAGACTTTCAAAGATGTAGCAGTAACTGACAAGAAAGCTTATGCAGTTGGCACAGATGGGAATATATACGTTCTGACTGGTTGCCCGATTTTTGACTTTGAAGACAACGACCTTTCCGAATGGGAAAAAACTGGAACCGTTTTCGAGATGCAACCGACATTCAGCCAAAGCACAGTTGTGGGAGCAATAGGCAAAGTTGGAAAACGATGCATAGATACTTTAACATCGAACCAAAATGCAACGATTGGTGATCCCCCGGTCGGAACAGCAATATCACCATTGTTTCAGATACGAACAAATATGCTGCATTTCACAGTTGGAGGGGGTTCACACCCTAACAATTATGTTGGATTAGTGATTGATGGAGTTGAAAGATTTCAATGCTCAGGGGAAAGTGTGGCTAAAGCATCAGCAACAGGGACAGTGCGCATGGGAAGGTACTGGTGGGACGTATCAGCCTATATAGGCAAATGTGCCAGTGTTAAGTTGGTTGACTCATCGTCCGCAAATTGGGGACATACGCTTTTTGACGATTTGAGGGCATCACCACCTTGTTTCAAAGGTATGGATGCAGTTTTGACAAGGGTTGGTCACGAGAGAACGGTTTCCATAGGACAGGCTGTTAAACATTCTTTGAAACTGAAAGGGTTCTATACATCGGCTTTGAGACCATTGTTCATAACAGCCAAAGTCCCTACCATGAATGGACATCCTTTAATCTACTTTGAAGATATCTCTATCGTTTCAACAACTTGCAAAACAAATACCCAAATGGAGGTGGACATGACTGTAACAGACAGTGGACACGCCTATAGCATTACAGGAAACATAACAAATCTATTGTCTGATGCGACGATTGAAATTTTAGCTCGTGCTTATGACAACGATAAGTTACAGATTGGTTCCCCATTTGCTACGAAGTTCTTTGTAACTGTGATGTTTACAAACGAGTATATCAGAACCTTTGAAAGAGACATGGAGATCCTGAGGCATGGCAATGAAAGTGCCTCTCTAGTTTATCAAGGAGAAATTATGGAGAAAAGACGTTTCTTTGTTGGGGAAAACGTAACCTTTAAAGTGCAAGTGTCCCACAACTACAGTGTCTCTCTCTCTAATGCTTACAAGGTCAATATAAGACTAATTGTACCAGAAATCCTTACAATTATCGAAGTCAATGGATTGCAAACAAGCTCAGGAGATATTGCCACATCAGATTCCAAAGGGTCTAAACAAATCTTTTTGCAACAACTTCTTCTCGGCAATACACGAAATATTGTTCTTGTCGTGACGATAAAGAATTTGCCAAAATGGACACAGTGTAAAAGAAAGTTTTGCAATGGTGAGATTTTACTCGACAAAATCTACTTCTGTCCACGCAAGGATTGTCGCAACGGGAGCAACACTGGCACAGATATAGAAAGCTTGGCAACTCCGAAGTTTTTCGATTTCAAGTTTTCTTACAACAAAACAAGCAGAGTGATTGATGATGTTTTTACCGAAGTATATGAGAGAAATACATCGGCCCTGTTCATCTGTATGAGGTACAATGAACTTATCCCGCAAAATGGCCGTCAGTGTTATTTCGGCAATTTATCGACAAACTCATGGCAACCTCTAAGCCAATTTATTACAAACCTAACATATTTTGACAACATCAGACAGGAGCTGTATGGCTTGACTAGATCTCTGAAGGCAGTAAAGATGTTTGGGGAAGATTTCTCACAAACTAATTTTTTGTCATCTTCACAGTGGAATGAGTTAGCTGGAAGTGTGGCAGGGAAGTTTTTGAAAGCAAGCAACGTAGGGTCTGATGATTCTGTAAATACACACGGTTTGCAAATGTACCATTCGCTTTTTAGATGGCGTTGTTGCATATAGAACTCTTTTCAACAGCGAAACTTTTGTTAATAGTTGATGTACCGTCTATTCTCTTGTAAATGTATATACATGTGTAAGCAGGACGAAGCGTATTCCGCGATGAAACCATGTGGATAGTATTTGCCTTTTGCTATCTATTCTTTCATTCTATTTATTCGTTGAATCTATTTATTCTTAATATCCCACATGTCAATTTCTTTCTGGTAACAACACTAATATTTTATAATTGACAATATTCGCCTATTGGTTTTTTATTTTTTGTTACATCCCTAATATCGACATGTCAATTTCTTTCTGGTAACAACACTAATATTTTATAATTGACAATATTCGCCTATTGCTTTTTTATTTTTTGTTACATCCCTAATATCGACATGTCAATTTCTTTCTGATATCAGCACTAATATTTTATTATTGACAACATTTGCCTATTTTTTTACTTTTCGTTCCACCCCTTATATCTCAAACGTTAATTTCTGTCTGATATCAACACTAATATTCTATTATTGAAAATATTTACCCACTGTTTTTTCATTTTTTGTTCAAGCACTAATATCCGACATGTCAATTTCTTTCTGGTAACAACACTAATATTTTATAATTGACAATATTCGCCTATTGCTTTTTTATTTTTTGTTACATCCCTAATATCGACATGTCAATTTCTTTCTGGTAACAACACTAATATTTTATAATTGACAATATTCGCCTATTGCTTTTTTATTTTTTGTTACATCCCTAATATCGACATGTCAATTTCTTTCTGGTAACAACACTAATATTTTATAATTGAAAATATTCGCCTATTGCTTTTTTATTTTTTGTTACATCCCTAATATCCGACATGTCAATTTCTTTCTGGTAACAACACTAATATTTTATAATTGACAATATTCGCCTATTGCTTTTTTATTTTTTGTTACATCCCTAATATCGACATGTCAATTTCTTTCTTGTAACAACACTAATATTTTATAATTGACAATATTCGCCTATTGGTTTTTTATTTTTTGTTACATCCCTAATATCGACATGTCAATTTCTTTCTGGTAACAACACTAATATTTTATAATTGAAAATATTCGCCTATTGGTTTTTTATTTTTTGTTACATCCCTAATATCGACATGTCAATTTCTTTCTGGTAACAACACTAATATTTTATAATTGACAATATTCGCCTATTGCTTTTTTATTTTTTGTTACATCCCTAATATCCGACATGTCAATTTCTTTCTGGTAACAACACTAATATTTTATAATTGACAATATTCGCCTATTGGTTTTTTATTTTTTGTTACATCCCTAATATCGACATGTCAATTTCTTTCTGGTAACAACACTAATATTTTATAATTGAAAATATTCGCCTATTGCTTTTTTATTTTTTGTTACATCCCTAATATCCGACATGTCAATTTCTTTCTGGTAACAACACTAATATTTTATAATTGACAATATTCGCCTATTGCTTTTTTATTTTTTGTTACATCCCTAATATCGACATGTCAATTTCTTTCTGATAACAACCTGAATGTTTTGTCATTGGCGGTATTCTGATGTCAATCTGAATATTCCACGGAATTATTTTGATAACGATTGGTTTTTAATATCCATTGGTATGATTTTAGACTAATTTTTAATAAACTATTTGACAGTTTATCGAATATTTTTTAAAGGCATTTGACACAGATAAAAATGGCTTACATCTAATCGACCACCAACGGCTGACCAATCGAATTGCGCAGGTAGAAAATCATGTGAACAGTTTCTGTCTTTCTGTAAATCGGCGAAATCCCAGCGCAGCGCACAGTGGTTCAGAAAAGGAGGATGAAGTTATGGCTTCGTCTCCGCCAAATCTTCTTCGTTTTCGTCTTCGTCTTCGTCTTCGTCTTCGTCTTCGTCTTCGTCTTCGTCTTCGTCTTCGTCTTCGTCTTCGTCTTCGTCTTCGTCTTCGTCTTCGTCTTCGTCTTCGTCTTCGTCTTCGTCTTCATCTTCGCCTTTGCCTTCATCTTTGTCTTCATCTCCGCCACATCTTCTTCGTCTTCGTCTTCGTCTTCGTCTTCGTCTTCGTCTTCGTCTTCGTCTTCGTCTTCGTCTTCGTCTTCGTCTTTGTCTTCGTCTTCGTCTTCGTCTTCGTCGGCAAAAAACTTCTCGTTTTGCAAGGGAAGTTTGTCTCAAGGTGGTGTCACACGCCTCCCACCCCCCCCTCCATAGAAACAGCCCCTGACAGCGAGGGGACACGACAGACGTTTGATTCGGATAACTGAAAACCAAACTGATTTTCCAAAAATCATTGTGCGCATACAATTCTAGAAAGTTGAAAATAATTAGTAATTAGAATTAATAAACATTATTCTGTCTTAAAGTTGAGTATATGGTCAGCCTATTGTAATGTAAAAACGTGATAAAAAATTAAGAAATCTTTTTATTATTATCTACACATAATCAATCTTAACGAAAGATTTTTTCATTTCCATGTTGCCTCAAATCCACTGAACACCCATTGAACATGAACAGAAATGAACCTGCAGAGACTTAGGATAAAATCATGTCTGATCGTCAGACAGCAAATGTATTTAAATTGTTTAAGTAAATTCAGGGTGCTTTCATAGATTGGCGACATTCGCTCTAGCGATAGGCACATTTTCTATGCGACTTAACCCGTTCTATTCAGATATCATTGATAATATAGAATTAATTATTATAAAAAACATCAAAGCTACTTATCATAGTCAGATGAAATATAAGTGTTATTAGACAGAATTCATGTTTTTTACCAACAATTGACATTATCTAAAATTATTGTTGATTACTTTGCTCGCTCTACATTATGAAGTTTTCACGTAATCGAAAAAGAGATTCTTCTAGGAGCGCCTCCTCTACCTATAAAATCCTAGAGAACCAATTAGATCTATAATATGCTAGGCGTGTGCATGGGAATACGATGAAGTAACGGAAAATTATCGTCTAAAATTTGTGCGAATTGAGTATAAACTTAGGTCACTTTCATTTGAGTATCATTACAGATTAAGGCATCAAAGGCCACGGGCGACGTACAAAAATTTAATGAAACCTTTATTGTTCTGAGGTAACATCCCCTATCAAATGTTGACACTAACTATGAAAAAGTCATACAGCACCAAGCTTTAACCACTAGGCATACTTGACTACTCTCTGGTATGTCTGAATAGAAAATACAAAAAGTGTATCAAGGTATGTTTTGTGTGCATTACAATTTGGTAACAAAGGTAGAATTACACCAAAGTAGGATCAGTTGATCATTTATTCAAATGGGAAATTTAAGCTGTAATTTGTTGAATTGGTGAGGATCAAGCAATAGCATTTACTAGAGAAAACACAGTTTATGACAGTTATATATACCAAAGATTTGTACTCTTATGTTTTCCAAACGTGGTTTTTCTAGCGAGATACATATTCTGGCTTTTAATGCTTGCAATAATTGAAAAAACATTCATTGATGAAACAAGGTATCACTGAAAGCAATGTAAATATATTCCAAGTACAAAAAATTAAAAAAGAACAAAGAAATCGTTTAAAATCCTTGTTTCTCACTGTCTATTTGTGGTAAAAATATTTTCATTAGTATGCCTTAAATTTTGCTAAGCTTCGATATTCATGAAAGATTTGCGATTCAGAATCTAAAGTTATTCTTACTTTTTTCAAGAAGGAAGTTAAGGCTTCTGTCTATCTTCATCACGAAAGCATAATACGTTTCGAACATTTTCTCCCAATTTTTGTAACATAATTGGTAACTTGTAACAGGTTGATGTCGGGAAACGAAAAGCGGGATTAGTAACTTTTGAGTCATTTGATGAAAACCTTGTCATATATGAGGAACAACAGTGGTCAAACGATTGATCCCTGGGGTAGACCCTATTTTATATTTTGTGAATTAGAGGACTGGCCATCTACTTCAAATGTCCATTCTCTATTAATCAAATTAGATTTCATGACTCCCGGTCAAACCTCGTTTTCAAACAGTCTCCCTTTTCCCATTTCAAAATATCACTTAAAGATAAATTTTGGCCATAGCTTTCCCGAATGCGTTGAAACCTTTGAACAGACGAAGCTCATCAATATGTCTCTGAAACTCTTTTTCATAAACTAGATGTGATTAAATTTTATTTAATCAGGCTTTTTTCAAAAGAGAGGTGAAAAATTGGACGACGAAGCACCCCAACAGTACTCTTCGTTTTTGAAACGAAATTGCTTTCAATAAATTTTCTAAACATTAGGTATTTTGAGCAACGCTGCGCGTAATTCGGAAGAACATTTACTGGTTTAGAACAAAAAACTATAAACTCTCAATTTGAACTGACATATGGGCAAAAATTGATCAAAAATTACGATAACGTGACCAGCTCACTCCAAGCGAGTTAAGAGATGAATTCCATTCCAGATATAAGAAGTAGATAAATACCTAGTTATTACAATCGTTACCCATACATTTAAAAGTCTCATAAAAATAAACAAACAGCTCGCCATTAATAGCTAATGTTGCGAAAGTTAAATTTATGAATTAAATATCTAGCTATAGAAGAAAATAACACGACAATATGTAATTTTAACACCATTTGTTGCATGATTCGTTATATAAATTTCGTGTTGCAGTGTCAAGTTTTATGTTGTTTGATACCGTATTTTATAACATGCTCGAAAGCGTGTGTGAATAAACCAATTTATTTTTATGGTGATGATGATGATCAAAATACCACTGATGATGCCTCTCTAGTAGATGTGAAAGTATGCTGACCAAATTTCTTAAAATACCGCCCACATTTTATTAGGGTTTAATAATGCCACTGTTTTATTTAGCTGCTCATTTCCATTTGCTAGAGGATCCATTTTACATGAAGTGAAATTATCTGGGTAGAGTAAAAAGCATTTGTCTTCAAAAGCGATGATCGTATAACACAGTTTGATATCGCTTCTTTCCAAGATGCCTAAAATCCATTGTAGTACTAACGACATGTCTTTAAATGCCAAAAACAGTTTATACTTGAAGACGACAAGTATTGCATTTGGAAAACATAGCAACTACAGCCTCCCAAAAAGTTGATATCAATTCTACCTTGGATATGCTGGTGGTGGATTCATTCTAAATCAAATATCATTACTTGAGGAGAGTAAATACCATTCTACTTCCACAGCAGTATTTGAAGCAAATGAATATTAAACCAGCCGATTGTGTATTAGCTCTTTAGTCCCGCTTTTTTCACAAATACAATGCAATTCTCCTGTAACCTTGAATAACTGATAACCTTGCCTGAATACAACCAGATGTATCGCAATTGAAAATTTACATGAAATGAAATAGCGCCCTGGCAGCTTTAAAGTTAGCAAGGTGACAAGAGGGCTCCATAACATCAAAATAGCAAACTGCAGTAGCTAGAGACAACAACATTTGTTCTTGTTACATCAAGCTGCTCGGAAAGACGATTTAACCAATAAGCCCAATAAGTGATCGCCAAAGAGATATGTTAGTCCCAACAGGGATGTTACTTCAGAAAATCTTCATCCAGTTGATGTTGATAATTGCTCTTGCAATGGGTGATCAAGATAATTGGCAAATTTTGAATAGAGGGGGATCAGTAAATGTTATTGCTACAAATAAGCACGCATTGTACGAAGTAACAGGAGGAAAGGAATTGAAAATTCTTCACGATGATAGTGGATTCGTTCTTTTTGGCAGCGTGGTAATCGACATTGATGCGAATGACGACTTTGGAGTATGGGCAACGAACATTCATTTAAACATATTCTACAGAGCAGGCGTGACGTCGTCTAATATGTTAGGTACAGGATGGGTTCAATTAAGCGGTGCATTAAGTTCAATAACTACTGGACGATATGGCCTAGTCTTCGGGCACTTCACCACCGGACAGATATACAAAAGGGATGGAATAACATCATCGTCACATATTGGAACAGCCTGGGCGATGTTACAGGGCGGAGGTGTGATTGATGAATCATGCTCAAGAAAAGTTTGTTTTTGTGTTAACAGTCTTCATCAACTATTCACTACTGGCCTTATGCAGTATACGAATTCCCCCTCATGGAATGGCATTTGGATTTATATATATCCGAATGTCAAAGACATCTCCGCCTATGGAGAGAAGACACTCTGGAAACTAGACACAAACGGATTCATATGGGAAGCGGTCAACGTATACGACAGCAATTTCATTAAGTTTACTTGGGAACGACGCGGCTATCAACAACAGGCTTTCAAAGATGTAGCAGTAACTGACAAGAAAGCTTATGCACTTGGCACAGATGGGAATATATACGTTCTGACTGGTTGCCCGATTTTCGACTTTGAAGACAACGACCTTTCCGAATGGGAAAAAACTGGAACCGTTTTCGAGATGCAACCGACATTCAGCCAAAGCACAGTTGTGGGAGCAATAGGCAAAGTTGGAAAACGATGCATAGATACTTTAACATCGAACCAAAATGCAACGATTGGTGATCCCCCGGTCGGAACAGCAATATCACCATTGTTTCAGATACGAACAAATATGCTGCATTTCACAGTTGGAGGGGGTTCACCCCCTAACAATTATGTTGGTTTAGTGATTGATGGAGTTGAAAGATTTCAAAGCTCAGGGAAAAGTGTGGCTAAAGCATCATCAACAGGGACAGTGCGCATGGGAAGGTACTGGTGGGACGTATCAGCCTATATAGGCAAATGTGCCAGTGTTAAGTTGGTTGACTCATCGTCCGCAAATTGGGGACATACGCTTTTTGACGATTTGAGGGCATCACCACCTTGTTTCAAAGGTATGGATGCAGTTTTGACAAGGGTTGGTCACGAGAGAACGGTTTCCATAGGACAGGCTGTTAAACATTCTTTGAAACTGAAAGGGTTCTATACATCGGCTTTGAGACCATTGGTCATAACAGCCAAAGTCCCTACCATGAATGGACATCCTTTAATCTACTTTGAAGATATCTCTATCATTTCAACAACTTGCAAAACAAATGGCACGATCAGCAAGAAAAGGTTTTTCACCGAGAGTGGACATGCCCATAGCATCACTGGAACCATAAAAAATCTATTGTCTGATGCGTCGATTGAAATTGTAGCTCGTGCTTATGACAACGATAAGATACAGATTGGTTCCCCATTTGCTACGAAGTTTTTTGTAGCCGTGATGTTTATGGACGAGTACATAAGAATCTTTGAAAGAGACATGGAGATCCTGAGGCATGGCAACGAAAGTGCCTCTCTACTTTACCAAGGAGAAATTATGGAGAAAAGACGTTTCTTTGTTGGGGAAAACGTAACCTTTCAAGTGCAAGTGTCCCACAACTACAACATGTCTGTTTCTAGAGCTTATAAGGTAAACATAAGACTTACTGTACCGGAATTCATGACAGTTGTCAATGTTACTGGTGTAGAATCGTCATTTGGAGATGTTGATACGTTCGATTCTGGAAAGTCAAGAAGCATTTGGATACCCGAACTTTTCCTTGGTGATAACAGAACAATAATTTTCGCCATAAGTATAGAGAACTTGTCAAAATGGAAACAGAAGAAAGGAAGAATCTACAAAGGTGAGATTCTCCTTGAAAAAGCTTACTTCTGTCCTCGTAAAGATTGTCGAAATGAAAATAGTTCTAGCATTGAGATTTTAATACTGACGACGGAGAGATTCTACAGTTTCAATTTCTCATATAATGAAACAAAGCGAGTTGTGAATGACGTCATAACGAGGATATACGACAGAAATGCGTCCGCACTATTCGTGTGTGTCAGGTACAGCGAATTCATCCGGAGAAATGCTCGAAACTGCTATTTTGGCAACGTATCGACAAATTCATGGCAGCCTTTGAGCAAAATTATCACCAATGTTACATTTTTCGATAACGCAAACATGGAGCTATATGGTTTAACTGAATCCCAGAAGGTTGTTAGTCTGTTTGGAGAGTCGTTTTCGAAACGTAAGCTTTTGACGTCATCACAGTGGAAGGATATTTCTACGATCGAAGTTTCAAAGTTTCTCAAATCACACAATGTCGTGTCATTAAGCTCTAATGTGCTGCATAATAAAGGGGACGCGTTTTCTTCATTGTACAGAAAGCACTGCTGTGTGTAGACTTTTCATGTCATTGTTAAACAGGATACACGCACATGAAATTCAGTTTTTGGCATCAAATAGCTAGAATGCTTAACCGCTGACTGATGCTGGCCTGTAAAGCAAGGTTGAAATATGTTTAAGCTAACCTCCACTTCAATGTTTTTGTTCGCACGTGTGCTGCGACCTAAGAGAGCTAATTTCCTTCGCATTGAAAGCTGGTTGCCATCCTACTTCCAGTATGACTTCGGGGGAATAATTAACAAAGAGCCAAACAGATCGGTAGACGCGGGACTTCGGATTGTAGGCAACTTGCATATGATCTACACTTGTATATAGAACTGTAAATATTATCTTAAGAATTGTAAAAGCTTTGTTCTTGTATTTCTTGATAATAACTTTGTGCAAAAGATTCGCAACTTTTGATAAGGTTTAAATAATTCTTTTCTTTAATGAAAAACGAGCACAATAGTTGATAAAGGTTAATAGACGTTTAATCTATCTTTTAAAACCAGGGTATTTTTAAATGCAGCTCTACACAAAATGTGCAGTTCTAGAAGTTGTTTATGCAATTTTAAAGAAAAACCTGTGCTGTTCTAAAATTTTACTTTAATGAACAAAAAATTCAGGAAAACTTTGCAGAATAAAAACCAAAAAAGATAATAAAGAGGGCGCTCCAATTAAACAAAGACCTATTGGGATATAAAAAATTTTGATGTATAAAAACATTCGATGCCAAGAAAATATAATTTTTACGAAACTTCATTGTCGCTGTATCTTTCACACGCATACACGAAACACGAAATTGATAGTGTCAAAGCTGGAGCCTATTTAAACTCTTAAAAACAGAGAACATTAAAATTTCAGAGCAAAAAATAAATCATGTCACCAGTTTCGAACTTAAATTTTACAGTTACAGTATGGTCAAACAAAACAGACCGACAACTAAATTAGAGACAATTTAACATTTACCTCCCTAATTGATGTGCGATTGCTTTACTTCTTGCTTTAACGTCATCAGTTTCGTCCATCTAATTGGTATAGCTCGAAAATACGATATTGAAGTTTTTAAAACATTATATGATACATCGCTATCAAATACACTCTTTTTTTTATAAGAACAATTTTATAAGAACACGAGCCTCAAAACTGGTCAAAAGTTAAGAACAAATTAAGAACAAGCTGAGGCTGAGCTTCTGCAAAATGCAATTTTGAACAACGTTTTTTCTAAAAATCGTGGATTTTTAGCGATGTGTGGGTGCTATTTCGGTGAATATTCAAATTTGTCAGCAAATTAAGGCTGTCTCACTCACTTTGTTAGCAAATGAGGCCTGAACACCTCCTTGGAGCGAAAAAGCTAGCAATAGCACTGCTTACACCCTTTTAATTTAAGAACAAATTAAGAACAATCCAGCCTCAGATTTTCGAAAAATTTAAGAACTGTCAGCCTGAACTGAAATTTACTGGTTCTTATAAAAAAAAGAGTGTATCGCTCCACAAACGTAATTTTTTCAAGGTTCTATATAATTGACTTTGGTTTATTGCGATTCTATATAACCAAGAACACACAATGGTTGTCATATGCTCGAAAATTTGGTTTTCTATTGTAATGTGCTTTATAATTTTGCTTCCAAGTTGAGTTAGAATCTACTTGCTTTTTCTGCAAATTGATATAACGTTATTAATCTATTTGGAAAATTTTTCTTTACAATTGAGTGTTATACTACCGGTGAGCATGGCAATGAAACATGCATATTAACAATGTCCAAACCTATACTTTCAATTAAGGGGTCTGGAGCAGTAGTGTAGTGAGGGGGCAAGGGGGCAGCCGCCCCCCATTGCACAGAAAGTTGGTGTCTGAAAAAAGTGCAATCTGCAATAAAATTAGTACCTCAGGGGAAAGCTGATATTTCAGACAAAATTGTCCTTCACGTTCTTTAGAAATTCCCGACATATAGATACTAAAATGCTAAAGCGCTTCAATCCTTAAAGAAACTAGATTCTGAAATGCTTTTCAGAGAATTTGCAGATTTTGCTCCAAGGATAACGAACTTAGTTTGAAACCTTTGCACACTGCTTAATATTTTTAGATATTTGCTTACAACTTTGGAAAATCAGTTTTTAATCGTAGCGCTTTCTAGCCTTACATAATTTAGAATATAAGCGTTTGAGGAATTGTGAAGAAAATAGACAGTTGTAGAATGGGGTCAGCCACAAAAAGCTACATATGACGTATAAAGTGAAATCGCCACGTAAAGAAGCCATAGCTTTTCCAAACGCATTTTTAAAATAGGGCGTTTTCTCAAACTCTTAAGGGTGTGGTCAGTAAAATTTTCCCGGGGGTAAAGCCCCGGACCCTCTGCTGTTGGACTCCTCTGTGTCCCTCCAATCTTCTTACCCTGGCTACGCCACTGGTCTAGAGCACAAGCTACCTGTACCTGCGCATCATGTACACTTTGTTTATGCTTAAAAGAACCAATAAGTATTCCTTCAACACAATGCTCCCGAGAAAAATGTGCACCTCTAAATTTTCCTTAAAAAACCCTGCTTAAAACATTTTAGGGCAATGCTAAATACAGTATTCAAAAACAACTTTGGATAATGGACAACTAGGAGTTTATCTGACTGAAGTGAAAACTGTTTCTCAGCTTTTGAAGATAAATATAAGCTTCTGCACAAAGAAATTCAAATATTAAAATTATCCTATTTCCATCCATCGGTATGCAAGATATTTGAACTTGTAGTTACACAGAAGTAGATGAATTGGAAAAGCCCCAAAAATTACGATTGCTTTTTACACGATTTCTCCGTGACATTGTTAAAAACACTTTTATGCAATCTGAACGTGTTGGGGTAAGGGGGAATATTGGGAAGTACATCGATTTGATTTCATTTGAATTTATTTCTATAACATGAGATGATTCTCTTAACTCCCTTCCAGACCACAGCCTTTACTGGTCTGCTCTAAGTATCACCTTCTCTAACTCATTAAGCGCAGCCAAAAGATTTAAAAAGGTGTTTTTGTCTTCAACTTTATGGTGTCATCAAGAACAATCAATTCATATATCACGATTAAATGATATCACGAAATAGAATCATGATGAACACAGTTCTTGATACTGATAAACAATTTCTTGATAATGATGGAAAAATCAGAGTTTAGCACTAAAACAATAGTATATTTTTGGGGAGGTTCCAGACCTCTGTTTTGAAGTTAGACTATATGGAGTCTAAGACTCATGATAATGGCCCGATTTTCGTTTCCCGACATCAACCTGTACTATGTCATGATAGTAATCTGTTATTGGTGTTACTGTTGTAATATATTATTGAGAAGTGAATATAAGGAAAGTGCTTCAAAAACATACATGAGCTAAAAGAGAAAAGAAACATATAAATTGATGCAAAATGTTGAATTACCAAAGAAGTGGCATTTTCTGAAAACTGAAAACTGCATGAAGCCAATGGGTCAGTGACCTAGGACTAAGATTTGGTAATAACAGGATCAACTGAAATATAATATATAAAAATAATAAAGAATCAAAATCAAGCACAATAGTCAATTTTTGATTTATTTTTTGGGCAGAAAATTTTGTAAAAAGTTATTTTTAGGTGTATATGATAAGAAAACAAACTTTTTTTTTTTTGATTCAGTTTTTAGGAAAACACTGATTTGAGGAACAGAACCAACTTCCAAACGATTTTTTGTCCCCAATAGCCCCAGTCGGTCTGCGCGCCCTAATTGCTTGTCAGTGCCACTTCTATGGTCAGTGCTTTTGCATCCTGACTTTCTTTTGTGGCATAAAAACATAATATTACCACCTTGCTCTTGTAAGTTATCAAAATAAGAACGTCGAAAACATCTGAAAAAAGTTGTGAATATTGGCTTTTTTATTATGAATACGATTAATCTTGTTACTCCTCAGAACTAAAATGCTAGGTGCTTGAATAGGTGCTTAAAGGTAGGTGCTTAAATAGAACAACTGAATTACTTGTATCACTCATGACAATGCTAGTGTGAGCAAAAATAATACAGACATTTAAATAATACATGACAATAATATAGGGCGACTGCGACCTGGTCAGAAATAATTTTCAACTTTAAAAATGCTGTGAACCTACCTTGAAACTTGAAAGTGAACAGTGATTCATAATCAAACTACAAAACCCTTATAAGATGCATTCTTGCCTAAATATTGGTGGATTTGATTGAAACAAAACTCACAATGTGGATACTGTAATTCAGAGTTTAATTTTTGTTGCTTGATACAAGTCTTAGTGTTTAGTTTATGGCTATCAAGTATTGTCATTTTCGAGCATAATGAATTCCTATTTGAAAGTAATCACATTAATAGGAACGATGTTTTTACACTTGAAATATTCAATTACGACTAGAAATAACACGATTACCCCCCCCCCCCACCCTAAACGAACACAAATGGCAATGCAAGACTTTTTTGGGTTTTTTATTTTCAGGGATTTATTTTTTTGGGTGCGATTTTGGCATATATTTATTTTTTGGGTATCCGTGAAAAGGTCTGGGCCGAGCTCCCCTGTCATGTTTTTATTAGACTAAACTTCCTGGGGTCTATATGAATAGAGACGCAAAACCATGGTCATTGTTCAATTGGCTTTAATCTGTGCTGAATCATTGTCACTGGTAAGATAAATTGCAAAACCAGGAGACAAGCGCATTCAAACATACATTCATAAGAGAACTAAGCATCATGTACCGGCAACCGCTTCCGTCATACCAAAGAGCGTATTCACAAGTATATTGAAAAAAGCGTTAGGCATTATGTACAATCCAAAGAATGGAGAAAAAGGCATTCCTTCTCCGTTCTGTGGTCAAGCAGTTAAAGGCAGTCTGCCCCTCAGTGATTGGCTAATATGAACAATAGATCTTTCCGCCTAAACGGATAATGGATTACGATGCTTGCTTTGGCTGGCCTAGCTGTGGTAGTGGACGACATTTGAAACTGCAAGCAAAAAACTATCGGGATGGCAAGAAGATTTAATTACTGGAATTGAATGATGATCATTCCTTTCGCTGTTGACATATTTGTCGCAGAAACCAAACAGGGAGCCATATTTTTCTAGTCACAGCTTCACTGCAACGGGAACACGGGCATTTGACTCAAAAGCAGGGTTGCCAGATTGAAATCTATAAAAATCCCGCATCAAGACATAAAAAATCCCAGAATTCAATAGATTTTCTTTAAAAATCCCGAGATTTTTTTTGTGATGTTCTGATGACGTCATTTACCACAGGGACAAAATTTTGACCTCTGTGCAACGACTTTTCAACTTCTCTATCTTGTGCAACATTGTAATTGTACGGACCAAAGCATTGACAAAGGAGTTAAAATTTTTCTTGACATTTTTATTTCAGTTGCGTGACAAGAAACAAAAGGAGACCATTTTAGACGAAAATAGCTGTCAATCCTAAGTAAACTGATGACACTGAAGATAAAAGATAAAATTTATTAAATAACATAACAATGTAACTGAATAAAGTTCGATATTTTTAGGGTATTTTAGCAGTTTCTATTCGAGAAGTCCATCACCAAGAACAAAGTCATCGTCTGCATTGACTCTATAAATTCTTTCTGTGATGAATTTCCTTTTCATAGCATGGGTGACTTTGAAATTATAGCAATCTTCACCTCTCCATTGAAGACTGCTATCCACACGGACTAATGTGTCTGTAGTGGGGCTTGCCACTAGCAAAGTGTGGATGAAATGTGCCGCTCTTATTGTCGTATGAATGCTTTGTTACTAACAAATCTATTCTGAAAAACTTTTCTAATCCATTCTCTAAAAATCCCGAGAATTTTCCCGAGATTTTTTCACCGAAAAAAATTCCCGAGAAAAAACCCAGCAGCTCTGAATATTCCCGAGATCTCGGGATAAAATCCCGAACCTGGCAACCCTGCTCAAAAGCTCTGGATTTGACTCAAAAGTCAAAGTTGTCTCTGATTGGTTTAGATCGTTTAATTATCAATCAAGCTCAACGGTGCGTGAATTTTATTCCCGTGAAAATAAAGCTGAGCACAATAGGGGACAGACTGCCTTTAATAAGCAGTGAGATTAAGCACATATTAAACAAAAGTTTTCTGGTGATTTCTTAATTTTAGCTACTTGACTGAATATAAAATCCTCGCACGTTTTGTATTGAAAACAAAAGGTAGACCATAGAAAAACGAGATAAGGATAGCATTTCCAATGAAGAATTATCCTACTCAAAAGAGAGTTACACTCGACAAAATTCAGAGACTTTACAAATGATGTTGATAAACCAATTTTTGTCTGATTTTTTAGCCTTATTGTGAACTGTGTTTGAAGAGCTATGTATGTAAGTTTAAATAAGTTTGATATAAGCCAGGAAGAAACACAATTAAGACATGTATATAATTGGTTTCTTTTCGCTTTCTCGCCCTTCTCATCAAATTATTCAATAATAAAACCTGTAAAGCAACATGTAGCCTAGAATTAATACCTCTCCACAAAATCTTCGATATCTTTGTTTTCCCTTCCTTTCCACGCCTAATAACAACAATTGTCGATTCTCTCGTTACTTCCATACCTCTAGCTTCCAGCATTCTTTAGCCGTTTGTTCCTTCACACAAGCAGAAAGCTTTACGCCGGATCATTGACAATATCATTTGGTCAGGGATAGTCAAGCATAATCAAAATCCTATTGGAATCTTAACCCCAATATGCTGAAAATTTCATTTAGCTTTTTTATAGTCAAACTCCCTTAAAATTCCCTTAAAGTATTATAAGTGTTAAAGCAACATCTGATACGACACACCTGTTTATATTCTATTTATGACTTGTTATAATATATTAAAAGGCTGAACTGGTTTTTAATTTCTGTTGGTTTGAGATCAACTTGGCCTAAATTTGCGTCCAACTTGGCAATGAAGATATGTAGACCTGCAGACATAATGATTTGGGGTAGTTGGCCTGTGTCAAAATGTACTGACTTTTTTTCAATCAATCAATCAATATTTATTTAGACGAGATACCTTTCAGCAAAAAAGAACTTTTGAAAAAAGAACTTTTTGCATATTGCTTCTTTACCAAGGGGTCGTGTTTGGGTCCTGTGGAAGGTTCGAATAATACTCTCTAAAACCTGTTTCTTTTTCTCGAATGTTGTTAGGGATATCATTCCAGTTTTTGACACCAGAGAAAAAGAAACCTCGCTTTGAATACTCTAACCTATCTTTGGGAATTTGCAGGTCTCCACGGTTTCTGGTTCTATACTCTGAAATCATTGATCTTTCAGTGAATTTATGGAGAAGATTTTCGGGACAGAGGTCATGCAAGATTCTATATGTCATGGCTCCTTGGTCAAAGGAGATCAAGGACTTTACAGTGAGCCATTTGCAAGTCCATCCGTCCTTATACTTGGCATTCGCTATTAGCCTTTTTGCCCTTGTTTGTAAACGTTGCAGTTGGGATATTTTGGTGTTGGAGAGAGCACTCCAAACAATGTTGCCATAGCGAAGATGGCTTTCAAAGAGAGCTTTGTAAACTTGATTAAGTTTCCTTTGCGGAAAGATGTTGTTCAACTCTCTTAATGAGCTCAAGCTCCCTTCAGCTTGTTTTTGATAGTTGAGGCCCTATAACGGGTATTTGAAATATGAAATAATTTATTCTCCAGATGAAAATATAAATATTTTGGGTTTTTAGTCTTGAAATATGAAATAACTTTGGTTCCCTGTATGAAATATTAAATAACAAAATAACCATTGACCATTGATCTGTAGAGCTGTTAAAATACCATGTCATGCTAGGGTTTTTCTTTTAAATATTTCAACCTTTTTAGGAGTTTAAAAGGCTTTTCATACTCCACGTTTAGGAAAATTACCAACATATATCATGTATAATAATAATATTGTATAATATTGTATAATAATATCATGAAAATGTTTTTATCTACATTGATTGTTCCACATACATACTATGAATTCTTTCCAAGACTACTAAACTACAGTTTTGTAGACCACAATATTGATTTGCTGATAGCAATATTAAAAAAGTTAAAGCTCATTCTTCAATTTTTTTTATTTTGGGCTAAGTTATTAGGAAATGTTTCCCGCAAAGTAATTCTTATCTTGAAAATGTTATTTCTGGCCATATCTTTGAATTCAGTATGGTTCGCCAAAGTGCATGACCAACTCTCCAGAGCTGGCTTCACCACTGGGGCGATGCCCACAGAAGCAAGCAAATTTGCCGACAAATGTCATAATTCTACCGACAATTTAGCAAACCTGAGGGGTGGTTGCCCCCCATACCCTTGCAATTTCTGCCACTGTTGCAAAGGGACGAAATGTTTTGCAAGTTTTGAGAGATTCCTTATAATTAAAAAGGCACTACAGTCAGGAAGTCGTATGAAACCCTTGAACTATGGTAGGTCCTCGAATAAGCCTCGGAGGCTTATTTTGCAAAAAATTTTTTGGGTTGAGGTTTTATTCGAGGGGGCACTTATTCGAAGCAGGGGCGTCGTGGTTGGGGGGCAATTTAGCATTCGGCAAATTGTCGGAAGTTTCGTATCTGTTCGGCAAAGAATATTTATAGTTCATAGAAAGCAAGGAGTTCAAAGGAACTAAGAGAGGTTAAATAAATACAGACGCTGGCTTTTCTCTGACCGATTTATTGAAATCAGTAAAAGTGATGCTGCGAAAGATAACTGCGCAAAAAGTAATCATAAAGTTATAGGGCAAAGTAGTATAGTTAAACAATGCAGTTAGAGTAATCATAGGGTATTTAAAATCAACAATTCTATTAATTTTTAAAACCGTTTTAAAACCGTGAGACAAAACGTTTTGAAACCGTGACACATGCCCCACCACAAACACCTTAAGTATTTATTTAGATTCGCCCATTTGCCACATCCTCACTTGCATAGACTGTGGAACTATCTTAACTCGGCTCCTACCAGATCCAGTATATTCATAACAAGCAGCTTTGTATTTCAAGAATTTTCAAATGAGGGCAACTTCCGGATATCTGCGTCCCTTCAATCCTTAAAAAGCACTCTTTGTTATGAAAACATTTAATCTATTGCTGGTTCTCCAGAATATTGAACACAAACATTTCATCAACCTTCAATTTCTCATCAAACATAACAATAAAAGGTATCAATGAACTAAATATTAGTATTATGTGATTTGCACAATTGCTCTGCAGCCATTATATAAAATCTCAAGACGAAGTGATAAGCTTAACAGCTAGTGCTAAAAAATAACAACAAGAATATCACCTATTGTGATGGTTCGTGGGAATATGATGCTGCGCAGCACAAAATTTCCTAACACTCTTCTCCAATCCTACTATGAAATGTGAATATCTGGAATGCTATGATGAAAAATACATAATTTTTTCAGAAATGGAATTATGGATCTAAATTTTGAACCAAAATTGCACATCCCCGCCCAAAACTAGGCTTAGTTACCCATATACCCCCCGCACCCCCGCCACCCGACTGGCGCTAGTAGTATGCTCGTATAAATCAGCCTTGACAAAGAAAGGAACTGAATTAAAAAAGACATTTTCTGTTCCACCTTGATTCAGATTGAAATTTATATTGTGGATAAACTGCTAAAGGTCCTTAGTCAAAAGGTATAAGTTCGAAGGGAAAATTTTCCTTGCACGAGCAAAACGGAGGATTGCAACAAAGCTGCATCCAGGGAAGAAATGCTCGCGACGATAACTGTGATGGGACTGCTTGTATTGTCAGATTGTGTCTTTCCACTGCAGACTTTGTTTTTCGTAGCAAACGTCGAATAACAGCTGTGTTTGTATCAAGGGGGCTCTTCTCCCCGGGATCTGAGCCTAAGTCAAATACTAAAGGAGGATCGTGTATATTTACACCCTCACCAAAACAAGGGCAAAGAAAATGTTGCATGCATGCTTCTGTTCCTGGACTGAATTGCGGAGTTATGTAATGTATTTTCCAGACCTTGGAACTTTCGTTATCTGCAAATGTTACTGCTTGAATCACTGCGTCACAGTAGTGAAAAATAAACCTTTCTTGAAATCGATCTGAAGCTTTGCCAGTCAAAACTTCTAGAATATCCTCTCCATCCAGGACTCTATTTTCCGGAACTTTTATTCCAGCCACTTTTAGCACTGTTGGAAAGAAATCCAAACTGCTTGTTGGCACATCAGTTTTAGTACCAGGAGGTATTCTCTTTGGCCATCGAGCTATTGTAGGGACTCTGATACCACCTTCCCAATTCGTCCCTTTTCCACCTTTGAAGATGCCTTGAAAGCCCCCGCACATTTCACCATCTCTTGCAACTTCCTCGAGATGTGGGCCATGGTCAGAGGTGAAATATACCATCGTATCATCAAAAAGGCCAAGCTCTTCAATCTTGCTTAAAATCTTACCGACGGCCCAGTCCATTTCTTCAACATTATCGCCGTATCTTCCATGTTTACTGTGATTCACAAAGTTTTCGCTAGTTTTCAACGCAGTATGCACCTTGGCAAAGGACATAAAAAGCAAAAACGGATCATCTTGGTGTTTCTCAATGAACTCTGTTGCATCTGATGTGAGCCTGTGCGTCAACGTACCAAGATTAATCGGCTGCTCTACAACTTCCTTGCCTCTCATTAGTATGCAGTCAAACCAGTTACTGGCCACAATATTCGCCATTTCTGGCACATAGATAACGAACAAGTAAGACAGGAGAAGAAAAGCAACCACCGCGACCTTAATCATACCAAATCTAGTCAATGCGATTAACGCTGGGAATATTACAACAAATGAAGTGAAAAGCGTCTTCAGCATTTTGTCGAAATCATTCAATTCGGGGGAGAAGTTATCTGCACATTCTCTTTGGTTAGTATGGGGTAGTCCGTAAAAGTGGCTAAATCCATGATTCTTTGGGTGGTGGCAAAAATCCTTGGACGTATTGCAGCTCATACCAAGATGCCATTTACCTACGAATGCTGTTTTATACCCATGTTGCTTCAAGATCTTGGCAAAGGTGACCTCCTCGGAGGGGAGTCCGCCTGTCAGAGCAGTTCGAACGAGGACTTTATTATCATTTGGCCATCCAACCATACCAGATCGAACAGCATATCGACCTGTTAAAAAAGCAGCCCTACTAGGTGTGCAAACTGGCGCCGCAGCCAAGCCATGTTCAAGCTTTACTCCTTCACTTGCAAGTTTGTCAATATTTGGCGTTTTGATCGTATCATTTCCAAAACATCCTACGTCACCGATTCCAAGGTCGTCCACCATAAGGATAACGAAATTTTGTGGTTTCTGCGGATCGATTTTCAGTCCAAAAACGCTACTCAATAGTGCTAAAAAGGTACACACAAGAAAGATGGTTGTCGAGCTACACATCCCTGCATTCATCTTGTATTGTTTTCAAGAAATTGATACAGACCCTGCTTCTAAATCACTCGAAGAGCTTCCGGTTTAATGTGTAAGAAGGAAGAACGGCAGGATAGGCTGTCCGCCGGATTCGGTGAATCTTGCAAAGAGTGTTGTTAAGAAAGATATACAGGAACAAAGCGATACGACGACGAGAATTCAGTGTCACGAGATAAAATTTTGAAGTCTTTGTTTGTGGTCTCTATCTGGGTGCCTGTCAAAAGCCACCAATGATATAGAAGCGCCGAAAGCGCTAGATGTCTAACTCACAGGTACGCTGTGAGGCAAATTTGTTTACTTCAGCCTTACTGAGCCCTTATAGATATGGTAAAAGTAAGGATTGATTTCGTTCACATCTCTTTCGAATATCGAAGTGAAATTTGGTGAGTGGCCTTAAATTGCACTTGAATTTATGAATTGATGTTAATATTGGAAAAATAAGCCGTCGTTCGCAAATTCCAAGCATTTACAGTCGCGGTGCTTGCTGTGGTGTTTTCTGTCTCATCGAAATTCCAGGAAATAATGATTGATCTGTTTCAAAACATATCCAGCAACAATTTTTTGCCACTCCATGCATTATTTTCTTAACACATTTGTACAAAGATGTGATTTAGTTACTTTTTCTTTCTTTGTTTACAGAAACTGTTATGAATATTGCTAGATAAAATAGGCTATTACGGCATAAGAGGATCTGCCTTGAATTGGTTCAAATCATACCTTAAAATAGAACCCAAAAAGTTTGCATAAACGGAACCCTGTCTGAGCCCTAAAACATAAAACATGGTGTACCCCAAGGAAGTGTACTAGGTCCTCTACTTTTTCTTCTGTACATCACAGGGGCGGATCCAGCAAAAAACCTGACTGAGTTCCAGGCCAAGGATAGGGACTTTCAGATAATGCATTGATCATTGTGCATAAGATAACATTATTATCCATATTTATGCATTTTGGTACCATTGAGGGGGGGGGGGGGGGTAGGTACTATCTAGTCACTAAATCTAGATTCCATATTTTTTCAACCCCCTCCCTTTCTCAATACCCTTTGTTTGTTTTGGATGCCACAGCAAAGTTTCTCCCTTTTGTTTGGCTTGCAATTTGTTGTTTTGCCTGCGTAGACACCAGCCTATTCATCAAAATATGGTGTTCCGTCTGAGCATAGGTTTTCCGTGCCATCAAAGACTGCAATTTAAAGCAAAGATAGTTAACACTCCTGGAAAATTAACGAGATCTCCTGGTTTTATCTCAAATGTTTAATAATCTGCTAGAATGCTGCGATGGTCGTGAGTATAAGACATCTGCAGTTGCCATTTCGAATTCAATGTTTTGCAGTTCCACAAAAGAACAGAAACAATAGGTAGCCAATCAACTACGGGCCATTGTACAGCTCTCTTACAAATATGGTATCATTTCCGAGTTCCAGATGCTGTTCTATCCGTGTTGCAAACGAACAGTTTATTGTTTCAATTCATTCACTTCCGAGGCACAAAATGTTTATTTCCGAGTTCTAGGATTGACTGCTGTTGTCCTCCACAGCGTCTGGAAAATCGTTTCAAAAACACAACAGAGAAGAAACTGGCAATTTTAAGATTTTGAAGAGACTATGATAAAACTTTGAAGAACTTTTAGGTTTCAATTTTTAAATAATACTTGTTTCAGGCAACACTATTATTAGCTGTATGTTGGAAAACTGACGGAGTTCTGTGCACCAAGGAACTCACTCTGGATCCGCCTCTGCATCAATGACTTGCCTTCGTGTTCCGAAATTCCTAAATTCTATCTTCTTTTCTTACAAGTATCTTCTTTTCTCACAATAACGCAAAGGATCTTGAACCCATCATAAATAACGAACTTAAAAATGTCTCAACGTGGCTCTCAGCTAAACGTTTATCGCTAAATGTGGATAAATCAAATTACCTCATTATCTCTAAAAACAAAAAATTTGACTACAGCTTTGATATTAAAATAGACAACATTTCCATTAAACAAAATAATTGTATTAAATACCTTGGCGTTCTGATAGACGATAAGCTTACCTGGAAGCAACATACCCAACATGTCAACACGAAAATCTCAAAAGGCATTGGGATTCTGGCAAAAACGAGACACAATGTATCATTGGATATTCTAAGACAATTGTATCATGCTTTTATATCCCCCCATTTGAGCTATGATCTTGTTAACTGGGGAAATGCTTCTAAATGCATTACTGCCAATTTAAACAGAAGCCTTAAAAGAGCAGTCAGAGTTATGTATTTTGCTGATTATTATAGGACAGATTCAAAACCCCTGTTTTCTAAACTTGGCATCCTCAACTTCGAAGATTTCTTTAAATTAGAAACCGCAAAATGTATGTACGATGTTTACAACAACAACTGCACCCAAGTTCTTTCTGAATTATTTCAGAAAATTTGTGTAAGAAACAACTATAAAACACGCCAGGATACGAAAAACCCTTATCTCTCCTTCTGGTGAGAACAGACTGTCGAAAAACATTTAATACCTTTATTGGTATCAAAATCTGGAACCGTGTAATCGTGTAAATCAAATCAAAATCAAAATCGTGTAAATTATTTTCTCTTTTGTCTAAATTTTATTCCTTTTACGATTGGAGTGGTGTCACTCATCATGTCTGGGCACAAATCTGTTTGATTAACAAGAAACATAGGTAGACTTGATATCTTCTTTTAAAAATAGCTTTTGTGAGTATTTGTCATATCTGCAACGCTATTTGGAACGATGGGCGACGCCACTCCAATCACTTTTGTAGCTTATTATTGAAATAATTGTATCTCTATGTTAAGTGTAAGTCTTAGGGTTGTTATGCATTTCCATGCTCCCTAGGCTTTTGTATTGTAATTGTTGTCGTGAATATAAATTTTTATGTGAATATAAAAAAAAAAAAAAAAATCTGGAACCAAATACCAGAAGAGATTCGCTCCAAACCAAGCAAAAATTTATTCACTAAATTTATTTTCAACTTGTTACTATACCAATATTAGTATAAATACAGCCGACCACTCTGCTCCACTCCATTTCAATGAATTCTGAAAATCTCTTTTTCATCTCTCCTCATAAAATTAACCTTAAACTAGAAGCTGCCGTGTCTCCCTCTTTTTCCACTTTCATGTAATTTTTCTATTCTTTCTTGTAATTTTGTTCTGTTACTGTTGCTTATAATTTTTTTGAAATTCAGATTGTATAATATTAATGTATATCACAAGCGTATGTAATAGTTTAACGCAAAAATAATTTCTCTAAAGATACTCCCAATTACAAAACATAGCAATAAAAAGTATCAATGAACTAAATATTAGTATTATGTGAGTTGCACAATCGCCCTGCAGCCATTATATAAAATCTCAAGACGAAGTGACAAGCTTAACAGATTAGTCATTAGTGCTAAAAAATAACAACAAGAATATCACCTATTGTGATGGTTCGTGGGAATATGATGCTGCGCAGCACAAAGTTTCCTAACACTCTTCTCCATTCCTACTATGAAATGTGAATCCTTTTCTTGTTTACAAAGGGAATGGCTATCTGGAATGCTATGATGAAAAATACATAATTTTTTCAGAAATGGAATTATGGATCCAAACTTTGAACCAAAATTGCACATCCCCGCCCAAAACTGGGCTTAGTTACCCATATACCCCCCGCACCCCCGCCACCTGACTGGCGCTAGTAGTATGCTCGTATAAATCAGCCTTGACGAAGAAAGGAACTGAATTAAAAAAGACATTTTCTGTTCCACCTTGATTCAGATTGAAATTTATATTGTGGATAAACTGCTAAAGGTCCTTAGTCAAAGGGTATAAGTTTGAAGGGAAAATTTTCCTTGCACGAGCAAAACGGAGGATTGCAACAAAGCTGCATCCAGGGAAGAAATGCTCGCGACGATAACTGTGATGGGACTGCTTGTATTGTCAGATTGTGTCTTTCCACTGCAGACTTTGTTTTTCGTAGCAAACGTCGAATAACAGATGTGTTTGTATCAAGGGGGCTCTTCTCCCCGGGATCTGAGCCTAAGTCAAATACTAAAGGAGGATCGTGTATATTTACACCCTCACCAAAACAAGGGCAAAGAGAATGTTGCATACATGCTCCTGTTCCTGGACTGAATTGCGGAGTTATGTAATGTATTTTCCAGACCTTGGAACTTTCGTTATCTGCAAATGTCACTGCTTGAATCACTGCGTCACAGTAGTGAAAAATAAACCTTTCTTGAAATCGATCTGAAGCTTTGCCAGTCAAAACTTCTAGAATATCCTCTCCATCCAGGACTCTATTTTCCGGAACTTTTATTCCAGCCATTTTTAGCACTGTTGGAAAGAAATCCAAACTGCTTGTTGGCACATAAGTTTTAGTACCAGGAGGTATTCTCTTTGGCCATCGAGCTATTGTAGGGACTCTGATACCACCTTCCCAATTCGTCCCTTTTCCACCTTTGAAGATGCCTTGAAAGCCCCCGCACATTTCACCATCTCTTGCAACTTCCTCGAGATGTGGGCCATGGTCAGAGGTGAAATATACCATCGTATCATCAAAAAGGCCAAGCTCTTCAATCTTGCTTAAAATCTTACCGACGGCCCAGTCCATTTCTTCAACATTATCGCCGTATCTTCCATGCTTACTGTGATTCACAAAGTTTTCGCTAGTTTTCAACGCAGTATGCACCTTTGCAAAGGACATAAAAAGCAAAAACGGATCATCTTGGTGTTTCTCAATGAACTCTGTTGCATCTGATGTGAGCCTGTGCGTCAACGTACCAAGATTAATCGGCTGCTCTACAACTTCCTTGCCTCTCATTAATATGCAGTCAAACCAGTTATGGGCCACAATCTTCGCCATTTCTGGCACATAGATAACGAACAAGTAAGACAGGAAGAGAAAAGCAACCACCGCGACCTTAATCATACCAAATCTAGACAATGCGATTAACGCTGGGAATATTACAACAAATGAAGTGAAAAGCGTCTTCAGCATTTTGTCGAAATCATTCAATTCGGGGGAGAAGTTATCTGCACACTCTCTTAGGTTAGTATGGGGTAGTCCGTAAAAGTGGCTAAATCCATGATTCTTTGGGTGGTGGCAAAAATCCTTGGACGTATTGCAGCTCATACCAAGATGCCATTTACCTACGAATGCTGTTTTATACCCATGTTGCTTCAAGATTTTGGCAAAGGTGACCTCCTCGGAGGGGAGTCCGCCTGTCAGAGCAGTTCGAACGAGGACTTTATTATCATTTGGCCATCCAACCATACCAGATCGGACAGCATATCGACCTGTTAAAAAAGCAGCCCTGCTAGGTGTGCAAACTGGCGCCGCAGCCAAGCTATGTTGAAGCTTTACTCCTTCACTTGCAAGTTTGTCAATATTTGGCGTTTTGATCGTATCATTTCCAAAACATCCTACGTCACCGATTCCAAGGTCGTCCACCATCAGGATAACGAAATTTTGCGGTTTCTGCGGATCGATTTTCAGTCCAAAAACGTTACTCAATAGTGCTAAAAAGGTACACACAAGAAAGATGGTTGTCGAGCTACACATCCCTGCATTCATCTTGTATTGTTTTCAAGAAATTGATACAGACCCTGCTTCTAAATCACTCGAAGAGCTTCCGGTTGATGTGTAAGAAGGAAGAACGTCAGGATAGGCTGTCCGCCGGATTCGGTGAATCTTGCAATGAGTGTTGTTAAGAAAGATATACAGGAACAAAGCTATACGACGGCGAGAATTCAGATAATTGATTGCTTTCAAATCACCCGAAGAGCTTCCGGTTTAAGAAAGCGCCATTGTTCACTGCTTCAAGCAGAAAACAATAAGAAAATCCTTTGTTTCAAAGTGGAGCATATCTGATTCGTGCGATTACACTAAAACGCTCCGCTTCGGAGTGACTCCGGAGTGATTTTCGTATCACCTCCAGAGCGGAGTGATTTTCACTTCGCTAATCAGAGCGTTGTGTATCAGATTTGTGTGGCGTAGTGTAAGTCAAACCCCTATCCGATATGAAAGTTACTCCGCTCCGATAGCAGTCCGGTATAGGGTAACTGGTCTCTATCTGGGTGCCTGTCAAAAGCCACCAATGATATAGAAGCGCCGAAGGCGCTAGATGTCTAACTCACAGGTTTGCTGTGAGGAAATTTTTTCACTTCCGCCATTTTGAATAGTGGCAAAAAGGAACTTCCTCCATACCGAGCCCTTATGAATTTGGTAAAAGTAAGGATTGATTTCGTTCACATCTCTTTCGAATATCGATGTAAAATTTGGTGAATTGCCTTATAATGCACTTAAATTTATGAATTGATGTTAATATATGAAAAATAAGCCGCCAATTGCAAATTTCAAGCATTTACAATCGCGGTGCCTGTTGTGGTGTTTTCTGTCTCATCGAAATTCCAAGAAATAATGATTGATCTGTTTTAAAACGTATCCAACAACGACAGGCCACTGCCTTTTTACCCTCGTAACTGCGTAAACTAAAAGAGCCTATTTTTTTAAAATTCTCTTTAAAAACTCCAAAAATTGTTATGTTTTGTTGATTTATATCTCCTCTAACTACCTGCATCAGGAAAGGCTATAGTTGTGAGCTACGAGAAACTCAAAATTGCGTCACAGTGTCACCAAACCGAAAAATTTTTGTCGGTTAATTAAATTCAATTATCGAAATGCAAGAGCTTATATCTCACAAACTGTAAAAAATATCAAAAAACAAATAATGAATTCGTGATCAGCAGGTTCCACTCTATTAGATTAGCCAATAAAATGCAAGTGCAAAATTTGGCTGGAAAGGCCCTTTAAGTTTATGCCTTCAAATAACAAGCACCGAGCTCCTTTGCTTCGCTCAATTGACGATCCGATCTTAACTCGGCATTGCCGCCAGGGGCGTCGATATAGGAGGGTGCTCTCCCCTCGCTCTTTGTCCGTCAGCACATAATGTTTTTCTTACCCTGTAGTAGAATTTTAATCTTTTTGTAACATGTGTAACTTATTAGGACTTCTGTAACAGTTCAACTTTCAAAACATGGCACTAAAAATACTTCAAATTTAACTTTTAGAATTATAAACGTTTAAGTAGAAACACATAAAAGCAGCATGTAAAATTACTTGTCTCATGACCACACCCAAAAATAGTGAGACATGCCCTTTTGTTGGCAGAAAGCAAAACTTTACCCCTCCGAAAAATCTTTTTGGCTTCGCCCCTGTTTCCCGCTCTGGCTTCGTGCCTGCTCTAGATTTTGGCGGCTGACAGGGAGTCATTTGAAATTTTTGGTGTTCATTTGCCTCTCCATGACACCCACAGCGCTATCTGTATCTATTTTGAATTGCTGAGGGCTTTTGAGCGATACTTTATCGGTCTTATCTTCATCTTATCCCCACTGTTTGCCAAAGCTATTGGTTTGGGAACTTTGAAAGCAACACCCGACATACTCTAATTTTCCAAAATTTGCGTTAAAGGGGTGCCGCACCCCCGCCCCCCTCCCCCGTTAGCGACGGTCTTGTGCAATGTAAATTGGTTCCTAAATACGGCAGGTTCCGATCTAAATGTTCGGCAAAACTTCAGAATGACACAACAAATAAACACAGATATAGTTTTCTCAAACGTATATCGTTGTACGACTTGTAACACTAAGCCTTTCACAAGAGCGAAGTGTACGTGCTCACAATGCTCTAACTCTTAACTAACTCAGGACTCGTAGAGAACGATATATATATGTTAAACTAGTTCCTTGTACAAATAAAAGATGTAAATGTGCTAATCTTAGGTGTCTACATAAGAGGAAAAACAAGCTAGAAAAACAATAGGAATATGTATGTATAAGCGAATGTGTCTAGATACGTATGTATAAGAGGGTGGGTTTCCTTAGTGAAAGTGTTCCTACTAGTATACGCAATGCAAAAAAGAGTGCGATGCAAGTTGACGCAAAAGAGTATGCACAAACAAGTATGACTAACGCAGGGAGAGTGGATGAATGGGGCGAAGGAAATGCGCAAACGAGGCAGGTAAGAGCGAGGCTTAGCGCTTGGAGTAGCTGTATTACAGCAATATTGTTGAATAAACATGTTTCATCCTTTTTGACATCATGTTTTACGATCTTTTACGATGTTTTGCAAAATATAATTTTCATCAAACATTTCGTAAAACTTCTCTTTTGTTCTCATGTTTGATCAACAATGTTGCGTTCTGTTATTTGATCTATAACTAGTTTGGTCTTTCGTGTGTCGTGTTTGTGGTTCGTTATCGTTAATGAGAATGTCTTTCGATGGTTACGTCAGTCAAGTTTTTTTGTCATAGTGCCATCACTTTTTTTGCTGTTATTAGTCTATTCTATTTGCCGTAATTTGTGTCATTAGGGTTTGTGTGCGTCATGTGGTTAAAATCATATGTTCTTTCATTGTATGTCCAGTCGAGTAAAGTTGCCGTTTAGTTAAAACCTTGCGTTCGACGTGTTAGAACTTGGACAGAAAATTATCCAGCTTTTGGTTTTATTATTTATAACATACAAGCTGAATACATATTATTTTGCTGCTGAACTCAAAATCTACGCCCTCTCCTTCCTCCTCCTCCTACCAAGTCCTGTCGACGACACGTGTTCTCTCTTCCTAGGGACCTGGGTCGAGGCCTCTAACAGTTGCGTCGTTTTGCGAAGTTGTCGTTTTACGAAGTTGCTGTTACGGAAAGTTGTCACTTAATAAGTTTTGCTAGTTGTATAAAGTCGAGAGAAATAACTGCTGTTATCAATTACTAGGCCTTCTGCCTTAACGTTGCTGTGGTATTTATGCTGATCGACAAAGAAAACTTTAAAATCGGATATTGTTCGCATTCTCATTTGGTAAAAACTTATTAGTTTTATAGCTTGTGGAAAAGCTGCGCTTGGCCAAAAACTTTTGCCTTTGCAAAAATATTGCTTTGTAGCAGCTTATTAAACATACCTTTTATATCTATGCCTCTACCTTTATTCATGTCCAAACTTCATTGTATTGTAAAGTATTTGGTTGAATTGTATTCTGAGTGTTTTTAGATCTTTTTTAGTCATTCCAGAAGGTAAAATTTCAACAATTTTCTCTCGCGTCGGACCCAACCTGTGGGTCCTTCTATGTTACAGAATAGCGGAAAAGGAAATGTACCTTTGTCACTGAACTTGAGATTAGCCCCTTCCCCAGGCTCAATTTCTTGGCCCCCCGCCCCTCTAAATAAAAACATTGTTCTGCTCACTGGAATAAATAATCACTTTTTCTTATCATTTTCAAACATTTTATAGAACATCTGTGCCCATGTTCAGCTTTATATGATTTTAGATAATGTTATTCCACTACAGTAATGATTTAATGAGGTGTCGAGACAAAAAGGTACTGCAAAAATGCAAAAAGGGTGTAGTCTGCTGTTGTTGTTGTTGTTGTTGCTGTTGTCGTTTTAAACATGTCCCCCTTTAGAATTACAACACAAGGCGACCTTACAATTCCATAAAATACAGCGGAGACGGAAGATGATTCTTGCAATATAAATGCATTCTCTCAATACAAAAGTAGCAATGGAACAACAAGAAGGACAGAAAGAGCCATCCACATGCTCTGATCTTGAAGTAACCGGCTCCAAAAGACTCGAATATGGCCTGGAGAACAGCTTTCGGCATGTTTTTCAAGTGATCGATTTCAACAAAGAGGGAAGCGTCAAGAAGAGCAGCCTTCAAGTTATATGTGCTAATGTATGCAGGGTTTTAGAAATTCTATACATGCCTGACCATTTGGAGGTGTTCAAAGGAGATGGCAAAAAGCTCGATGAAGATGGGTTTTTAGAATATGTGAGGCACCTCGTTAGAAAAGCCACAGGTAGTTTTTCCTTTCTCAAAATCTCTTATCGTCATCCATCATTTGGTTTAGATATGGAAACAAAATTCGCCCATAACGCTCACACTGGCTGTTATTGTGCATCTTTCATTCTGTCTATATAGATAATACACTTTTTTCCCTTGTTCGTTCATTTTATTTAACTTAATCCCACCATTTAATTTTGGTTTTCTCTTTGGTATATCTTTAGAGATTGTCAAGGCTGAACTATCATTTGGAACAATTTAGCTTGATTTACTTAAAGACCAGCATCCAAAAATGCAAGAGTTTTGAGATTTTCATTGTCTTGTTATTTTCCCCTGACATCTCAGTAGAAATATTATCTATACACACTTTTCCTTGTGTTCATGAAACAGATTGTATGCTTGCTATACATACCACCTTTCTATTATATTTTTTAATCATTTGGGAACTTTTTTTTGAAGTCTTCACATCCGTTTGGGATCATAAGTTCTTAACGATTATGAGAAAAATTAACAATTGATGCTTTCTTCATCTGATGATAAAGGTTTTTCATTCATGGAAAATTATCGCTGTCAATATTGACAGTGTCCAATTTATGTTTCTTTTACACCAGAGGATAGACAGTTGATAAGTGATTCTATGAAAAGACTTTTTGGTATTTATTCCTACTTAGTATCAGAGGGTAGCTTTTAGGACACCAAGACGCTTTGCTTAGTGAGCAGTGTCCTGGTTCTTTCTCTCAATGTAACCACACATTGTGATTCCTACACCAGGAAATGCAGAGGGCTGATGACTCCCCTCACTCTGGGTGAAAATTTGGTCATGTCAGCCACTTGAACCCTAGACCCGTGGATCTATAGTCTGTAACTCCAACTGCACTGCCTTCCTCACACATTTAACGTTTCACCAATCACACAAGAAATTTGAAAACCCTTGTTGGGTCATTCAAAATTTGCAAACTGATGCTGGATGAAGTTTAAACAGGATTATAAAAAAATTGTATACAGATGTTTGATGGTATTATAAAAAAATTATAAAAAATTGTATAGAACGGGATAATAAAAAAATTGTATACAGATGTTTTTCTTGAATAAATTCTACAACTATAAAGTTTTACACAAAATTAGCTGTAAATTTTGACACAAAACTTTTGAAAATTACCAGTTAACAAAAAGTATGAAAAATGAAAAGACTTGTGATGAAATATGAAAAAATCTGGGTCATTCAGAAATGAGGTAAAGTAATACCAGGGATGAAATGAAATACTTAACATCAACTGTGTAAAAGGGCCATTAGAGTAACTGGAAAAAGAAAGTACATCTTAGATATTTCTTTATAATAGGAATTTTGGGATTTATGTCTAGAACATTATGGATTTTTATTTTTTTTAACACTCATTTATCTACATTTTTTATCTACATACAAGCTTTATTTTCTTTTCTGGGTCCCACATAGCAGCTCATTCTATGTGTGAAAATTGCTCATTGGGTTGCAGGGTTTGAGTACCTGCCATGACCAAGCTTTCACTTAGAGTGAGTTACTGGCACCCTGTAATTCTAGGCCCCAAAAAAAAGTTCTGGCCCCCCAAGATAAAAAAAACTGACATTATTTGACAAGTTAGCTCCGTGGATGTCCTAAAAACTACCTTTGGTTGCTAGGTAGAAGCAAATGTAAAGTAAATATTAGAATCATTTCAAAAAAGCTCTAGGATAGATTGTTGTGTTGTGTTATTGTGATTGACATGCGGTTGCATGTCATTCATGTGTGATTGGTTTTAATTAATAGTATCCTACTGTTGAGGTGTATTGAACAGGCATTCATATTTTTAGAGAATGATTTTTAAGAAGTATTGAGGAAGCATTTTAAAGAGGATTTCAGAAAGGTTTTAATAGCTTTTAAGTAATTGTTCCAAATAGTTACGCATTCATTAAGTATTGTCATTAAGTATTGTCATTCAAATTGATTTGTATATATTTGATTGAAACAATTGCATCCCCACTTAAATCCAGCCTACCATACTTGACACACAAATGACCTTAATATAAACATAACATAGGGCATTCAAGAAGATGCAAAATATTTAACAGATGCCACTTAAAAAGAAAATAATTTACTTTCTCCTATGAGCTCTTGTTTAAGTCATGTCAAGATTACCAAAATATTGTTTTAGTCATATCAAGTTTACCGAAAGTTAAGAGGTTTCTGACAACTAAATTTCACTTTCCAGTTGCAGGGAATAAGGTCAATTATGGGAAACTTGAGGATATATCTTGGGTAATAATAAGCAAAGTAAGATCACAGCAAGACAGAATTCTGTCAGGAGAAGACACATTTTTGCTGCTTAAGGCATTCAATAAAGTTGATATATATGGAAACTTGGTAATTCACAAAGAGGAAGTTGAAAAGATGCTAGAGAGTTTCATGAAAGCTATCGGAACACCATGGACACCAGGACCCATGGAAAACTTTTACTCTGCTGACTTTTGGACTTTTTGGAAGCTCCTGAAGTGTCTTGAAACTAAGTACATTCAGTCCTCACCAAGAAGGTAATCATCAAATCATACGGATAAGGAATTTTTATGTTATATTATTATCATATTGATTAGCATATCATTTAGTATGATAATTTATCACCTAGCATGGTCCTTTGTACAAGTTTTTACCTAGGTTTTGTGAAAAATGATGTAATAAGCAAAGATATATGAATCATTGAGTGGTTGTTCAAAGAAAGGTTCAATTAGCTTCACCTTTTAATGCTGTTAGAATATTTCAAAATATAAAGACTTGCGACCTCCAGTGTTATAGAAAGATATCACTGCTGCATTGCTATTCTTAACAACACAGGTTACCTGCTCAAGACATACAGCTCATTCTTTGATTTATGGATGCAAGTAGAGCAGCAATGCAGGGTTTATATTTTGTGTTATACATCACAACTATCAATATATCATAGAATGTGGGAAAAAAGCAGAAATAGATAACCACAGAGCATAACCACTGAAGATAAAGAACAGTCTTTAGCATTTTTCATTGTTAAAATGGCTTAATTTTCGAAGTTATGTCACTTTATTATCTCAGCTGTCTTGAAAAATGCTTATCATTTGTATGCAGTTTTCTTAACTTGTTGTTAATCATTGAAACATGGATGGTTGTTTTGAATTGTTCTGTTCTTGAGGAAGATCTTCCAATTCTTTCAATTTTTAGTTTGTATGAAGAAGGGCTAATTTCAATTGAGGACAAATATGTTAAAGAGATCACAAAAGCTGGAATGTTGATCAAGAAAGGCCACAAGGTAAAGTCTCTGAAAGAGAGATGGTTTGTGTTACAACCAGGCAGGCTGTCTTATTATACAACCAAGTCAATGCGAGAACTAAAAGGCACTATAATAATCAACGGAAAAGCAACAGTTGAAAGTTTACCAGATTCTAAGACAGGCAAATGCAGATTTACAGTCAAATGTGGTGAGAAGAATGTGAGCTATGAAATGGAGGCAGAATCCCAAAGAGATAAGAATGAATGGATAAATCAGATACAAGCAAGCATAGGTAAATTCAATTAGATAAACTACTCCTAGCCTGTTCCTAGCCTGTGAATTATGTTATCGAGAAGAATTAGATGAAAGTGGTACTCATTTTTAAAAAAGTTTTCTTTTGTCTTTAGACTCTACTTCAATTTAAATCTTGTGTAACATTATAGAATGTGAAAAGGGTAAATCATTGCTGTACATGGAATTGGAAAAGAGAATGGTTGAACGTGCTAAGAAACAAAAACAGGCTGCTGAGGAGGAGCAAAGACGTACAGACCAGGAAACCTTGATCAAAGAGCAAATGCAGGTAATTGAAATTGGGAAGTTACAATAGATGTTTCCTTTTTATTTGTTATTTTTGTAATTTGACTGTACAACTAACTATATAATCTTTTCTTCAGAATTCATATTTTGAAGTGTCAACTTATGCTGGTGCCTTGTATTGTGTTTAGAAAGCTTTTAATTTTAAACAGGCTTGAGAATAAGGCTATAGATATTCAGTAACAGTTTGTTTGTTTCCAGTTAGCATAGTCTTCAAAATTTTCACCATATTTGTTTTCTTAAGGAATTAGAGAAAATGAAAATTGCTCAAAAGGAGGCTGAGGCTCATGCTGAAAAGGAGGCAGCCATGCTTGAAGATGAGCGAAAACGCCGTGAAGAATTGGAATTGTTGAAAGAAGAGTACGAAAAACTTTTGGAAAATGAAAGAAACGCCCGGGAAGAAGAGGAAGCTGTGAGGAAAGAGCAAGAGCAGCTTCTGCTAGAAGAAAGAGTTAGAAGAGAAGACCTCGAGAAAATAAAAGTCATGCAGGAAGAACTATTAGAGACTGAAAGAAAACACCGGGAAGGTTTAGAGGAAGAATCAAAGGAACAAGCCAAGGTATTGGAAGAGGAACGAAGAAAAATGAAAGAACTGGATGAGGCAAGACAGAAAGCCGAGGAAGCAATTGCTGAGGCACACGCGAAGTTGCAAGCTGCAGAAGAAGAACGAAGGAAGAAGGCTGAAGCAGTTGAAATGGCAAAAGACAAAACTAGGAGAATGAAGATCCCTGAAAGATTAGCGCAACCACTTAGTAAGGTGAAATATGCTCAGATTTTGTGTCAGTTTGCTGTCATCGATAAGGACACATTAACTTATTTCTACACTAAATGTAGACCCGGTTTAAGTAGAGACAGGAGCAACTGAAATATAGCGTAGCGTCAATCGTAAAGATGTTTTTAAGCAAAAGCAATAGGGATAGTTATGGTGTGTGGAAATCAATTTTTCATGGATTGAAATAAATAAAATAAAATAGATAATATATACATTTTTATAGCGACGTATATCCCCAGGGCTCATAGGCGCTTAACAGCATAACTATTAAACATGTGCTGATCTGGCAAAAACCTATGATTGATCATAGATGCTTAACAAAATAACTATCAGCATTAAATTAAGCTTCGACATATAATATACATGGTTGATCTAGAAGTCGCTATATTAGCTATCAAGCGTAATCTAAGCCTGTTGGCTTGTCATTGATTAGCTCGATTAGTCATGCTAACTAATCTTTTTGCTGGTTACTTTTGGAGTTTATTGGACTAGTTTAGGAAATATTCCGAATGAACCAATCGTCAGCTTGAATTTTTCAGGTTTGTCAAGGATTTGTAACGCATCGAGGAGCTGGGGCATTCATCGAAGAGGATTTCAAAAAGAAGGACGCCGAAGAAACCAAAGTTAAACCCGAGCCTGTTAACAAAACTGTTGATGACGGAGGTGAACGCACAGCCATTATTGAAAGCAACCTAGTACGACCTTCTGAGAAGAGTTTGTTTTTAAAGGACGAATAAACACCCTGTTTTTATTATTTATTAGTCTCTGGAAGATTTATAACATGTAGAAGTAAAAGTGTTGCTTTTTTCCATTTATTTTTATATTTTTTATAGGTGATAATAGCAAAATTTAGTGCACAATATCTTGTTTTTGGTTTTAAAATAAGGATAGTGAAGAGCAAATTATCTAACACATTTATCTTGAATTTTGCACCATTTGGCCTACCTTCGCTTATTTTAGTTGATATATATATAATTCTTGCCAATAGTCTGACAATGGATCGGTATTTTGATGACTCGAACAATGGAAACAGACAAGCCGAATTCAAAGGCCTAAGACAATCGAAAAAATGCACGCATAGAATGCCAAAATCAAAGGATTTCCCCAATTTTCCCAAACGAACAATCGAGAATCGTGCATTTTTCGATTAAGTAGGCAATTGAGGTTCGCTAATCGACACTTAGCTCTCTAATCGTGCTATTAAATTGGGTTCGGCTGCTACCTCGAAAATAGTAAAGTCTGCTTCATTTCCAGACTGGAATCTTTTTAATGGCGGGAATGAGCGAGATTTTAATCCGCCAACGTTCCAAAGGCCTCAACAAATAAACGAACGATGAACTTTTTTGTGTATCTGAGGTGAATTTCCAGATATTCTCAAAACCAAAACTCCCACTATTTACATACAAAGATTGATTAAATACCAAAGATTCAAGTTCTCATGAAGTGTCTGCGTAAGATTAATAGTCTCTTCTATAAAGTTAAAATGCTAACTTTTATCTCAAGATCTACATTTAACGATTTGAAATTTAACGATACAACAGTTTAGAACAGTAAGTAAATATTTCTAAGCATTAAAACAGTTTTAACTGCTACTAGCGACACAACGAGAATAACGATACAACAGTATACAACAGTAAGTAAATATTTCTAAGCATTAAAACAGTTTTAACTGCTACTAGCGACACAACGACAATAACGATAAAACAGTATAGAACAGTAAGTAAATATTTCTAAGCATTAAAACAGTTTTAACTGCTATAAGCGACACAACGACAATAACAGATGAATACACATTGATTTATAGAAGATTTATTTACACTTTCCCCCAAAACGGGGCATTTTCACAAATATCACAGATAGCACACTGAGGCCCCAGGGAGTCACTCAAAATTTTATATACGGGGATGTCCATCCGCAGTTTTCGAAATTCACCTAAAATTATCAAAAGCAAATTCAACAGACCAAAAATTATCAGCTAAATTATCATTGATAGGACCCAAAAATATAAAAGTACAAAATCTTGTTGTTGAGCACATAAGAGAACACGGTTCATAGAAATCTAGACTGTTTCCTATAAAAATAAGTTTAAACACATATGTTCTTTTATTTTCTTTTTGATATTATTTTGTGTTAGTTGAACTCAAAGTATCAAAAAGGTATATTATTAAATCAGGTACCCGCAAGGATCAGATTCTACCCATAACTGTCGGATAGACCTCCCTTTATTTAAAAATTTCTAGTGACCCACCTCGGCACTGAGGTTACGCTGTGTTGTTTATAAGGCGGCGTTGTTGATAAGACGTCGTTTTCAAGCAGTACTCGACTGCTCTTTATATTTCTTTTGATTGAAGCCAAAGCCACGCTTCAGTCTCTCTGCTAATTCGTTCATGATTATTTTTCTCTCTACAACTGTGCGCTGCATTACCGATCTGTTCTCTTGAGCTCGCCTTGTCAGATACAATAAGGTGCTGTCCACTGTCCCATACGGTACTGATTTGTACACCTCACAGTTCATTTTTGCTAAAAGACAGAAATGCAAGTTGCATTAAGCTTGCGTCTTCAACCAGAATGGAGGTTATCAGCATTTTTCATATCTACATAACCGTAAGTCCTAAAACAAGCCCTTCTTTTCGAATTATTCCTCCCCTCTAACATAAGCCTCGACCCTAATGTAATTTTTTTAAATAAAACCCTGTCCTCAAATAAGTCTCCGTGGGCTGAGGTACTGCCTCGATAACAATAGGTTTACCCCAATATATCTGCATTTTAAGCATACTCGCCAACCTCAAATAAAGTTAGAAAATTTACCCTGGTAATATTTTTGGCTGCTGCTAAATTAAGGCCCACCATCGAAAAAGCACCCACCGCAAAAGGTTTTTGCCAAATAAGCCCCCAGGGGCTTATTCGAGGACTTAAAGTACATTACCAGCTAAGCTGCCATTAAAAAGGGGGTGGGAGAGTATGGGCCTTTGGGAAAGGAAATATTTTGTGTAATTCACAAATGAGAGGTTTATAAAAGATTAATAAATTGGAGGTAAAAGTAATTAAAAACTAAAATCTTTCGAATATGCACTTCCTTGAAGAATTCTTGTACAAAGATTTCATTTTGGAAAGAACGGCTTTGCAAGTCCAATTTCTCTTTATGTGCCTCAGAATCAAAGGCTAAAAAAGTAGAGCTGGTACTTGTTTCCAGTGTTGTGACAAATTGGAGCCTAGTTAATGTATTATTTGTGTCGATGAAGAAAACTACAGCTATGTTCGAGATACAAGGGGTGGCCTCTATAAACATCTGGTGAAAAGGGCCTTTACTTGACCAACGTCGGGGGAAGCAAGTAACGAACTGTTAGCAACAAACAATGCTACCTCGTTTCAACAACGGGATTCCATAATGAGGTTGATAGCCGAATTTTACTTACGTTTTGGGCGATTTGGATGCAAACCAGTTACATTTCTCATGAAATCAAAAGAAGGAAGCCTAATAGGATGAACCTACCGAGAGCTTCTGTCACGTGATCACACATCCCGTAAAGCTGGGCAAAGCAAACATCACTAGTCGCAAGACTCAAACCAAGATCTTTTACCCTGCGAATAAGTTTACAGTTTATCCATTTGCTACGTGGCTTCGAAGGATAAGCAAAAGAGGGAGGGAAGCAGTAGTTGTGCTATGACTGTGGACAGTGATTAAGTTCCTTTCTGCAGGAAAAACCGCCATTTTCTAATCTATCAAAATATTATGTCAACTTAAAATAGGGTATTCAAGTTATTTTTGGTTTCAGATTATTTTTAAATTAAACAAACTTCAAATAACCATGATAATTGTTAAAACTAGTCTAAAACTCATACAGTGAATTCGTAAGATATATAGTGAAATCTTCCTATTTCCAATTCCAAGTTTGTAACAAGTTAGAAAAGTTGCTTTCTTTATCTTTTTATCTTCTTTATTTGAAATTTGCAGACTGAGTTTTAAAAATGGGCGTTTCTTATCAGTTTCCAGTCAGCTAAAGGGTGTGGCACAAAGTCCAAGCATTATCCAGCACCCCCTAATCATTGCCGCTTAAACCACGCCCTGCTGGTGCCCTACCAAAATCTATGCATTTGCAAACGAAGAGGTCTAACCTCGAGAGCTTCCTATTAACTAAATTCGTTTTACTTCTTCTGGAACCCATAAGAGCTTCTCTTTGTGTATTTCATATTAAAGTATCTTGAAACTGCCATCTAGCTTTACACTGTGTTAATCATCGGTCCATGTTGAGGAGGCCTTTACAAGTGACAATGCAGGCACTGCGGAAAAGGGGGATGGGAGGGGCTATAGCCACCCAGCCACTTTTTGCCAAAAATGCAAAAAGTTTACCAATGAATCACCAGTCAAGCCACTTTAAAGTTGGTTTTATCCCCCCCCCCCACTTTTTAGCCCCCCTACTTTTCTTAACGCTCCGCGGTGCCTGCAGCTCAATGAAACAAAACAACCCTTTACCGTTGGAGGACATAGCTGATCGTTTCTTCATTGTGGCTGGCTATCATAACTCCTGCACGGTTCTCTTTCACGAGAGGGAGAATATAATCAACAACAGAATGGTACATCTCTGTTGTTCTTTCAAATCCGTCGTTTATTGGGTCATCCTTACCAGTCTCGCTTGCAATGCGCCTCTCTTCAACCATGTACGCTCCTCGAACAAGTTTCCCGGCAATTTTGAAACCGTTGGCTGTTGCATAATCGTGATCTGCTTTGACTCTTTTCAATGTATCCTATTGAAAACAGTAATTTAAGACTAACTGAACAATTTAAATGAATATATAGAATCCTTTCCTTTCAAAAAGATTGCAATAAGTTTTCTTGCTATTCCACAACATTGGCCTACACAATAAGTACACCAGTTCGATCCTTTTTAAAAATATCATGTTAAAACCTGAGTGTTGCATTTTTGTAAGAAAAAGTAGGATTAAAGATACGAACCTTGCGATAACATTGATATGTATTATAAACAACCGGCTTTTCTTTGTTGTACTTTTGTTGTAAGACAAGGACAAAGTAGGCCAGCGCGGCTTGTACGTATGTTTGTTCTGCATCTAACATCAATCTTAGGCCCATTTTATTGCTTATCTACAAAAAACAAATTGCCTGATGACTTTTTAGAAAATTTTAGAAATTTTAAACTCCTGGCTCAAAATTGAATAAAGCAGTTAAATAATTTTCATTAAAGCATTTTCTCTGTTTCGAGTTAAAGTGGTCAATTTTTTATCTTCATATATAACAAAAATTAGCATTTGTCTTTATGTTGAATTGTTTCTTTTCAATTTGATGTTTATGGGACAGTCAGGCAACCGAAAACGCCTTTTAAAAAACGTAAAATTTCCTATGCATTTCACTGAAATTTTATGCTGTAGTGAAAAAATTGATGACGTCATTAAAGACCCAGAGTTCCCATCGTGGAAATAAAAAATCCAGAGATCTAGAGATAAAAAGACTAATTAAATTTTTTATACATTAGAACATCATTTGCAAAAATATTGATACTTTTCAGGACTAGATTTTTGAATTTTAGTCTCTTTTTCTCCATTATGATTTCGAGCATATAATGAAGTTGAAATTCAGCTATTCAAATTAACACTTCTTGTATCGTAACTAAACACGTAATGCAAGCAACTCGCACACTTCGAATGTCTATATGTAATAACAGGGGAAATTGTGTAAGTGGAATGAATTTTCATTGTACAAATCGACCTATCAGAATAATTGATACGTAGCCCACCTTTGCAAGTTGATCAAACCTCTCCAAGGCCATTCTCAACTGGCTATTCGTTTGTTCACTGAAGCTTGGGATGTCGATATCCTATAAAATCGAGATTCTCTTTAGTAAACCTTAAAGGAGAAATCTTGCAAACAAAGTCAGCTGTACCAGAAAATGCTGGAACTAATTTTAGATTATATAGGAAACAGAAAGTGAAAAAGTATAAAAATAAATATGGATTTGCTTGCCGTTAACATTAGCCCTAATAAACACTCTTATAAGTCAAAATTTTAAAATCTTGTACTTTAATTTTTCTTCAAACTTCAAATCTTTTAATTTTTTATACAATTCACAAGCAACAATACGAAGACAATTTTCTTTCTTTCAAAAAGCTCTATTTACCCTCTACCCCCTGTCAAGCTTCCTTACATCTAAAACTAAAGAAGCACCCTGCCGGGGGAAGTACTCGACAAAACTTTCTACAATACTATTTGATTAAAAAACTACAAAACAGCTACCTGGTAACTTTCTGTTTCCAGTAATTCCCCGACTCTCCTTATGTCCCATTCTAGAGGTTCTTTATGACCATACTCATAACCAATCAATTCTTTATTCATGCACAGCTGCAAATGGGATGGTTTACAAATGAAAATACCTAAAAAGCACGTATAAAAGAATGGCACACATTATCTGGTACTTCAGACTACAGTAAATACGGCAGAAAAAAAGAAACATTTTCTACATTGAAAAAAATCTAAATGGATTAAAGATGGCAGATCTAACAGCATACAAAATAAACCATGGAATTAAATAAAAGCTTCATGCTTTTGTTATTCAGTTTTGGCGGACTGATATTCGGCACAAGTCAAAGCTGAACTCACCAGAAGTTCTGGCTCACAGAGGGCTGTCAGTTTGATTTGAGAAAATCCTCCTCTTTCCAGCTTATCTATAATTTTGAATGAGAAATTTTATTATAGGAACAGAAGTTTAAAAATTTTTTGGTGCAGCTAAATGTTGAAGGATTTCGCGTCTGTGGCTTCCTTGGGCTCAAGAGCCACAAAATTGAGAGCGCAGAAATTGAGAAGATTCAGAGATGCGGCGGAAACGCTTCTCCGCTCTGTCCCTCTGCTTCTGGCTTTGATACCCAGGGTTCTATTTGCCATAATAACGATCAATGTAAGTAAATTTTCCTGGTACAAGTGCAGATATTTAAGGGTTTAAACGAGTGCAGTTATTTAACATAATTTGGCAGGAAATGCGTTGATAATATTGTGTTGTACCCCTAACAATTTCTTTTTATTGAAAGGGCGAAACTAGAGAAGGAGTTACTAGCTAGGGACGGTTCAAGAGATCCCACGTGACTGTCACGCAACTAAATACTATTTGATTGCGTCAGAAAAGATAAATGTAGTATTTAGATGCAAGGATTCCTTGGTTAGATTTATAAAGTTTAAATTTGTTGCTAAATTGGAGAAAACAGTTTGAAAAAACATTTAAGTGACATTGCAGTTAACTAACAAAGTTAGCAACTAGCTGGACAGATGTTTCTAGGACCAGAATCCTTCCTTTATCTTTAAAGCAATTCTTTTCTTCGTAAGGTCAGGAAACTCCTGTTAGTCAGCTGTGCTAAACACTTAAACGTAGAAAGTTTATAGGGGAATAAAGAGGGGAGCTGATGAAAAATCGTTTTATGGTTCTGCTTCTTATTTCAATACGGCCTACCTGTCATGTCGATGCATCCTTTTACAATTTCAGTGTTCTTTTGCCACATCTCCGTCCTAAAAATATTGGTATGATTATGATACAAACGATAAATAATAAAAATTGCTGTTTACCAGTCTGTCAGAAATGCAAACTGGGAGTGGATAAATAGATTAATCAAGGATTGCCTTTTGAAAAGTAAATGTTTCTGTTGGGAATCCGCCATTTTGCATCAACCACGTGTATTTTTACAGTTAGTTCATTGATTTCGTCGGGTTCTTTGTTAGTCATGCAAGTATTTTCTTCTGGTGGTTTTGGAGTAGCATTTGCGTCAAAACCTCGCTTTAAGCTGAATCCGTCCGAGGTTATAGGAAATAGTTATACCACGCCCGCTGATTAGGTTATTAGACTTATCCAGAATAAACACCTGACTAACATATATGCAAGTTGATTGGTAGTTATAATTAAAAGTTCATGACTCAAAAGTAATTAGCAACATAAGTAAACGTATATATTCCACAAATTTATTAGAAAAAGTAGAGTGTTCGACGCAGGAGTCGTCTTAGCGTTGTAATCGTTAGAGATTTTGGAAAAAGACGGAGATGTAAAGCTAATAGTTGTATTTTCTCGGATTAATGTTTCTGCTTTTGGGTTCTCTATTCTGATACCAGCGAGATTGGAGGTTTTCCTCAACAGTTTCATTAGCCCGTGAAATTGACATTATGCTAACATTTGGCAATGCCCTTAAGCTTCACTATATGCAACAATTTAATCCTTCTATCTTTATTATAAAGAAAGCTTGGGAAACATTTTTGTGGTTCGATCGGTTACAAAATTTTTTTGTTATTTTATGTTTAAACCTCACCGCATATGATCAAAAACAGGACCTTGTCTGGGAATTAGTTAAACACCTCATTCTAATTAACATGTTCGTAACAGTACCAATACAAGAGCAAAATTTCATTTTCTCAAGTTAATTTATATTCAAGGCACTGTATCAGTGAAGCGGGGTAGGGCATGTACAAAATCTAAAATCGAGAAACGACGGAGAAATTCTCATTATGCGAATTGCAACGGCGACCTTTCAAATAAATAAATTAAGAAGAAAAGCAATTCAGTCCTTAAGGCTCCTGCGTAACCGGCCTACTTTGCGGTAGCTATTTTTACGAGATTAGAAATGGATTGTATTTGGTATTTTTATGAAGCTCGATATTAGGCCGGGTTTGAACAAATATCCGCAAAGCATGTTGGTTGCGCAAGAGCCTTTAACGTCTGGTAAGAGGCTGGTTACAGTTAATGAGGTGATTAGAGAGCTTACCCAAGTTTTAGGTCATCTTCGTTTGAAGCTGTTGTTTCTATGGGTATACAGAGCATAGAGCGAATTCCAGCACTTCTTAATTTTTTAACATTCTTTTCCAGAATTGGCATTGATTCACCACCAGCGAATTGTCCATAAAATGTGGATCTCAACACTGCATCAAAAATTCGCTGCCCAACCAATTTCTTCGTTGTCTTTAAAATCTAAAAATTCATAGAAATAAGTCAGTCTTTAACGTCTTATCCGATAATGGCAGGTGAGAACCTCTATGATGATTATTATTGTCATAAACCAGGGGATCTTTCCAGGCCCTTGAATTTTCTCCCCACTCGTTTGTCCATAATTCCCCACTAGCCAGAGTCCCCCACTAATTGTGATTTTTTCACAAAGTTTTCAAGTTTGTTCTGGCCTACACCTTACCTTTTCTTTATTCTGAAATATATTATTCTAATATTTGGTATTTATTTTGAATTCCAGAATTTTGAATAAGTATTTTCGAAGCAATTGGTAAGCAGATATCAGTGAGAGGTTTAGTAAGTGGTCAGGATGGGGGACTGATAGAACCAATCTTTTATAACTTTCTAAGTTTTTAATTGGGTTCTAACTATCAGCATCAGCAACAAGTTTGGAAACATGTAATTGTAAGAATTCTGTTTTTCTTTACCTTTTTTGATGCCAGGCATGGTAAATGATTTCAATCTTAGATGCATTAGAACATTGTATAAATTTAAAAAAAGATGATCTTATCAATAGACCCCTCCAATGCAACTTTCCAACTTGTTTTCCATAAACGATCTGAAAGGCATTTTTTATTTCATATAGCTTTCACTTCAAATAGCACATTACCAAAAGTTGAAAAAATAAGTGTTTTAATTGCAAATCAATTATTTAAAAATCAGGAATTGACAGCCCTTGCTCTTTGAACGCACGGAAGAAATTCTAGTCACCATCAATTGTGAAGGGCGTGGCACCAGCTCCACCCAAAACTGAGAACCCCTTAAAATTTTTTCTGGAGTGCTTTGACAGTTTTGCTTACATTATTGTTCTACAAACATGCCAAGATCTGAAGGCTCGTTATTTTGTCTGGCTTATGCAACTTTTCAATGCATGGGAGTTGAACAGAACATGAAGATGTAATTGGGAACAATACAAATTCTAAAAGTAGCCATTTCGCTGTGCAAGCGTGAGGATCACAAGACCGGAACTACGCAATAGGAACAATATAACAGAACAATAGATTAGCGATAAGTATAAACTGTTATCTATGATTCATTCAAAAGTTCCCAGAATCTCATCCATTGACCTTTGTGATAAGTTTATTTGGTTGATGAGTCAAGAAGATACGGATTGTCTGATATCAATAGCTAATTTTATATCGCTGGCTTTTGAATCACGGGAAACTTTTGGGAAGTCCTCTACGTGCATATCCTCGTTGCGTAAAATTTCTAGCTCGTCATCATTTTTTCATCTGTTTATCTTTGTATTAGCTGTTTGCTGTTTTCTGAGATTTATTGTTAATTTGTAATTATGTTAACTTGTAAGTATAGTAATTGTGTTGGCTGTTTTCTGAGATTTATTGTTAATTTGTACTTATGTTCCGAGATTTATTGTTAATTTGTAATTTTGTTAACTTGTATGTATGGTAATTGTGTTGGCGATGGGCCATTTCGGCCTACGAGCCTTAAAAAAAAGATATGTATATAGCGGTGATCATAATAGATAATGAGTAAGGACTGATGTGCAAACAAAGCAATATGACGACAAGAATCCAAAGTAATACGCTAGAATTTTAAAATAAATTAGATTTTAAGGCATTGAGTCATGATAAATAGACTGGGTATACCCTAAGTGCCAAAATCCGCTGAGTCATGATTTCCATGACTGCGATGCTATTGGTTGACCTTGAACTGGTCACATGAACTCACCTCGAACTGATCGACAAAACAATTTTCATCAATAGCAAGTTGTCAACAACGGATGCCAATATCACATGAAACAGCAGCGATCACGCCGAAACCAAATGACCCCCTATAGAGAAGGCCTATTTACCATGACTCAATGCCTTTAACGAGTACTAATATTTCGTCGCGGTAAACAGGGCTTCATCAGAGTAAAAAAAACATACTACTCGTCCCTTCGCTTTTGTTTTTGCCGTCAGTTGCGTCCCGTTAAGCAAAAAGCTCTTTTGTGACATTTCCCCACCAGTGAAAACTTCTTATATATAAGATCCCCTGCCATAAATATTGTCATTTCTTTCAAGATATCAGGTGTAACCTGGGAAGAGAGAACGTGTTTTCTATTGTGAACCAAACCCTAAATCATCATTTCGCGTTATGGTCTTACTCTCGAGCAAAGTTCTAGATGATTCCAATTCCAATGCTTTGCTGCAAGACAGGGTTTTGGGTGACTTTGGCCGCAACGAGAAGAGACTCAAAATACGTAAAGATCCGAAAAAAACTTTCAGCGTATGATTCTGAGCTATTTCACCTCTTGAGATGACAGGACGGCAGATGTACCATGTAAGGGAGGCTCGTGGGGCTTGTTGTGTAAGTTTGCTGTTACTGCGTATGTTTATGTAACTGCGCATATCTGTTTCATAACTAACTAGAGGATAGTTTACCATAATGCGTTCACAGTTCTTTTATATTATGCCGTGGGAAATTTAGCGTGTATTATATTTACTTAAATCATTTCTTTTTGATTGTATTCCCAATACTCACTACAGTTTGTTTGTTTATTTTGATAACCATAGATACGTTCACTAATTGTAACATAAGGGAGTGTTCAAACTATTTGATTCAGATTGGTTGTGAGTTGTTGAAGTGTAGTAGTGATTTTGATTGATGAAATGTTATGTTATTTGAAATGAAGTTATCTCCTTGAAAGTTGGGATCTGTACCGCGGAACCAGTAAATATATTGTACAGGGCTCAGCCCCATTTGTTAACAATTAGAGAGAAGTTCTAGGTCGGCCAGTATTTGTTTGGTTGGGCCTCACTTGGCAATGCGAACTAACTCTTTATTTACCCTGGGTACCAGAGCCTCAGTGAAAGGGTGGGTTGAAGAGTGGTAGGCCTGCCACTTATCGACCTAAACTTTCACCGACCCACTTTTTCACTGTGGCTCTGGCACCCAGGGTACCCTTTATTATGCTATTTATTTTCACCGAATGAGCATTTTATATCAGCGTCGGTTAATATTTTGAGTGATTTCATAGCACACAATAGTACACGATAGAAAATGATTTCATAGCACACAAACGCAAAGGCAAGTTTCACCGAATGTTAACCGTTATAAAGTTTTCAATATTGACTGAGACCCCGTTTACACTAGCACGGATCCAAATGGATCCGTACCCATTTGGATCCGTTCTAGTGTAAACGGGGTCTGACGCGATCGATGATCTTGGAACCTTTCACCTACAGCACCTGGGGACCTGGGGGACCTGAGGGCAGAAACGCCGAGCCGCGAAATTTAGTTGTTTGTTGCCAGGTACCGCGCACCAGTCTAAATGTAGGAGGGCTGACAAGAGCGCGACAGAATTTTTTGAGGCCACGCCAACTAGAACGCCGGAAAAAGACCCTTTTGAAAGTACTGGCTTATTTCTACTGGGGTTTTGTAAACAATCTGGTTCAGAGAAGATATCAATAGCTATAAAGATAGATGAAATTAGTAGGGGATAATAAAACAGCAAGAAAAACACCTAGAAAATAAACAGAAAGGGTTCCCAGTCAAGAAAAACTGCTACTTCTTAGGAGTATACGATTCAATGTTGCGTTGAGGCCGATTTCCATTTGACATTTTTTGTTCGGCTTTTAGAGCATAGTTAGAGTAAACTTTAAAAAAAGTTTTCTAACCTATTATTGCAAGAAAGTGGAGGGGCTATAGCCCCTGCTAGCCCAATGGCTGCACGGTGCCTGTTTGTTGCGACAGGGTTATTATTTGTTTACTCGCTTTTTGGATTTGGAATTACTTTGATTGGAAATGACGGTGTTATTACGTTGCTAAGTATAAGTTTAGGTGACACGATTTGAAAACAGACAATAGCAATACACTTTTACGAATCAAAACTTTTATTGCCACTATATCCGTTTCTTAAATCACATTTCAATTTCTATATATGTATATATATATTAGAAATTTGTCTTTTGATACTTCCGTAGCACAGTGCTCAATACGTTAGCACGTAGAGCGTGATATATCATAGATTGAAGAAAGTAAAACTACATGGTTTATCTATATATATTATATATATAGATGATCAGTAAAAAAACAACAAATAAAAGAAAGAAAGGGAGAAGGGAATTCCATCCACTTACTTTCTCACTATGATCAACAAATGTTTCCATTGAGGAAATTCTCAATATCAGCAAAGCTCGAAGCAAATCAAAATTGGTTTTCAACTGAAACGATACCAGTTTTCCACTAGCAGGTACATTGTCGTTGGGCACGTCACTCCATGTTTTGGTTGTCCTACGTTTCTTCAGATGCAACGACGCTGTAAAGTTGACACGCCTTAACAAAACATTTAAGTTCATTATATTGCTCCTCGATGAAAGCATAGTTCCTCGCTGTTTCTGCAGATATCCTGATCTGAATAGGCTAGATCTGAAGGGCAGAGGCGACAACGATCGCATTTTAATGATTGTGTTGGTCTATTGTGATCTCAATGTTTTGAAATAGGACTCGTCAGACCGGTTTGGTCAGGAACGCAGCAGACCGCTAGACTCACTCCATGAGCCTCTGTTTCGCTACTGCCTCACTTGACGGACGCTACAACAAACGGACCGCAAGATTTCATGTGACTTACGCGAGGTAGCCACGGGATTACAAGTGTTGCCAGGCCACATAATCCAGGTAGCGCTGAAAGACCGTATTGAACTGACAGGGCCCAACCCACCGGAGGGCCGGGGGGGGGGGGTGGCATGGCCCCTCATTTATTTTTGAAGCAGGTAATTTCAAAGCTACAATCAAAGGTGAAAGTAGCCATGGCCCCCCATTTTCAAATTTGCGGCGTGGGCCCTGAGAGGGAGGAGAGGGGATGCAAATTTCAACCCCGTCTCTCCGTAAATATTAGCATATTAGCAAATCAATATCATAATTCGATTATTTCTCCTATCTCCTATCATGGGAGTGGTCTAAAGGTAAGAAAAAAAAGTGCGAGTTTTCACCTGATGGGAAACATTACCAAGTAATTTAAACCTAAGCCGAGCAATGTTCCCGTACGATAAATTCAGCCCAAGATATACAAGAGAAAAACAAACTGGTAGTGATTCCAAAGTTCTTTCTATCAGCGGTATCACGAAACTGTGACCTACCAACTAGATTCCAAAAAATCAGTTATAAAAATTCTAATTCCAATACACACGTTCGCCATCAAATCCATAAACCCAAAAAGAACCTGCTATCCACAATCAATCCCCCAAATCTCAATTAAATCCCTTCACATACATCAGGTAAATTAACAAAACAATTCTTATTATTTACAACTACAACTAATCGAGAAGAACACGTTGGGAATTTCGTAAGAATGCGCTTTCAGTGTACCGATTAAAAACAGCAAACAAGAATTTCTAATCCAAATTTTGGCCAAAAAGAAGCTTCAAGAAACGTTTCTCATATGCCTAGTCTACAACAGTTTGCTTCAATTTCACATATTTACTTTTAAGACTCTGCTTTGACCCTCCTTTTAATGAGAAAAGCGTTCATAAGAACACTGAAGCTCGAATCACCAAAAAACAATGTTGGGAAATGAAAAATTAAATTTGTTTGTGATTGTGATTGTGAGTGTTTGTGAAATTTTCATCTGAAATGTTTTGTGAAAAATGTCATGCGAAAAAAAATTTGTGATCCTAGAGATGAACAAAATTGGGTGATCATATCTCAAATTGGGTGAACAAAATTTAAGAACACCCTAACCTCAATATTTCGAAAAATAACAACAGTCAGTCACTGCAAATATTATCTGGTCAAAAATCATCTTGTTTTTATAAAAGAAGAGTGTTGCTGTATACTTCATTGAAACGTGAAGAGAGATTTCTACGTTTGAATCAATATTTTTTGATGTGGTATGAATGTCAAAGTTTGCTCTTGAAACAGGAAAAAGCTGTGACAAATTTTAACATTTTCACTAAAAAATTTTATGAAAAGAGTTTAGGATGGTCTTTTATAAGCTTGGTTTGCCAGTGTAATAAAAATTTAGTCAAGGAGGAAGGATTAACAAAAATATTAAGAATATGAAGGGGAAATAGAGGATAGATCTTATGGACCCTCTTAACGAGTAACTATCAAAACATTTCAGTTTCGTCGAGAAGACAGGGGTATTTTCATCTCCTCCAAACAAGCAAAACGCTGGCCTGCAGGTGGTGTATTGACAAGGGCAACAATTCCCACCAAGATTGCTTCAAGCAAGAATACATTCAGTGTACATCTGCTCAATTTTAATATTAACATAATTACTTAAATATACAACAAAACAAACTATATCAAAGAAAAAAGCAAAGAAGAAAGACACTGAAATTGAAAATTTACATTTTCTATTAGTTTTTACAAGTTTTAACACGAAAGCGTACAATAAAATGTCATTAAAATTTGAGACAGGAATTTTTCATAAACAGTGGGTTATCAAAAAGCTCTTTTTAAACAGCTATATCAATAAACTATTTCGAACGAAATATTCTCCCAGAAATTGAAGGGCATAAATACAATTTTTGCCTAAAAAGTATTTAATAGACATGGGAACCAATATAAACAAATATTTGGCGTATGGTATCAATACTTTGGTGGGCAATGTAGCTCAAAACCTAGAAGCGTATTGCATTCTAAAGATTTTCTTTTTCTACAAAATAATTACCCTGGGTACCAGAGCCACAAAATTTCGAGCATGTAAACAGAATGCCAAACAGAGAAGCGGAGGAGCGGCTACGCTTCTCCAATCCTATGTCCTGTTTCCTCTTGAATTTATGTGGCTCTGGTACCCAGAGGACAAAATAATATACATTTAACTGGAAACTCTCACGAAACCCCTGTGTTCACGAAACCACAACAGCATCTATTTAATTAACAATTTTTATTATTTAATGTACAGATCAATTTTCATAAAACAAGCATACATGTACAATAGAACAATGTTATAATACTTTGGCAACGTTTTTGCACTGTGAACATGATGACAAAGTACTTCGAGCTACGGCCACGCAAACGTGGTACACGCTGCATTCCCATACCATTAAAAGTTTCATTTGTACTGAAGATTTAACGTCACTTGAATAAATGCATTGCAGAACGAACAGATCTTTAGACAACAATAGACATGAAACCACACAACTAAAAGATAAAATTTCAATGATTATGCAAAAGAAATGCAAAATTTAGTAGGTATTCTACAAGTGCAAGCTACGGCACAGTAGGCACGTTAGAACCAGGGATCAAGGTAAAAAACCCTGGCTATTACTGTGAATAATCACTTAAAAGAAAAGGTCTTAGATTCGTCTCTTGTGATAATTCTCAAGCTTGTTCTTTCAAGATTCGTCTCAAGCCTGTTATTCAAACAATGTTATTGGCCTGAATAACAATCTTCATTGTTCTTAGGCCAGGGGGTAGCAAGAGGGGGGCAGAGGGGGCCTGGGTCCCCAAAATTTTAGAGAGTTCCCAAATCAAAACGTTTGCAGATCGTACTGCATTTCAAAGTGTGCACATGTTGCCTCTTAACCCTCTCTGCTATGACTGTGTTGGTTTGTACATGTTTGTGCATTACCTCTGTACGTTATTTTAGATATAGTCATTTCTATATGTTGGTAAACAAAATTTTAGGCCCCCCCCTCCCACAATGTCAAAATACTAACTACCCCTATGGCTTAGGCTATTTCAAATCTGTATAGTACGTACTGCCTGTATTTCTCTATTTACAAATCAAACCTTCCAATTAGCAACCTGATCATTGAGCTCGCGTTAAAGATTAGCTCCCTTCAGCCAAAATCAATAATGGTATCCTTATGAAAGTTGTGCTCCACTTGCTGGTATAGCAAACTTCCACACAGTGTACCCATTTTGCAGCTGAACCTGTATTGCATGTACTTGAAAAAACTTTGGCATTATCTTTATTAGCATCTGATACTCGACTTTGATTGGTTTCGCTTAAAGCTTAGATATTTGTATGTAACACAAAAAACATGTAGACCTTTTTTGACCCCTCCCCTTCCCCTTGTTCCAGTAGCATAAACAGAGTTAATCCTTTGTATCTTTTGAAAGAATTAGGCTGGGGACAAAATGAAGAAATTTCAAGCTTACTGGCATTGCGGCGGAATAGAGATTCACATGAAATGAATGTTGGGCACAAAAGGGACAAAAATTGCACCTGGCATTGTAGTACTAGGTTGTGCAAATCCAGTTCTTCAATCTTTAGCACAGAAAATACTGCTTCGCTGTTGCATCTTGACCTAAAGCAATCATAAAATAACGCAATCATAGAAGCTCCCATAGATTTATAGGAAACAGGGTTCTCAATATCCTATGGCTCCAGTCTTTAAAGTGCCCTAAAGAAACATGAATTCAGTTATGCCCAAGGACACAGTAGAAGTTAAATGTGTTTGGGGGGGGGGGGCTAACGCGCAAAGTTTCCAAAAAATTTGACTACAGTAGCAGAATAGGAATTCGGTGGATTTAGAGGGCTCTTCAAGGAAGCGACGCCAAAACTCCTTGACAACCTGAAGCAATGTTAGGAGAAAGAGAGATTCTGCTAATTAAAACGAATTTTAAATATAGAGAAGAGAAGGAGAATGTTAACTTTACTCTCTTTAGATTATGGTACAACAAGGATGGAGAGGGATGATGTCAAAAGAGTCACTTACCCATGTTCTTGGGTTGTTGCCTCGATTTGATTTCGAACATAGCTCAGCGTAATTGCATCATACTAAAGAAGAGAAAAATAATTCAAATTCTAAGGGATAGCTACATGAAGTGGGCTAGTTTCCGCAGGTGAAATCGTATTCGCAAGTGTTTACCTGAGGAGGCGATATATCCCACTTAGGTGGGATGGCCTCTTATTTAAAAATTGTAAATGAGGTTTTCTTAGTTCTTCGCGCCACAGTATTGAATATCAGTTTTTCTCAACAATGGCAAATAACAAATGGATTCCTTTTCTGACCGTTAAATTATACATTATGCTCGGATTCGTACCTTAGTTAGACAGATTTCTGATTTTATGTTCCATCCATCAAAAGTATGCGATCGACATGTTAGTGTCATTTCCATTGAGGAAACGTTTGAATTCTCTAGGTTTCTGTCATTTTTACTACGGTTTTAGCAGAAGAGCCCGAACTGTCAGTGAGTGGGCTAGCCCAGTTTAAGGATAGGCATGGTGCATTTTGTATAGGTCTGACCTTGAATTATTATTATCATTATTATTATTATTATTATTATTATTATTATTATTATTATTATAATTTGTATAGGCCTTACGGTATGCATGAATAAACATGCCTCACCCCTGTGTCTATGCGAACACCACAGGAACAGAAGAAGACCTGTCTACTCTGCAACAACTGATGCCTGTAGATTAGATGAAAATAAGTATTAATTAGTTAAAGTAGATGTACCTTCAACATTAGAGTAAAGGGAAGACTCAATAATGTGGCTATGGATAATGGATTTACATATAGTGTGGAAGGTGGACTAAAAATGTGGCTATCAAATGTTATGAAAATAGCTCAATGCAAGTAAGGTACTCAGCCTATTCCTTTGGCAACAAAAACATAGAGTTACATACAAAAATAGACTAAAATCATTAATGTCCCATTTATGTCTCGGACCTGTTTTGCCTTTTAAAATACTCTTCATAATATCCACTTCAAGACGCAAGTAGGAGTGTGGCCAACAAAGAATGAGCATAAGACAGGCAGGTCTGAAAGACTGCTTCTTAAGACATTGCACTGACTTAAGTACGTTTTGCAAAAAAGGATAGCTACAAAAATTATAGCTCAAAACCTATGATTTCCAAGTTTATAGCTCATAACCTCTTTGTTCAAGAAAAATATATCTATAAAAAATTGAATTTCATTGCTTCAGTAAAATTTATTCCCTAAATTATATGATCTTTACCAACAAAATGATCACAATTATTATGGACATATGCTGCCAGCATGCTACTTTAAAAAAATGATTTGCACCTAACAAACTCATTTTAAGGTTCCATAATAACACAGTTTTTAAAATCCTCATTTATAAACATTGAAACCTTAGGCAAAGTGCTGGACAGCTTGACTTTAATTAATTTCCTATATTCTACATTTCTATGTGCATTTATCTACAAAAGGCTGTTTCTGAAATTATTTTGAAAGTTTCTCAATAACTAGCAATGGCTACCATACAATGACATTAAACTGTAATCGGAAAAACAAAATGTCATTAATGAAGAAAAAACATTAATAACAAAAGAATCAAAACGTTTTTTAGTCTTCTTCTAACTGAAATTACATTCAAAACTCACTAAAACTAGTCCATTCAAAAATTAAATTAAATTTAAAATACCAACCGTTTGCAAACTGGACAGATAACATAGTCTCTATCCAAGCATTCAATAGCAGCACAAAGATATTTTTCATCAAAATTTTCTAGCTCATTAAATTCTTGTAAAATCAGTCTTTCTGTAGAAGGTAAAAAAGACAATAAATACAAAAAAACAAACTGCATTCATTAAAATTATCTAGGACTAGCTACTCTTTGGATCTGTAGCCTTAAAGGACAAAATTGGGCTGAAAATTCTCTCAAGCAATAGATAAACTATGGCCTTATTTCTTATAACATGTACAGCTCTGCCTATATGGCATCTGCTTATACTGGTAAATAGTAAATTCCCTTTCTTCTTTGGCATAGATGTTCTGATAATGTTCTGATATAGGAAAGAAGCCGGGTAATCCTATTTTAAGACAGTTTATCTGGAGATAAGACATTTGTGTGCCAAATCTGAAACAAAGAATAATTAATCATCAATTTACTTAATTATGTCTTTGTGAAAGTGCAGACCTGTGATCACTTCTACTCAAAAAACAGACAATGTACTATAGACCAAGGGGTTTCTTTATCAAAAAGCGATGTCATAAGTGATAAGTAATTCTAGAGGGGTTTTGGAAGGGTGGCCACATAAGCACATGCAACTCTAAGATGGTTTGGCTTGGTTGCCCCTTTCCTCAAAAGAAAACTTCAGTGGGATGCACACAAGCTACTTTAATGCTTGTTGGACAGTCTTGAAGTATTTCAAAAGCCTGTTTGATCTAGTGTTATGGAAGCAAATTTCAAGATATCTGATACTACAAGGATCAGACATAAACAGGTTTTTATTCGGATACTTCGGCTCAGCATAATCATAGAAAAAAGTATAAAGAACAACTGACCTTCTTTCATCAATTCTTCTCTTATTTCATTCATAACTTCAAATATCCGATCAATACTATCTTCAGGGTCTTCTGGATACTATTAAAACAGAGATTCTATGTTGTAAGAGCCATCCACACAAAATATCGGGTAGTAAAGAAGATTTGAAAGTATATAACAGTTTGATAAACAGGTTTACATATAGAAAACAAACAATCTAAAGGCTAATTTCCACGAGGCCAATTTCGCATCAAATTCGGTACAAATTTGTTTGGAAATTGTCTTTTGATTTCCATGAGACTGTGAATTCACAGAAAAATTATATATTGATTTTCCCAATACTCAACTTTAAGATGCCAATTTTCAGAACTGCATGCATGGCAAATGTTCCTAGATTGTTTTCTCACAAATCAAGCAAATTTATCATGCTTTCGTGGTGGTTATTAGATGCTGCAAATATTTCGCCGCAAAAAAGTAGAACCCTTTTCTATTTTCTTGTGAATTCGCTGCCAAATTAAAAATCAAAACTGCACATGATTTTATACCTTTATCTGCGATTTTGCTACACACCAGCTGAAAAATTCACCCTGTGGAAATCAGCCTTAAAATAGGTGCCACATAGATGTTTGACAAGGGACCCCAAAGTGGTTTGGCAGACAGAGGCTTAGAACACCCTCCCCTCAAAAAATGTTTCCCTGATCACAGTCGAATTCCTCATAATCCCTAATAATGTCATTACAAAAATTCTATGGATAAAAACATTCTAGTCAGTAGTGTAGCAAGGGGGAGGCAAGAAGGGGCAGATGCCCCTCCCCCTAATGGCAAAAACTCTCATTGAAAAAGGGCATTTTCTGGCATTTTAAAAGTGCATTACCCATGTTCAACTGACCTTTGCTCCCCAATCTTACCACCCTGGCTACGCTTCTGGTTTTTTTTCTCAATCTGAAGTCAAAGTATTTTCAAACAGTACTTGTGGTTGAATTGTTATATTTTTACTTGCCTTTTGTGAACAACAAGCACACTGTATATCTGGACTGTCTTGATTTGCCTTGATATCCATCCATTCATCTTGCATTAGATCTTCAATAAACTTTTTACTTGTTATGTCTGGAGATTGGTTTACCTCGATGTTACATTTTCTAAGCTTTTCAACCAGTGTATGCCTGTTTTGCCTCAATCTATGAATGCATGCCTGGGAATAAAATAGCATGTATGCAAGGTGCAACGTGCAAAGTTTCATTTCCAACTAAAGCATGACATCATTTTGTAGCACTTCATGATATAAACATACTTATGGAGAGATCGTGGTTTTTATCTGAGGGTCTTTTATCTGACTGCAGATTACGGCAGTTTTCAACGAGATCTCCGGAGTGCAAGAGCAAAATTTCAAATGTGCACTTTGGTAAAGTGTGCAAGGAAACAAGCAATTGAGCAAACATATTTCAGTTACAACAAATACAGTAAATTAACAGTCTAGCATAAATAAAATGGGCTTGTTTTAATCATTTTTCCTGGTTTTCTTGTGAATTTCATATCACAACGGAAGGGAAGGCAACGTAAAACTTCAAGGCGAGGTGACATATAAACAATGTTTTCGCCAAACATCTAGCCTAGGCAACATTTCCTTGCCTTTCTGAACTTCTCCTTCCATGACCTCGGAGTTCTTTTGCAAGATTCTCTGTGTGTACTTGATCCTCCCGAAGAACTTGAAGGCTGTGGTGAGCCCTTTTCTTGGTTGAAACTTATTTCTACCTCCATTTTATTACAATGATGATCAGAAAAGAAATACATAATTTTTCCCGCTGCAGCAAAATCTGCGCGTAACCTCGCAATCACGTAATAATCAAATCGAGATTACCTGTTTGTTGATGTTGAAGTGGCAAAATGGCCGCTATCAAATCAGCTCTAAAATGTTGGCGCGATTTCAATCTTCCAGAGCATCAGGTATGAACATTTATAATAATTCATATTTCATTGAATTTTCCTCTTACTTTTTAACACGGTGCATTCCCGATCTTTATGATATTTTTTTATGATATTTTATGATGAGTTAGTTTTTTGAAATTATTACACAGCAATAATTTTATTCCATAACTCGAGATTATTTTTCAACTCAAACATTATAATAAAAGCAAAGCATAATTCTGCATTCCAAATATTGTTGTTGCCAAAATATATCATCCTCTTTTGTAAGAATTTGAGCGATGTTGGGCCGGAACCGTCGCTCTCATGCAAATTTCTGCAAAGGTTTCTAGAGAAAGTTTTGCGCTGCAAGCTTCATTTATTTATCAGCAAATCAAAATTTGTCTAACAAATAACCATACTCCAGAAAAAAAATCAAGCATACAATGACAGAATTCGATAGGATTGTTTTTAGAGCTATTTGTTTAGGTAGGTGTGAGCTCTCTGAATAGGTTAACTTATTGAGGGAGACTCCACCTTCTCTCTCCAAAACAAATGAAAATTTTCGCATTTACTCAAAAAATGGTTAAGAAAAACATTACCATATATTTCATGAAAAGACAAGTGTAAGTATTGATAAAGAATAGCAGGAATATTTTCCAAAAATTTATAAGTATTAGGGACTTCCAGCAAAAAGATGATTTTCTTGACCCCCATCCCCCCTTTTGTCTGGCATTGTCCATATTCAGAGCCCCCTCTGCACTGATATCATACTGAAATCTATTAAAACATGTGTATGTAAATAGAATGTAAAAGGATGTTCTTTGTTTCAACCAGAAATTGACTGAACAATTTTTGATTTTCTAGTACATTTTTTGTATGATGCTATATCCAAAGAAAGCATTAGATATAAGCAGCAAAACTTGTGTTTTGGTCTTCGTTTAAGTAGTCAGTTTCTGTGGATGGCTGCTTCGAAAAAATGGCAATATCCAAAAGAGGAGACAACTGCTACTTCATCTTCCTCATTTGTTGCTTCACTCTGTGACATTCTTCACTCTTCAATGCCAATCTTTTGTGGCCAGGTATCTCTAGCTGCATTTTAGCCAGCTCTATAGAGGTGAAATTTGACCGGCATTTCACAAAACCACACTGGTATCTGCTGCCACATTTTTATGATGCTTTTTTGCACAGATGGACAGATCAAATCATACGGCAAGTCAACTTGCTCTTAGCCTTCTGGTTTCAGATGTGATCTTGCCATTGGTTTGCAGAAGACCTGTATAAATCTTTTTTTCTTTGACAGGTTGTTCCCCTATACTAGCCAACTGCAGCCCACCTTCAAAGTTTCTTTTTATGAGAAATAGGCCTGGTAGATACCTTTCCTTTTTGACTGTCCCAACACTTGACAATAAGGTCAATGCAAACTGAGACTTGAAATGTCCCTCTCCCTCTATGTTTTTTGTGAATGGCCCCTTTCATGGAATCAATGATTTGAGATTTAAATTTTGATTGAAAAAATTTAAAAAGGATTTTTACTTCCCATCTGTCATTTCTATCTAGTGTGTTAAGTTTGAAAGCTTGCAAGTAATTGGTGTAGATTTCTCGAAACAGTCTTCAAAGTCCCGCATTTGTAAACTTTTTAGAAGTTTGTCCGTTAGACATAAAGAAAGCTTTGTACACTCTGGGTATGTTTCAAGGGGATATGGGGAGTCTGTATTGCTTTCCAGGCAGGCTGTAGATCCACTACTATGCCTAGTTATTAATCATTGTTTTGATTGCTTCTTTTGTCGAGGGCCTGCTAGGACCCTTAACAGGTACTTATATTCTCAGCCAAGTTTTATATTTTACCCAAAAATATACAATTTTCAAGAGTGGTAAAATGTGTTATTGTGTTTTTTGCACCAGAAAATACTTGACCTTGAAGCAATAGACATTGGAAACAGACAAGATGCAGCAGATAAATCAAGAAAGAAGCTGATTGAGCTTACAAGGGATTTTAAGAAAAATACTGAAGATGTAAGTAATTATTTGTCTTTTTAGAAATAATGTATTTTACGTAACAATAGTTGTCACTGTTGATGGTTGCTTATAATTATTTCTCCAGAATGACTTTTGAAGATTCCAATGTTTCATTTTAATGGTTTAAATAAAGTCTTTCTTATATCAGCTCCATTTAAACCCACTCTCTATTAGTTATAAAAGGGTAATAGTGCATCATCTTTGTAAACTTAAATTGTAGGAAATACGGAAGAGAGTTTCTCCACTTATCAAAGCCTTGCAGAGTGAGGTATGTTGTAAATTGTTTACCAATTGTTGTATTCTTTCTTTAATAAACTTTTAATGAGCCAGGTTTATGCAGGCCTGGCCATAAAAATTTTGGAAGGGATCAGTAAACAGCTCTCCTAGCAATTCTCAGATGAGCTGTTTGTTGATGAATGTGAATAGGAACAAAGGAAAAATTGCTTTTTAGAGCAATTTAGTAGAGCAATCTATAGCAATCCATATTCTTTTTACATCCATATTCTTACTTTTATTGGATTCATTTTTAACTGTAAATATTTAGGGAATTAGCATTAAGGCATAGGACACAGGACACACATTAATAACAGCAGTTTTATATCGTTGAAGTGTATATCCTGTATAAACATTCGTCTTATTCTTATTATTATATAGTCTGTCTTACAAGATTGACCATGGTGAAGTTTCATTTGTAATGAATGTTAAACTCCACTTCCAGGTGGATCAGCTTAGTAAACGAAGCAAAGCTTCAGAAAACAGCTTCCTTTCCTTGTACAAAAAGCTCTTAGAAGTACCAGGTGAGATATGACTTAACAAATTTTAACATGTCATTGGTCAACATTAACCATTTATATCTTCTAGGACCCAACCTTTCCCGATTGTGACGATCCAATTTTTGTATGCATTAACTGATTTCTTACTGTAATGCATCAGGTTTTCTATTTTGTAAAATTTATCAAAATGCACTAATGTTTTTTGTGCTGAAATTCTTTTCATCTGCATAAAAAGTATTTATTTGTTATATGTCAATATTATGCTACTTATTTACCAATCTTGCTTTGAGTTCCACTTAAGTAGGCTGTGGTGTGATAGGATTTGGTGTGGTACTTTTCCAACAATGGCCATGTAGTTAACCATCACCCAATTGGCTTTTAGCATGCTAAGAAACCTGCTACTTGCTTCAGCCCTACTTGCTTCCATTTGTAATATGCTCTGAAACCCCTATTTTGCTAGACCCTGTACCAGCATTGGATCAAGCACAAAATGTTCAGCAACAGCTTAGCAAAGTAAAGGTAAATATTGCAATTTATCAAAAAGGTTTGAACATATGTCTCCAGATTGTTCAATCATCACTTCATATATTTGGTAATTTCATAAGCATTCCCAAGAGTGTTGTGGCTCAGAACAGGGGGAAATGTGTCCCCTAGCTTTGATCATTTGAAAACGTTTTGGAAATTTTGTATATGTCCGGCTGAAAATATTGGATGTTCGTAGAAAACTATGAAAGTTCAACGAAACCAATCAGCATGAGAAAGAGATAGCCAAGTAAGAAGTGGGCAGAAAATTTTTTCGAACAACAGTGAAACTTGCAGTCAAGCTAAAAAGCAAAATTTATTTAAAATTTGCCCATCCAAATATGTACACTTTGTGCAAGATTTTTGCAACCTTGCCAATTGGTTCTATCAAATGTGCGTCTACCTTAACCAAGCCCAAGTTAGTGAAAAGTAGCCATCAACAATGCAATCAACAATGCGCCAAGAGATTAAACCCAATGTTTCCCTTGAGAGTCACTAGCCTCGATGCCCCTGAATAAATGCTCAAGAAAGTAATATGTCCCAGTCTTTTTCAATGATATATTAAACTTATTTTTGGTATTTATTTTTTTACAAAATGTAAATGTTGTGATTGTTTGTTTTGCCTTATCCGCTTATCTTCTAAGAATACATTCTTAATCAAATTGTAATTGTGAAGTTTTTCATACTAGGATTTAGAAATGGAGAATCAAAAACTAAGAGAAACCCTTGATGAATATCACACAGAATTTGCAGAGGTAAAAAACCAAGGTATGTATTGTAGTTTTCCAAGTGTTATTGCCTGTACCATCAATAGCAAAGTGTAGTTCAACTACCTTTATTTTAGAAAATTAATGGGTTTCTAGAAAATAGTGGACATTATTGACCTCTGAAACAGTTTGCAGTAGACTGGTTTTGTCCCATATCAAGGCTCTGTAAGGATAACATGGGATGTGGTGGGCTGCAAAAAGACATCATGCAGCTTTCCAAAAGCACATTAGAAGTCCAGCTTGATTAAGATTTTGTCTCTTTGTTTTTAAGCAACAAAGTGAATTTAAATTGGCATGTTATGTAAGACTTAGATAAGTCAATCTATTGATCACATGTTTTCTGGTTTTGGTAGAGGTGACAATTAAAGATTTGAAGGAGAAGATAAAAGAATTTGAAGATAAAACAGATGAAAAGCTTCAGGTAAATGAGAGGTCCAGATTGCTTCATGAAATTTGTCAATAAACACTTTCCTTTTATTTTCTTAAGGCGTCTTTTGTCAATTCTAATTCACTCATTCATCCATATATACATCTAAGACCTTCAAACAAGCACATTGATGAATCCCTTTGCTCCTGCTTGTAATGAAATCTGAAATCCTTGAATCCTCTGCATCATTAAATCAGAGTATTTCTCCTGCAATGTGCCTTCCACTAGGGGTCCATCCTACTTTTCGTGGACTTAATGTCATATTTCCTGTTAGCCATCCATTAGAAGTCTATAAACATATGAGGGTCTTATGTCAGTTTTCAAAGTCAGTGATGACCATGTAAAGAATGACTTTCTCTGGTCATTACCTCTCTTGGAGGAAATAATATCCACACTTTTAGAGGCATCAAGTCATGGTAAATAGGCCTTTTCTGGGGGGTTTCACTTGCTTTTGGCATGACCGCTGTAGTTTCATGCTATATTGGCATGTGTTGTTGACAACTTGCTGTTTAGTAAATCAGAATAAGGCAACTTCATGTGATGAGTGTCAGGCCTACCAATAGTATTGCTGCACAAAATTCATGACTCGGCATACTTGGTCATTCCCTCTTTTTTTATTATGACTTGTTGCCTTTAAACCAACAGGTTCCACTTTTCTCACTAACAAGGTTTTATATTACATAGCTCGTACTATATATCTCATTTTGTAGCTGTTGAATTGAAGCTACCTTTAGTCAACTGATAGAATAACTTTTATTGATTTAGGCAAAACTGAAAGACCGTGAAGCTTCCTTGCAGAAGGATTTTATCCAAAAGGAAAAGTATGATGACTATGATATTTCATTATATTGATATTTTATTATTAAAGTGTGATATATTTCATATAAACAAGATACATGGCATCTATTTGCATGCTGTAATGCTGTCTGCTTTGATAGTAAAGTTTCTCTGTCACCTTCTTTTTTAGTTATCATGTGTGTCAGTTTGTTAATAGTTTAGTGTATGTTTTGAAGCAAATGTAACATAGTGTGAAGTGAAGAACATTGATTATATGCAGAAGCTTTTTGCTTTATAATGCTGCATTGCTTTGTTCACCTATATCTTACATGTTCCATTCATTAAGTAAATATTTAGATTTATGTTTTTTACATTTGGTCTTATGAATTTGATTTTGATGAACATACTTTGAAGTTTTCAGATTTCTAACAAAGATTAAAAGAATTTTTATTGACATAAGTAGCCTATTGCCACCATAGTCTTTGGATTCCTTAGAGTTTTTGATTTAGTATTATCAATTTACTTTTTTATAGACCAACGGGGCATCTCGCCTACTTATAACAAAAATCATGTATATCATGTTTATGCAACAGCCATCACCGAAGATAAGCTCTAAGTTAGCAACTACCTCAGTGTTATTTACAATTTTTCAAATCATATGAAAATTTTAAATAAATATTTTTATCTAGACAACTTCAAGAAGTGCAGCTAAATTTGGCGTCACAACTTGGAGAGGCTGAGAGTAAAATAAAAAATCTTCAAATTGGTATGTCGGATGCCATCAGTTTTCTTATTGCTATTTGATTTATTTTTGAAATTTTAAAGCTCAACCTTAAAGAATTCATTTTATAAATTGTATTCAGAAAAGCAATCGTTTTACACAGAGTATAAAATGTTACAATTATAATCCAAATTTTAAGTTAAGAAATATATTTACGTCCAGTTGTTGAATTTAAGTATGTTTTGAAATGTTTGCTTTTTCAAAGGTCTTTATAAATTTTGCACTGCAAAAAAATCGAAACTAATTTAATTATTTTTAAAGAGCATTGACTTCAAATCACTATAGATCTATATTATGTACACATCAGTGGTTCCTTTTTAGATAAAAAACTGTTTCAATAATAATTAAAGTAAATTGACTTTATGAATCTTTCAATTATCATCTGACTGATTTTGCAAAAGTTTACTCTCAAAATTTTTCAGAGACAGTTCCTGTCAAACTTCTTATTTTTGTCTTGTTTATCCTTGGTTTGATTTTCTTTTGATTCTAGAACTGGAAGAAGCTCATTCCGATCTATTTGATGTAAAAAGTAAGGCGGAGGAAGAATCAGCCGCAAGGTTAGTATGGATTGAGTGTTATACAACTTTTGGTTTAAGCCCAAACCATTGGTATTGTAGGCGAAGCCATTTGTGAAAGCCATACATTCACCTTTTTCATGACAAGTTTGAGCTATTGTACTTTAGCTTACCAGCAATTTTCACAAGTAACTCCCTTTTGCATTCAGATATTTTCTATGTTGAATTTCTGTCATTTGACCCATTGTTTCTCAATCAATCAATGTGATTGATTACATCATTTGTATTCGCTACATACGTGTCTAAACGTGAAATCATTTCAAGTGCTTATCAACTGTTGTTTACTTTCAACCCTTATGAGATACGACAAAAATGATTTAGTTCTTCACAGCAACTCTGTAGTTTAGTTCTTGTTATTTTGAACTATTATCATTTTCCTATCCAGTAAAATTTGTTTCATTCTAAGATACTTGGAAACGGCGTGAAAAATGTATATAAAAGCTATTTTTCTATGCACATCCCTTTCCATTAATATGAAGAAGAAATTGAGGTCCATTAGATTTCATTAATGCAATAAACTTGTTAGAAATTGTAAGAGTAGCTCTATTCATTTTTCCTTACTACGGAAAAGATGATATTTTATATTGTATGCAAAGTTGTTTGGCGATATAAAGTGGCATGGTTATATAGAAACTTCTGCTTGTTATTTTACGTTTTTCAACTGATATAAATGAGATTTTATATTTATTTTATGTCGACATATAATATACTTCAATTTTATGTCGTGAATTTGTTTTCTCCGTAGGTTTTCAGAGCTGGAAATGATTGGTGTTGATTTAGATCGCGCTAACCAGGTAAAAGAAAAATTTGGGCAGTGAACATTTGAAAAGTGCGAAGTCTTTTCTTAATGACTAAGAAAAACTTTTTGTGTAACTTTTTCAAGAGATCAGAAATGGGTGTTTTTAACGTTTTTTCTTGTTAAGAATATTTTAGTTAAAAGTGTTGGTTCTCAACTTTATACCTCTGTATTTCAAATAAACTACATTCTCGTGTTGGCTCAAGTTGTAGCCTAAGAATCGATAATGTGTAAAATGCAAATGACCTAAGTAACTAAATGTTGTACTCATTTGTTTTTTTAACCTTAGATTCTCATTTTTCTAAAATGTGTAAAAGATAAAGCACATTATATTGGCAATCCAATTCAGTATAATTCAATTCAATTGAGATTTATTCGCAGAATATTAATATACAGGTAATTTTGATAATGATAAAAAAGATTTCCCGTGCAACTCAAATCGACTTGGAAGTTTTCATTATCTTGTTTCTCGCGATATTCATTTTATGACTACATAAAGATACAAAGTTTATAAGGGATTTGCCCGTGATTGGCGACTAAGGGGGTATAGTTTCATTGGTGTATGAAGCAGTTACTAGATAACAATCCACTATCATTTTTATCCTTTGTTATCTCCATTTTTCTTACCATTGTTCCAGCGTTGCCTTTCTGCTGAGAAGTATGCAGAATCACTCAAAGACCAACTCACTCAGGCCCTTGAAGCCCGAAAGGTGAGGCCTATTCTTTCATTTCTTGTAATATTCTATCTCTAGAACCTTTTCGTATATTGCAAATGCTGTCTTCACCTAGCATTCTTCGGATTTCAACACATAACATAATGAACAAAACACTTTCAAGCTTTACAGCCAAATTAGATCGAAAACGAGTAATAATAATAATAATATAATAATAATAAATAATTTGTTTAAAGTTGGCGTATTAAATGAACGGCTGATAGCTAAGTGATAGTAATCAATGAAAGGCGCATCTTATTGGCTGCGCTCTGACCAATCAAAATCCTCCGACCGTTGACGTGATTCAAGATACCTAATATTAAAAGAAATATGTATCTATTACAATAAAACAAGATGTTTTTCAGAAAGCTAAAAAATTAAGATCCCTTTTCAGGTGAGAAAGATATTGCGTTCTTCGTTAATGAAAATGAATGTTTCTCCCTGTGTTTTTTAATCGACCTGTCATTTAATTTTGACTGAATATAGCAAGTAAATGGTCTAGTATTGTTTCTAAATATTAGTCTTCTAGATTTAAGACGTTTGATCAACAATCAAGGCTTTTTTGTCATATTAAATGCTATAGTTATCCAGTTGCCTCAGTTGTTAGAGGATGGCTCAGTTGTTAGAGGCGCTGGCTACAGACCCAAGGGTCCGTGGTTCGAGTCCCTGGCATGACCAAACTTTCACCCAGAGTGGGGAGAGTCGCCAGCTCTCTAGGAATCACGAGGTGTGGTCACATCGAGAGGAAGGACCAGGACACTGCTCGATAAGCATAAGCTTCTCCTAAAAACTACCTTCGGATGCTAGGTAGCAACAAATACAAATACAAATACAAATTCATCCAGTTCCTTTATAGGTTGCATAGTTATTAGTACATACTTTATTGGCAGCTTGTTAAAGTAGTCAACGATACCTTGTGTTGGTGATAAATCATCTAAGAGAGCTTTGAGAGAGATTTGATATCCATGCTTCTCAGTAACAATTTTTTCTCTTTTGCGCAGACCGATCAAACGGAACAGGAGCGATTGGTATGTTTATTCTGCAATCAAAAACATTTCCCTTTGATGTTAAGTGCATATTGAAAGACTTTCACTACTTAGCCTTTGAACTACCTCTATTCATATTAACCTACCAACATTTAAACAAATGTTTCTTAAAAGACTCCTCCTTCCCCTGCTGGCATCCTCAGTAATGATACGAGGAACATAGAGGGCAACCAGATACCGCAGCTTAGGGCTTTTGTCAAAAGCTCGGCATTAGCTGTCTGGTGATTGCATTACACTTGAAGTTAAAGATGCAATTTACTACCCTCAAAGCATATACATCAAGTGCCATGCTCAATGTGATCATCCGGCAACTGTTCTCGTAGTTATTTCATTGATGATTGCCTCTGTTGAAATAGGACCAGAGTCTTCATTCTGTCACAACTGCGTCATTAGAAGTGCAAATAGCTGCTAAGGACCGAGAGGTAATTATCTGCAAGTTATTTATGTTCTTGTTATCAGTTATGATAACTTCAGATTTTTGGTATCAATCTAAATATATGGCATTTGAATATTTTTTATCGGCTCCATAGTTTTTGAAATAGCCCAGTGTAGCCGATTAATTTGTTATGCACGCTTAAAGACGCTACATCGCTCCATAGTTGAGAGCGTAATTAATTTCACGTCTAGATTGTGCTGTACTTGTGGTATAATTGTTATTATACGTCATTGTCTCGATAAAGAGGCTGCATCGACGTGAAGGAGAGTGTTACAACAAAACCCTCAATTGTGTACCCTTGTTAGATGCAGATCGGAGAATCGTAAAATTGGATTTGAAGTGGTATAAAAACTTGTTATCCAATCCAGTGAGTATGGGGAAAAGCAGAAAGCAAGAAAATCGTAATTTGTATTTGATTTAACGTTGTCTTGGTTCTTTTAGCTTGCTCAGCTTGTCGATGAAGTCCATCACATGCAGAGTGTTTCAAACAAACTGAGAGAAACTTCGAAACGAGAGGTTTGCATTTACTTTGATTCTTAAACATACTCGATAATTTGATTCTGTGCTTGCTTTACTCTCAGACTGTTACGATTAATAGACCGTACTGTCTGGGGCGTGATGAAGTGGGGCTGTGACCGATGGCGTCAATAAAAACATAAAATTTGACCATGCTAGTTGCTGAGAACTTGCAGTATTTTTTTTTATCACTCAAAACCTAAAAATAAAAACAACTTACTTTATTTGCACCATGCAGTGGGGAAGGACATATAGTCATCTGGTCCCGACTGCAGATGGTGCTTACAATTCAACAGAATTACAATAGTCAATAATAAGTTTGTCTCACATTAGATGTCGGAAGAAATCGGTCATAAAGATTAGTTCTGAACTGTCATTAGACAGTCCAGAATGCCCAAAAATGTTGAGAGAAAATTCCAGGAATATCTAATGTGTGACAAACTTATTCAAAATGTAATGATTAGATGTACAAAAAACCGTAAATAAGACGGGTAGGGCGTTGCTGGTAGTTTTATTCAGTGTACTCTAGCCTTCCAGTTGACAAAATGAATGATATTGTTGCCTCCAAATCAACTTGTTCGCAATATTGTTGAACCGTGGATTGCCAAAAAGGAGTAGTTCACATAGGGCCTCAGAGTTAAGATTATCAAGCTCAAGTTCTGAGATTTCTGAAAGCTGATCAAAGAGATCGTTATCACTACCCCTCCCCCTCCCCCCTTCTCTATTCATCGTCGGTATGCTGCAAATTGATTCTTCGTGTCTTGCAACATCTTGCCTTGACCAGTTTGACTGGTAATTCAAAGTATAAGAGCTATTTTAGTTAAGATGGGCAAGAAGTGGCTACGCTTACTAATCCGACTCTTTACATTTGCAGATATCCCTTTTAGAGGAACAGCTGGCTGAGAAAGTTTCACTTGTGGATTCATTTGTGAGTTGCTTGTTTTCCAAGCTACCTTTCTTAAAGCTCAAAAATCAGGGATCAAGCCAAGTAGATCATCGTAAAGAGTTGGTCAACAATAAAAGATCAAGTTTTGTTTCTAGCTTATTTTTCCATGGGACTTTGCGGCCATTGTCTGAGTTTTGGATGATCTGGAGAATTTAAGAATGACCCATGAATATTTGCTTTGTCGTTTTGACCCTTGATTACGTCGCGCATCAAGGGATATTGGATTTTTTGTTAATACAGTGGAATTCTGATATAACGAACTTTGAAGGGAACCAGAAAATAGTTCTTTATATCGGGAGATCGTTAAACCGGGAGTACACGCCAAAAAATCCTTCGGTGGCTTGTTTAGGCTATCTCAAACTTCTGTGCATATTGTGCTCCAAAAACCAAGCTGAATTCAAATAATACTACTAGTTGGTCATTGAAAATGAAAATCTTTATGTTCCTCTTATAATTTAGGACCAAGAGATTGGCAAAACTGGCATCACTTCACTTCTAGTTGACGGCTGAAGAACGTCTTCTATTATTTCGCATTCTTTTTTGTCTTCTTCTACCTCTCCATCTTGGTTTCCCAATAAAATTTTGTTGTTGCTCATTGTCAATGTCTCATTTAAAGATAAAATAAGGAGGTATTTGTTGGCAATGTACTCATTCATGTTCTGAGTCTGACTCATATCCTGGGTACCAGACTAGCATGGGTCTATAAGCCAGTGATTGAAATTTATCATCACTCTTCAGCATTTTTTTATGAACACTGGAAATAAACAAATAAAAATAACAAGTGAATAATGTATGGAAAGTCCGTAAGATCGAAGTAATCAGGAAGAAGGGACCTAAAATTTGGTTCGTAATAACGAGAGTTCGTTATATCCAGGGTTCGTTATATCGAGAGATCTTTTAAGGAGTTTGTTAGGCAGAATCCAAGGGACCAGACATTTAGTTCGTTATACCAAGAAGTTTGTTATATCCGGGGTTCGTTACATCGGGATTTCACTGTATCTAAATATTTATGGTCAACTATGGCTGTATTGGTATTCTCTTTTTGTACATTTAAATTACATTGTTTTAGAAATCGAAACTGGAAGCCCAAGAAGATTACGACGAAATCAAAAGAGAGCTGAAGTATGTGTAAAAAGCATTCAACCGTTACTTTTTATTTGCTTCAATACACACAAAATGCTGAAAAAGATTTTTATTAAAATAAAAACTAGACCGATAAGGATTTTTATTTAAAGAACTCAATGTTACTATATGTGGCAGTATGTGGCAAGTACAGCCCGCCATTTTTATTAGTTTTCTTTTTCTTTGTTTTCAGTATTTTCAAGATAATCGAATTTGGAGAAAAAGCTAGTGACATTCCTAAGGTATGTTCACTTTAAATTCTGTTATAAACTATTTGCTTCCTTCTGGAAGTAAATTTTTATCTGCTTGTTGTGCTAAGCAGGGGAAATGTTTCTGTAGGGGTAGTGGGGGAGGGAAGCTGTTTATACGTGAAAAAGTGCTGCTTTCTTAGTTGTTTGAGGAAAAGAAATTGCCTACAAAGATGCAATAACTTGACATACAAATATACGTGTATTATGTTTATAATGTTCTAGTGCCCTTAGGTCGTCTTTTTTGCGATTGGAAGTCAGGCAGGTCTAGCAATCCCCAGATGTCTCTGTTCTATGTGTCCACGCTTCGTATCTCGAAAATTTTTGAGAAATCTGTATATTAAGGCTGTCATTACTTTGGTAACTTCCTAGAAATTTAGCTTTCATGATCATCATGATTTATCTGTCTGTCATAAAGTGCTCGATGCCGTAAAGCCACATCTGTGCACGCTTTGGTGTATAGAACAAAACAGTTCTAAGCTGCTGCTCCAAGTTACACGTTTAATGCGAACATCAAGCAACTGTTCTGAAAGTTAGCTTTAGATATTATTATCTTCAAGGTTGAAAACTAAACAAGAGTGACGTCTTCAAGATTGAAAATTAAACAAGAGTGACGTTTTGATAAAGAGATAAACCAGAATATATGCTTTATCGCAAAATAGGTGTGAAGTTACACGAGATGTAAAAGCAAAAAATCAGCGATTGATTAAACGTTTATCATCTAGTTATCATCTCCATTTTAGGGATCTTCTCCGAAATCTCTCGAAAAACTGCTGTTGGAGAAAAATAGGGGTAAGAATGAATTTTCAACTCTTATTCAAACTCAACTGTATGATTTGTTTTTTATCTTTGGTTGTCTGTTCGTTTGATGCCAGTTTTGTGGTTTTCACTGAATTTTTAATTTCATGCTCGTTTCACTTAAAACTATGATTTTTAGGTCTTCAATCGGAAAATGCAAACCTCAAAGTGGCAAAGAATGAACTCAAAGGTATTGATTTTGTCAACATCTAATTCGTTATTTGCCTGACTGTTTTTTCTTATTTGTTTTCTCTAGTATTTTTCCCCCTCTAGCTTTCTAATTCGTTTTTTAAAAACAGAAAGCTGAAATTTGTCGTTTTCTTTCTATTGAAGAGAAGTGTGAAAGTCTTCAAAAACAAAATGGCGATGCTGTGCGTACAACAAAAGAACAAAAAGAGTTGATAACGCAGTTGGAGAATGATCTTTTAAACTTGAACAGCCTACCGTCCACATTTAGAGGTCAGGGTGAAGGTGAGGCTACACCTGCACCAGAGGCTGAACTTGTGGAGAAAGCTGTACAAGGAGCTTTGCAAGAAGGTAAGATGTAACATTGGCCTAGCGATATTTTCCTGTGCTAATCATATTGAGGCAAATATATGAGAAGCTGCATTCTGTGATGACGTAACAATTCTCATTTGTTTTTGCAATTGTTGATACCTAACTTCTAAGGTAGTTTTAGAACACTGAGAAGCTATGCTCTGGTCTTTGCTCTCGATTTAGTATACCTCATGGCTCCTACATCTAGAATTACAGAGAGCTGTCCTTTCCGTTCACCCAATTGAAAGTTGATGATGTCCACGACCATTGGGTCGGTAGTCCGTGTCCGTAACCACTGAGCCTTCCTCGCATCTTTTTTCTTTTTATTCCGTAGCATCTTTAAACATCAACAATCCCTCCTTCGATGTTTGACCTTTTCTATTTTTGTTTGCAATCTTTGTATGTACTGGTGGTATGAATCAAATCGTCCTCCCTTTCGTGTCTTTCCAAACGCTACACATATTTTCTCTAAAAAAACTGAGCTAGTCTCTGTTATAGAATTCTGCCTTTTATTTAACATGTCTCAATATGAATTCTTTCAGAGAAAATCAATAATTTTTAGACAACACACTCCTTTTCCATCTTGAATGAGCTGCATTGACATGTTCATTGCGAAAAGCTGTAAATTAAGAAAACCAACTAAAGCTTGTTTTTTCTTCTAGCGGAACGCGAATCAGAAAAACCAGGCTCTGAGTCACTTCTCTCAATAGTTTGCAGTCAAAGAGAAAGATTCAGAACTAGAAATTTAGAACTTGAAGCAGTAAGATATCCGTTATTTTTATTTTTCTCGTTTATTATTTCATCATCCATCTGTTTCACAGACAAGAAAAATAACTCACACTGTCAGAGGTTAGCATTTTATCCGTCTCTAGTCACGTGACAGTAACTTGATCACTTCAAATGAGAGCTCCATTCTTGATCAGTTAAAAACTTATAAACAGAACATTGATACCATCGGTAGCGCACACATTCAATTGATCAGATGATGACAAACACACATATACCATCTATTGAAGATGAAGATCATGAGGCCTACTTCTAAACTAATCATCAATATGTTATTATCGAAGTTTTTTAAACAGCATTCAAACTATTGTTAGAATGTGTTTTTCTATACCTAACGAGATTGTGGCTATCCTTAATTCTTACGGAATATGAGATAATGCAGTTCTTGGCTAAAAACAAAAAAAAATCAACTCGCACTCATTATTTTATGTACATGATTGGCAAAAAGTAAAATCATAGACAACTTGTCGCATACTTGCAGTTCACAGGTTTGAGATCCCTTGTGAAGCAGATGCCAATTTTTTTGAAACCTGGAACCGTTTTCATGAAAACAGAAACATGGAACCGTTTTTTACAATGACAGTCGCAGAACTAGAATGGCAGCATAATTTTCTTGCTTTTTATTTTTATTTGCTTGCTGTGTAATCATGTGATCTTTTGATAATAGCAAACAAGGCATCAACAACAGCAGATAACAAGTCTGCAAAATGAAGTTGATAGCATCCGATCGGATAATATCAAGCTGTATGAAAAAATCAAATTTCTCCAGAGTTACCCATCACAGGTTTGTAATGCCCATTGCTGAATATGACCAACTTCTTGAATTTTCTTCATTTCAAAGTTATATACTTTTAAATTTGGTATCACAATATCATTACGATATTTAATCTAGGATGGCTCTGTAGTGTACTGCACTCAGCTATTTGTTTTGTATTCTATCTGTATTGTGTTTGTTATACGGTATGGTACGATACGGTACAGTATGGAATGGTATGCGAAGGAAAAGCATTGTACGGTATGTTACGGCACGGTTTGGTACAGTGCCTTTCGCTATATTATGGTACGCTATGGTATGGTATGATACGGCACGGTGTGGTATGATAGGGTACAGTATGGAAGGGTATGCAAAGGTAAAGCATTGTACGGTATGTTATGGTACGGTGTAATATGGTAAGATACGGCACGGTGCAAGGTGTGCTCTGTAACGGTACGATATATTATGGTTCGGTGTTGAATACAATTGCAATTTTATGCATCTTATGAAACCATATTGCACTTTTCCTTCGTTTACTTCTTTTAGATATTTACTCTGTGTATTTTTCTGTTCTGGCCGCTAACTATTAAATGATGTTCCTCTATGGTACGCTAAGCACTTTTCGCTATGTTATTTTCGAACAACCACTAACTACCGAATCTGCCCTTGTTTTCATCAAATTTGAACTATTGTGACCGGATTGTGATGAGCTAGCGCAGTCGACCATTTTCTTATTAAGCAAGCTTAAATATTTGACTGTGTCCATTCCACCACACCTTTGGAATATCTGAACCAACACCAGAGATGTTTACAAGAACATGAAGTTGATGACGTATTTATTCAGATCTTTATACTCTTCATCTTGATCGCAAAAACATACGGGCACAACAATAGCCAATCGCCTTTTCCAATTTCGTATTACATAAAAATCAGGGATTTTCGACGCGAGCCGTGTAGTGCCGGCTGAGTTTATACACCAAACCTATCGTATTTTCTCACACAGACTCAAGGGTGTAACACTTGTTTTAAAAACAAACAGTCCTATCACGCCAGATTTTCCAAGATTAATTAGAAGAATACACACCCTTGTCTAAAGTACATAAAGTGTTCTAGAATTCTCTCAAAAACGTTGATTATCTGCTTTTTATAGTTTGGGTGTTATAAAGGGCTTCGCCGTATGGCTAGATTTGTATGAGAATTCAGTTGGATGGGAAAGATTTGAAATGTTTTTCAAGCAGGTGGTATTTTTATCAAACTTGGATGTTTTGCTAAATTTCCACAAGAGGTCGCATTAGTTTTAGTTTCAAATTCTGTTAGTTTAGTTTTATTGGCTGATATTCGATTGCCGCATATTCGATTGACGTACAATCTTTTACAAGTTTTAGTCTGTATAAAAAATATCGAGAATCTTTAAGAGACCTAAATATTTTCATTATCAAATTCATCTAATTACCCATCTTTCTGGCATTTAGAGAATGTATAATTTTGTACTGTTGTCAAAGTGAATAAGAGTTGAAAATCAAATTTTGAAGCAGTAATGGGCTTGAAAGCGCTAGATCTTGTTGCCTAGGCCATAGTACTCTGGTAGCCTGAAATGTGAGGGTAGAAAGTTTCAGATAGGGGAAAGTTTGAAGAACTTTTTTGAACTCGCTATATCGGAATTTTTTTCAGAGTGCAAAAGTTAATCTGAACGATGCTTCTGTGTCCAAGTATAGTTCCCACTACGAAGAAAGAATCGACCCTTTTACAGCTTTTTCGAGAAAGGTGAGAATGTCTTGCTCTTATTGGTCAAGCCATAAAAAATGTCTTTACCTAAGAGTAAAGGTATATTTTATGGTCGGGAATAAATCCATCTACCCCACATCTATTTTGTTTGCTTTTTGAAGACCCTTCCTTCAACTCTCGTTTTTATTTCAACCCTGCTCCAAAGAGCTCAAATTCGAAAAGTCCTTGCAATCACTTTTAGCAGTTATTTCTTCTCATAAAAGGTCGACCTCCTTGTATTTTATTTTGGACTTAGCCATGATCCACCTACTCTCCCCTTGGTTTATTTTAACCCCCGTTGATCGCCAAGCTGAGACATTTGCCTCGCTTGAAATATGTTCCTGCATTGGGGCCATATCATATTTCACCTTCTAACTTCACCACCTTGTATGTACAACCTTCCAAGATTAAATAAAAGATCAAAGTCCATCTAACTGGCTTAACTATTAAAATCACTCTTGACACGCGTGCCCTCTATTTTGCCTTTAATAACGCAAGCCGATTCAACAACGCCCAGATTAAAAGATTATGTAAAAAAGCGATATGAAATAGTCTGGAAGGAAAAGTTGATTTTGCAGCCCCAAACCGTGAAAGAAATAGCAAGCTACTTATATGCAAAATTTTCCACAAGCAATTTTGAGGTTTGAAGATAGCTAACATCACACCTTCAAAATAAAAATATATATTATAAGGATGGGCTTCAAATTATGACATGCGACGAATGTCTTTTATATTTATAACACTTATGGTTAATACCGCTTTAAAGTATTTTGTTTCCAACACAGCTGCCCACAATTTGTTTAATTTCTATCATTATCTTATGATTGCAGCTTATTTTATGTTCTGTTGTATTTTAACTTATAACTCGTTGTAGGAGAAGCAAAGAAAATACACAAACCTCAGTGCTCCGGAAAAGGTCACCCTCAGTATGGTGGGTAAATTTTTAATGACGCAGTTCTGCAGCGCTGGAAGTATTTCTGCTACGGAAAGCTTTACTTTAAAGTTTAATGCTGTGGAAATCTTTATTTAGAAAAATGTGCGTCATTTAGAGGAAAGGTTTCTTTGACCGGAAAGTTAGGTATCAAAGCAGTGTTTACTGTTGGAAAACTCTTATGTCCTAATTGGTGCAAGTGAATTAGCTCTACTTCACCATAACTAAGAAGGGAAACCAAGTTAAGGGTTCGTTATGCTATTGGTCTCCAGATCAAATCGATTGAACACCTGATACACCAGGCATTGTTTTATTGAGTACGCAATCACCATATATGACTTTATAATCACCATATAAACGTTACCTTTATCCAGCGTTGTAGTGCTATCAAAATAGCAAGGGGGGCTCTCGCACAAAATTGTGCAAGAAACAATAGTAAAAGGGGAAATATGCAAATTTTAGACATTAACAAAGGAGCTAAGCTCCCCAAGCCTCCTAGCACTACACACCTGCCTTCTTTAAAACACTCCCCTTCGAATGATTGCTCCCTTAAAATTCTTAACTTGCCTCACTGTTTTAAACGCCTCCTCTCCCTGGATAAAGAAGCAACTATCGTAGAATAAAGACAGGATAAAGAGCGAATCTGGAAAATGTAAATACTAAGCTGTTAGCTGATAATGTGATTTCATTTTCAGTGAAATTAGACCCTTTTTGATTGGCTGTTATTGACTTAGACAATAAACTTAGCTCTTGCTTTAAAAGTTGGGAAATGCTAAAATGGTATTTCATTTCTTCAGAACCTAATGCTCCTCTTACAAGATAGGAGAAATGAAAAGAACATTGAGTTAGATGATGATGTTGATATTGAATTATTTTTTCACATTTTTATCATGTTGTTTGCTATTTTTAAGCAAGAAACCTTGACTTGCATACCAGGTTTTGATGACGTCACTTGCCTTGTATATTTTGCCTTGTATAACTCATACCTCGTCACCCTTGCCTAAGACTGTTTCAGTTATCTCTGATTCTGATTGCTGTTACAATAATTTAGTAAACTGGTATAATTTGATCCAAAATATGTGCTCTATTTCTCTAGCTGTCTTGAATTTTCTCGCAACTATTAACGACCATTTCTATTTCTCATTCATTGAATCCAACTGTAGTTAAGAACCACATGATTTACCTTATTATGCCGTCTTTGCAGGGCCGATTTATCCTGTCGAACAAAATTGCTCGGACCATTGTTTTCTTCTACACATTTCTGCTACATCTTGTCGTGTTCTTGGTGAGTAATTTTGTAGTCAGTATTAACAAAATAACGCCAAGATTTTACATTACTTATCTTCTTATCTCTTTTACCTTAAAGTTGAAAACCGAATTTTTAAAATGGGTGCTTCCATCATTTTCCAGTGGCCTGAAGAGTGTGACACGAAAATCAAATTAGCATCTTAACACTCCCCCCCCCCCAAATCATTGTTGCTTAATCCCTCCCTGCTTATCACCTTGCTGTTTCAGCTTTAAATGTTTACGTTTTTGTTAGATTGAAGATAAAGGGTAAAGATTTCTTAAATGATGACGCTTTAAAAATGTATTTTAGAATTTTTTACTTTAGACATTGCCCGAATGAGAATCATCAAATACCTCTTTCCCATTCAAATCACTTTTATTTGGCCATGATTCCAAAGACTATAAACCGGGCCAAAACACCAGTTATTCATTAGCAGGACTTTGCTCTCTCACTTTTCAAAATCTCAGTCATTTTGCAACAGGTTGAGCTTTTTTTGTTGGATTCTTTATAGCGGGGGCGGACACTTGGTTCAATATTGGGGGGGGGGGAAAGCCTTTTATTTTGATAAGATGACATCACATATCCCAATTGTTTTATAACAAAAGACCATTGTCCTCCAAAAAGGGGGTGACCGTCCCCCTCGCCCCCTACCAGGTGTCTACCACTGCTTTATGGTTAATAGAAGTTTTACCTATGCTGTAAGTTTTATCTATGTCGTAAGACAGAGATTTTATCATCAGCCAGTCGTGCTTCAGTGTTGATTAGGAGGGGCGATTCACCATTACAAATAGCTAACGAGATTTCCGCCAAAACAAAAGGATTTCCAGGTATTTGAAAAAATTGTACGAGATTTTAATGGAGTGATTGCCCCTCGGCTGGTTATTGCCATACTTTTGAAAAATTGCCGATTTCGGTTTATACTTATTTCCTTAAGTTGGCACACCTAAAAGTTCTTGGAGTTTTGCCGTATGTTCATTAATTATTAAAATTATTAAAATTTGTGAATATTTATATTTTAGGATTTACGTAACTAGACGGGGTGTGTGGGTGTTAAGACGCTGCCCTGATTACTCAGTCAGTCCTTTTTACTAAATGATTGGGCAAAAACACTCAGAAAATACCACGCTACACCCTCGCTTTCCGTCTGTTGATAGTTTCCCGGCTTAGGTTGAGAATGTAAATAACATTTTTAACTTCAAAGGTATATATTAAATATATTAAACGCAGAAATAAAATCAGACTTTAAAATCAGATCGTTTAAAAATCTAGTCACTAAAAAGCTGGTTCAGGAGTAAATTGTGGCTTTATTTTGTGAAATGGTTTATTACAAACTAATTTACACTTTAATTTTCTCTCCCAGTTAATCTGTCTCAGTTAATCTGTCCCAGTTAATCTGTCCCAGTTAATCTTTCCCAGTTAATCTCTCCCAGTTAAGGCTGCAAAGGTTTTTGAAAACATCCTGAAATTCAACAATTCCGACCATCTCATTTCTGAAATGCGTATGTCATAATGAGAAAACGTGTGTTTATAATTATTGAGATTTAGAATAACTTGCTGCTATACATAATATATAACATCTGCTCCTCCCCATAAAAAGTTAGTACGTCACGGTTGCTATTGCCGTAAATGTAAATGTCAAATATTCATTCGTTTTTATGTTTGCACCACAATCTGTGCAAGCGCCATTTGCACGCGAAGCAGGTTTTCTGTTTATGCCACTCATGTACACTTGCAACAAGTTTTGATCAGGGCTGCCTAGAGGTTTTGGAGGTCCTGGGGCAAAACTGAAAGGCGAGGCCCTTCAGATTCGCTTCAGAATATCTAAAAGGTTTGCCATTTTAAGGCATGCTTTTGCTACGTTCGAATAATACCTACGTTTGATTAATATCTTAAAATGAAATTCATTTCTTTATGAGGCTCCCTAGACATCGAGGCTCGATGGCAGTTTGCCCCCCTTGCCCCCTTGCCCCCCTTCTCGAAGGCCCTGGTTTATCTCGAAGGCCCTGGTGATATCCACACATACATTGTTTCTGCATCCAAGCGCTATTTTTGCATCCCAGTTATTTGTTGCATTTGAATATACCAGACTAGTTTGCTTCTGGGGGGGGGTATTATAATAAGCGCATGTTGTGGGGTGGGATGGACTATTTATATTCATGTTATTTCATGTCTTTTGAAGGTGTTATACAAAATGGCATACACGGAGTCATGCAAGCGCGATTTTGCATCAGATTGTGCGAAAAGGTAATGGACAAATTTTACACATTTGCTAAAATCATATTTCCCCGATAGAGATTGTAATGGTTTAGTCTAGAGGGTAGAAAAGTGTATAGTAAAAAGGGGGAAAGTACTGGGCGGGTAAAGAAAAATAGGTGAAAATCAAACCAAAGAATTATTTAAAGAATTACTACTGTAGTAAAGCTCTTTTCTTTCACTTTTACGAAGATTAAATTTTGCAATTAAGCTTCCATTATATTCTTATCTGGAAATTAATTAAAACATAAGAAACAAAAAAAGAAACATATTAGACTGAATTTATGCAAAAAGTAAGAAATGTCAGGCTGAAACGGGAGCTAAATGTTCTTATAACAAACGTGTACCTGCTGTTTTTAAGTTTGGCATCTCACATTGATTAGGATATATCTACATTTTTGATATTATGATTGTTTAGTCATTACTGGCTGGTTTGTCGATTCTCTTTTTCTCATACTTTCTTGATTTTGAAGAATCCTTCTTTCTAGAATGTTTGTATCTTTCTATTTGAATTCTTCTTCTTGATTTTGTTTTTAGGACCCAAAGTATTTTCTGGGACCAGTGGTCCCGTGGTCTGATTCCACCACTGTCATTGTTTTGTTAAGGTTTTATTCTCTTTACAGGTTTGCCGAACACATGCACAGTTATCATAAAAGTGGAACATGATTTTATTCAACTTTATTCAGATATGATAAAACAAACAACTTATATTTTACAGTACTGAGTGGCCTTTAGTAGTATAAATTATCAGGGAATTACATTTGTTAAATATGATATCTTGCAAATATTATACAAATATTAAAAATCATTCTTTGGCTATCTTTCTTTAATATTTGGAGCTCTTTAGATAAGTGGGTAGTTTCCTGACACCCGTATGCTCCCTGAATTCTAGTAAAGGTATCATTCGTATAAGTAAACGTGCCAATCAACTGTTAACCAATCGAATTGCGAGCTGCAGTTCAGACCAATGAAAATGAATCACGAGCCGGGTATTTGTCACATGTATCTGTGACAACGTAAACTTACACAGTTGGTATTTTTATCGTTATTTGGAATGCCACAAAACGTTATCCTGTACAGATTTGAACCTTATAAGACCGTATTGTGCGAATCATATTGAAACAGTTATATACCAGTTTCCATTCCCATCTATTTCTGCCACCAATTATAATATTCCACACTATTTTCTTAAATTGTTGGCCATCACGAGCACCGATGTTACTTAAACCTCGTGACTTTTCCTGGTAAAACGAATTTTAGGATCTAAAAGTTTTCATGAGGATAATTTCACAACACAACAATACACAACAAACAACTATATGAGAAGAGCAGAGAGAAACAACTGAGCGCTGAAATGGATGAAGTATAATGGAGAACATTCGGTGATATATTGCTGTTACCATCAAGCACACCATGTCAACAGTCTATGAATTACTACTTTGAATATCCACCTAAGGCAATTCAGTGAAAGAAAAGGAATAACACTGCCTGTATTGCTTGACAATGACATCGTAGAAGCAGCAAATTACCATCAACGATTGCAAATAAGACATTTTAAAACAACAGAAGACCTTAGCATCCTAAGACTTTTTAGAAATATTTCTAAAGTTAGGGAGTATCTTATTTCACTGGGGATTGAGTTCCATACTTGGTAATATTGGCATTCGTTTATGAAAAATATTTCATCCATAAAAGTAGATTTAAACCTTTAAATGATTCATATATTTGTATTGCAAGATATTTTGAATTTTTCTTGTGAATTTATCAAAAATTGTTAAAAGGTTGATTGATAATCTTTATTAGCTATTCTTTTTGGCCTTTCATTAGTCCTGTTTATCCGGTAAATAATTTGTCTACTACTATCATTCGAATAATAGGACAAAAATTAAAATGCGAAGAAATGTTTTCATAAAAGTATTCGCTTACAGTCATCCATGCACGTAGCAATCCTGGCTAAAGCGTTTACTATTTTCTAGCCTTTTTACAAAAGTTTTTAACATGTCCTTCTAATCTAACTTGGTGGTCTAATATTATTTCTCTGATAATTCAATATTCGTACTTTCTTTGATAGTACAACAAATTATTGAATTTTAGATTCCTCTTAACTGGATTTGTTGGCATTTTAAAGTTATAAGCTTGCTTTTATCACCTTTTAGCATCAAAAAAGTTTCACAAAACTCTGAGGAGTGTCACAAAACTGTTTCACAAAACTGTGTTTTATGCTCTGAGGAGTGTAAGACGAAAAAGCTTTCAGCCAATATGCTGTAAAATGTTTGCAGCTTGTTTTCAAAGCCATTTTCAAGTTCTGTGTCGCCAAAAAACTGGTCACTATTATAATTATTCGTCGAAAATCTTGATAATCAAGTGCTGCTTATATTTGTCCGCAAAGATTCCATAATATACTAAAATGCGTGCGGTACAATATGATGCTATAATAACGATCAATGTAAGTAAATTGTACCAGGAAAATTTTTTTTTTAAAATAATTAACTTTTATTTTAAATTTTTAAATTAAAATAGTTAAATTAATATAATAAATAATTATTGTTAAAAGAAATTTTCCTGGTACAATTTACTTACATTTATCGTTGTCATATTTGTCCGTCGCGGGCTCAATCTACCAGTAAGTGCTACTTTAGTGGCCTTTTTCTGTCCAAAAAACAAGTTCTTTCTTAATTTGATTCCTCCTTCTGCTAAATTCATTCAGTGTCAAACTGTTTATCGTAATGTACTTAAGTCTTCTCCCAACAAAAACACCCAATCTTTATGGAAGAATACCAGCCAGAGCATGAACTTCCAGTATGATGTTTACAGGAATACTAGAGAAGTATTGAAGGCTGTTAGATCAGAACAAAAAGAGCGCCTTCCAAACAAAACTATCTTATATCTCAAGGTAACGATCTTCCTTTCATCTTTGACCACTCTCTTCTCATGGCTTCTAAAATATGGACGACAGTTCAAAGCAACATGCCTAAGAACATTTACAGTTTCACTATTAAAAAATCTGAGCAACACCCTTGCCACGAGAAAAAAACCTATCTAAGAGGAACATTACTCAGTCGTCTGATTGCTCTTTTTGTCATATGCCAGAAACGTTACTTCACACTGTGGCAGCTGCAAAACATACTTCGAAGAAGGCTGATACACATGACGCCACAACTCTGCATTAAACTTTCTATCACAGTCTTTCAAAGCTAAATCTCGTTGCTCTCTTTCCGTTGACCTTTCAGGTTTTCTCTCACCCATCATAACAGGAGAGTTTTTCCGTCCCGATCTACTTCTAGTCAGTTCTGACAATCGTCTATTGATACTCGAGCTTACAGTAGGATAGGAAACTAATTTGGATGTAGATGCTAACTGCAAGAGAGAGAAATACTTGCCTCTCGTTCACAGCCTAAGCTCAGCCTATTCTTCTATTATATTTGTCAATCTTTCTATCAGTTCCCTAGGTATCCCTTTGGTCTTCTTTCATCGACATTTGTGTGCAACGCTCTAGATAACAGCGAGAATCATCTTCGTTTCATGATCTCCAAACTATCCAACCTAACTATCCGTACAACCTATTACATTATCAGCCAAGTGTTTTTATAAACTCGTCAAGGCGAAACTGCCATTAACGTCTCTTACTGGCTTTTTGGAGATGTGGGGGCCATCAGGGTTGTGGAAAACGGAATTTGAAGAAATTTTGTAGTGGATTAGGAAAATCTGGAAATTTCTCGATGGGACGGAGAATTTTTTTCTACTTCAAAAATTCCAAAAAGCAGATTATTAACCAGTCTTTATTATTCCACCCAACACCTTTTGTCAGCAGCTAATGGATGTATAAGAGAACATCCAAATTAGAATGGTCGGCAGACTCAGCTTTCGAAGAGTTTGTTGACATTCTTACGGGTGTGGATCTTAGGTTGGCACCCCTAGAACCATTATCTTAATGATACCCTATATAGGCCTACCCTTATGGAATTCTCATTCTCTACACTCATTTTTTTATAAGAATTGGCTATAAGAAACGAGTGCTGGACAGTCAGAATAAATTAAGAACTTTCAGTACTCGAAGCAAAAAGATTAAGAAACTATTAAATCGTGATAAAACTAAGAAAAACGAAATTTTGTAGAATCCAAGAACATTATTGCCCTGTTGGCCTAGAATTTAAGACACAAGTGATAAAAATATACTTCCCACATCTAAATACAGCAACAGAACGAAAGCGAATCTCTTGGCGTGATAAAAAAGGGCATGAACATTTCATAACATCATGCATGGCATCATAATTAAGAAACTCTAAGAAACTGGAGTACTCAACATCGACCTTTGTTTCTTATAAAAAAAATGAGTGTATTCCAATAAGGTGCAAACACCTTTAATCTCTTGAAGACTAGCAAGACTTTCTTCAGCAAGGAAAATTCACCCCATAGGCTTAATAAACAAAGGGGCTGTAGTCCTCTTTATCATTCAAAATTTATATAGGCTTCAATCGGACAGTTGAATCCCAGTTTAGGAGTAAATTTCAGACCAAATATATACTAAGCCCCCCTAAACATTTAGCATCAACTGCACCGCGCCCATGTTTGATTTGGGACATGAGCCCCTCCCTCCATTACATAGAACAGGAATAGCCTCAAATATTACGCTGGGTACCAGGGCCACAAAATTTCGAGCACGGAATGGAACTCCAGCTGATGTACGGAGGAAACGCTCCTTTGCATCTCCAATTCTGTTTTCTATTTCCGCGCTCGAATCTGGCTCTGGTACCGTAATTTAGTTTCCGTAGTCTCATTTCATGCAAATTTAAATGAGTCAAACCTTTACTTTTTTGCAGACAAACTATTTTTGCAGAGAGCGAAAATGGCTTTTTGTCAATGCAAAGATAACGAAATTTTCTCGATAATACGTGATGTGACAAATGGATCCTTAAAGAATTGTTATGAAAAGACAATCAGATCTGGTTCTTCTGACTTTCTGACGAAAAGACGATCAGATCATTCAGCGAACGAGGTTTTAACAGATCTATGTTTTTTCTACATTTATTATGCATCTTCGAATTATTTTGAGATAAAAAGGCGCAATTGTATCATCGGCAATTGTTTGCATTTATTTTGAAACGAGAAAAACATCATTAATTTTTCATTCATCAAAATCTTCTTTGAGTATCTGAATTATTTTGGGACAAATTGGCGCAATTGTATCGTCGGCAATTGTGGATATTCCATATAGGGACTAAAGCTTACTCGCTTTTTTTCAAAATTTAATAACGCTGCCCGAAAACGTCGAGCATAAATTTCAAAAAACGATATTGTTTGCACTGATTTTGAAACGAGAAAAACATCATTAATTTTTCATTCATCAAAATCTTCTTTGAGTATCTGAATTATTTTGAGACAAACTGGCGCAATTGTATCGAAAAAACATTCAAGCATATAGCTTCAGCAAAACATTCGCAAGGCAAAATATTATAATGACCTTTTATGCAGTAAAGCTAGGCCTATAATAACCAAATAGAGTTTCATAAATTGGTCATCATCTGGACGATATAAATGGTCGAGGTAATTGAGGTCAATATTTATACAGTAACTCCTCTCTAGGTTGATACATGACTATGATCTGTCTGAGGAAAATTTTGATCTTGAAATTTCGCTCTGACTTGGCATTTCATAGTGGTATACCAATTTTTTTGAAACCTTGAGAACTGTACTGAATTTCTGAAATGGATAGATCCGCTTCATTTTGTCCTTCCTTTCAATCTATGCCTTATTCCAAAAATTAGTGAAAATTTTTTTCTGAAGGGTACTTTCGGCTGTATGACTGTATGGCTTTTCTTATTATTTCTGGCATAGCCTCTCACATATTCGAAGCTTTTCAGCAAACACAGCGATCTTTGTTGTACAGTGCAATTTCTTTTTTAACTCAAATTACAACTGTTATATCAAGTATATTTGTATATAGTTTGTTGAGATGCATTTTGCCAACTGCTGAATGCAGATGTTGCAAGTACCAAATTGATGTAAATATATTGTACAGTAGAACCATTCTACATACAGTACACCCAGGGACGGATTGAGCGGGGGCTGTAGGGGGCGAAACAGCCTCAAATATTTATGTGTCCTTCGGTAAATTTTGCTTCCATTCGGTAGAAGTCAGTTTTTGGTAGTCAGTAATAACAAAATAACGCCAAGATTTTATTTTATTAATTTTCTTATCTTCTTTATCATAAAGTTGAAAACCGAATTTTGAAAATGGGCGTTTCCATTATTTTCCACTAGCCTGAAGGGTGTGGCACCAAAATCCTATTAGTATCTAACACCCCCAATCGTTGTTGCTTAAATCCGTCGCTGAGTGCACCATACACTATTTTAAGGGTGCTAAAGGTCTGATGGAAGTGTATGAAGATAACACGAAACTTTTTTAACATCTGAAGAATATTATAAAATATTTGCCACTGGGAGGACAATTTTCGGTGTCTAGTGGAAAATAAAAGTTTTTTGCAATAAAAAATTGGGGTCAGGTATATAACATTTATTTTATCAAGTTGGATGCCAATTTATTGTTTGAATTTGATCGTTTTTCTTAATCCAACCCTTTTTAGGTAATATTTGTCCTCTACCCAACCAAAAGCAGGTTGAATTTTTTACCTAACCATTTTCTCTTCGGCCCCGACCCCGGTCATCAATAATGACCGGTCATTTTTTAAAACATAGGGGCCCAATAGCTATGTACAAAGAAGATGTCTGGTACGTAATATGAGCTCAGTAAGAAGACGGCAGCAAGAAGAGTTGTGCTTTGTTTGTACAGATGTTTATAAAGAGAAAATATAAGGATATGGGGTGTCGAAAGTGTCAGAAGGCGTTGAACCAAGAAATGAAAACAAAAGATTCAAATCTGTATTGGAAATGATTCTCACACCAAAAAATTACATTAATTTTACTGCCTCATAAAAATAGTAGGTTTATATGATATATGATCGATCATATATGATATTTCAAGCACGTGCTATGCAAGTATTCAATGGCTTTAATCAGCCTGTCGATGACAGTATTGTGCAAACGTCAGCGATATAAAGTTGCAACATTAACTTTCAGCAAACAATTTGTCTTGCTAATGACGTTGAGTTGATTCAACATCATTTAGTAGCCGCAATCAAAAGCGAGCGGGACGCTAATTAGCGGAAATAGGAATTCCTCGCTTGGCATTCTGAAATTGCAGCAGCCTAACCCCCTAAACCCCCAGTATCAGAAAAAACGTGTCGTTCGGCTGCAGCCAAAGGGTTCACCCGATGCATCAACCCGTCCTGGCGAAGATGTGCCAACTCCCCTTTTGGCACGGCCAAAATAAAAATTTGCAAAATTGAATTGCTTATGATGTTGAGTCAACATCATTTCGTAGCCACAAGAAGTAGAAAGCGGGACACTGGACACTAATTAGAGGAAAATGGAAATTCTTCGCGTAGCATTCTGTTATGGAAACGTGTCACTTCGTTGCTTGCTTTGCTTGCTTGCTTGCTTGCTTGCTTGCTTGCTTGCTTGCTTGCTTGCTTGCTTGCTTGCTTGCTTGCTTGCTTGCTTGCTTGCTTGCTTGCTTGCTTGCTTGCTTGCTTGCTTGCTTGCTAGCGTTAAAAACTAATTGAAAGATTATTCAAAAGCCTATGGAGGTTACCAATGATTCAAGGTGCAGTTAGACAACAAAGGGAACTATAAAAATGCTAGACGCGAAAATTTTTAGATAAATAATTTCACAGACAAGGGAATAAACATGGCCAAATCTAGCACTATTACAATGTGGCCAGATACTCCTAACCCCAAAATGCAGCTGTGCACAAAAAATGCAGCTGTGCATGAATTGTTTGAAGATGCTATGAATTTACTTATTCATCCCACATGGTGTCGGTGAAGTAAAAAAATATCTATACACTTCTGGCAAAATGCGGTCTAGCCAATTCTTCTAAAAATGCGTAAAAAGTATTTCGTATAGAAAAATAACAATGTTTCGAAGATTGTAGTTCTAAAATGGTGCAAATAGCAGATATTTCTGCAACCCAAAAATTTTCCAATAGAGATTATGATGTCCATTATCCAATGTAACAGTGTCACTGTCACAGGTTTTTTCCCTCAAGTTGATGAATCTGCGGCTCCGCGAAGGCGCTTTGATGGCCACGCCATTTCGGCATGTTAGACCGTGGGAATTATCTTCAAAAAATCATTCACAGAGGCTTGAAGGGGAAGCGCCAATTCAAGATGGCTGCCGACACATCTGATCCACGTGGAGTGAGATCTTGGAGGCGTCTTGCTGACGTGAGTACGATAGAAACATGTGATGATCGAGTACGGAAGCATTCGCGTAGGAGAATATCTCCAAACCTGAAAGGAACTTTTCCCAGCGATATTAAGAAGGTATTCGTGTCTGCGTGGTTAGGCCTTTACAGTCTTATCCCGTGGCGATGCGTTAAAAACAGAAAGATAAAGACCGTACGCGATCACAAAGTTTCAAGAATAGTTTGGGTATGTAAGCTATTTATATCTTTTTTCATTTTCTTCTATATTTTTGTAGCAAGGAGCTTTTGAACCTAAATTCGATTTTGATTTTGAATTTTGATTTGAACAATTTCTCATTTTCAATTCATTTTAAAAAAATCGCCCTTCAACGCCGAGACCCATTAACTTGCAAAAATTTACTTTTTATCAAAATAAGGTCAATGAAAGACTTAACTTATCAGAGTCAAGAAATATTTTTGCAAGGTTTCATCAAGTCTCTCTATTAGGGCTTTCCGTACTTTGTAACTGCCCAAATCTGTATTTGATTTTTTTCTTCTTCCCTGACCAGTAGATGTAAGAAGCAGATATTTAGAATGTTTAGAAAATTTTTCAGCGTTGGCAAAAAAATTGCAATTTGGACCATAAAAAACAACGAAGTTATTTGTCAATATTTTCAAAAATTTCTTCCGACGTTTTTCTATTTTCTAGAGAAAATCGTTCTCTTTTTCTAGAGAAAAGAAGAAAGATAATTTTTTGAACGTAAATAGAAAAGGCGTACATTTTTGCCACTTTCGACCTGAAAGCATATGCAATAACGCAATTTAGGAAGACACGGAAGAAAAACAGATCGTTATTAAGCCTTGTCGTTTTTTGCGTAAATATTGTAAATAGAGGCTCCAATGAAGTGATCTTCTCCTTATAGAACTGGAATCGATTAAAATGTCCACGAATAGTTTCTATTTTTTCGCACCTTCTTATCGGTCTATAGGGAGTAACAATTGTTAGATAAGTAGATGTAGCATATTGTTACAAATCGTGTGAAATTTTTATTTTAGATCTCATCAAAATAAATTTATGATGGCTTTTGCAATTTAACCATTTTTTAACGGAAGAAAAAAGTTGATATTGAAAGTTGTTTTAAAAATCAGATATCTTATATATAAGTTCTGTGCCATTGAAAAGTCATCTTGACTTATATGGATGCTTCTGTTTATTCAAACAGCTGTTGATACTGAAAATATGATACTAACATCCCTTAAGAAAACCTTCAGTATAACTGTCAGCTCAAATTTTTCAAAATTGTTTAGAGCACGGGAAAATCATGTAAATAATGAATGAATCACCCACTCTCTTGCAAAATAAATAGCAAGTTGTGTGAAGAGAAATGTAAAGTTTTGAATAAAGCAAAATTTAAGACAAACAGGCACTTTCAGGAACTTTGAATGAAATTCACAAGGTAATTGAATTTGGTAAACAATTTGCTCAACTATTTGGTGTTACTGTACCCCTACCATTTATTAAATCTACCCATGACTGTAGCTTTTCTACATTTCATAATTCTTTTTTATCTATTTAAAGTCCAGATAAGTTTATATGATAATTTTGACCCTTATCTTAGGTCCGCGACTTCCTCCAGGCACTAAGGGGTGTCCAACAAATTTAGTGGGGACTCTTCTTTTTGAAATGTTACTCAAAACCCTTTAAGCCCTCATTCACATTCTTCATCAGGGGCACTACCTCCCTGGCCAAGCTCTGTCTGTTTTATCATTATACCTTAATGACTGTTTGAATGAATGAATCAAATGAATGACTTAATCTTCTCAAGCAATCAATCTTCTTCTATTAACAGTCTAAATGAAAACTGTAGATGAAGTTCTTGGATATAAATATGTTTGAACCTCACTATGATGATAATGCAATTGGCATGTTCTAGATTGCACAATTTACACTAAACTAAATAAAATTATCAATATTTTTATTGGTACAAACTGCATCAAAATGGATTTCTGTGAGAAAAAATGCAACATGTCTGCCAATTTTGTCCACCCTGCAAGTGTTTTTACAGCTCCAAATTTGGTTGATAGAGGCCAAATGGGCAGAGAAAACATATTTTGAACAAAACATTTTGAAAAATTCAACAGAGAAAACATATTTAGAATAGATAATAAACTAAGGCTGCAAGAAAGGAAAAATACTCCACTCCATGACAATAAGCAGATTTTCAGACCTACCACATTGACCTCTAAAAGGATGACACATGTTATTTGTCATGTATTTGTGAAAACATAATGGCATTGCATTGAATAGAACAATTTTTGTGCTTGAAAAGTTAAGTTTGAGATTTAAGTTTAATGTACAAAATTCCAATCATTGACAGAAATTAGAGGAGTATATGGGGACTCATGCTTCCCCAATAAGAGTTCTTGTCTGAAGTCAACTGGCTTTCATCGGATAACTGTTCATGTTCAGTGTGCATCCAAGATATTATCATGTTGAAAAATGGTGCCCCCCTAAATGAAAGCCTTAATTACTGACACTGCTTCCAACTATAAAGCATCATGCCTTGTTAGAGGAATGACAGTGAGAGGTCATCCTTCTTAGTATCTTTTCTTTTACTGTCCTGCTCAGACACTTATACCAGACCATTTTCTAGTAAAACATTGGGCCATTGGTTTTTCTTTGCGTGATTAAATAGAGACATTAAGGGTAAATTGAAAAATAAAAGGGGAATTTCACTTATACTGACCTGACCATTGAGTTATCTGTACAGACTGTACAAAGGGAAAGTTGGTAATATAGTGTCATCTTTTGGTGGACCTGGTCAGTTTCAGCAAGCAGAAGTAGGTCATCTTGGGAAAGACCAAAAATGGTAAATATTGAATATTGGAATTTGATATAAGAAATTGGTCTTTGTCCAAGTTGTACAACGAATAACAGCTTGGCTTAGGAAATAGATCAAGAAACCTGATCCAGAATAACTTGGGACCAACACAATGGTCTGTTTGCAGTGGCAGATTTAGGGGGGGGGCAACTAGGGGCAGTAGCCCCTCCCTCACAAGTCAACATTACAATAGACGAGACTATGGGACATGTTGATAAAACAAAGCTTAAATATATTGCCTCAGGTTTTCCTTTAGTCAAAATCCATTTTAGATACAGTTTCTGGCCATCCCTAAGACACCTTGATTTTAGAATTTTTCTTTCCGCCAACCATGGTGACGATCTCTCGCCAATCCCTCCACTTTCAAATACGTTTCTCCGCCGGCCTTGCTTAGACTCAAAATGGCTTAAGCAGTAACTTTAAGGATGTCTGTGAGATCATTTATGGTAGGTTAATTGTTAGAGTTTCAAACAACACTGTTTAAGGCTTAAAAAATTTTTTAGGCTTGCAGATTAAGTTAAAAATCATTGAAATTTTTGAACAGGGTAAGCAGATTGCACCCTTTGAAGGCCCCCTTATACCGAGGGACATCCGGAGGTACCAAATGTATGACCAATTTAATTAAGATTTGCACTCAAAAGGTACAGTTTCAATAAATATTTCAAACTATGGCAACTCCAGGATGCGCTCCCTAATGCTGCTGCTAGCATTCGTTATCTTTTATAATCTCTTTGTCTTAGGCTCACTAACGAAGATAATTTTTCTCCAGGTTTGTATCAAATCATATCCTTCTTGAAAAAGTTTGTCAGATGGTGCTGTTGAGCGAACGAACCAGCTTGCTGGAGACGGTACTGACCATGTCCGACATGCCCCACGAGAAAGATGGTGGCGGCGACCCAATGTCATGCCCCCTTTGGAACAGTGGTGTTATGGAATCAACAGAGCTGGAACTAGAAGAACAAGGAGCTATAGATAGAAGTACAATTGTCATTTCAACGGAGTTTGTACATGCCGGTTCGATGCTAACTGCCTTCCAGAGCATGGGTGACCCATCAAAACTGCCTCTAGATTCACTTCACAGCAGGCCACAGAGTTGTTTCGACAATTATCAAGCATTTTGCATAGCAGCAACGTATTACCCAGGCGCTGTACCTGTGGAGAGTCCAAGCAGTGAAGTCATACCACCATATCACGATATACCACCATTGGGTGAGGTTGATGCATGTGACCATGAGAGTTGGATGTCCAGGATGAGTTGCCTGAAGCTACTTGATCGCTCGAAAAGTTCTCGCCGTTGTCAGTTCTCAAGAATTCCAAGAGATACATGGGTGTTTGAGTTTCCTCAAGAGCTGTGTGGCCGGCTCATCGGAAAGGGTGGGCGCACCATACAATCAATCATGCAAGATTCTGGAACTTACCTGACACTGTGCTCTGGAAAAATGAATGCGTCTGATCAGGTTCTTAAAATCACTGGCACAGAAAACCAGATTCTAAAAGCGATCAAGATCATCGATTCGAAATTCTCCAGCGATGTCAAGGCAGCTGAAAGCAGGGTACTGCCATTGACGAGAAGCGATCAGGCCGTAGAGGTGAGGCAGGTTCAGATCCCAACAGACAAAGAGGTGGATGTGGTGATTGCAAACATTCTAAATGCTGGTCACCTCTATCTTGCTATGCCCAGGTTAGCAGCGGTGGGACATATGAATGCATTTGAGAAAGAAATGGCAAAATGCTACAGCTTGGGTCATATTCCTAAAATGGACAGAGTCCCTCTTCCTGGAACCTACTGTGTTGCAAAGTCTGGTGATAAATGGGTTAGGATTCAGGTTGTCAGCAGTTTTGCACAGTCCAAGAAGGTTGAAGCGATTCTTGTAGACTATGGAACCTATGTCATGTTTCCAATTTCGTCACTGCGCAAGATCAGGTACCTTGAAGCTAGACCTCACCTACTCAGTCTTATCTTTAGATACACCTAGATAATTTGGAGCAGCTTAGGATTATCCGAGAAATATCTCTTTTCTTCCTTTTGCCTTGTTTTCCCTCCTTGCTTTGGCTTTCCACTTCAAGATCATTTGCTAATCATCATCAGTCAAAAGGCTACCATATTCAATTGAATTCGCCGTTCCGGGTTGATATCATTGATTCTGCATCTCGCTATCTACAGACCTTTCTCAAAAATGGACATCAGATTTGAAATCTTCATTTTGAAATTAGTTTATATTGAGAACTTCATGTTGTTTGGACCTTTCGGTCATGAGTCACTTTGTTTTGAATATTTAGATATTTCTTTAGATTTGACCGGAATTTGCTGCTGTAGCGAAAAAATTTCACTACAGCAACAAATTCCAATGGGATGTATAGGAAAAGCTAAATTTTGAAAATGGGGTAATTCGCTGCGTGACGGCCCAAACAATATGAAATTTTCGGCACAGACTAATTTCAACATGAAGATTCCGATTCTGTGATCCATTTTTGGCAAATATGAAGATAAAAAATTGCCCTTAACAGAATGGCTTTATTTGTACTGTGTGTGTTGCAAAATAACAATAAGTATTTATTGCAGTCAGCATCCTCTTCATTAAGATTGTAGCTGTAAAATATTTATGCTCACAATTAAGCATTTACTAATCGATTACAAAAGTCGTTATTAAATTTCTAATGATGAAACTTGCATCATGCTCGTGGCTCGTGGCTCGTGGCTCTTCATAGCTAAAAAGTCGGCTCTTTGCTAAAGAGTTCATATTGTCTGGGCAACATTTTAATGCCAAGACTTTTTGTCTGCTCTGCTCGAAACATCGATCGTCACCTTGAAAAATGCATTAGACTTTTGTTCGTAGCTCTTGAAAATTCAAAGTCAAACGTAGGCTAGTTAACCTTGTCTGCCAAAATGCCCTAACCTTCTCAGTTTCCAGCATAACGACTAATTCTCTGAATGCCTTCATCTTCGATCTGATTCGATGTAACTGGATCTCTGAAACATTTATTTTGTTTGACAGGGCAGATTTCTTGGAGATGCCGTTCCTGGCTGTTGAATGTTGTTTGGCTAACATAATACCGCTAAATGGTAAGTTGCTGAAATTTCTAAATTTTTGAAGCAAAAAGTCTAAAGATCGCCAAAATTGCCCCTAGGATCGTTGGATATAACGTTATTTTTCACGAAAACTCTGTTGGTTTTAAAGTGACATTCAAGATAGAGTCCACGTTCAGTTTATAGCAATAGTTCTGCCATGCGTGCAAATTGTACGCATGGCATTCTTTGGTAGTCTACAATGCGTGGTTCTGGAAGTCCTTGTGAAGGTTAGCTGATGCAGGGGAGAGGTTGATCTCATGACAAAATATATTGGTTAAGAAAAGGCACCTTCTGCTACTAGGGAATAGTACGACAGCCCCCTCAATATTGATAGAAACCACGGTAAACGCCTACAATAGCCCATCATGAAGCCTTTCAACCTAACAAGCAAGACTCCGTAGTGAGCTTCCTTGATGTTTATAGACATTCGCCAATGAAATCCAATAGTATTCGATTTGCGCTTGAGACAACAAATCGGCTCGTGCATAGTGATCAAGATTTTGATTGGTCGATAGATAAATCCGAGTGGTACAGGTTAAAAATGGCCCTTATAAGAATCAAGATTGCTATTTGCTATTGAAGCCAACTTTATTGAAGCTCGAGATTAATCACGTGTGACGATCTATGAAACAAACAGAAAAGAAACCAGAAAGGGCTTTTGTTTCTATTCTACTGACTAACGTAAATTGGCCAAACATGTGGGTCGTTCAAAACAATCCCGCGGTTGTTGTTACATCAGCAAAAATCATAGTTATATTTAGCCTTTGTTATGATTATATTAGCAGGAGTTTGGAAGATATCTTCAAGATAAAATGTTATCTTGATATCATTCTTACTTTACGGAGTAAAATCAGAAATGGAAAAATCCATGCATGCTTAGAATAATAAAAATATTAATTTTTCAATGTTTTAATGGATGCGTAGGTATCAGATTTTCATTAATAGCAACCATGTGAATCAAGCATGATTTTACTGTTGCCTTCAACTTCAATCGCCCTAAAAATAAATCTCACATTGCTCATGAACTGCTTTGCAATAGCTTAAGTGTTACTGTGATGTCTGTCTTCCCGTTTGAATAAAACCGACACATGCTCTTAGTTTTGATTTATTTTTGGTGATGAATCAGTTTGCCCAAGAAGTTATCTGACAAATTACTGTTACGATTTGTCCCACAATTAAAAACATTCAAGAAAGTTGCACGTTGCGTTCATGCTTTCAGCAGCATAACGCTGTTTTTTAAGGACACACTGTAGGAATACCGAGGCTAGACTTAATAAAAATTATAAACTATCTACGAACATGCCAAGCCTCAGATAGAAAATTTCCGAAATTAAATACTTATCGCATTGATCCTTCTTTGGATATAGTTAGATATCATTCTTTAGCCAAGACTATCTAAATTTCCGAAACTAAATACTAGACTAAATTTCCGAAATTAAATACTTATTGCATTGATCCTTCTTTGAATATAGTTAGATATCATTCTTTAGCCAAGACTATCTAAATTTCCGAAACTAAATACTAGACTAAATTTCCGAAATTAAATACTTATTGCATTGATCCTTCTTTGAATATAGTTAGATATCATTCTTTAGCCAAGACTATCTAAATTTCCGAAACTAAATACTAGACTAAATTTCCGAAATTAAATACTTATTGCATTGATCCTTCTTTGAATATAGTTAGATATCATTCTTTAGCCAAGACCAGTTAAATGTACCTCAACTCACACGAAAACTCACACTTTGCGCTCAATAATCAAATAAACGTATATTATATTTATGTTATATATTTGTATCATTATATCATTATTATATATAATATTATTTATATTATTTATTATTATTATAGTATGTATTTATGGATTTATAGTATTATTATATTTATATTAATTATATTATATATATTATTATTATATATATTATATTATTATTATATTATATTATATTATATTAATTATTATATTATATTATATTATAATATTATATTCATATTATATTATTATTATATCCATATTATATTATATTATATTATATTATATTATATTTTATTATATTTTATTATATTTTATAATATTATATTTTATCAAATTTTGTCTTGATGTATTGCATTAAAATTACATTAAAGTTATTAATATTACATTAACATATGCAAGTCCGACTATTTTGAGTCATTGACGTTAAGAGTTTTACTTATTTATGAAGTGCTGTTTTAAATCCGCGAGCTTTTTTGCTTCGTAAGGAACTGCCGATTAACGCTGAAGTGTTTCATGGCGCTCTGACGTTTATTTCCACTGATACTTCTCATCCGGGTTTCACAACCGATCAATTATGACGCGGGCAAACTGAGTCTTATTATGTGCATGGACATAACTTATTTTTAGTCTGATACACAAATAATCTTGAACGTTGCTGTAGCTGTCAATAGAAACAGAACATCGTATGGGAAACTTTGACAACACTGCAGTGGCGTAGCGTGACTTTTTAAACTGGGTATTCTCTATTAAAGTAAAGGGTGGGGCAGGGTGTGGCTCGGTGGGGCTTGATGAAAATAGGGGAATAATAGGAAGTTTAAAAGGACTAGCTATTGACATTTGATCTAATTTTCTTTTTGGCTCGGTTGGCAAGTACTGCACTGTCAGGGCATTACTACTATGATGAAAACGATACTTTGATAAAGAACCCAACGCAAATATACTCTTCGAACTCATTCATTGCATCAAAATACCACTAACCATTTCATCAAAAGTACTTCAAATCATAACACATCATAGAAAGTCAGTAAAAATATACTGGTCGAAATATGTCACAATATTTTTTTGTAGAATTCTCTAAAATATGCACTGATGTAAAGAGGAAGTAACTGTAAACGCCTTCGAAAGTTTCGAAATTTTTCACATAGGGCAATCTAGACTTTTTCTTCATGGCCTAATCGTCATATTTTCAATACAAGTTAATGTTTGAAAGAATCGAAGGTGATGAGATCAGACTGCACAATAATGCAAATAAATGCGCTCCAATAATGCACTCAAAATAGGCCAACAATATAACTGAATGCACCAGGCAACGAATAGGATATTATCCAAGCCTATCTGCATTTACCAGTGCCGTCGGAACGAAATTCATCTTGGGGGGGGGGGGGCTGCCCGTTGTTTTCTTTCTCATTCATTACACTGTTATAAAGGAAACATACTGCAGTTTGACAATTGTTGGGGGGCTCCAGCCCCTTCCCCCGGTTCTGACAGGCCTGTTTACTTTATTCTAACACATAATACAAACAAAAGCATCCCTGACTGACATTTCAAAATAACAAAATTGGCATTTCAAGGGCACAGATCTGAGTGTAGTATTATGTAGAAGCCTACCTCACCTTTCCACTTTGCTGTTGGTAAATTAGGGGTCAAATGAGAGAATGATTATTAAACAGTAATACGGACATAAAAATAGTTTCTGAATGAAGTCATATTTACTGTTTTCGATGAAGATCCATCACTCCAACCGCTCCGACGGCCATAAGCTGTTTATATCGATCTCAAAGCGAGACTATTTTGAACCAACTTTGAGGCTGTACGCTGCATATTTCGGAGCTGTCTAGTTTCCATACTGCTCGACCTAATGACGTAACTAGTTTACCCTAAATCTAGCCCTAAACTTAAACCTAAACCTAACCCTAACCCTAATCCTAACCCTAAACCCAACCCTAACCCTTTACTTGAAATAATTAAACATACTAATTTATGACTATAAATCATGCTTATTTATGACTATCAGGTCGAGTAGTATGTAAACTAGACAATTCCGGATATTTCTCGAGGTACAGGACCATTGTTTTAGCTGATTAATAGTAAATATTATTCATTGAAAGGAGCATTTTGATTGCTTGAAGCACCGTCTAGGGTATTCACTGCGTATTCATGACCGATCTCCATTCAACATAAAGTAACTCAATCTTGAAAATTAGAGTCAAAGATCTCCCAGCTTCTCAATGCTTTGCAGTGTTGTTGTTTCCATGAATTTCGTGATATTTTGTACTTGTACTAAATGTAGCATATCGAAGGCAACGAATTCAACCAGAATCAATAGCCCCAAAGCATTTTTTAGTAATTACAGTTTTACGTCTTATAATTTTTTCTTCTGAGAAATCTCAGGGTATTCACTGAATACCTTGAATACCCGGACTTTTTTATAAGAACAATTTTGTAAAAAAAAATAACTTAAAAGTTAGTCTAATTTTAAGAGCAAATTAGAAACAAGCTGGGACTGAGCTATTGTAAAATGTAATTTTAAACAAGCTTTCATCTCAAAACGAGAAGTTTTTGTCATCTTAAGGTGCTTTTTGGGTGAATTTTCAAACTTATCAGAGAATAAAAGTTGTCTCACTTTGTTGGCAAATAAGGCCTGGACATCTCCTTGCACTGTTTACACCCTATTAATTTAAGAACAAATTAAGAACAATCCAGCCTCATATTTTCGAAAAAATTAAGAACAGTCAGCCTGAACTGAAATTTACTGGTTCTTATAACAAGAAAGTCTATGATGTAAGACCAGTGTAATCAGATCAAACTTTAACACCTGCCTATCAGATCAAACTTTATCACCTGCCTATGAAAACTGCCAAAGTACGACAACCTTGACTTCCTACTGATCAAAAGGGGTTTGGAAGATTTTTTGGATAGAATTCAAAAAAGGGATAGAGTAAGGATTAAGAGTTTTTCTGGAAAAAGAAACGGAATACCTGATTTTTCTTTGGTCAAGAAAAATATGCTGTATTTTCGTCAGTAGGAAAGGGTATGAAGATATTTTTCGGCAAGAAGGGAAAGAATATTTCATACTGATGGGAATAAGAATTATATTTGGGTATTTCAAGCATTTGATATGTGACGTTAGGGGGGGGGGAGTATTTTTAAGGAAATTAAGGACATGAACGTGGCTTATTGTCTGGGGAAAAGAAGAGACGACTAAGGACTATGGGTCATTCTGGACTCCAAGTGGAGTACATTATAGAAATCCTACTTTTTGAAGATATGTAGGAGATTAGAAAAGTCTGCTTGAAGAAACATTGCTAAAAGAAAGTCTAGATCTGCAATAGTTGTATGAAGCTTTCTTCCAAATGGTGAAATTTTCTTTAATCCTCGTGTGCTTATCCAAACCAACAACATTTGTTTATATAATACAACATTATAAAAATCTGCTGCAATTGAAGTAATTAACTTGAATGCTTCCTAGCTCTTTCAGTATTTTGTGTGCTCATTGAGCAACAAAGGTTCTTGCTTTTAAAATCAATTTTATTTTTTCGTAGGTGATTTATTCTTTTCAATGACCGTAACGAATCTCTTTCAAACGCTCACGGAAAATCGCAAGTTGAAGGCAGTTGCGCGCGCATCTACAAATGGCGTGCAATATGTCGAGCTGTTCATCCAAGAAGATAACAAGGTTTGTTAAAAGCTCTATGGGTTTCGCATTGTTCTTGCACTGATAATTTTGACCTATGTAAGACTTTTCCTGTGAACAAAAAGGTATTTTCCTTAGTTTCTTATAGAATATCACAGTATTTTGATAAGGTTAGAATATCACAGTATTTTGGAAGATTATAGGTGAGAAAGCGTCATTTGAAGCAATGCCAAAAAGTTAAAGGGATTTTTAAATATACCCCCAGCTTTGAGATTGTCAGGCAGACTTATAGAAGGTTTAAAGATATCGACATATTACACGAATGTTTTGTAGAGATATCACAATTCAAGGGAAACCCACACGCACTGATGGTAGCGACACAGCCAAGGAGGCAATAGTATCATAGAAAGCAAACAGTTCTAGATAAAAAGCATGTTGCATTAGGTTTTAAGGCAATATGTTAAGAATTTAATTCTATTAGAACGATCTCATCATTATGTCACAGGTGTTGCCACACGCAATGCATTCTGGTAGTTGTAGTTACGCGCGCCGTTGCTATCTACCTTGTTCACTGTGTTCCTCATGAACGAAAATATTGAAACTCACGGAGATTTGATTGAAGAAATGGGCCTAGATGTCGATAAGTTGTCAGATGATAAAGATGGTTGGACGAAGTCGTAGGAAGACCTTTCAAACTTCGACAGCTCAAATAGTATGCCAAAGTGTGGAAGCGCCTACAAAAAGAGCCTATTGTCATAAATTAAAATATTAATACAAATAATAAAATGCTAACTAGATATAGCCAAGGTTTGCTATAAGTGTTTTACAAAACTTGCAGTTGCATTTGTCTGTAGTCCAGCTTTTGATGCCACCCTTGAAGATTTTTATGGTGCGAGACTTTTTGGTTTCACTTGGTAATGTCTGCCAAAATCTGCTTTCAACATATCGTATGTTTTCTATACCATGAGCAGTTGTATTTGCTCTTGGTACCAGAAGACCATCATTGTTTCTAAGATCGTATGATATGTTCTTTCTTTCGACACAGATATCTTACATGAAAGATAGATTTAAACTGTTTTTGGCTTTATATATCTCTATCATAAGCAACTGCAAGTTTTTTTGGTGAACTGATAATGGGTAATCTTTTGCTAGAAGCTCATCAAAGGAGGATTCAGTGTCTCTGTATACAATTCGCAAAGCTCTTTCATGAATTTTATCAATTCGACCATTTGTGGCTCTGTGTAACATCCAAATGAACGGACAATAACTGAAACGAGACACAATAAAACACCTCGTTATCAGTTTTATTTTTTCCGTGCAATTGGATACCCTTGCTAAGGCATAAAGTTTTTGACTTGCCCTCACACAAAGGTGATCAACATGAACATCAGAATCTAACTTTGAATCTAATGTTACACCAAGTAATTTTTCAGATTCAGATTCTGATATTTGCGAGGCACCAATATTTAGTTTCATTCCGTCAATTTTGCTCCGAATATTAAAATATGACTCTTTTCTTCATTTAGTTTCATGACATTGTCAGAGAACCATTCTGAGAGTAAAAGCGTGTCTTTTCTAATTTTGAGAACACTGTCCTAATGTTCTTATTTCCAACATATAACGCTGTATCGTCTGCGTAATTGCATACTTCAGTATCATTCACTAGATAAAAAATTTCGTTTGTAAAGATATTTATAGGTTATGGAAAATAGGCTACGTCCGAGGTGTTTTTGAAAAACCCAATGTTAAAGCTGCCAAAACTCTTTCTTTCGTGAAGGCAGGAGTTCATGCATCCATGAAAAATTCAGACGCTGTTTTCGCCTACCTATATCAAGCAACTTGTGAAATAACCCATGCAAAATTCAATTGCAAGGCTGGTCAAAGAGGATGCTGTAAGCATGTCGCTGCCTTTTTATACTGTTTGTTGGATCTAGTCAATATGAAAATGTGTAAAATACCAGAAGATCCTGAAACTTGCATGAAAGTTCCTCATTTTCCTTTGTTTGTGTCTCTAATTCAAATGGAGATCCATCCATTTCTTTCATTGTCAAAATTTTCTAACTTCAGGGAAAATTTTAAAGGACTTCTGTTTCTTGAGCGTAGAGTTGCCCTTTACTTTAAGGGCTTCTTTTTTCGTTTTTTCGAGACAGCGGTTGGTACATTTATCATGTACATCTTACATCCACCAGTGAGATGCAGAGAGCAGACCCTATGTGCTGCAGTTGGGTTGAAATGCATCCTTGGGATCATATGCTACCAGCGTTTTCTTAGCAAGTTTTCCTTACTTTTATCATTTGGAATAATGTAAAAGGATAAATCCCGATTTACACGACTGTTGCTGAAGCATTCTGGCACACAACAGGTAAACCCTTCTTTTCCACAGTTGCGTTTTTAGGCCCACTCTCTATATCGACAGGACTAACGCCGCTTCCAATGTCTTCTATTGTCGCTCCATTGAAAGCACTGTCAATAGGCCGAGTCAGCGGGCAAGTTTCGAAAAAACTAGGGATTTCCTTTTCCATCAAATCTGCGTGAGTTTAAATATTTCCAATCATGATTTCGATTTAAATACTTTAATTACTTGGGCAAGCAGTGAGAAACAGTGAACAAGGTGGATCGCAACGGCACGCTTAACCACAACTACCATAATGCATTTCGTGTGGCAACACCTGTGACATAATAATGGGATCGGTACACTACCAAACATGAGTACACTTCGCAGGGCCGTCGGAAGAGGGGGGGTGACGGGGGTGGAACCCCCTAGTAATTGTCAATCTGGATTTATTTCCTTTATAACAGTGTACGGAATTAGAGGCAATAAAATGGGCAGCCCCTCCCCCTCCAATATGAATTTCGTTCCGACGGTACTGCTTTTTAAATAGTCACGCGGACATTCTTTAAATCAGTAAAGAAACTTTCTCGACTCTTCGCGGAGCAGATTCGGATAATTTATACTTTTATTCTGAAGTTAATCTGCAGTGCCTTTTTGTCTCTTTCAGCTATTGTCTATAAATAGACGGCTGGTGGCCTGTGGAGCTGCGCAGTGGATCGATATGTAGCTGCGCATTTGTTTGACATGTATAACAAGGCATCACAGAGGTTTGTCAGATAATCCAACTAGGTGATAATTGCTTCCAGGAAAACCTATGTTTTCTTTAGAGGTTTCAAAACAGGATTCTAATGATAACAGTACTTTTTCTGTTTGTTGATAATCCTGTATAAATATTCGATTTATTATTATAATTATTATAATTTATTATAGTTTATTATTATAAATAATACAATTGATTTACGTTTAACCTGTTCATCTCATTTTGTCTGTTAAATCTTCTAAGTGAAAGTCTTCATCGCTGTAGTTGCTTTGCTTGTCAAAAACAACTTTTGAAGATAGCATGGAAAACCGAAAAACAAACGAAAAAAAAGTACTTTCCATTCGACTCTCTTCATGGTATAAACGTCGGATAACAACGAAAGTTAAACAGAAAATTTATATCCAGATGCGGTCCGAATCTGATTTGTTCCTTGCTTTGACCAATCAGCAACGTTTCTATTCATTGGAGTGTCGGATGAAAAGTTCTCTAGTATGTTATGTTTCCGCTTTCTGTGCTATCTTGAGTAACAACTTTGTAGATTCGTTACTCTAGCTTGAATTGCGGGACAAATTGACTCTATCGTACACGTTTCTTCCTGTTCATTGGTCCTCCCTGATAGTCAAGAAACATTGTTCGGAGAATGGGTTCAGTAATGTGAACAGTGAATTTGCCATTTGCCAAACAACTCTATCAACAGTTTGAGACGATATTTCAAGATTTTCAAGTTATTTTGCCAGTTTGCACTGAATATGGGGTGCTCAAGTTTATTTGGTCAGGTACTAACAAATATCTAGCTTGTGTAACACGTTGTGACATAGTCAGGTGTCTGAACTTAAAGCGTTTAATGAGATTTGAACTTGTCTAAGACGAATAAACAGCACACTTTTGCTGGTTAATTAAACTTTTCTTAATTTTGTTATATGTTTAATTTTCTAGAAATATATAAAGAGACAGCTCTGCTCATTTCATAATAATTCAATAATCGATTAAATCTATTAAAGGGTTAAGGGGGGTGTTTATATAGATAGAGCTGCCCCTATTAAGTTAGCTGGCTCTGTTTGCCAGGGTATTTTTTTCGCAGCGTTTGCATGCAGCAAGCACTGAAAGCCCTTACTACATTGCAGCCAAAATGAAAATTGCTATCTTTGCAAACTTAGAAAATACCTATCCTGTTTAAGCGAGAGGTCTTAGAAAATGAGCTAGCTTACCTCCACCCAGGGCCCAGACCCCCTGATTTTCCCCCACGTGATGTTTCAGACCCCCTGATTTCCCCCCCCCCCCCGTGATGTTTACGTACGCATTACACGGAAATTTGGGTGCAACACTCTTGTAAAAATGCCCATTTTACAAATGTAACACTGCTGGTGAAATCAAAGCCAACGCCGACATCGATGCATCCTGCCTTGATAACTTATTTTTCAACTTTACTAGTCGCTGAAGATATCCCCTTCCATCCTGCAGACCCTCCAACAAACCTAATCCGCGGTTTCCCTCACTAGAACTTTCTAACAACCGGCTACCTTCATCCAAAGCAAAGACTATTTTCTCAACAACAATCATAATGATTTGTCTTCAATTTTGCAATAATAACCTTGGCAATTTTTTAATCGTTTCTCTACAAACAATCTTTTAGTGTATTAACATTTTATCTAGTTATTCATAGCATTTAGTAACCATAAGTTTTGATGTTGAGAATTCTATTCAGGACAGTAAATATTTATCGAAGAATTAATTTCATCTTTTCATATTCTACGTTTAGTATTTAAGGAAAGAATAAATCTTTGTCTTGGTGTTATATTATGATATTTATTATGGAATATATTATACTCATTACGAAGTGGATTGAAATTGAAAATTATTTTTCACGTGTTTTGCCTGCTATACTAGATTGTCGTTGCAAATAGCATGCTTTTAGGGTTGGTGAGTGCCTCTGTCTTAGCCGAAAAAGCTTGACCTAAACCAAGTAGCTCGGTCTAAGCCAATCAACTAACAAATAGCTCGGTCTTAGCCAATCAATGAACAAGTAGCTCGGTCTTAGCCAATCAATGAACAAGTAGCTCGGTCTAAGCCAATCAACGAACAAATAGCTCGGTCTTAGCCAATCAATGAACAAGTTGCTCGGTCTAAGCCAATCAACGAACAAAAAGCTCTGTCTAAGCCAATCAACGAACAAATAGCTCGGTCTAAACCAATCAATGAACAAGTAGCTCGGTCTTAGCCAATCAACGAACAAATAGCTCGGTCTTAGCCAATCAACGAACAAAGAGCTCGGTTTTAGCCAATCAATGAACAAATAGCTTGGTCGAAACCAATCAATGCACAAGTAGCTCGGTCTTAGCCAATCAACGAACAAAGAGCTCGGTTTAAGCCAATCAATGAACAAATAGCTTGGTCGAAACCAATCAATGCACAAGTAGCTCGGTCTTAGCCAATCAACGAACAAAGAGCTCCGTTTTAGCCAATCAATGAACAAATAGCTTGGTCGAAACCAATCAATGCACAAGTAGCTCGGTCTTAGCCAATCAACGAACAAAGAGCTCCGTTTTAGCCAATCAATGAACAAATAGCTTGGTCGAAACCAATCAATGCACAAGTAGCTCGGCCTAAGCCAATCAACGTATAAGGGAGGGATATTAGTAAAGTGTGTTTCTGTTCCAGATATGGAATATAATTATTTGCGTTTGCAAATTGAAATTAGGGACGCATCTCATAAAACACTTAACAAAAGTTTTTGAAGGCAGCGAGGACGAAAGAATCAGCAAAGCGACTTTTAAAGATGTTTTGTTGCTGTTTAGTAAACAAATGAATAATGGGTCGATAAGACAACGTATGCCAGCGGTCAATTAGAGGAATTTGCTCTTGATATCCAAATAGTTAGGCTTAACGTAGTGTATGATTTGACATGTTTCGGACAACTTTCTTAGGTGCTAAATAAAAAGAAGACAAGCGATCTGTCCAAGCAGAAAAGGACAGTTTTCCTTCCTTACCTGCACAGGATTCGAAAACATGGACAACAACTTTCTGTGGTTTGATTAGCTCTTGATAATATTTATGAAATCCAATGACATATTTTTCTATTATTTTCAAAAACTTCAATTGTAGGTGTCTGAACATTCTCCCGTCACATTCCATCAATTCACCCTTATGACCACCCTGACCTTTTTACTGTTTGATTTTTCGTGATTAAGTGATTATTGCATGCGACTCTTTGATCCTTTTTCATTCCATCCTTACTGATTACTGGTCAATTGTTGATTTTCTCAGTATTTGCGGGGTTATTATCAGCGAGTGGCTTCTCGAATAGGAAGTAGTTTTAATTTAACAACAGTTGACATGTACAAAATTAGGTTTTTTATCAGTGTTTGTCTGTCTGATCGTAGCAAAATTGGATATATGTTTAAAATGCGTGATCGATAACCATGACATTTCAATTGAGACAAAGTGCCTCAATGGAACTTTGTGTACAAATTTTAAGTTTACTTCGTCATCACCGATTACAATATGACGTCAATGGAAATATTATTTTACGGGTTCCAAATACAACATATCATTCGGCAAAGAACAGTTTTTTATAAGTTTCCAAAGAACAGAATGTGGGATTATATAACTTTGTATCTTGCAAACATCAAGGGTTTTTATAGATACTTATTACCTATAGCCTTCCGTTATAGGTGAAAAAATCTATAAATATCAGGTATATCATTTCATATAAAGGCTCAAAGCCTTAGATTTGAATTAATTTAGCCTCAGGGCGAAAATAACAGGATACCTAGAGAGAATAAAACAATTGACTTATAAATGGGGAAAAAATTTTACAGAATGAAAATGTACAAATATTACAAAACAATGACGATTGTATGATAATTAGTGTTCTCAATGTCATCTCTTGTTGAGATATTCAACCTGTTCTTTAAACTCCGTGTATAGTCTTTGAAATCTTAGATTGGAACCTAAGAGGATAAAAAGAATCAAAGCAAAACTATATGTAGAATATAAAAAACGATAAAATTCTACCACTTTTGGACACTTACAAAGTGTAGCCAAATGATAGCATATAACAAGTCAAATATCGTGCTGCTAGATTTCTAGCAACTTAAAAATTATAGGCATCATTGCCTTTCCGGGGGCATTGGGTGTTGGACAGAAAATAACACATTATGAGCATTGTCACAGTATATGAAATTGGAGCATAAAAGAGTTTGAGTTTAAAAAGGTACGAAAATATAACTAACGACCGATTTCTTGACGCTTACCAATTATTGGCAGGATATCTTGCAGAAGATCTCGTTTTCTAAAAACCTATGGAGCAAAATATATCTTACATTAGATCCTATTAAAAAATGGAAGCTTCTTGCCATTTTTCATTCGAAGTATCAGCTTTTCTTATCTGATCTTTTCAGATTTTCTAGATATATTAACAATCGCGTTAGTGTATTCTAAAAACTCTTTTCTAAATAGCTCCAGATGGCAAATCACTGGAAGAAAATTTTAATTTGATTTCAAGTGTGATTAAAACCAACAATATGCAGTAGAAAACGCTGCAATGGGTTGCAGAGCAGCCCTGAATCACGCGGTTTGTTTGAAAAGAAAATTAAAAGAAATGGATTCCATGTTAGCGGATCCTCTCTATCAATAATCTTCTCAGTTGAAATCAGGCTATGACAGATGTTCCTCGCCCTGCTACTAGTGTTATTATTCTGAAAGCAGTCTTTTGGCAAGTTCCACATTAAAAGCTCTAGAAATTTCAAACACCTTACCGTCTATTTCATTTTAAAATGCAATTTTGCTTCTAAATGGCCCCAAATAAATTAATTCCTCACCATAGCAGCTAACGGACGGCCCCTCAGGTTTTAAAACGGCCCCTTAAGGTTCTTAAACAGCCCCTCGAGTTCTGGCTGTCTGATAGCATGGCTTAATGTTTTAAAGAAGCTGCCTTAGGGCAATTAAGATACAATGTGCTACAATGAATATGAAAAGATATGATATAAGACAACACAACACAATGAAATATAATAACAAATTTAAAAAATATAATACTATAATATAATGTCATAAATATAATATAATATAATATATTATAATATGATATAATAAAATATAATATAAAATAATATAATATAATATAATATAATATAATATAATATAATAAAATATAATATAATATAATATAAAATAATATTAAATATATAATATAATATAATATAATAATATAAATATATAATATAATATAATATAATATAATATAATATAATATAATATAATATAATATAATATAATAAATGATATATGATATATGATATACGATATGTGATTATGATATATGAAATGATATAACACAACTTAATATTATAAAATTATAACATCATATTATAAAATTCAATAAAATATAATATGATAAAAAATAATATGATATAAAATGATAAGAAATAACATAACAAAATGAAATAAAATAATACAATATAACAGTGATACTCATCTTAAAGTTGATGCCTTTGTTGCCTAAATAATTATTTACGCCTTCCTGTCTAATATCTCCTCCCATAATGGCCATCAAATTTATCAACGCCATGGGCGCAAAATCGAGGATTTATATATTATAATGTACGATAAAGTAATTATACAAGATGTTGTTAAAAGTCATGGACAAGTACTTCAAAATCAGATATAAAAGAAATCGACAAAATATTTTATATTTTTATAAAACAATTTAAAAAGTGTGATTCGGGAGCAAAAAATTACTGCAATTTATACCAATATTTTTGGCTGCCATGAATTTTCCCTGCAGATTTCGCTTTTACGATGGCATGGGCCAATAAGATCTTCACAAAGTTCTCTTAGTCGTTGCTCTTCACCTTCGGGTAAAAAAAATTACATTGTCATACAAATAATTTAATTTCTAGATTTACCCAAAACTGATAACACGTAACTTCTATAATTCTAAAGCTAACTATCTTGAACTGATTTCATACGAATCTTTTCTGTGCTCACTAGCTAGTAAAATCTTTATCAAAATCAAATTTCCTAGTGTCATTATATTTAGGCTTCTCCCCCCTCCCCTTTTCAGTCGCTCTTCCCCCACCTTTATCAATTTTCATCAATCTTCTTACGATTAAATTTTCAGTAATTTCCCACACAGCTATGTACGGAAATCCCTAACAGGGGCGTGATCCAGCATAATGCTTGAAAGTAGCTCTGCTGTGATCACAGAAGTAAAAATTCTAGCCTGGAGATTCGCCATAACATTCTTAACTGCTTCACAAAAGATGACTGGTGCCCTTATTCAAGGAGCATCCTACATCTCATACTTTCAAGGTATTTCGTTTAATGAATTGTAGCTGGAGTTCCTGATATAAATTTTAGGTTTTGAGACTGGGGTTAAGATACTCGCTAAACCTTCAAATGAAACAATTTTCCTTCTGCCAGCTACAGAATTTCCGCTTGTGCGAAAGATCAAAACAGATACAATCAAAAGCCACGTTGGTTCTTTAGTCATTTCAAACAGTATTGCTTTTAGCAAGAAATGTTGCATCACTATTGTTTGAGAAAATGTGAACCCAGGCAGGTGATGGGCACGACAAAGACTTAACAGCAAAAATACTGAATATACTAAATAACACTACAGTGCAGTTAAGTGTCTGATCAACAGATGAAAATGTGTTTGTGACGATTTTTCATTGCCCATTCATACAGATTTTTTTGTCTTCATTGCCCATTCATACAGTTTTTTTTGCCTTCATTGCTCATTCATTTAGTTTTTTGTTTTCATTGCACATTCATTCAGTTTATCGTTTTTCTTCAGAGAAATATTAGTAAAAAGACAGATAGTTCAAAATTGCTTCTTATCAACAGCTATAAAACTTAAACATTTATATTTCTTTACCTGACTGCACGAGATATCGAACGTAAGTCATGAACCAAAACTGATATTCTTCTGAAGATCTTAAAACCAAAGCTGAGCAAAGCTGATTCTAAAAAAAAAATTAGCATTCTAACAACTGGCAACAGCATTCTTTATTTCAATGAATGGGCAAGCTAATTGGCAGGGACGGGTGATTTTTTAATCAAATCCGAACCAGAATGATTTTTGCGTCGATTACAGTACCTGTACCAGGGCTAAAATTGAAAAAAATCAAGATATATGGTATAACTGAAATCTTAATGGTGCATTTTGAGTAGATGGCACTTGGTAGAACTTTCCTGGGCACGCTGAAAGCAAGATTATATGTCTTGTAATTAAAAAAACACGGTCCATTAAAAGTAAAATATCAAGATTTGGTAATAAACGAGATTGTTACCTCTAAATGACTTATCGTGCAAGACTGCTGTTTGCTTGAGTTCATTCGCAAATTCTGGGCAGTTGGCCGCATTAACCTGTGATGTGGAATCGAATCGTTTCACATGAAAAGAAATAAAGATCATCAAACTTTGGTTAAAAACAAAGGGAATCTAAAACAGAATAAATTGCACTTGAAATCAATTAAATGTGATTGGAGCAAGAACGTATAGTAACTAGGACATGTCTACAAAACAGTTTCGTTGTATCTTCGAGAAGACGATGAATAACAACACCTATTAGATGTAATTTTTTACAAGAACTCCTTTATAAAAAGCAAGGGCTATACGGGCCCGGATAATTTGAAAAACATTGACTAGTGCAGTTTTTACATGAAAGATACTGTACCATGACGGAAAAGTGAGATTCACGTGACATAAACAAAGTTCTTGATGAGTATATTGTTGATTTCGATGATGGCATCAAGGAAAACGTAACGTTAAAGATGTTGGTAGAATTCAAAGTATCCTTATTGGAACCTTGATATAAAATGTTGCCATTTTTTCTGACTTTATTGCAGTTTTAGAGTTTTGCTTGTACAGTTTCAGTACACATAGCGCATTATAATAATAGTTGATTTGTCCATCCACACTTTTTCATTTATAAGCTAATTAAAAAACTCGAATAGGTGCTCAAAGATCAAGAGGTTTGTTTGGTGACTTAAGAAAAAATATGCATGAATCAAAATATCAACAGCAGACAAGTAGAGTCTTCTAGAACATTTCTCGACCTACTGAAGGAAAAATTGTACCCAAGCAAAAATTCTTTCAAAAAAATAGTTGCTAGCTTCAAATATCTGTTTGGACCAAAATGGAGACTCTTGAAATTACCTGTCCGAAGAGGATTGGACGAAAGTTAGCATTCCACTTGGTTTTTTTCCTGGCACAGATCCATGGTACGTAGACGCGGATTGTAATGGATCTTCGCTGTTTGAGATTTGGATCCTTAAGAGAAATTGATAAATAATCAAGGATAAATGTTGAGATAAACTTGACAATAGTGGTGATAATGATAAGGGGTGATTATGGTGATTAGGATAGTGAGGATGACAATGATGATTATGATTAACGATGATGGTCATGATCATGAGGATAATGATTATTTTGCTGATGAAAATTTACAATAGACAATCTCACTTTTAGTCGAAAATAACTTACTTCGAAGTAACACCCAGGTCTCGATTTTTCCTATCATTTGTCATTACAATCTTAAGGCGAATTTGGTTTCAATAAAGTATAAATTGTACCCTTTAAGTGATGTTTGAAATGGTTTACACGTTTAAAAAGACAACTGAAAAGTAAACATTGACGCAGAAGAATCATATATCTAATCAGAATATAAGATGTAAATCTTTTTTTAACGCAGATTTAAGGGAAGCTACAAGGGAAAAAGGGTTTCACATCATGCGTAAACGTGGTTCACGTCATATGTAAACAAGGTTCTCATCACGTGCACACAAGGTTCTCAACACGTGTACATATGGTTCATATCAACTAAATAACCCATAAGGGACAGAATGCACATACCAAGTGTTAAGTGACTCAGAAAAGGCATACGAGCTTGAATCTTGCAGTGAAATGATTGGGACTCCAGTCTCTGTGATGAATGTCCGATTAATACTCGTTCCTGTAGAGGGAAAAGACCAAGAGCTTGTGATAAATTTACGGTAAAAGGTATCGAATTGGCATGTGGTCGATGTTTTCGTGTTCTATGCATAAGGTGGCAAATTCCACAGGACAGTACCACCGCATTGACACAAAGGGACCGTTGTCTTGGTATTTGGTTGTCAATGTAAGTGGAGCCAGAGGGTTAATGTGGGGGTGCTTCGGACTGAAACAGCAATTACCCTCAGTGGGTACAGTAATACAAAGTCATAATAAAACACAATTAATTATTCACTCCTAGAAATTGGCGCGTATAAAAAGGGCAACTGCGAAGGATAAATTGTATAAATGGAACGTATTGTACAATAAGCTGCCGTCTCAAAGAACTCGAGATCTACAGATACACGAAAAAAGCGACAAAAATTGAATAAGGAACTTGATGAAGGCTTTTAAAATCTAAAATACCTTTGATAAGATGATGTATTGGCTCTTTTGCTATCTTTACTTCGCGTTTCGTTACATCCCTAGAAAAGAAGTCAGAGCAACGACATTGAGTAAGGCAAAAAAATAAAAATGATTTCTACAGTAATAAGGATGAATAATTTATTGCCATATTTACGAAAGTAAGTCGTTATCTTCAGCTATCTGGGGGCAAAGATCGATAAAATACACTCAACCGAACAGTTGTTTGGGGGGGGGTTGACCTAGTGCCTTTCTAAGTAAACTTACCTTCTATTTTTTGCAAGGGTTTAGCGCAGCAGCATTAAATTTTATAAAAATGGAATTTTAAGAAGCACAAATGCAGTGGAATGGCAAAAAACTCATAGAAGCTTTCTAGTCAAAGCCCTCACTCTAGTAAGCTTCAGCAATTTTTGTTTACCCTGTTTTTCTGGAAAAATGAAAAACATGTGAAGATGGCACGAAATAGCAGAAACATAGTTCGTTTTCTCTCTTGGGCTCTTCAACTAGGTGCGAGGTTAGCGGTCACTGATTGGTTCAAGAACAAAAGAACCAATCAAACACACCTTTCTTCATCTCACGTTACTTTCGATTCACACATGGATATAATGTTTCTGCTTAATTTCGATCACCAATCAACGTTTATACTCTGAAGAATATCGGGCAAAAACTACTTCAGTAGGCGATGTTTCCGCTATATCGTGCCATCTTCAAATTTTGCAGTACCAGAAAAACGTATTTTGAAACATAAATAATAATCTGATAACAAAAATATGATTCATTAGTTTACTTATTATGTTTATATTTGTTCCTATTCAATTTTACATTACCTAAAAATCTGCAAGGTATCAAAAAACTACAGCTTACCAAACGCTGACGTAACTTGATGCAGTAACAACGAACATGAAATTACAGCTGCATTGTAATATAGCTATTTGAGAGGACAGCACCATTGTAGGCATGATTCTATAAAACACGAAGAATGGTGACGTAGGATAAACAAACCAACGCTTTTGCATAAAAATTAACGGGAAGAAATTCGTGTCAAAGGGAGGCATTGGGTTTGGATGTGGTTTGGATTAGTCGAGTTACGGCTATGTGGATGACCTGGCCGCAAGTATAACGTATTAGATAGAAAATAGGCTGAAATCAAAACACACCTAGGTTTTCAAACCAAAACACGTAGGTAATCAAAACTAAAGCTTAATGAAAAACTGTGAAAAGGATTTAATCATAGCGAAGTAGACTCCATCGCCATACAGGCTAAGTCAATAGTTATGAGAAACTTGCTGTTTTTTGCAATATGATTTGAACTCTATTTTTAAGATATTACTACTGATAGAACCAGGGATTTTATGTAGACGTGTTGACGTCTCTTTGATTATTGATAAAGCATGTGGATACATTTTCAGTGGCTCTTAAAATAACGTTGTTTTAATCACAAAGAAAGGAATGCTTTGGGTCTTAAAGAAAATTACCCAGAATTAAGATAAAAGATTCATGACATCGTTACGATAATGGAGCCATAAAAACTTGTGTCTATTTATCTGAAACTGAAATTACCTTCGACCCTGCTTTGAAAAAACATGCAATGATTTGTTTTGACAAGCAACACAAACGAAGAGCCTGCAAAAAAATTGATAAAAAGTTTACATCATACAGTCAGGTTCAATTTCCTAAGATCTGGAACAAGTCTTCTTCTGGGATACACTCCGTGTCGAGATCAATAGCCTGTGAGCAACTATAATGTATTTCAATTTGAGAAACAATGTTGAAAAAACGAACTCTCAGATTCACAATAAAACACTTCCTCGCTCATTAATTTTCTAAATGGTTTTCATGAACAGTCTATACCTCCATCTTTGAATATTTTCTGCAAACCCTTCATATTTCTTAAGTTCGGATATTCTTACTATTCTTAATCTATGCTTACTTTAAGGTCCGGTATTTAGTTAAAAGAGATGCCAACCCTCTTCTCCCCTTAACCAGTCAATCCTCACCAGAATCGTTTGAAAACTTTATTATATCATGGAGACGACTTTTTTTGACAGTCGCCAGTAAAGCCATAAATTTGATGAAATTACAATTACACAATAAAAGTCGTACACTAGTTTGTTCACGAAACTATAAACAAAGTTATAATTGATTGAACGAGCGATTGACGCAGTTACTATCGAATACATGTCAAATTCGAATAATCTTTGATACAGTGCTACTAAGGCTTAACCTGTAGTCTACAGATCTGTTGGAAATGGAAAGCTGGTCGGGCAGCAGTCCCCAAATAAAAGCCAAAAAGTTATCTATTAAATCTATAACAGAGTCTTAAACGGGAATAACCAGGCAGTGAATGAAGCATTGGGGACCCAAGCATTGAGCCTTCCTTTGGCCTGGTGTGGCTCCCAACGTGGCTCTCGGTGGCCCTGATTGAAAGTACAACCAACACAAAATAATACTGCTAATTACTAATCGAGTTGGAATATCAAAACAGAAAGTAATCATAATGTTTAATAAATGTAACAGAAATGCAGTGGATTTACTTACTCGCTGCAAGCCAAAGCAGTTGCAGGACTCGTTAAATAAGCTTCCCAAGTGGTCGTCTCTTTCTTTGTGCAACGTAAGATGTGTATTGAAGAAGCTACAATCAATAACATGTTTACAAATTATATAGCCACCGACCAGGGACACATTTAAACTCCAGGGTCGAGAGAGTCACAATTTGTCTTAACACTTTGCCCAAGGTTGCTGTCCTCGCAATAAAACCTTAACAAATATTCCACAGAGACAGCTACACATCATATATGCAATGTTTTCTGCTGAATTTTTAATGCCTTGATAGTAATTCGTCTGGGATTTCTGGCAGAACAAATAATTAAAATGAATAAAACGTTAAAGCGAGGAATGTTTCGGGATAAATCAATGTTTCTTTTTGGTCAAAACTTGCACAAAAATGTTAGAGATTCAATTGAACTAGCTGGTAGGTAGAAGAGAGGCAAATATTCGAAGCACCAAGAAAAGAAATAATTTCTAGGGAGACTGCATCAAAGAGCGTGATTAGAGGTAGAAGACAGGCACAAGATTTGCCTGATCCTAAGCTCCATCTCTTGAACAAATGTCAGGAAATAAATAAATGCTTTCGTTAAGATTCTTGAAAATTACTAGGTAGGATAGGCTTTGGGAAGAAATCTAGTAAAAATCACTTGCTAACAAACAATTGGTAAATATCAACAAACAGAAAAGACAAGGTAATACGAAGAGTAATTATGAAAAACAACTGGTTCACCCCCTGGTGCTTGTATGTTGTTATCAATCTCAAAAACAATTTCCTCTTGTTCTGATTTTCCCTTGGTTTCAGTAGTCTGATAAAAGAGAAAACAAAAATAATTTACAAGAAAATGTCATACGTTTAGAAACTTTAGGTTAGCAGATAGAAATTGCTAAAAACCATTAGATGATCCCACTAAAAAATTTTATGACTTTACGATCATGGGGCGTCCCTTGGATTATTAAGTCCACTGGGCATCTTTAATTAAAAATGAAAAGCCTTCTATCTATGTCTTGTACAAAACTTTCCCAGGCCAGCATTTATCGCGACTCTTTAAATTAAATCCATTCAACAGGTTTGAACCTTGTATTTGGCTTACCAACATATGCAGAAAATGGGCAGCTAATAGAGATGGATTTAAACCTATAATTAGCACTTAGCCCCCGTATATTCACTTCAAACGTAACAATGCTACTCTAGAAACACCCAGCATTAAAATTGGCTGGCTTTTAAGAAACAAAACTTGAAAGGCTATTGTGTCTCTAGAGTAAATTGGAAACACAATCAAATAAAAACCATCGATAGTGAAGAAATGCGATGATAAGATTAATAATGCCAACGAGGCTCACCTTGTATAAATATTTATGCTGTATACCAATTATCTATATTATATATACCAATTTTTTGAAATACTGAACTTCGCAAACGGATTTTCGAGATCAATAAAGACTACCTCTCAAGTGGAGAAAACTCTCGAGCTTCGAAAAAATCGGTTTTATTGGATATGCAAAAAACAAATAACAATATATTGAAAAGCCTACCCTTAAAGACAAATGCTTTTCGACTTTGGGGGGTTGGAGTACCAAACCTGGGCTGGAGGGTCTTGATGTGCCTGTCTGCGCATGCTCAGGCAGTTTGTCCTCTCGGGATTTGAGCTACAATATCAAAGTACCATTTATGTATTGATACAAAAATTATGTGAAATCTTTGCATAAAATTAAGCAATAGACCATAAACCGCACAAGGAAAATCCTAACATGGAGATTTGTACATTGTACAAATTACAGATTCACAAAACAAGTCTTCATTTTCAGCCGTCATGACAACATTTCTGCGAAAAAATTTAAGATATCAAACTCTCAAGAAAAGTATATTGCGGAATTCCACGCTACAATTTCACTACACAACGACCTCCTTTAAAGGATTCACGAAGAGAAAATTGTATACAGCAACGTAAAATATTCTAGTTATGTTATGAACTAAGTTGTTCTTTACGTAAAATTCTAGTGATTTCGAATTGCGAATGAAACAAAGGGACAGACTTTAAAAGAATGGCATTATCCCGGGAACGAATGTTGTATAACTAATTTTAAGTCTGTTGTGCGATGACTGAGGGTCAAATAAAAGGGTCCCAAAATACCGATGTTCCCCTGTACAAGCATCTCTAGCGTATCTTCGCACATAACAGAAACATAAAAACCACTTACCAACATAAAAGAATCATCTTTATTTTGTTTTTCTTTGGTTTTATCCTTTTCTTTTCTTCCTCTTTTAGCAGGCGTTGTCTGGGAAACACTATCCCCTTTACGTTTCGGAGTGGCAGTCAGATTCTGTGTTGCTGTAGTTGTTGTTAAATCTGGTTGCGTGGTGTCAAGACCCTTTTTATTTGGAGTGGACGATCTGGGCTGTGCTTTCTGATTTACCGATGTAATGGATGTTGTGGTTCCCACAGACTGCGGCCGTTGCCTGCCAAAGCAAGAAATAACAAATCTTTTGAGCATTTCAAATATAAATAGCAAGACAAAGGATCCTGCTAAGAAAACATACCATTAAATATCGAACTTAGACGCAAGAAAAAGGAGTCACAATATAACTGGAAATCATATATCAAATAATAAGATTGGAAGAAAATATCGAATCTTTATTGTACGCAGATATAAGCACTCTGAACTGGATGATTGGGTGGTTAAATGCGTTAATCTTACGTGTCAACGTCTGATAAAAACAACTTACCTCATCAAAGGACGCAACAGAGTAAACATAACATATTGATTTTAGTCTTTTTCTTAAAGATATAGCACGGTCACAACATACTATAATGTTATCATAAAATAGCAAAATTTACAATAGAAAATCTGAATAAAAGAATTATATTGATGAAATGGACAGAATAAAACTGAGCTACAGAGAGTTGATTCAAGAATCGAAATACTTACACTGTTGGTGCACTCTTCAGCATGTGTGCCAAATTGGAGTCACTTTCCTATAAAAAACAGCTGAATCGTAATGGCACAGGTATAAAAAGAAAAGGGAACATTAGATTTCTTCAAGAAAATTTCAGCGAATTAGAGGCTTTGGGTTGCCAGAAAAGAGAAAACAACTCGGAAGATTCTAGTCAATGCCTAGAGATCCAAACCTTATTGGAAAATTTCAGGTCTCCCTCGAGGAAGAAGAGAGCTATTATCAATTTGTTGATGGAAGAAGAGCATTTTGCTATCAACTCAATACGATTCACGCGTTAAATAACAAAAAACGTAAAACAAAATCTGAGCATCTTCACAAGTATTTAATTCTAGAATAAAATCTGTCGACATCATTTATTAAATTACTACAGACCTTTCACAAAGTATATATAATTGTTATGTCGAGTCACCTTAGTCCTGACACTAATCCTAACCCTTGCAATCCCATTCCTTCACAAGTGGTAGTTTGTGATGTGACTCGACTTCCAGTACATGCATAAATATCTTACCACACTGATATTTTACTATGGATAAATCTACATTAAGTGGCAGTTTTCGTCAAGAATTAGCCTAAAACTCTACCTGAAGTTGGACGTTTGGAGCATAGACGTCTGCAGTTGAAGGAAATTCGCTGTCACTGTATGGAACAAAACCAAACAATGAGAAACAATGAGTTAAAAATCATTTCAGATTATGACAAAACAACCCATTCTATCGAGGCCCAAACAGAAATTTGAGGGTAGAATTCTCAAAAAAGTTCTGTAATACAACCCCTGCAGAAAAATCTAGGTAGGTTTCACTAAAAATTGCACAAGGCCAATGACAGTCATCCCTCTAATCTGAATATTGTTGATTTATTCAATGTTAAAAGCGTTGGTGTGGCCCAATGGATTCCTATCAGATAGTTGTGATATTAACTCAACGAAAAACATTGTTTTTAGGTTGCGTGGGGGGTGGGGGGGGGGGTGAGCTGCCCGTTTTCTATACCGGAAACTGTCAACATTTCCAAAACAGAATTGAAGCAGCAGTGTAGCAACAGTAAGTGATTTTCACGGAAATTGTTTTTTGAAAGTGCAATTTAGTAAGAGCGTTTGTGCGCTTAATAGTAGAGGGCATGTAACACAATCCCTTATTTCTCGAAGAGAGAATTGGTACCCAAAAGTGAAGGTGAAAGGCTTTATCTAAATATGAATGCAGTGGCCTTGCTAAATATTCATGGTTTACCTGTATCTGCAGGGAAGATGGCTCTAAAAATCATGATAAAGAGATTATAAAGAGGGGGAGGGTAAGGCCTAAAACAGCCCAATTTCTTGCATCTACACTATGTAAGCAAAAAAATTGTTGCAATTCAAAAACGTATTTACACGGACAAAGTGAACTTAAATACATTGCTAGGAAAATTGAAAAATCTTGGTACCTTAGATCAAGTGGGGATGCTATCATTAATGGGGTAATTCTCCGGCGCCCATCTTTAGTTCTTGTTTCTTTTTGCTGCTTGAGTACCATCTGCAAGGGAATTGAAATACGAGGTCGTGACCTCTTATAGGTTGCCTCTTACATAGGTTTCAGATATAGATGTAGCCCAGAGAACTCAAAATACAACAGTAGCGAGATCTATCGGACACCTCCTAACAACGGAGACCTCCCAGTGATAGAGCTCACAATAATTATTATTAATTCTTTGATTTAAAATTGGCATATAAAATACATATCTTAAAAAGCTAATTAAGGCTGGCCAACTATATGAATCACTTCATTTCTGGTGTTAGTATCTCCCATAATTCCCCCTCCTCCCAAAAAATCTGACTGTATCAATCCCAGCGCAAGGTCTTTTTACCTTAGTTGTAATTTCAAATAAACGTTTCATACTCCAAAATTACGACGTGGCATTAAAAAGTGGAACATGCAACTGCATATTCAAAGTACTTCTGTCACATAAAAGGAACTCTCGGTCCTTGATGAAAAGGTTCCATATTTTTGTACTATCATGATATGCTTAAATGTTGAATGATTCACTACACATCGAGAGCAGACAAAATTCTTTGATTTGTACCAATAGCCATGTACGATGGAAGGACACTTATCATGTGAACGTAATTGTCTTTGCCTCTTGCTTTAACATGCCAATGTACAACTAATTTTTAGTACCGCTTTGAAGAGGATTGGATTATTATGCAGAAGAAGAAAATAGTTGTAGCTTGAATTGCTGTTTAGGATGGATCACTGAGCAATGGAAAGGGGAAACAAAAGACATACCATTGCAGCTTCTTTGTTATCAGTTGACCCACTCGTGAAACTTCCAGCCTTTGATAGATTTTGTCCATCTAGAATAGCGAATGAAGCTAGATATGAGCCAATTAACAGCAACGATAGCTATGTAAAAGCCATGCATGGCCAAAAAGCGATATCCAAACATCACAATTAAAAATTGATTGATATTTTAATGAAAATCGGGAGCGTCACTATAACACATAGCCCCTTCTTTGACAAAAAACTGATGGTAAATTAATTAAGAGTCAAGTTATTGAATAAATAATGAAAGTAAAACTACAACAGACGATGAAACCAAGATTTTGGTAACATAATCAATTAAACATCAAATTGTATCTGCTATCCTTCTTGTGGCACAGATCACATAGCTTCGCTTTCATATAAAAACGGAGTGAAACCTTTCTGTTGCTGCCTTGCGTTCACACTGCTCTGCTATTAAGAAGAGACATTTCAAAACGCAAATGAACACGGATACTTTTGGATATAGTGCGTATTGAATACGCTCGGTTTCAGTGTGAACACCAAGAAGGGAGACATTGGAATACGCTGACAGTATCAACAATTTGGGTACGCTGCCATCCAATTCCCAGCACGTCAAAATGGTGAATTCTCAAATGACAGTCCCTCGCCTTTGCTGAATTTTGACACTAATTTGGTGAGGCTTCATGAAAGCCTCTGTTTAAAATTGAAGCCACTAACACCAGTAAGATTGTTCATAAAGCTTTCATTTGAAACAGTTTCATGTGAATTGACAATGCTTTTATCAACAAAAACAGACAGTACTTTGAGCGCTGCCTAAGTGCAAGGTTGCACAGATGCCTTTCACTTACAACTAGATGTCATCGCATTACAAGCTATGTCTCTAACGAAGGTTGCATATCTACTATAAGTTTTGCAAAGAGAATGAAAAACAAAATGAAACAGAGTTCAGCAAGGTTTCCTAAAAGGAGTTATTAACAAACAAAATTCCCAAGTACTTGCAGGAAATTGCCTTGAATGAGATTTTCAAATCTTGAATGACTAAGGACATAATCTGCAAACAATAACTTACCTATTACACAAAATGGCAAGAGCCTAAAACAAGTTTTTTCACGAATGTCCAAACTTGACTAGCAAACAAAAAGGGAGATAATCTTGTCATTTAATGATTAATACGTTACCTGAGGACTTCCATGTAATCTGCGAAGCATTTGGGAAGCTTATTTTACTGTGCGAAGGCGAGTTCAGCAACGATTGTTGAGCCAAAAATGCTTTTCGCAACCGTTCTTGTTGCTGTTGTTGCTGGTGTACTTCAAGAACTTCCGGGTTTTCAATGATCGAAGCAGCAAAATTGCTTTTTGATGACACTATGCTAGTACCATACGTCTGTTTGTGGTACGAAAGCTATGAAGACAGAAAATACAGTAATCAAAATGGGTAACACTTGGAAAGTTTGAAGAATTTCCATGGCCAGATCGCGGTATCCTAAAACAGCAATTGGTTTATATTTCAAAATGAATCTAACAACGCAAAGAAATACTGGAAACAACTTCACAGCAATTTAATCACCATGGCAACTTTTAGCTTGTAAGTGAGTCGTGGACTTTCAAAATTTCTGTGAGCTGCCGACTGATTATGTCTTAACTAATTTATGCCGTCTTACTGATTTATGCTGTCTTACTGATTTATGCCGTCTTACTGATTTATGCCATTATTCATGTTACTGATTTTGTCGTCACAATAATGGTTTTGGTACAACGATTTACGAAACATAAAGATGTCTCAAAACGTGGGCTACTTCCTAAATAACAACCAGGCTGGAGTTGATGACCATCTACTGAGAGAAAATTGTAATAAAGTCATTCACACATGGAGCATGCTGGGATGATTATTTCTTCGAAAACCTGTTTTTAGTCGTTATATGTGGAAAACAATTTGTATTGAATATTTAAGAGACGTTTCTATTTGATTATATCATGATTCCAGCATCTAACATAATCACAAAGTGATTTTTTAATTTACCTTTTCTTGATCAGTCATTGCCTTCCCGAGTTCAGCTGCAGTGAAATCAAGGTAAGCAAGCGTGCCATCTAACGAGCACACCAAGAGACGGTACCCGCATCGGCTCCTGAAGAAACGTTGTGAGGTCAGCATAAATAACAATTTAGAAAGTATATGATCGAAGGAGAAGGCGGCGGAGAAATAAACTTGTTTTGCAACATAGTGAGGGTTACATTTGCATTGGAGCTACAGCAGGGCCGTAGCTACTATTCATCTGGGGTTGTATGAGCCCCTCCCCCCCTAAACAAAAAATAATAAAAAACCCTTGATTCCAATGAACAATTCCTTTTGTTCCTATTGTTCTCAAACAATCGTACCTCTAATTATTTTAATCTTCCCACGACACTGGCAATAGGCTCATTGCAATCCTTATTAAGAATGGAGGTTTCCTTCGTAGGAAGTAGGGGAATTGGAGCTTAAAAAGAAAGTGTTTTATAAGAATTCAGAGGCAATAAACAGAGTGTCCGAATGAGTTGTTTAAAAAGGAATGACAATCAAATTTATTATTTTATTTTCGAAATTCTTCAAGCAAGGGATAAACTTTCGTAGACAATTTACATAATTTTGGTCTAACCTAAAATATCTAATTTCCATGTTGCTTATAAATTGACTGTTTCAAAGAAAAATACTTATAAAGACTTATAACAAAAACTATAAAGTTCTATCGATGATAAAGGTGGACAGATTTTTCAGAATGTTAAGGAGTCTCAGGCAAATAACAAATGATACTTTTTAATTCTAAGTGTTACAGGAGAAACAAAGGTCTGTACTACGAAAAGTCTGGGATTATATGAGGCTCATCGCAAAAAGTGCAGCCAATGCACTGCAATGTAGCTAAACCATGTTTCGAAGATATCAAACAAAGTAAACAGTGAAGCAAAAAACATACACCAAATAGACAAAGCCTCACCATGACAAATCCATAATAGAACTCTGGAACAAGTCATGAGTGACGACCAATGGTCGTTTAAGCGATGTCAACTGCAAAAGAAATTATTCTGTAGTGACTGACAAATAGAAAAATTATTTAGAAACAATTAAAATGGCAGGTAGTTTATGGCATTGGACCATCCTCCTTCCTCCATCCTTAATTCCCTGATTACGAAACTTTTTACCATATTTTTGAATTACTATGGTTAAGAAAAAGCATACCATGCAATGAATTTCAATTCTTGAGATGGTTTTCAAAACAAAAATAAATAATTTCCTTTTTCAATGCATTTACTTTCGCTATTTCCCCGGCCTTGCCAGATGTGAGTTTCTTGTTGTTATTCTGAATAAGGAATACATTTTGCTGCTTCAGAAAACTAAAAAACCACACAGGGTATATTCCCCAACTTGTTCCTTTGTATTGTCTCCCCAAAGTCTTTTCAGCATTTTCAAAACTGAATAATCGACTATTATTTTTACCATCTATAAAAAGTTTTTTAAGATAATTTTTGAATGAAAAAGCTTCTAGGCCAATTTTGAACTACAACAAAATGTAAAACAACAAAAACATCAATAAATAGCAATAACATCAGCGATAAACGAAAAAAAGGTTTACCTAAAGACAAAATTAGGCTACAAGACAAAATTAAAGCTCGCATATTAGGTTGCAAGAAAGGCAAAACAACAGTTAAGATCAAAAACGAGTTTTAACACATCCATAATTGAGTTAAGTGTTGCAAATGATCTGATTACCCTTACTGTCTTTCAAGAAACAACATGATGAAGAAAATTTGCAATATTTAAACAACGAAAACCTGATTTCAAAATAAATTTGAAACATAGCGAATAAACTTACCCATATTGACAATGATCTGTCTCTGCTACCGATTGCACAACACGCGTATTGCTATTAGAAAAAAGTTAAACAAAGATATGAGTAGCAGTTCATCGCTCAGAGAGATTCAATAATAAAAATTACACACAGTGAAATTTGATTGTTTTTTATGCCATGTATTGGCAACTACAGTTACTCGCATCTTTACACGCTCAGATGCTGTTTGCAGCAAAAGTATGCTCCTCTTCTGTTAAGAACCATAATTTCAAACTTTTGATTTATATAAATTAAATCATCTAAGGTTTACAAAAAAACTAAAAATAGCTGCATTGCTGTAAATCATGGCATTTTTGGCATGGGTGCTAATGCACTGACGAACCATTTAGCAGGTGATCACTCATGCGAAGAAACCAAACTAGGTAGGGTTTGGGTACGGACAAGCATTCAAGAGGTACGCTAATGCATTAGCCCCCCCTTAAAATTTCAAAAAATGCAAAACTGCTTACTATTGATTGAAAATTCGATGTATATTTAAAGTTATTATTTGCTTAAAATTTGAAACATTCAAGAAAAATGTATTAACAAAGGAGCTACAATTGTTAAAGCATTGCAGTATTTTACAATCAATAGACATCTTACACAACCATAGATTATCATACCTTGAACTTGGATGGGTCATTGGGACTCGGTTTCGTAAACAATCTCGAGTTGAATCTCTGCACGATAAATAGAGTCTTGTTACAGATGGGTAGTAACTCTAGTTTGAAGCGGAAACTTCTCTTAATAATTCTTAAAAAGGAAAGTCACGCGATAAAATGGGAAACAGAAAAGGCACACGACGTATTGGAAGGGTTTGAGAGATTATTGCAGCAATGCATACTGTGAAAGGAATCAACAGCAGATATGTTTATTCAAGGCCATTTCATTTGGAGAAAATATCTGGAATATGAAAAGTAATAAAGTCTTGTTGCATGGCAATTTTTTTAAGCTTTAATAAGGAAGATAGTCAAGTCCTGTGGCATTAATCATTGCAGCCATTGAAAAATAAATGTATAAACACAAATGTTACGAGAAAAAATTTTAATATCTATTAAAGAGCTCTTTTTTTATTCGAAGTCAAAGAGTGACAAAGTAATGCTCTGAAAACCATAGAACGGAAATGCCATTCAACACCAACAAAGACCTATTGCTCACCACACAAGTAATTGCTTTCCTGTGGCCAACAAAATCCATCCGACCCTTCCATCCATCCCTCTCGATAATCTTTGCCACCGGCCCGCCATTATTCATTGCATGTGCAGAAACAACATATTGGCCATCAGGGGACCAGTTTAGACGAAGCACGTGCGTTGTTCCTCCACATTCATCGAATGGTTCTACCACTTTGGCTTCAAGCTTCCAGTCGGATGTCCGCCAGATTTTCATCGTTTTATCGTCTGACTATAAGAGAAAAGGAGGTGTAAACAAATTATAACTTATGACTCTCAAATTAGAAATACTGTATGGCATAAACAATGTACTGGGGATAGATTACTGAAATGTCTGTAGACACTGTAGATACAAGACTAAAAGTTTCACAAGTACTGTACATCTAAGAATCCTAAGGTAGAGTTGCGACCTAAAAACCTGGTGATGGCTGGAACTGCTAGAGAAATGCCACCCCCCCTCAATCGATATGACCCGATAATTTGTTCTAAAAGATCGAATAATTTGGCCTTGGAAGTAGAAAAAAATAGCCGCTCAAGTAAGCGAAATCGGAAATTTACTATGCTTTCTCAACCAGATTTTCAGAACTGACATCCTAGATCACAATATAATTTTTATCAAAGTGCCAGAATACTAAGGCAGAAATGCTTCACAAAGAGAAACATGGTTTCACCCCCATCCATCTGTTTTTCATGAGTTGGTCAGCAAAACTGTTGATTCGTCAGTAAAGCCTCCTGAAGGTAGGTTACATGAAAATAAATTGCTTTTGATTATCATTTCGTTTCTTCAATTTGCTTCTTTTATCATCCCACCCCCCTCCAGGCTGGAAGGTCACATTGTGCCATTATTGATATTGCCAAGCTTGCAGCCGCTAGGAATACTAGAGAGTTTAGGAGGCTAAGAATAGATAGTATAAAGATTAGGGCATAGAAAGATCGAGATTACAAAAGAAGTGGACACTTGAACAAATTTTTTATGCTCCAGGGTCGATAAAAATTGATCCCTTTTTGAGTAAAACCAAAAAATTATTAAATGGAAATTATTATATCCTAAGCAATTGGTTGGGGAATATCGGCTGGTTTCCATTTGCTACCAAACTAAACTGGGTGAAGAGGCTTCTGCAAGTTATAGCCATATTTATAAAAAAATGCATGCACAAGCATATTAGATGAAAGTTACCTGTGAGGCAAAGTATTTTCCCACTGGATCCCATGTGACTCCTTTAACAAGTCCTTGATGTCCTTTTAAAGTAGTAATGAGATCTGAAACAGAAAATCATTGAAACCAGGATCATATTCAATCAATAAAGATACAGTTGACAGTAGAGGTTTAATGTCATTAAGATATGTAGCAGAAGGATAAAATGAGTGATGTTACATTCTTAAAACTGAAATGTAGTGTTAGCAACAGAACAGCATATGGCTCTTGTAAAAAAATGATATCAAAAGCTGGATTTTTCTTTTTAGGCATGGCTGTCAATATTAGTGACAAAGTAAAAAGGAGAACTAAAAAACATTAGATACCTGGAAATTTTTCTGCACTCCAGATATTAACAGTATTATCAACACTGCCAGAAGCAAGAAAACGATCATCTGGTGACCAGGCAATATCTAGAATATCTGAAAAATAGAGATAATTAGACGATAATACATACTTCATATAGCAATGTGGCTGCCTCTACTTGTCACATAATTAGCAATTGTTTGCGCAAAGGGTGTTTTGTTTGTTTATTTAAGCAAAGAGCATTGAATGATAAACAGAGCTTTGTCCGATAGCCGTAGAAAACATAATCAAATGTTCATGGGTTTAACTAAAAGTACCAGAATGCATTGCACCATGACGTATTAAGGTGAAAGGTCTGTTATACATTAACCTCTCACCACTATCAAATATTTTGCCAGTTAATGAAAGAACAAAGGGGAATGGCTTGTATGGCTACTCATTATCATGTCCAGTCCTGGACACTGAAGGAAACAAAATTTCAAGGTATATATAAAATGAGTGTAGTATAAAACCGAGCATAAAAGAACCTGCAGAACCTCATGCTGATTTTTGGCCAAGTATACACCCTAAATGCAAGAACCAGCATGTAAAAGTATAGGACCTTTTCAGCTTGTTACAGTATATCATAAGATATTCTATGAGTATTGGTATTTATAGCAAAGTCTTGTTTGATAATAAATTGTGTTTTAAACATCTTGATAATATAAATATTTTCAGCTGCAATGTTCAACAAAGTTGCTACAGAAGTATAAGTTCCTACCGCCACTGTGCCCTCTTAAAATATGGGCACATCTCCAATGCTCAATGTTGACAATGGTGCCACCTGACCCAAATACTGTGGAGGAGCCAAATCCTCTGAAATCAGAATAAAGATCATTATCAGATTATTTCTTCCAATTCAAACAATGCTATAAAAATTCATCAAAATGGGGTAAAATTATTAGATTTCATTTCCCCTTGAATAAACACTTATAGGGCTTACAACAAATCCAAAAATCTAAAAAATACCCCTCTTTAGATAATACACTCTTGCTTATTCTACACAAAGTAGTACTGGAAAATTCAATTGTTAAATTTCAGTGAATATGAGAGTACATTAAAGAATTAAAAAATGGCATTAAAAAACAATGACAAACGAATTGTAGGCCTCAAAAATCAGAAATCAAGTTTGATACTGACACAAGGAAAACTTCAATATTAGCATGTTAAAAAGGGTTGCCCAAATGCAAAGGAAAATAAGTCAACATACCTCCCAAGCTGCCAAATCATTATAAACTTATCATCAGCACCTGAAGCTAAGTATTTACCACTGTTAGACCATCTGAGGCAGTTAACACAGCCTGAAATTTTGGAATTAGATGTTTGTTTCTGCTCAATTAGCAAGTTTTCAAGTTAAATAAGCAATAACACTTTTTTGCAGACTGTTAAATATTAATATACCAAAGAAAAAAGAATGAATACTTCAAGTTATTTATGCAACATGATAAATGTTAGAAAACTGGTAAATGAAAACCATTGGTAATGATTTGGTCATAAAAATGAACCAATCATTTATAAAATTCTATGATAATAATATAATCCTAGTATTCTTCATATTGCTTTTCAAGCATTAACTTCTTATGGTCGTTACCTGAATGGTTATCAAGGACACACAACATTCTTGGAACATTTTCATCTTCTTCTACTTGAGCATCAACCACAGGAGCCATGTTCCACATAAAAATTCTTCCTGTATCATCAACTGTTGAATGAGCAAACAAATATCAAGCTATCTGTAATTAAGACCAGTGTCACCAGTACAAACAAGTTTTCTTATAGAAACTAATAGATCATGAATTTGCAATTAAAGCTATCAAAGTGAATAATGAGCCAAATATTACAGCCAAAAAATTATTACTGTCAATGCTTTGGTCATTCAGGTTACCTTTAGTTAGGGCTTACAAATTGAAAAAGATAATTAATAAGTGATGGGGAAAGAAAGGGTAGAGGTTATAAAAATAAATAAGCAGAGGTCTAATGATTATTAGGGAATCCAGTAATTCAGAAAAAATAAATTTGAGATACTATAAGTTGATACTTAGCAGATACTGAATGATTTTATAACTAATTTTGATTACCTTGACCACCTGTTGCACATCTTGATCCATCAGGATGAATATCAACACAGAATATTGGATTGCCTAAATAATGATATTGTGGACATATAATTGTTTGGGATTGTGGCAATTGTGGCATATGATTCATTATGCAAATTAGATTCTTTGTTAATCTTTCAAAAACAAAATGCTGGAAGTCAAAAAGCAATCAATCAAAGCTCAAGGCCCAGCTAAACAAGACACATTCTAATGCAACATCTAAATATTAGCTGTTTTGCAACATCATCAGCTAGTTTAGCCATTGTGGTGTAATAATTTATCTCCTTGGAGTTTCAGTACGCTCAAACAATTATGTTTGGCTTTCGCTATGTTTGGCTACTTATGATTTTCACATCAAAAACAACTTTGCTCACACAACAAAACAAGAAAAATGGCGAAGAGAGAAGAAAAGTAGTACCCCAACAAACATATATCATAGTGAAAGATAACAATGAATATTTTTGTAATTTTTTGAGACATCAAGCAAAATGAAAAATATGAAACCTGGTCAGTCAGTTGATGCACTTTGATCAACATTCTGCTGACACCAAATGCAAAAGCTTGCAAAAGTTTTAAGGTAGTATTTTGGGGAACAGTAATGATGAATATGTTTTTGAGCCTAACCCAGAGCTTCTCTGCTCAAAAATTTTATCAATCTTAGCCAAATATCTTCACTTTGATCTTCACCAAAGATCTTCACTAAGACATTAGGCACTAGACACAATGCACCCCCAAAACATGAACTTGGGAAAACCTGGGGAAGATCAGATTTTAAAAAGGCTTTTAGGAGCACCACTGCAAAATTACTGTCTACCATGTCCATGTCCACTACCAAAATTACTTGCACCAGATTCAGATGTTCCCATTTCTAGGAAACGTCTGTCATAGCCAAAACCCAGAGAGCCAAGGGATTCTGCCTCTGTAGATGCGAATGATATCTGGTGCTTTTAATGCTTCAATTACTCATATCAAAATAGGAACTGTTAAAATTGTGTGGGTCCAATAGCCTTCTCTAAATAAAGGGGTAAGGAAGATTTACTTGTTAACGCTTGCTAAGGTTCTACAGCACAGCAGATTGACCATTTGGAACTTGGCGCGAAATTCCTCATTTATCTGATCAGGTGCTGAAATTGAAAATATCCCATAAACTATACCTGAGTGGCTGATCCAGTTAGGTTTCAACAGTTTCATGACTCTAAAGAAGCGTCTTTCAGGACAGATACATTTCAGACAGTTGCACGCTGTCGTGTTTTGAATAAAATTCAAGGCCGTTAAGGCCTAGCTCCTCCGTATGTGAGATACAGCTGTGCCGTACAGGAGGGTTGTGTAAAGACAAGGTGAGTGCGTTTTTGCCAAAATACCTAAAAAACAATTGGAATATGTAAAAATGGTAATTTTTCGTATCAAATGAAAGCTGGTTATTATATTATTTGGAAGACGTTATGTAAGCCAAAATAGAGGTGGAAGGTGCAGAAAATGCACACGCTTTCTACTAGATCATTAATCAGGCATGATCTTCTTTAAACGTTCGAAACTTATAGAATAAAAGTAGCTTTCAACGCCACAAAATGTGCACTTTTTTACAAAAATGATATTTTTGTAGCATCTCTTTGGATCCTCTCTTGAAAAGGCTATTTGTAGAGATAGGGAATTGGGATTTTCAGAATAGTGATAGATTTTACCCATTCGTGTGGGGATCAATGCTTGTTTGTCTATTTGTCATCAGCGAGTAATGAAAGTCTCTTACCTAGTTAGCAGGGCCATTTCATTTTTTTTTACATGAGAAGAGTACATCATCTCATAAATTGGTACGCCTCGCAGCAGTAGCGGCGCCACGGGGGGGACACGTCCCCCTATTTCTCAGCAGAACCGATGAGAAAATGTTGGGGGAGGGGTAATATTTTGACACCGTGTTTTTTGTGATGTAATCCTATGATTTTCAAACGGTCAATTTTCAAACAAAAGTTAGTCATAGGCGTTCACTTCGGACAAAATTGGCGTTCCCTGTTGGTAAAAGAGCGTTTTCTGGTAGTTAAAAGGGCGTGGCTTAAATTTTTTTGTTTGTCCCCCCCCCCCCCAAGAGCTCAGTGGCTGGCGCCGCCATTGCCTCGTAGGATCTTCTGAGGATTTCTAGGTGGCCATATTTCAACAGATTCATAACATAGTTATCATAGAGCATCAGTGGTATTTCCTGATGCTTTTTCAGTTCATGTGGTCCCAATTGAAAAATTCTTAATTAAAAATGTATTTTTGTGACCTCTCACTTAACGCCAGCACCCAAAGGAGACTTGTTGTAGCAACAACGAACAGCGACCAGAGGCTACGCGTGCGCACAAACACGAGGATTTGGCGCGACAGTTAGACTAAGCGAAAATTTGTAAGGTTCTAGGGATCTGTGTAGAAGTCTGTAATTCTGAATCGAAGAACATCAAATTGATCATGACTGAAACACAGGTAAAGCTTCCAGAAACTGAAGTCAATATTCATTTTTCAAAATTTGGTTTTATTATTGTTGATCTGATTTGAAGAATCGAGTTATGAATTTTGGTGACGACCAAAGTTTACCGGCCTAATTCAAGATGTTAGAATCTTTTTAAAGATTGTTATTCTAAAAATTTTAAAACTTTGTATTTTGCTTAAAAGAAAACTCCACCATGAATCGATATAAAGAAATCATATGAATGCTTTGAGGTCTTTGAAGTATGCCATATTGTAGAAAACTCCCGTAGTTGTGATCAGTTGTCATTCAACATAATTTTTCGCTAACCTATCTCCGATCAGTATTTTTTCTTATTTCTCGTGTTGCTAAAAATCGCCAGTTAACCCGTAATCATGCAAAATTTCTTAGTTAACTGTAGTTTTGAAGTTTTCTCTTATTCTGAAAATGTTGATATGCTAGTCAAAGTAAGACCCCATCATGCTACCTCCACAACACTCATTTCCAACATATTGTAAGTAGTGACAACCAAGAACAATCAGCATAAAAGATGGTGAGCCACTATAAACTTGATTCTTTATCCCACCAGGTCACTGTGATAACAAAATGTAATTTCATCTTTAAGCAGTTGCATATTCAATCTGTTTTTATGTAATATGATTCAATCTGTTTTTTATGATGTGAAATTATGTGGATTGCAGACAAATATATACCTTTTCCACAATATCTAGAATGAAATATAAAGCCAATATATATATAGTATTAAAATTATTATCTTAGAGTGAGACACTGGCATCAAGCCCTGATCCATATTATGAACCAGTTGTGAAATTGGAAGCAAAAGTTTTACCAACATTAGAGGAGAATGAGACTGAGTTATTGAAACTGTAAGCATTGCTACATTATTAGTTCGGCTGCTGTCTTATTTGCACTTTCAAACTTGCTTAATTTGTTTGTTATTCTGATCTTCAAATGGAATCCAATTTTTTAATTAACATCTCCTGATTAACACAACCAAGCATTGCTTTTGAAGAAGATTGTTCTTGTCATAAGTTTTTTCTCTCCAAAGAGAACCAGAATGCAATAAAAAGATAGAGCAATTTGGTTCTGTCATTTAGGCTCAGTTATCTTTATTATATAATTTGATAATCGATGTTTTGAATTGCATCAGCTTCAAATGATTTTATTTTTAGGCGTGCTAAAAGCTATAGATATGTTATTGATGAAGAAGATGGGCCACAATGGAAAGAAAGAGGATTAGGGGAAGTGAAAATTCTAAAACATGAATCAAAAGGAACTGCAAGGATAATCATGCGAAGGGATAAGACATTGAAATTATGCATAAACCACTATTGTAAGTATATAGATATATACATTTATATATGGGAAAAAATTATTAAAACCGAAAATCCTCAAATTATTCCCTGTCTCTGTATAAGCCCCCCCTGAATAAGCCCCCTCTCCCCCGGAATAAGCCCCCATCTAACAGAAAATCGTCTTTGCAAATAAGCTGTATGTATCTGATTCACCTCAGAGAAAAAAATTTCAGAATGTGACCAAGAAATGAGCAGTCCCATAACCATGCATGTACCAACAAGCATGACCCCAAATACTGTACTAGAGAGGAAACTGTTGGTCTGGTGTTTGTAATAAAGTCTATTGATTTGACCCAAGGGCCACTTTTGATTTTATTCAAATCACATCAGAACTTTCAGGGATAAAAATTTCGGAATTGTAGACATAATGTTTCTTAACATTTATGTAAGTACTTTTATCAGGAGTGGCAGCACAGGGGCATGGGGGACTTAAGCACCCAATTATATAAGTAAATCCCCATGTCAACAGCCAATATATTTCGACTTACTCCAATATGCACCACTTGATTGACATCATAATGTTATGAAGTCAAAATGAGATAAAAGATTGTTGGGCCTATTACTAGAAACTATTTTATGCGAGGAACTAAATGAAATAGTAATTACATCCTTTATTAGTAGTTACTCTGAATATAAACGTGGACACCTTAAATGTTTGTCTCTAGCACTGCCCCTGAGTTTTGGTTTGGATCTAATTTTGTGTAGGACAAAAAATGTGGCTTGTGTTTCAGGCTTAATTTAGCAACATAAGAATTTAGCTGTGTTCCTGTGTATCCTCCAAAAGATATTACAGAGAGCCTGTTTACGGTATTTTTCCTCCTTGTTTAAAACATAAAGTTGAGATTTATGTATCCTGTTCATTTTTAGTATTGCCCAGCATGGTTTTGGAGCCCCATTGTTCAAGCGAGAAAGCTTTTGTGTGGAAGACTCCTGCAGACTTTGCAGATGAGGAACCAAAGCAGGAAACATTAGCAATTAAGTTTGGAAATGTTGACAGTAAGCAAAATGCTTTGTTTATTATTGGTATCTTCATTTCTGTTCTTTATAATTAGATTTTAAAATCATAAAGAAAAAAATTGTTCATGTAAATGTGAGAGTTGAACTAATGTTAAGAAAGAAAAGTTTCTAGTTTTAGCAAAATTCTTGTTCAGTTGTTTCATTTTAATTTTGTTTCTGGTTTTCTAGATATGTAGTAGTATTTTAAAATAAGTAAACTGTCAGTAAGACTATTTGATATCTTATTACATTGTTATATAATCTCTTTTACATCTACAGATGCTAAAAAATTTAAAGAAATATTCGAAAAGTATGCTAAAGAAACTGAAGCTGTGATTGGTAAAACAGAGAAAGAATCTGGTGAAGATGAAAGTAAAAACCTTGCAGATGAACTTGCTAATTTAAAAGTTGCTGCAGATAAAGCCAGCAATGAAAAAAGTGAAAAGACAATTAATGGACATAGTGCAACTGATTCAAAAGAAAAAGAGGATGAAAAGAAAGATATTTTAGAAGGAAAGGAATCTGAAGACTAACAGATGTCAGTATTTTTTGGCCAGGAATTGGAGACCAGGAACCGGAACTGTCCTTATACTTTTGATTAAGACATTCCAGTCAATATGGTAATAACTAAAACACATTTGCTAGGCTGGCCAGCTACCATTTGTGCCCTTTACGACAGTTGTTGTAACTCAAAGGAAAGCCATTAATTAAGCCTGGGGGTGAAATCCAATGTGTGTTTCCCAGAAGTATATCAAAGATTTAAAAAAACATATTTACTTGATTGTGCCATTATTAGGTGACATTACCATTCTGTTCTGTGGGAAATTTAGTTATTGTTCAATACAATATATTTTAAACTCAATTAAGTTGAAGGATAATGCAGTGATTTTAAGTCCCCGAAATCTGTTCAAAAGAAATCAAAATGGGAGCTGCTTCTTGTACAGGTCACTAATGATGTGAAGGCATACTGTTCTGTTTTTGAAGTTCAGCTAGTTGAAGTTGATAATAACTGGATACAGCAGAATACCTTGCAAGCACCACAGAGGTCCTTGTTCAAGAATTCAATAAAAAGTGTCATACTTTCTATAAATTTTAATTAGAGTCAAAATGCAACCACTTTTGTTTATAACCATGATAAATCACAACAGTATCAGATTTTGCTTGAGCTTGTAACATGAATTTTGTTTGTTTACAACGTATCTTACTGTGGATTATTCCTTATAATATTTTAGTATGTTGTGAGCTAATATAAACAGGTTTTAAAATAAGTATCAGTTTAATGACATCATTTATTTCAAATGTTTTATGTTAAAGTTTTAAGTGTATTTCATTTTTTGAGACAGTTTGTTCTTACTCCATTTTGGAATGAAGTAGGGGACAAGAGTGTAAAGATCACTTAAAATTGACAGTAATACCTTTAGAGCTTACAAAGATTTACCTATCTCTAGATAAAGAAATACCTTTCCTAGTATGTTCTTTTGCTTCAAAAATGAAATATAAATATATAAACAAAGTTATTCTTTGATTTGAAAAGGAACATTATATCTGGTTTCCAGTTTTTTGCTTTACCTCAGAAATAATCTAGGCCACTATCTTACTTTTCTCGCTTGAAAAAAGATGCAGCTGTGTATTGAAGAACATTGATGGTTTTTAAAAAATATCAGGAAAATGTGATATTTAGAAACAACACAAAACAGTTAGCAAGAAGAAGATTATTCAGTAAACCTAATTAAAACCACGTTTTTACATGTTAAAAGAGACCATTTTCATGATAAGTAAATTACATGAGAAAATATAAATCTGAAAGTGTTCTCTAACACATCTAAAATGAGCACTTTGTTTTACGAGTTGGTTTTAATCGAATGTTACAATAAAAATTGAAGCTGTAATTTGTATAACATGAACAAAGCTTTAGATATCCGTAAGAGCAGAGCCGAGCGTTTTGTTATTGTTGGTAAAAATAACTCTCTTGATTTACTCAAGGTATAAATCATTTACATACACAAAATATGTTTAGAATTCTCGCTGCACTTTGTTCAGGTACAAAGAACAAAAAACTGCATTTTGATATTCATTTTCCCATTTCATTATGGAAATTAAACAATGCATTTATATAATATTACAAATTTTCAAAAACTACTGTATGAAACTTCTATTTCAATAAATAGCAAATCATGCATTAAAATACGAAATTTACTCTGACTGGCCCGCTTAAACAAGTCAGTGCCTGGTCATGTTCGTATTGGACAGTGCATTGATAAGGTTTAGGACGTCAGGTGAATCTATTCAACGAACTATACACGTGTTTGGAATCTACAGCTGCCTGGTCTTTGCTAATTTCCTTCCCTTCAAGATAGGCTTCACTCAACGAAAATCAATCAGAAATCTGAGGATATATTATGATTGGCCAAAATAAACCTGCCAGTCAATAGACGACGATTCAAGTCGCAAACTGTAATTTAGACCAATTAGAATACTGGTAGCGAACCCTCGAAAGTGGTTAATAGCATATGCTGCTTGCTTTTCTCGATCACAGCTAAAATCTAAGGATAACACCGTCAACACACCTCAAATGAACACTAGAAAAGTTTGTTATAAGCTTTGCGCGTTATATCTTAGACATTTAAAAAGGATTTCCTAAGAACAAGGATCTTATGACCATAATTCTTCCACTTGATTGTTTGTATACTTGAGCCTCGCTTCGGAAATAGGTTGTTTTATCAACAGGACCATATCGCGACAAGTTTAGTTTGTTAGAGAACTTTCTTGATATGCGTAAAACTCCCTAGTAAACATTTAAACCGATCATCGGTGTCCAGGAACGTGTTCTTCTTTCGTCCGGATAATACCATTCAATTTGGAAGAACTGCTTAGAAAATCAATAAGAAATAACAAGGTTTGGACATGGCAATGGAATCTATTTTGCCTTCAACAGCAACTTTCTTTAAAATCGAGAAAAAAATGCTGGTCTTTGTCGTTTACCAAAATCTGTTCCGCATTAAACTGGTCATTCGAGACTTTTCAAAGAAGCCCTTTTAAAAAAAATTTCGTTTTGAACTACGCATGCTTTCTTAGAAATAGAAGATGTGCTGCCCGTAGTGGTCTTCGGGTCTCTCTTAATGTTTAGTCCGTTAGACTCACTAATTCGTTGGAATTTCTTTAATTTCAGCCAGGTTTGAAAAACCAAATTTACGTAAGAAGTGCTTCAAATGTTTGATAGCTATGCAAAAAGGTGTCAAAATAAAAATCGTTTGATAATGTTTGGCTTTAAAACCCAACACCTACATACCACGCTTGTTAAAGACGCGTTGCTAACAATGAGCCATTGCGCTACGCAAGCATCCCATAATGCATTTTTAGACAGTCTGAAATCAATTTTGGTTAATCCGTAGAAGTTTACTACCATTGTCTGGATCGTCGCCACGCTCGCAAAGGCCCATTGTTAGCAATGAGTCTTTAAGTGATGATTTACAGAAAGCAATCAATCATAGTTCATTATAATCGAACGGTCCTTCGCGTTACTGGTTACACGAAATTGAAAATTTTCTATGTACAAGGTAGCAGCAAATACTTTGTCTTTTGTGTACATTTGTTATTGACGTCATGAAAACAACATAACTTCCATACTTCATTTTTCTGACTTCCATCAACTGGTTGACATGCTACAAGGACCGAACCTTCATAATGGTCCTCCATGAGCCTAAGAGCCCGTGGGCCTGAGAGCCTAAGACGGCAATTTGAATGCATTACCTAGCGTTATTGGTTCCTTGTGTTCAGAATAGAACAATGGGTTCTCTTTATAGTAGCTCACAACGTCAATCAAGTTTTGAAATGTTAACTTGCCAATCAATAAATTGCCACCTGTAGTAGTCTCGATTGGAAAATGACGGATTCTGAAACGAGGACAAAAACTGGTTAGTAATTATTCAGTTGAAACATTATGGAGTAGAAGTGAATAAAATTTTATAGAAAAGGTAACACGGCTGGGACCGCGAGGATGGAAACTGACAGCAAAATAATTTAAATGTTAATGTTAAGGTACCTGTAACAATATTTCACAGATAGTGCGTAAGAGCCACTCCCCTATAAGAGAAAAATTAAAAGATTAATGATTTCTTGCCTTGGCTGATTTTATCAGTAAGGATTCACTACGTTGCTTTCAGCAACAATGAAAAAGCCAACTAGCTCATCGACAGCATATCTTAAGCGTTATGGCTATCCAACATCTAAGCGTTACGGAGAAGTCATAAAAAACAACTGAGAGCCTCTCCGCAAATGATTACAGGGTTAGGCAAATTACTCAAACTTAAACTTTTTGGGGTGAGAAGTACGTGACAAATTTAAACAGCTAATGGCCTAAAAGTACAAAAAAGGATTGAAAAAATAACAACAAGATAGGAAATAAGATCAAAGTGATTGGATACGACTTATCACGTAAAGATCATCAAGATGGTCCTAGACCATGTTATAGCGGTGAATTTCTTAAACACTTAAACATTTGCACAGCCTCTTTCCTTTTACTAACTAGGCCAAAATATTTAAATTGCGTGGTAAATTCTTCTAGTCATATCGAATTAGAAAGCAGGTACCCCTGAACCCTAATAATTTCCACGAATCACCACAAGATCTAAGCTTCATATAGGAAATTAGGATATACAATTAATGTTTATCCAGCGAATGACAAAGTTAGATTACAATTTAAGGATACATACCCTGGTACTTTCTCTAACCATAAATTCCTGCTGCCTTCCATTCTAGAAATTGAAATAATAAAGAGATGTGTCAAGGCCAAAATCACTCTGAAAGAACTTTACATGGGGCATAAGCTAGAATTTGCCAAAGTTCATTTCAAATCTCAGTCCCTCCTCAGGTCATCATTATATTCGCCACTGAAGCTGGACGTATATACCGTCTTTACGTGACGTCACGACGAGGCTTCAGGCAAAGCCTTTAGCACTGCTTATTGTGCATGTTTTATTCGAAAATAGGCAAAGATATAAGATTATTTATTTTACCTGTTTCAACATTTGTTCACATTCCTGTCGACTTATCTTGCCAAAAAACCAAGGTTCAGCATCGTAAACTGCAGGTGAATATGAAAGCATTAGGTGCATAGTCAGACGAAAAAACAAGACGAAGGGTCATTTTAAATCTTTCAGTGCGTAATAACTGTCGACGAATTAGTATAAAAAGACCAAGAATACACCAACAGTATAAGGAAAGCTAATTAGGTAAAAAAGAGAGCAACGTGAAACATGGGTAGCAGTGATAATGTAACAAAAAATAACGAGGAAAGGTACAAACAAAGAAAATGTGATGATATGAATTGTGATGATGATCAATATGATGAAGATGATGATGATGATTATTATTATTATCATGATTGCTGATGACGGTATTACCGAATGACGATAATGGTGATGACGATGATGAGGATAATAAATATGGTGATTATGATAATAATGATTACGATTGTGAGTACGATAATGTAAATTTCTAGGAAATTCTTAGAATAGTCAAGCTACCAATCTAAAATAGTCAAGCAAAAAGATAGATTCAGCTTAAAGTAAGCAAAGAATAACATCTCGCTGGTGCAGGAAGGGGTGCTCTTAAGACGTGATGTCAGTTATGAAAAAGGGGTCAAATTACCTTTTTCATTCATATATAGGCTGCATTTCATTCATAGTACCAAACAGCGGAGGTTCTAAGGACTGCGGGGCCCGGGGCCAAAAAACATATGCGGGGCCCTTGTTCTTTAGAATTTAGTTTTTTCTTAGATGCGGGGTCCTTTCTGGCTACTATAAGCGGGCTAAACAGGCCACCAGGAGGCCTGGGGACATGCCCCCCTAAAATCTCCAATGGTACCAAAAGTTCAAAATGAACCCTATCTCTAAGAAATGAACAGAACCATCAAAATCCTCGGCTAGTCAGGGCTCGTCTTTGATACGTGGACCTTATGGCTTGGCGATTAACTGACCACGTGACGATCATCTGTTTTGACTGGCATTTATGATGTCTTTGTGGTACAGGTAAACAAAGAGCTATCGACGTAATCCAGACCAAAATATCAGTGAAAGGATCGTGTAATCTTCCTTCCTTCCTCACGTTTCTTTCAATCACTTTTTTTGCCTATTTACATCAATAGGAAACCACTGAATCTCCGGTAGATTGACAAATACATATCAAAACTTTAGGCAGTTTTTCCACTATCCTATTAAACGCTCGTTAAAAAAATTAAGCCTTTCTTTACAAGCTAACGAGTATTTGGGGCTGTGAAAGAAACTGTAAAGTCTAGCTGTTTCAATTTTGTTATTTTGTATTTGAACTCCAGTTTTCACAAACAGGGATAATCAGTGAACTTTCGACAGATCTGTAACTTTAAAAGACATGTCGTTGATAATTTGATCTGAATTGCAACGATGAAAAAGCTGTGACTTGAAGCAAGAGCTCGAAACGGTTCATTAAATTCACGTAAGGCATAATTACGCATATCCCAATCTTTGGTCAGTGGAATTTATGAACCATGGTATCCAGCCACCACTTTGCTATGCATTGCCACCAAGGTATTATAAATTTTTAAGTAACACAGAAGCAAATTAGATAACGATTTTGAAAACTTTCTGTGAATAAAACGTCACAAAATGAACACGTCAACAATGAGAAAAGGCCTACAAAATTTGTAAACAACAACTCACCCGACCGAAGCTGTGCTTCAGGCTCGTCGTAAATCGATTCCATGTTATCTTCCTGCTCCTGTCCCGAACAAGGTACGGGTGGAGTCGACAAACCGGCTGATGTCTCCTGTTCAAGGCCTTTGCCTTGTGGAAGCGGAAGTCTTGGCCGATCTTGCGCCTTTTCAGTGCCTTGAATGGCTACAGAATCAGCCTCGTTTATAAACGGCTTTGAAGATTTCCTGGGAGTGGGTACCGGGGGAGCGGCAGTGAGTAGGTGCTCTTCCGCACGGTCCCGTGGTTTCGGCCGTGGTCGTGGTTTTGGTTTCGGAGAAGATTCTACTGAAAAGGAAAACAAAGCTACTACTAAACCAAGTTTCGGGGTGTCTATTTTGTAACAGAAATATTCCTCGTAAGTCGTAATACTCCTCGCAGATCGAAGCATGCATTTCTCTGCATGGCAGTCACACTTGAGATCGCGGGTTTTTTAGAGCCAAACCTAATTTAACGAAGGGGAAATCACTCCATGAAAATCTTGTAATGGAAATATTACTGTTTTATCTGAAAATCACTTTAAACTTTAGCCCCTCGTCCATCGCCTCTGGATACTGTTCGATAGAAAGTGCACTTCCTCCCACAACCACTGGCGTGCATATCCGAAATATCGAGGCGGTAGAAATAGGAGAGTTGAGGGGGGCTTAAGCAAGATGTATTTAAAACCATACAAAAATTAACTTGATCCAAGTTTTAGCAGGTTTAGTCCCCCATCCAATGCCTTGTAGCCACCGTCTCCGACTGAAATGTGGCTTTTCCTTATAACATGGCTTTATCAATGTAAGAAGTATTCTGCTAACAAATTCAATATTAATTCGGATTTGGTATGATAATGGAGTTGCATGTCTTTAGAAAGTTATTCGATTGCGTCGAGGTCTGCCACGACCACAACAAAAGCCATTTAGTCATTTGTGATGCCACAAGACAGTTATAAAGCAAGATCTCGTGATACGTAACAACAATCTTATTGGTAAGCAGTCACCCTAAAAGCAGACTTAATTTTGAACATATTTTCATTTCCCGGAACAAATTTTCTTACCAGACAGACTTAAGTTGAGTTAAGTTAAGTTGAGTACTGCAAAATACCCTGACATCAAGTAAAGATAACAATTTGGTGCTAAAACAACATATATACGCACCAGTAGATGGTTTTGAAATATTCATTTTATCCAAATCAACGTCCCATCGCCGTTCGACGTATGTTGATGGAACCCAGCCCTCCATGACGTCACTGCCTCTATAAAGCTGGACCAGGAACCATCCCTCTTCGACAGAAATCAACTGCATGATATCTCCTTTATGTAAAGCCAGGTTATCAGGGACAGCCTTTTCTGGAGTATAATCAGCAATGGCTGAGTAAATCTCTACACCCTTGAAAAACACACAAAAATTGTTAAATGAACAGGCTAAAGAAACATTTTTTAAATGGGTATCATTCTGACCAGAAACTGCAGTTTTCGAAATATCATTAGCAATTCTTCTGTTTCTGATTGAATTTAATTTACATCGTTATTTCAGTATTTAACTAGAATTTCCGGTAGTTAAAGTTATTCTGGGCCTTAATGGTTGGCCTGTTTATTTCAAAGTTTAGTAGTCCTTTAGTAGAGCACAGTCTCAAAGGTCGACATAAAAACGAAATAATTTTCTTAATGAAATAAATTGAAAAATTACAAAAGGTGTGAAGATCTAACAAATATTATAACTTTTTATCATCACAAAAGTCGCTTTTTTACTTTTTGGTCTCCAGTCAAAGGAAGCAATATTGTATAGCTATTGCCCTGTGTCCTTCGAGATATGGTGTTACAGAAGAATTATGCGTATAAGTTGGAGAGAAAGGAAAACGAACGAATGGGTCCTGGAAAGGATCGGCCAAGCAACCCTCATAAACAGCATCAACAAAAGGAAGTTATCTTTTATTGGCCATGTTGCGAGAAGTAAAGGCTTGGGAAATGACATTCTTTCGGGAATGGTGGACGGAAAAAGGGAAACGAGGAAGACCACGAAGGAAACTGGAGAACGACGTGGAAGATTTACTGGGAATGACCATGGCCGAGCTGCTTCGGAAGGCGCAAGACAGGGACACTTGGCGGACAACCATTGCGTGTGCCACGGCGGGTCAGCCTTGACCCTTCCGTTACTGATGATGATGATGATTGCCCTGTGGGGGCTTTCTTGAAATAAGATTTTATTCTGCTAGTATGCTTCCCTCGAATAAGCCCCGTCGAATAACCCCCAATGATTTTTTAGGTGGGGCTTATACGAGGGGGGGGGCTTATTCGAGGGTGGGGGCTTATTCGAGGATTTACAGTATACAGTAAAAGTAAGTTGCTACTGAATTTAACTTGACGAAAAGGCCTGGACGAAAATTATTATTATGCCCTGGCATTCAGGGGTGCTGTGTAGGGGGGCTCAGGGGCTCAGGGGCTCAGGCTTGTTATCAATCAGAGAGACTTTTGGGGTGGGGCTCAGCCACAATTTATTTAGATGAATTCTGCGACTTCCTATCAGTCTTTTTGAGCTGGTGAGAAGTTTAAATGATTCTTTAACTCGTTTACACAACAGAGATTCTTTAACTTAAATATTATTAATCTGTGCAGGGCCCGCGCCACGAATTTGAAAGTGGAGGGCCAAGACTAAAAACGTTGGGGGCCAAGGCTTCCTACCTCTTTTACTGCAGCTTTTAAACTACTTGTGGGGGGCCATGACCACCCCGCCCCCCCCCCCCCGGTGGCGCGGGCCCTGCTGTGTGTGGTCATGGGTGAGCTGTTGTAGTGGCTTCTAGTGGATCCCTACAGCACAGCCCTCCAGCTAACTTTTTTAGGTCAACCTCACCCATCTTACTTCTTTCGAAAAGGTACCAGTTTTCGCAACTCTTTTGACGAAGCTAAACACGCTTACTTATTAAAAAAACAATCTTCAAAATACTTGCACCATGCGTATTTGTAAATTGAAAATAAAATCAGGACACGCCGTGGATAAAAAATAAACAATTTTGAGAAAAGAGCAGCTAGATTTATTTTGATTCTACAGGTGCTCAGTAAGGTTGGCTAGACAACTACAGCTATACCAGTTTCCTTTGTCTCCTTCCGTTGTATAATCTAAATTTTAGATCGAGTATCATTTTTGGTCCCAAGTAAAAAGCTAATATTGCTGGATTCTTGTCTACAGAACAACAGCAATGGGCATCGGTAGCGTATAAAAAAAATTGTAAAAATATTACATCACAATGCATAAAACAATGCATATAACAATGAAAGTTTCTACAGACATAGTGCTCGAGCTCGATGACGTATAGGCAGAGCTGTACATAATTAAAGCGTTGATATAAACGAATATATATAACATATATAAAGCCTTAACAAATATTTTAGTAAGATATGAAAGCTTGTATAGTAGCCGAAAAATTGCTCTAATAACTAAATAGAGCACTGACGTAAAACAGGAACACTGAGGCATATGGAGGCAGAGTGTAATTGATGGATCGAAAAGGAGGTATGATTTTCTTCTTCTAAGTAGTATATATTTCAGCTTTTATCAGGGTCCGTGATCGCCCCTTGATGGCATCTTGATGCTCCCTTGACGCCCCGTTTGCCCCACTCTAAGTGAGCTTAAATACGAAGCGCGAGACTACATAGTATACCACCATGATGATACAAGAGTGGCGGTAAGACCTTTGTACCAAAGTGATAATGATTTTGAAAACCTAGCATTTACATAAAGAAAAGACATCAGAGAAAATAAAACCAAAACTTAATGCTGAACAAAGTGATCACAAATAAAATCGATGAACAAGAAAAATAACTTGATAAAATGGAGCAGTCAAAACTGTCCAAACAGGCTCAGCTCAAGCTTGAATTTTATCGTTTGCACAGTTTATTCGATCAAATTTAGATTCAGCTGAAATCCATTTCTACATAATGTATTATTATTTCATCAAGTGAAAAAAGATAAAAAATCAAATTTTTTTACTACAATATGACTTCAAACATCCAGCTAGAAGCTTACCCCATCCCCAGTTTTCAGTCTATACAATGAACTGGGCCTTTTCATTAGTTCCAATAAATATCCGTATAAAAGCCCTCTATATAACCCCTAGTCTATCTGTAAGCCAACGATATCAAAACACCAATACGAAATATGTTGACCAATTAACTAAAAATGAAGAAAACTGTGAGTCCGCAAAACTAAAGAGGGAGGTTTCTTAATAAACAAAACCTGATTAAATCCTTCCGAAAATAGAAAAAATTGTTTTTACAGTTTCGGGTCTAGACTTCAATATGTCACATTAACCAGCATTTGTCTACAGCAGATTGATCTTAACGAAATATGATCAAGCAACGATATGAGTTTCAGCTGCATGCGATAAAAACGAACCCACCTCTATTTTGACTGCTTTTCTTCTCTCTTCTACGGAAGCATTTCCATTATTCCACTTTTTGCCAATATTTTCATATGACTGTGCAGGTTCATTACTTTGTCCCCTGTAACAAGCCAAAAAAAGTAATTTGCGCTTGTCTCTAAAGCCAAATTTTGGTCTCCAAGTCATTTTCAGTGATACCATGTTTAGAGCATACTAAAGAACGACTGCATGCACGAACTGTGAACAAGCTATATGGGCAGTCAAGGACCGATCCGTTATGTTTAAGATGAAAATTAACAAGCCTCGCTCATGCGGTTTTCAGGTAATGTCATTCACCATTAGGCCTAAGAATGGACAGGACCGAGTCTTTAGACTGGTAAAGACGGCCGACGATATTTGTTTGAAGAAATTCACGATAAATGTCTTCGGCGCCATCTAACATGGCTAGCGCAGGTGGCTGTGTGTGAATGGCTCAAAGCTTGCGGTGCTATCAGAGCACGTTGAAACGAGGTGCGAGGCGTGAATTTTTAAGCAGCCTTCACAATAGTATCTTTTGGCTTTCACTTGCCTTAAAATAAATTTCTAAAACAAACTATTCCCTAATCACCCAACAACTTGCTTGAAGAAATATGAAGCATTGAAGTCGTTTTTATCGAGAAATCAATACGAATCACGAAAAATCACGGCGGCCTGCTAGTTTCGTAATATTGTTTCCATTGTAACCACCCCTTTTGTCTAAATATTCCCTTCAATCCCTTGCGATTTTGACAGCCGAGACTATTCTGTCATAAAACAAGGAGAATAATATTAACAAGTTAAATGCGGGGTGGAAAAGTTATAAATATTGAATAGCAGAAAGATCACACGCATTTTAGCCAGAGTTGGCTAGAGCTATACCTTTTGGATCATATGAGTCAAACTCAAGGCCAGGCGTGTAATTTTATTTGGCCCGCGAGTGCCCGCGAGATCATTCCAGAACATTGTGTATACAAAGTGTGTTCAATAAATGCTTATCCTGTTCAGCCCGCGACATAAAGTGTGTTTTGGAGTAAGTTTGACACCCCTTCCTTAGATGCAATATCAATCGTGATTTTATACTAGCCACTCGCTTATAGCAAGGCTTGAAATCCTCAAGGCTTATAACTACACTTCAGATTGAGCTAACGAAAATTTTTTGCACAAGCGAAAAATTTAAAAAAAGATATGGACCAAACCCAATTACAGGGTATAGTATCACGGGGGCAAGGGTTGGGGCAAAATCTCTGAAATATTACTTTTCACATGAAAATGAATGTGTTAACGGCTTCTGTCACAGTTAGAACTACAAAAGCTGCATTGACTTGTTAATTTTGATAATTTTGATTATTCCAAACTGTTTGGGCTCTAAAATTATAACATATATTTGCAGCGATGTTTTAACAGCAAAGCTTTTCATTAGTTTCTATTGGTTTTAGAACATAATAATGTGGACTGCCTCCTTAAGTGCCACCTTAAACTTTGATCAATCAAACGCTTCAGAAATGACGTAATGAGCATTGAAGAAAAAAGAGAAAACAAATACCTTTGCAACACTTGATCCGATTGCCCTTGGTTCGACCCTTTGACACCTTGGTCTTGAAATGTCGAATTGGTGTTGTCTAGATTTTCGACGGAAAAATAATTATTCTAAATATTAAAATCGACTGAAAAATAGCTTCCGGTTTAAGCTTAAAGAGATTGGCTAGAAACAGTTCATATTAATGAATAGATGATAGTCTGCTTGCAATTAAGTATTGCTGAACAGCTGCGAAAAATAAGTGAATCGCTCCAAGAGTTTTCTTATTTCATCTTGATACAAATTACCAAGCTCAGCATCGTCGTAGACATATTCTTGGTCTAAACAGTGCACTCTCTACAGACCATTACTTCCCAGCGAATGGCAAAAAACAGGACCTGTAACCTTGCCCAAAGTCCCGTCTACAGTTCAAGCCTTATACATCCAGCCTCAAAATAATGAATACCTTGGTGGACCATAAATGTCTACGCAACCCCTGTCGACAGTCTTGGAGCGCTAACGTAAGTTTTCAAGAGCAAATTTGCTTTAGTTTTCAACATTACTTGTGGGGAGGGGTTTGGTAGTAGTAATATTTGGGGAAATATGAAAAATATAAAAATACAATGCCAACTGCTACGTCTTCCAAGTAGTTTTGGAGGGCCTACACAATTTGGTTTAATAGTGTGAAACTCGGAGTAGCAACTAAGAAAAGTCCTGCTCTATGCACCAAATAGCGTATTTGGATTCATGTGTAGACTAGTATATGAAGATTCGTTCAAACAAATTTTAATTCAACAGCAATGTGCTGGCATCACTGATGTTTTCCTGTGTGCACGGCCCACTTCTATTCTCCTTATAAACGTATCACATCACACACTGTTTACATTATGACTGGTGACAAACACACTGACGTAATACGAATTCGTTATAATTCATTCATAAAGCAGCCTTGAAACTCACCATCGAAATTAAATTTTCCCCCTGAGAAGGATGCTGAGCTGTATACAACTAAAACGACAAACTAAGGATTTAGAAATACCGTTGATTAAAAATGGTTTATCCAAACTTGTAAAACGATCCGATAATTTGATTTCAAGCACAAACAGAAGAAAGAAAAAAGAGGCACGAAAATCATGCCGATATGTCAATCACGCAAAAAAATTTCAGTGTCACTACAATAAAAATTCCAGAAACTAGCTTCAAATTTTCCTTCTCTTTGACTTTTGTACACCGACAATGGCTTTCTTTACAATTATTTTTAATTACGCTTCCCATTTTTTTAAAAAGCCATTCAAAACGAAGTTATAAAAAAATCTTAAGAACGTGCTCAATCTTTGATAAAAATATTATCTAAAAATGTATATCACGAAAATAAACTTGCTGCTGATTAAAGGGATGTCAATCAAAATCGATCAAATGATTGATTGACAAGCTACTCAGTTCACGACATTTATTAGGCATTCGATTAATTGATTGAAAAAGACCTTTAACGTCATGACATCAATATGGTACACTAACGGACCATTTTAATATACATACATACTTACATCTTGTAGGGTCCTTTTTAGAGAAATTTCCAGATCGTCGTACGGAATCTCTTTTGAAAAAAGGGAATATAAATAAAAAAGGAGAAGAATTCATAAATATATGACAAAAAAGGAAAATAACTGTATAATGGTCTGTTACATAGAACTCAATGCAGTATAGACAGCGTTGAACGTGCTTAGGTGTAAAGACCATAATAGTGGTTTTTAAGTTGCAACTGAGAGTTTCACATTTGTATATTATAATGCAAGAAATGAATAATTACCTATTATGTTTCTTAATTCCTTAGAATAATGCAAAAACAAGTTTACCCCCCTTTAAAGATTAATTGCTAACAATGACCCTTTGCGCATGTAGCGAATCGTCCAGGCGACCATACAAACAATGGCGGTAAACTTCTACGCATTAACCAAAATTGATTTAAAACTGTCTAAAAATGCATTATGGGATGCCTAAGCAGCGCAATGGCACATTGTTAGCAATGAGTCTTTAACAGACTGATGATCAATGAGTAAAGTAAGAGTGATGCAAGGATAAAAAAATTCCTATTGAGAATACTCAGTTTAACTGTTGCAATCTAAAAAGGATAACAGGTACTCAAATGCTGCATCCAATAAAAGTAGCCCTGAATTATGCACACGCTCAAGTGTTTACAAATACTTGATGGCTCTTTATATGTAATATGCAGCCTCAACTCGCATATTGTTGTGCATACATAAACACTGCAATAATGAAAACTACTTTATTTGATGGCAATTAGGAAGTTCTGTATACGCTTTTGTATATACAACAGGGGTTTTTAAAAAGCATCTCCGAGTTTCACGGTTAATTCGTAAACAGCCAACTTTTAAACTGTAAATATAGTAAAAAACACTAAACTTACTTTCGTGGTGGAGCTTTTCTTACAACAGCATATAGGCCACTTGAGCTGGATATTGACATAGCCTAAAAGAATAATTGCAGCCATAAAAATGAATAATCTTTACCGAATCAATATAATGGGGGTGTCTCATACTGAAAACGAGGTGTCTGGCGATTTGGCGCGAAAATGTTTTCAGAAAATATGACGTGAGCAGGTGAAAACAATCGATTGAAACGGCATGGGTACTTGCGAAAACAATACTATGTTAAAATAAAAAAATTGATGTTTCATTGAGTGATAATTTGGGTCAATAATCTAGTCCTATCAAGGTGAACGACAATTCCCAATAAGGTATGAAGATTATATGCGAAACTTGAATTTAGAATTTAGAATATTGAATTTAGAATTATCATGGCCAGACTGATAATGCATTACGCCAGACTAGTGCAGTTTAGCTCTCATTCAACTACTATTTGCAGAAGTTTCAAGATATTTTTCAGACGTTGCCTGTTTAGTGGGAAAATTGGATGTCAAACTATTTTCTCTTTTCTCATACACTTCATTCAATTGTTTCTGCTTCTTACTGTTAAAAAACATGCTAGTCAAAGTCGTAACGAAATTTAGGACACCTTAGTTCGTTTAAAAGGGCCCCCAAATTATATTTATTATATCCATGTTTTTAGGACTTCGCTCTAGTTCAAGTCATTTTAAAAAACTTTCAAAGCTCTTCAACAGAACCTTTTATAACTCAGGTCCCCCTATTTAACGAGAGAAGTTATCATTTTTTAACATTTTATTATTTTATTTGACATGCTATCACCCTAGAATGGGACTTTCTTGCAGTCCGTAAATAAAGGCCCCGTCTCAAAGTTATTCTTTGGGGCCCAAGATGCCTCCATTACGCAACTGGTGCATAATTGTACTTTGAAGCCAAATTTTTCTTTTGCTATTGAGATATTCCATATCAAGTGGGACCAGGCACTGGACCTCAAAGTCATTGATTTCCTTCAAAATTTGCATATACATTCACCTTCACACTCTAACAATATGGGCAAAAAAATTTTCTCTGCCTTTTCCTTGTGTCTAGTACGAGGGCAAGATTATTGCTTTAAAGGGGATAAAGCAAGGAAGTTTACCCTGCCAGTGTTGACTGGTGACGTATATTCTTCGCCTTTTCGCATAAGATTTGTTGCTGGAGTGAGACCAATTTTGTCTTTATACCTTAAAAAAAAAAAAGATAGCAAAAATGGATGTCGTTTAAAATAGAAGGCTTTCAGTGATAATGTACAATTTCGAAAATTAAATAACAAAAATTTCATTGTAAAAAAATGGCCTGGAAAAATGATTATGGATGTCAAAATAATGTCAAAAACGTCAGAATAATGGCCTATCACAATCCACGACTAGGCAATTTACGTCCACGACTAGGCATGTTTCTTTCGGTCCTTATTCTGACGTTTTACACACTGTATAGTAACAGACGAAAAGCTTAATTCGTGTTGTAAAATGTTTGCATTCAAATCCAGTTTATAAAATTGTTTTGTTGCACTTTGGCTTTGATTCAAATGGGCATTCTGGTTTAAGAATAAAGTTCCACTGGACAAGTTTCCAGAATCCTTACCTAATTTTCCACCATCCATAATTACTTTTAGCCAGTACCTCGACTTCTTCCCCGACGCTATATGAAACTTCATCGACATTCTGTGCAGTATATGCCACAACGGTTGAATATAAGTGTGCTAAAACATTAACGAGATACATGTGAGGCTGGTGTTTGATGTGCACTAAATATATGTAACCCAGTTTGCATCGCTAATAATGTGTATGAAGATGTAAGGCTCAAACAGAGCAAAGATGTATGAAGATGTGAGGCTCAAACAGACCCCCTCTTTGGTAGAATACATAATCTGCCAAATACAGAGCTCCTTGAACGATCTGCGGCAGATATTGAGTCAGGGCTCCCTGGCTCCCTAGGCTTCTTTATCCTGTGGCGTATGCAAAGTTTGAAGCCCCCATTAATATTCAAGAAGCAAGACCCCGAGATTTGTTCAAAACATAAAGAAATTTCTGCAGGTAGGGGTGGAAAAATTCGTTACATACTGGCGTAATACAAATATAGCAATTATAGATTCGACAGCAATTCAAAGAAAAAATGCGTTATATTTTAAGATACTCGAAAGGGCGTTGCCCCATAGCAGCATAAACATACAAGGCATGGCTGCACATCATCTCCCTGCACTTTCCAAAAGTTTAACATATCATGGGGGGGGGGGGGGGGAGGCACTCTACCACAGGCCTAGCTTTTACTTCTTTAATCGAGCTGATCTTTTTTATTATCATAAAGAGACATAACCAAAAATCAGTATTGCACTTAAAATACAAGTCAAATCGAAGTTGATATTATAAGGGGTGTTTTTAAGATTTTTAATATGGAAAGGCTTTGAGGAGATACACAAACATTATTAAAAAGAGTGCAGGTGTACTGGAAATATTAAGAGCAATTTATTTTCTCTGCATTCTTGTTTCTTACCATGCATGTCAGAATCATTCATTTCTACCCACTCGTCATTCTCCTCCTCAGTGACAGCCCCAAATGATTCAAGATAGGTCGCCGGCGCCCAGCCTTGCTGATCAAGATCATTCCAAACAAACCACCAACCTGCAAACAAGGTATGAGTTATTGCAATATTTCTATTACCATAATAATCATTCACATTCAAAGATAAACTTATATTCTCAAAATTTATTCGGTCTTGTTTTCTAATACATATGAGAATTGGAGGATCTGATTTCGTACAACAGGTTCCTTGCTAAGGGGCGTATTTTGAGGATTGGCTTGGTTAGTGATGCCCAGTAATATGGTTGTTATGAGACAAAAGATGGCTATAATGGATCTTATGATTTGCTAGGCTAACATTGTTTTTTATAGGTGTTAAATCAAAGAAAAGGTGATTATTATTTTGAATACGCAAACAACCCAAACTGCTCGACCTGATGACATAATTAGTTTACCCTAAACCTAACCCTAGCCCTAAACCTAACCCTAAACCTAACCCTAAACCTAACCCTTACCCTAACCCTAACCCTAACCCTAACCCTAACCCTAACCCTAACTCTCACCTGAAAGGCTCTGCATAAATGTCTTCACTTAAAACTGTGAATTAGGAGTTCTCTGACATCTCGTCACTTTGACTCCATATACTGGCTTTCCAAGTCGCGAAATAAAGCTTTTCGTCTGACTAACATTAAAAATTGTAGGCCTTTGCATTTGCCATGTTTATACTCGTACAGTGAAACAATGTGCTTTTTGCGTAGATGCTACATATAATATATGATTGCAACTGGGTCCAATGCAGCTTTGAAACCGTTCTAGTTCTAATAATAATTACTTCAATTTACTATGATAATATGAGTCTAATGTGATATGAACTAATTGTGGAAACAATATTTGGGCTTATATAACTAATTAACACATACCGCGGTCTGTTTTCTCAGCCACCGTCAAAACACTGCCTTCTTCAAATGAAATTTCTCCAGGATTAGTTGCTGTAAAACTTGCTACAGCACGATACTGGTGCTCTTGATCTGAGACAGATAAATAAAGTGCCGTCATTACAATGATGCATGCTCAAATATACCAAATGCGAAGCTTTGCGGACCTTTAGAATTCAAGACAAGTAGGTTTTCCACTATACAATATGATAATCAATTCTTCAAAAATAAGCATATAGAAATGCACCAGGATGTTGACTTATTTCTGAGCTCCACTTTTGGCGATAGGTTGGTGTTAGTCCTAGCCCCAACCCTACCCTACCCTTGTCCTGCATAGCCTTAAACGTTATATTTAAAAGAAACTATTGAAGATTCAATTGACATATTGCAATTAAAAGTATAATATTGCAAAATTAATACACCGAATTAGAAAGGTCCCCAGCAAAGCTCTATATTAAAAATATGGTCAGAAATACAATAAAAACTTTTCATTTTGAATTCCAGTTCAGGTTCTGGTACCAATCTCTTTTTTAAATAAGTAGCTCTTAGCTTGCTATCCCTGTTTTCACAGAATGAAGCTATACTAGATTTGCTACACTAGCTAATAAAAGCTAACTGCAATAACTAACACAATATAGTATATATGTAAACATTAGATGAACAATATTTCAATACAAAGCATGAAATTTTAAGACAGAATTAAAAAAGTAGCACCATAGAAAAATCCGAGCTATTGTGTGAAAGTCTTGCTATGGGCTTGCATTATTCTAAAATGCTCCCGATAACGATTGAGAAGAACATCGCAAAAATATGCCTACCTGGTGATGAGCCAGGCCCAAAGGAGTCTTGAGTTTGGTTTGAGGTTTCTTGGATAGCTGGACTACAAAACAAAATTCAGTTTAAAGAAACATCGTACCAGAATAGTGGGTCTCTCTCCTTTCCTTCTTTGATTATTTATACTATGAAAAAATACACAATTACAACAAATTAAAGTTAAATACAATCAGATAAGTGCTGGGTAATAATAAGTGATGTCCTTCAAGGGAGTCCTTTGTCTTCAACTCACCAAATGTATTTAAAGCTATTTTTTAAACTGACACTTATTTTTTTTAAATGATTTCTTCCAGTCATAAAAAGCTGTGTAAAAAACCCTTTTTTGCTTTTTTACTCTAGATTGTACCTTGGGGTTGGAAGATTTTGGATTAAAACTCCATAAAGGTCCGTTTAAATGATCCAACATTTCATCCAACGCATACCTGAAATTTTTTTTCAAATGTTTAGTTCATAGATTTAGAGCTGTTTAAACGACCCAAAATTGCGTCTAAAGCAGCTTTGAAATAGATAATTATCGAAACTTTACACTGTATAAAAACATAAAAATGAAACAACATTAAAAACATCGATCAAAATTCAAAGGTCTCGAATAGAGGTTTCGATCTATTTTCTGATGTTTTATAATCTGTCTGGAGCATTTTTTTAATGTTTGTTTTTCCAAAGCAAATTCAATTTTTCAAACAACAAAATTGTTAAAAAGTCGCTATTCAAAAATGGAGAGTCAGCTTGGAATACAACGAAAATATATGCACGTTTAGGAGTGTAATGCTTGAAAGTACACGTTTTTTTATTGAATGGTTTATCACTGTTGCCAGAACGGTAGTTCCCTAAATTTCAATTGATTGCATTATACAATAGGCTGTTGACAGATTCTTCAATTAGAAACGCGGGCCTAATTCGAAACGCGGGCCTAATTCGAAACGCGGGCCTAATTCGAAACGCGGGACTAATTCTGCCTATTGGTAAAGTAAATGATTGTCTGGTGGGACAAACCATTGACTATAATTCAACATAGGAAGGCACTCCCAAGACCCATACTTATTCGTTTTTTAAAGAGGAATATCGTTTGTTAAAATTAATTACCATTTAAACTGTAATTCAAATGCCTACAAGGGAGTAATTTACTACAGAGGCCGTGAGAAAATGAACCAAATTTCAAAAATAATTTACAGAATGAAGCAAAGCAAAGGAGAGCTATATAAACAATACATTAGCATAAAACATTACCAATAGATAACAAGTCTCTTTGGGTTTTGAAATGCAATATAATTCTTTTAGCACGTAATAAGATAACGGCGCTTATGAAAAATATCACATGTAAAAAGAAGTACATGCATTGAAATAAAATAATCACTGTTGCAATGGTGAAATTTGAGCCTGTGCAAATGTTTGTTAATTTGTACCTAAACATTGAATTTACACTACAGAACAGTTACGTAGAAAGGGTTGAATTACTGGCCAGGACCCACTGTTTGCGGATAATAGGAACAGAAGGAGGTTTTATTGAAAAGGGATTTCTATAATTTTTTAGGGGCATGTGTAGGCCACCAAAGAACAATAGCTTCTACGGATCTGCATTAATAACATCATTGTTGCTATTGCTAGATTTCCAACCGAGATAAAAAAGAAAAACTTATCAAGCAATTCGTACAACATATGTCAAACGAAGGGTATTTGTTAACCTTTTAGAAAGAATGGGGCGGAAAATGGTCTCCCAATATTTGGAAACTTTATTCTCTGTTGGGGATTGTTCGAAAGATTGTTAGCATTTGTACTTTGGAGCTTGCTCATAAAATTGCAGACATAACACTGCCATTTCTAGCAAGTTTTAATGAATAAAGGTACTTTGCTTTCAATGCCTTGGGTCTGATGCTAACACAGAGTGTCTTATATTTTCTCAAATCTGAACTACTATTTATTTTATTTTTCTATTCTAAATGGCAGCGGTATACTTAGGTGGCAAAAAGAATATTAAAGTAAACACTATTGGATGGGCGGATTGCCTTTGATCAACCTTGCAGAGAGAAGTTCAGTGATTTTACGTTTATCCATATTTGTACTAAGAAGGTTTCGCAGATCAAAATAACAGATGGAAAATGCTAGATGCTAAGGTCAAATAAGAATCGATTGAAGAAAGAGTGTTGGGTATAGATAATTGAATCAAACAACAGGCGATAGAAAAGCAATGTTTACTTTATGTTAACCTATCAAACTGCATCACAAGATAAAATATCAAATACTTCTTGTCTTCGAATACACGAAAATGTTTAGTTGATTTGAACACTTGATTCTGTTTGTGGTTTGATTCTCTTTTAAGTCTTGTCTGTATTAAAAATAGTGCAGTTCTCAAGATACAGAATTTTGCCGTTTGCATAATCAAAAAAGCACTGTTATATCAAGCCATGAAAAACGGTAGAAAATTGAATACCTTCCAAATCCTTGAGATCCAATAACGTCACTACTCTGTTGGGTAGAGGCTCTGACGTCAGTCCCCCAACAGTCGAAGAAATGCATCACGACAATCGACTGGGAAACCAATTGTGGAAGGCTAATTATTTTCTGAAATAGAAAAACACCTTATATTATATCAATACCTCTAATAAACAAAGATATTTTTTCTTATCCAATTTGTATAATGGATCAAAAATAAGCTAACCATCTAAATTTTAAGAAATAATTTTAAATTTAGGGTTTATCAAGATCTCTGTTAACAGGTGTGTTGCAGAGAGCTTGACGCAGCGAGGCCAACATTTGAAACATTCAAATTTCTGTCTACTGCACCATTGAAGAAACCCTATGGTGTATAGAAGAGAATTGACCCCAGGCTGCCTATAAATATATTGTTCCATATACCATATCGTAAATTGGTTGATATATTGAAATTGGTTGAAAGAATTTTAGCGTATTAGACTTCCGATAGTTATTGTTATTGTTATAATTATTGTCAGACTTATGTATCTTAGGTTTGAAGATATTTGACCGATTTTGAAAGTACAGGAATAAAAAACTCCACACAGGCAAGAGATGGCTTGCTGCGGTTCAAGTGCTAGTGGCATCAGTCTAGTCATTTAATTTGCAAGCTTGACATGTCTTTGGTGGTTTGATTCTGTTTTTTGTTAAATCCTGTTGTGAATTAAAACTCATCATGACGTAAAGCTGTTTGTCTTTAGATAATCAAACAATGGCAAATTCATTCGCTGTACTAGATCCCTCTATCTAGTAATATAATGCTGCGTGGCTATGATCAACCCCGCAGTCTAAAATGACGTAAAGCAGTTTGAGTTAATAGTAAGCACGCAAGAAAGCTTCTGAACTGTCATTTATAACCATATCTGCTTAAAATCAAAAAAGTATCCAGGAGTCGCGCCCCTCTACACCCATACTCCCAGGTGGTTCGCTTTGCAGCTAGGTTAACAACATTCGTTTGCAATATTTTCTCTTTTGTTTGTTTTGCTCTTCATGTTTGTTAAATTTTATTTGATTTATGCTTAGTATTCAGCGAATACATAGTAGCTTGAAATTGTTGTGTTTCGAAGAGAGTTTATTCTTTGAAGGTGGCAAAAAACTGTCCCGATTAGTGCTCCATTTTGCAATTGATCAAAACAAATCGCAAAATTGCGCCCTCCCTGCAAAAATCCCAGAATAACCTGAATTTTTGAGCGTCTTACATGCAATTATTTACATTAGCCAACAATCCATAATGCAAAATTTAGCAAATTTCGTCTTTTTCAGTTGTATGTTTCTGTTAAAATCAAAAAGAGGCAAGAAAGACGATTGCGGATAAATCAAACAGCCCTTAATATAAAGGCACCCATGCTTTGACACAAAACATTTGACAGGAATATTCGATAGGGTTGTAGGAACGGGATTTGACTGTAGCAGGAGAAGCAAACTAAAATTGTGGACCAAAATGTGAACAGCTATGTTGAGAATCGAGCAATTCGCAACACACAGGTTAAAATTCTTCTTCGATTTATTTGGAACACAAATATGCCAGATCTGAAACAAGTAATTCTACTGCGCCACTTATTGTCCTCCTTCTCCAACATGCTTCAAATATTACAGGGACCTAAGTAGTGTTATTTTTACCTGACAAAAATCTTCTATTGCTCTACATTCCTTCTCGATTCCAAGTTTTCCTAATAACATCCAGTGGAACTTGGTAGCTGTGAAATGCACATAGAAAACAATTGAATAAGCTTACAGGTGATCGTTATACATATTATGTATACAGTCAGCTTAGTTACAGTCATCAGATTTTGCCTGAAAAGTTGGGACAGTAAGGGTGTCTGAGTGCAAACAAAAAAGAACTTCATTAACCGGTCGGTAATGTAGCAGCAAGCAAGGACCAAGACATCTGGGGGTTCGGGGGGGGGCCTTGGCCCAAAAAACTTGAGTAGCATAGTGAAAATACTTTTATTTTATCAAATATGGCTTTGGCATCTCGGTCTTTGGCAGCAAGCATAGTGAAATCGACTTGAAATGAGATCGACCATAAGCGATTTTCACAAGAAAAATTTGAGAATGCAAACAGTTATAAAACAAGAAACAAAAACAGCAACAAATAAACTCCTACACGCGATATTCACTATTTGCTTACCTGGAACAGGAGGTATAGTTATGCTATATTTCTCTTTGAACATTTCGCACAGGACTCCCTGTTCAAACAACAAGAAAAGAAGCATGGCAATTCGAGTTTTGTTGTGTGTATAGAAACATAAATAACTGATATACGACAAGTAAACATTGAAAAAATGGGGCAGCACAGACCATTGCCCACATCATGGGGAAAGATATAATGAATCACCAGTAAGTGAAGACCTATGCCTGTGATCATTCATACTTTTTATACAAGAATGTTGCTTGCAGATCATTTTTATCAAGGCAGCTGGTCTTGATAGACCTTGTGGTATTTAAGGGGACTGAAGATTCTGCTGTCTGTCTCCAATGCTTTCAGAACTTTAACAAGGAAATTAACATATAATAGAAAATGACTGCCTTATAAATGGAGCACTTAATGCAAATGACTACCTTATAATGCAGATCTTATATCCCTTTAATATTCTATCTGATTAGGCAGATGTTTTACAATGTGTCTTTCTTAAAAGCAACTTATTTTAGAACCCATAAAAAGGAGTCAAATTTTACCACTTGATTGTGTGAGTATGATGGGCGTTGTTATCGATGAAAAAAAGCTGGCAAAGGCTGACAAATGATATACTTATTACCAATTACAAACCTGGAAATCAAAAAACATGCTATATGGTCTGTAAATGGTAATTTCTGACTTGTTGCTCCATTTGACTCTTAGAATGAATTCCTAAAGGGAAAAAGCAAATTGAAAATTATCATCATACACATTTCAAAACAAAGAAAACTTCATATATCATAACAATGATTCTTATCAAGCTTCTGCTGTAAAAAAATCTTTAGCAGGAAATGACAGAGCACAAATCAGTTTGACAACTCTGATGATTTGGATAATTCAGAAAAATTCAAATTTCTTTTTCGTTGGCAGAATAGTGACCAAGGTCTTACATGGCAGGTAGAGGAGAGGGGAAAAAGACCTTCTCCACCAAACAGTAGAGAGCACGGAAGCTCTTTGCCTTTGAATATTTGATAACATAAAGTCATGTTAAGGAAATAGAATTAGCCCATCCCCTCCCACCCTAATAACTGATCAAGCACTTGGCTCTAGACAAATAGGCAAACTTTTATGGTAGTTTTTCACCATTATCTTTGATGCCACAACCTGAATGTCATACTTCAGCAAAAAAGGGAGGGAGCTATTGCCCCCCAACCTCCCTTCTCCAGAATGCCTGAGATGGTAGGCAGACATCTATTGGTCTAAGCCTTGCCACTAGGAAGGGACTTACCAGGGTATAGGGGGTGCAACCTAATATTTTTCAGTGTCTTTTCAGACACCTTTTCTATTCATCTAAACGATGTGGCACCATAAACCAATCATTGTGAAACCCCCCCCCCCCCCCTTCCGTCCCCCGTACTTGTCGCTAAGTAGGTTCCTTGATTACAAAGATATGACTGATTACAAAGGGCCCAGGAAGGCCCAGGTACCTTGAAAGATATTGCTTGGGAAAGAACTCAGATGAAATCCTAGCTAAAGGCAGTGGCGGTTTTAGGGGGGTCCAAGGGGGCATGGCCCCAGGCCCCGTGCTTATGGTAGCTAAAAAGGGCTTCGTACCTAAGAGAAAAAATAGAAACTGTAAAGAATAAGGGCTCTGCAGATGTTTTCAGCCCTGGGCCCTACAGTCCCTAAAACCGCTGCTGGCTATAGGGATTGCCCTAGCTGAGATTACCTGTGTAAAAGACTGCATCAGATACAAAGGACTTTTCAGTTGTTGGGATGCAAATAAAGTTTAGGCTACTTTCTCTAAATCCTATGAGCAAAGCATCATTTGTCTTTGTAACCAGCTCTACAAGAGCATTCCTTTTAACTGATACATACATAATGTTTACTGGATCCATGATCTTTTTTCTTTTGCAGGCCAACCACTTTGATGTTTTCAATGCTCTTTGTGTCAACCATTTTGCATTCTACAAATAAATTATTAGAAACTTGTCTTGTGGATTTCTAAAGAATTATCAACGAATGAGAAAACCGATATAATGCATAAAAAGTAAATCTATTGATGCATTATAAGAATAAAAAGAGATTTCAATTATTAATCAACTGATTAAAAAATCCTTCAGCTACAAGAATTTCAAAGCAAGCCATCTGTTGTCTAAGTTCAATTAATCTCTAATTTTGTTTTTGCAATTTCCCAAATAAATTTCATTTTCAAACCAAATTGGTTAACAAGTGTGTTTAAGTTAACAAGATTATTTTCTAGTTAGACAGAGCTTGTTTGTCAGATCATTAATACAATATCCAAAAATATTTTATCGTTTACTCGAAACCAACTTAAAAAAAGCACTAAATGCTTTTGAGATGTGGTGTAACTCATCCGGTACTTTCTCGTTATCTCAAAAGGACAGTGCCTCCCCCATTTTTGCATAAAATTTACAACATGTGACTGTCACAAATAATCCAAAATACGAATCCCTTTCAAGAAAAGACTTGACAAGAGAAAAAATATCCAAAAAAATTGTACTAACATTTAGGTAAACAATTTAGCGGTATTTTATATAAAAATAAATTATTAACGGGCGTCATATGATGCTGAAAATTGTGTGTAATTTGAATAGCAATAACCAGTTGCCATCTGCAGCAATGATTTCGTTGATCGCGGCATATCTACGTTGGGAGGGGTGAATTATAAATCGAGTTTGCTAATAGACAGTATAAGACAGTTTGCGATTCATTAATCGCCAATAGAGCTACAAATCATATGTAAACGATTAATGATCCACGGTATACACAAGATTAACAACGACGGCCTACCAGTTACAACCCAATTCGCACCACTTCCCGGTTTTCCTTTTTCGTGTGACCTTTGCCCAGAAATGTCTTTTTTCGATAAGGCAGAAGAAGTCAAGTTGGTGGTAAAATTCACTAGATCAAGGAGCAAGACTGCGAATTCACAATCCTTCAATTCTTCCTTCCTCTCGTTCTCTGAAATAATGCGGATTTCATTATCATGTCAATATTGACCTTGCATTTTGTCCAAATTCGTGGGCTGTGCAAAGCATTGTTTTCTTGGTCTCAGTCCTGTGATTGGAGATGCAGGACAAAAGTGACGACCCATAACAATGGGCCAACAAAAACGTGCAAATTTTTGCAGAAAACTCCTTGTTATTACCGTCCATATTTTTTGGTCTTATTTAATTAGGCATGACAAACTAAGGCTAATAGCTTGTCAGCAATTTGAATTAATATTTTGATCTTGTAACTTCTGCTCATTTCACAATTTGATAACGAGCTATGTTGCGAATGTGATAACACCAGGCAGGTCATTCTATTATCTTTGATAATACCAAGGGACAATTGTAAATTGCGTATAAGGTTTCCATGAAAGCAAAAGGATTTTCAAGGATCATCAGGTAAAACGATAGGATTCCCACCTAAGGAGTATGTGATTTTCTTGGAGAGAATTGCACCTCGGGCTCCCTCCTTCGCGTAATACTCTCTTGTTAATGGACAACGAGACTCGATCTGCCAAAAAAAGAACAACGTAATCGTCCCCAGCCAGAAATTTTATGAAAATGAAGGGTTTCCAGAGAACATGACGGAAGCCCAGGGTTATACAATAATAAAAACGATGATAAAAGAACACTGCAAGCAATTTGACCTTTTGGGTGGTGCGCAAGAAGACAGTAGTGGATAGATAACGAAAAACATATAATAGATACCCTGGGTACCAGAGCCTCAGAAGCAGATGAATGCGGTGGCGATAAAAGAGCACTTAAATATATTTTCCATAGACTAGTTTCAAAATACATTTTCCCCACTCAAATATAATTTTCTGTGATTTGTTTTTGATTTGTTGGTTGAGATTCTTGCACCAAGGGCAATTTAATGAGCACCCGGCATAAGGCAATCTAACGAGCACCCCGCAAAGGTGTAGGAGACAAAAGAACTGCGAGGGCTGCAGCCCTCCCCCTGACGCCCAACGCCAATTTCTCCTGTTATACGGGGTACTCCTTCAAAGAAGGTGCTGTGTTTTTTCTTTAGCTTGTACGCACAAAAAGAAACAATATAGTTCGAACACCGCTTCGATCTAGATTTATAAAAAATGTGACCTTTAGTATTCTTCTCAACATGTATGTAAATGTCCATTTCGTTGTCATTATCACAACCTCCACGCTGCCCTCTTCATTATACTCATACCTTAAAATGCAGTCACTAGTATAGCCTTAGGATGAAAGTGACAGTAAAAAGAAAACACGCTATTGGTTATATCAATAACTCATTGGAGAATAAGATAATAATATTACATACACCCGTAAATTGTAAAATTGTAAAGAACTGTTTCAAATACTATGTTATCATAAATGCGATATACATTTTCGCTAGTGAAAGTTGAAATTAAAAATGGGTGTTTCGATTTGTAGTAAATAATGTAACGAAATTCACTTTATCATTACGTGAATTCACTTAATCATCATTACATCAGATACTGGTAGACAAGGCCCTTTTTACTTACAGATTCCTATGGCGCAGTCAGCGCGTTGCAGACTATTAGTGCTTTACAGAAAACGAATGAATATTACGGACAATATGTAGTGAAGTTCTAAGACTAAATATACCCTATATCGTTTTCTCTAGAGGGCATTCTCATATCTTTAGACTAGATAATAAGAACTGTACGTCACGTGATAAAGGATTACGTCAATATTTACAAAAAACAGCAGAAAATTGACCTATCTAAAATTCTCTCGTCCATAATATCAATTAGGATGAAAGATAACGATAGTAGCGAAACTGTAATTTACTGCATCAAACTTTGCATAAGATCCAAAATAAATTTTGATAATGGCAAATGGGAAATAGGGTGAGGATCGACGACAAAACTACAGTTTGATGGCTTTTTCTATTTCACAAACAACCCAAGGTTTCGCGTTGCTTTCACATTCTAGCCTTTTGTTTTCTAAACCAGTATTTCTTAAAGGCGCATTTAAAAGGTGAACAACCACATTTTGAAAAATACTGTAGTGTTGGCGAAGTTTTTATTAATTATTAAAAAGTTTATTTCGATGCAACTGAAATCAATGTATTCATTACAACTTAAAAATAGGCCAAAAATTCTGAATCTGCGTTATCTCTAGACAGTTCTATCCGAGGTGATTAAAATGGCAAATTCATCTTCAGTTGAGTTGCAGCTCGAATAGTTAAACGAATCTTAGTTTCATAGGGCTAAAAACGGTTTTTTTCTGAAATTTTTGGTTTCACGTACGGAGTAGAAAATTGTTGAACTAAGTGCGTAAAATTTCTGACAGAATAGAAAGCGTAAAGTTATGTGAAGGTTATATGTTAATATGTAAATACATTATAAACATGTTTGACGCATTTGAAAAGGTTAAGCAAATTTAGAAAGTAATTGTTATCAACGGATCAACAGAATAATTCAGCAGTGCAGGGTGTATTGTTTTGGAAATATCTTAATGAACTGTCTGAGCGCCAGGCAACTTTCCCAAGGCCTAGAATAAAAGAATAAATAAAGTGATATAAATATATACAAAAAACATCACACATCTAAAATATGGAATCATCAGACTTCAGACAAGTCATTCCAGTTTCGAAAAAAATATTTTTCAGCACTTTTTTATTTCAATTAAATGTTTCAATTCCAGAAACTATACCTACCAGCGCCTTTCAAAGTTAAATCCAAAGTAATCAATTAACGTCCAACGATTTAGAAAATAACCCTGTGAATACTGCTATTTTGTAACTAATTCATCTGGGGTAAAAAGTACAACGGGCATATTACAGCGACGATTGTCTATTTTTTACAAGAAATGGCGGTTCAAGCTAGCTATTAATAGTTTCGAAAACTCTGAGGCTGGATGAATCTTCATCTGATCTTAAATTTTTAGTCTGTTAGTTGATAAATTCAGCTGTAATAGCTTTTGATAAGCTGTAACAGTTTTAAATCAGTTGAACTTCAATGTCATTGAAAACCATTGAAATCCGTATGTTTTTTCAAAATTACATCTTACAGTACAGTAAATCCCTGCATATAAGAACCTACTTTTTGAGGTTCAGGCTGAAGTGGGTTCTTATTGGAAAGGTACTTGGATTAATTTCAGGTATGAAGGTTCTTATTCGAAGGATCCTTATTTAAAATTTTAGGATTCATTATCAGCATTTTAGATTTTGCTATATATAATTATGTTAAAAAGGCAAAGTGATTTTAAAGTTCTCTTTCGTTAAAATGCTGAAAATGGACAACTGAAAATTTTTATACCGATTGTGGTTTACCTCATCTTTAAAAATCTGGGAGAAATTAAGGACCATTGAGAACTCTATTTTTTGTCCTTGGGATAAGAACCTATTATATTTTATCACATTGAAACAGGTTCTTAGTTACAAGGTGCATAATTTAGGAAAAACAGCCTCTAGGTTCTTATTTTTGTAGGTTCTTGTATGCGGGGATTTACTGTACCTCAGCTTGGTTAAACTTGTTCTTAATTTTTTATTAATTCTGCGACTCGTGTTCTTACAAATCGTCCTTTGGAAAATCGTGTGAGCACGGAGAATTCTGAAACACTAGTAAACGAAGAAAATATGCAGGGTCATTCAATTTGAATGATGAAACATGTCAGCATATATACAAATAATAGGTGAGACAAACCTTTGAAAGATCGACGCCAGTTAAAGCCTGGACGGCGGGTGGCAGTTGACCAACAAGCTTGGTTATTTCATTTGAAAGCTTGCCTCCTCCAGAAGAGTCGTCGTTGATTAAAACGATCTCCTCTGTCTTTGCCAGTGGAGCAGCCACCTCTGCAGCGATCTAAAGATAAAAAAGATTACACTGCTGTTACTGATTCTTAGGAAGCAAAACCACTCTGATGGAGAGTTAACATGCAATATCCCTTGTTCTAAACTACCTGATAGAGGAAAGTGACGAGAGCAATCAAAATCGAAAATGATTTGGCATACACGCCATTTAAAAATGTTGCTTGATGACATGTGTTATTTCATTTTTAATAGAAAGCAAAAACAAATACTTAAACAAGTCAATTATAGAAAGGCAATTTTAAATTAAAATAACAAGTTTCAACAAAATGTTTACAAATATTACATAAAGAGCGTGAAAAACGTAATAGGCTTAAATCATAGTTTTTATTAATCATGTGATTGCCATAAAGATACCTTCAAGGTGAATGACATGAGGTAAGTGTTAACTGCTGTGACAAAATGATTTGGTCATCATCATAAAAATTTTCCTAATACATATTTCATACAAGAGTCTCTGGGGTTACTTATCGCCACAACTTATTTGCGTGTGACTAACTGAAGTGGGCTTTTTGTTGTTTTCAGCATCGGCCATTTAGCTTGGGTCATTCGCTTGAACAGCAAATAACACAATAGAATATAATTCACAAACAATAAGCATTTGCCATACCTTAGGCATTGCATCGAGAACAAGTGCCATAAGAGCTGCATCTCCATACTGTTTGTAGGCTGCAGCCTTTTGCCTCATTCTTTCAGCTTCGGCCTTGCCAATGGCTTCGATTGCAGCAGCTTCAGATGCACCCACCATCTAAAAACAAAAGAAATTGAGAAGATATCATTTGCTACGGAAGGCTCGTATCTAATATTTAAAATATTTATCAAAGAATCGAAATGAAAATAAGGATTACTTTGCACGTGGTTTAGTTACTGGCATCATGTTGTATGACCTTCTTTAAGGCACTTTGATAAGACACTTAGGACTAAAGACTATAAACTCTATATACTCTTGTCTCTAAAATTTCAACATATTGTCTCTATACATTGCGAAATCGCTCTGTTCCATTGACATACAGTATTGCTTATCTGAGAAGACCTAGATCCAGGAAAAACATTTGAATTCATCAATATTATTATCAATTTTTATGTCTAGTCGCGCACTTGTAGCCTCATAATTGAAGCATAAATCTTCTAAATACTAATCGAGGTATTTGTTTTCAAACAAACGGCCTAGTAAGCATACCTTGATCTTTTCAGCCTCTGCTTGTGCTGCCAATACTTTCTGTGTTCTAAAAGGGCAATTAGCAGTTTTATATGCATCCGTTCAAAGTAAGAGTAACAGAGGCATAAAAAAGCTTTCAAGGCACTTGCACATAACAAAGTTAAGAGTTTTCCATGCAAAACCAAAGCCAATGTCAAAGATCAGCAAATATATCTCTGTTTTCGAGCCTATTATGATTTCAAAGCACGAATTGCAATCATAAATTATGTCATGGCTAGTGACAAAATTTTTAAACTTTGAAACGCTGAAACAACTAAGTTGCTTTACTCGGTTTCCATAATGTATCTTATGTTGATATATTGTTCTAAGATAGTGTCTAATGATATATATTTTTAACCAAATTCTTATTGATAAAACAGTATGAAAACGGAGAAGGTTCGTCAAAAAAGAACATACTTTTTTCCTTGGGCAATCGTCTCCACTTTGTAGCTTTCGGCTTCCGCTGGGCTTTTCACCGTAGCTATCAACTCTTTTTCCTTTCTGATAATTTCTTTCTCTTCAACTTCAATGGCCTTTCTTCTTTCAACAACCTCGATCTGGATCTCTTCACCTCGAATCTTCTGTTTTTCTTTGGCTCCCTATAACACGGAAAAATCACTGGATATAAAATCTTGTAAATATAACAAGATTCATTTCAAAGAATAAAGAAAAGCTTTAGCAGTAAGGTTATTTACAAGAAAATAAGGCGGAATGGAGCTAGAACATTAGATATTATTATACCATTGGACGATGTAATGCAGCTTCTATAGCGTAAAAAGATCCATAGACCAGGAAGCTGTTGTATGTGCTATAGCTGAGCTTAAAGCAAACTACAAACAGTGCAAAGATGGAAGAGACAGAAAAGCAGTTTTTGGGACACAGAGCAGCGATGCTCAATGCACAATGTCCTAAACCTACCTCTAGACATGATCACGACTCGTGATTCTCAAGTATCAATTTGTTGACTATTGATTAAACTCTCTCTAACTGAATTTTAATCAACGCTAAAATTGAAGATGCCAAATTCCAAGAAGCGGGAATTAACAGAGCTGTAAGACCTGGAGAGTGGGTCTTCAATTATGATCCTCACCTGCAACTGGTAGGCAAGCTCAGCTTCAGCTTTCCTTGCATTCACTTCTTGGTCAAAATCAGCCTTCTGCATTTGGAATTCTCTGTTGGAATTGGCAATTTTTGTGTCTGCAGTATATCTTGCATCCATACGTATTCTCTCGCATTCTGCTTCCTGTTTTGATCAAAGTAGATTAGCTAAGTGTACACTTAGATTAACAGCAATGCTTCTAATGTCTTGACAGAACAACTTTCAGATCCATGTTGGAGCTCCTTAGAAGTTCCTATATGACAACTAAACTAAAATTAACTATGTCATGACCTTAAACAGTCACCTTATGTTGAATAAAACAATTTTCAATGGGAAAACTTGGCAATCAAAAAACATACAAATGGAAGTTTAAATTGAAAAAGAAAATGATATGAATCTCAAAAAAGTTTAGCTGGTAAATTTGTTTAATGTAATGACTCGCCCTATACTGTCAATATTTTTCAAAACCCCTTTTTCCAAAATAGGAAAACTTAGTTTATTGACATACAAAAAAAAAGACAGATGATTTACCAGGACATGAAATACAATAGAAAATGTGTCACTTCAGTTAGGCAAATTTCCTTTAAAAAAAATTAAATAATCTAATGAGCCATATTGTAAATCAAGCACTGGTCTAATCAGCGTCTTCATAGGAAATTGCCAGTTTCTAACTTAAATCAGCAAACATACCCGGATACCAGCATCTCTCTTGGCTTCAGCAACACCAATATCTGCATCCCTTTTGACAATTGCAGTTTGTGTTTTCCCCAGTGAGTCCAGGTACTCCACTTTATCATAAATGTCTTTGATTGTAAAGCTGAGAATTTCTATTCCCATTCTTCCAACATCTGGAGCTGCAACTTCTCGAACCAGAGATGCAAATGTGTCTCTGTCTGCAATGAAAACATAAAATCAAATGTTCCCAACGTTTATATCTATGATAATTAAATAAATATATGAACAATGCATCAGAGGATTGAAAGACTTCTGTTATATGCCTGTAAATAGCTTTAAGCATTCTTCTAAGAATGTAAGAGCAATAAAAAGTTAACAGAAGGTTTAAGTTAGAAAGTTTTAAACATAAACACCATTCACTCTTGTTATTCTCAGTAAATTTGAAGCATCTCCTTACCTTTATAAACTTCTTCAACAGTCAAGGTTCCAAGAATTGCCCTCAGGTGACCTTCAAGTGTCTGTAGTAATATTCCCTCTATCTCAGTAGTACCTTTTCCAAGGAACTGTTCGCATGCAGTCTTTAACAAGTCATGTTCCTTAATGACTTTAACTTGAGCAACGCCAGTGACTGTAATTGCCACACCTTTAGCAGTTTCAACATTCTCACAACGTGGATTTAGGGTCATGACCTCCAGAGAGATTCTGAGAATTAAAACAGTTTGTTATTAAGAGCCATGTTCGATCAATAAAAACAATAAAATTTTATATCTGAAAACTAGCCAAAATTACCTTTAGTGCCTCTAGTGCTTTAAATTATCCCATTTTGCCCAAAAATGTTGAAATTCTTTTTCATATGATTTGCAAAACCATTAAAAGTTCATAAAGTCCTGATATCAAGCATAAAACCTTTTATTTCAGTTTTTAAAAATACTTTTTAACCTTGCATGGCTACATCTCTAAAAAGCAGGTCATTGCCAAAAAAATGGGAACTTGACAAGTTTAATGGTGGAAAGTTAAACAGGACTGGATAGGTTAAACACGTAATTCTAAAATCTTTTTGGCTGAATTGTTTTGAAACTTTATAATACAAATTCTAGCTTAGAAATAGTCAGTGTGGCAGCAGTTAAGTTCTTGCAGGACATGAAAAAAGCATAAACATATGTAGTAGATCAAGCAAGCAAAGAAAATCAACAGTATCAGAAAATTTTCATAATATGCACTGTTTAAAAAATCTAGAAATGAGGTAGCCTTACATCAGTGAATACAATGTTATTGCCACTTAAACATTTTTAGGAAGGCAGTTCAAGAAATATCCAGTTTATCACTATTTTACAGGGATAAATTAAACACCTGTGTCAAAATGATTATGTCAATTACATTTACATACAAAAAGTTGGACAGAAAGCATGTTACAGGCCTGGTGCTAAAGGGCAAGTAGAGTTCAGTTCAGTTCATATTTTAAAATTCCACTAAACACATCTTCAATTAAAGCTACATATACATGTACAAAAAAGAAATTACAGAGAAACTAAATACCAAATACAAGATACAAAGAAAACTAAATGAAAAAGAAAGTGTATGGAGGGGAAAGTGTATGGAGGGGAAAGTATATGAGGGAAAATTGTATGGAGGGGAGTTTTGCAGGGAATGTGAAGAAACAAAGACCCTTTATTTCATGGCCAGTGTTCTTTGAAATGTCTTCAGACATAATCTACAGACATAGCAGTTACCTTTGTGTATCTGTTACACATGCCCATGCCCAGGCATATCCACCAACTATTGTTTTCTTATTTTCACTGCCACAGCAACCACCTGAAAAGTATAGTTTATACACATTTTATATGCCGTGCTTTCCTGGAAAATATTTTATTTAGGTGCTGAGAACATTTGCATCAGATAAATTAAAATTTATAAATCAGAGCAGAGAAAGTATGCATTTTGAAACCAGTTCAAAGGCATAACTGTTTTGTTGTTCTACCAGTTCAAAGAGCATGATTTAATTCAATTATATATAAAAAGTATATTTATATAAATATATATAATCACAAGGCAAATGCTAACAGGAGGAAAATTCTTTCCACAAGGGTGCTGCCCAATTGTATCGAACCACTCTTGGTCGGAATCTAACCGCAGTTAGCTGCTTCAAAAACCCCCACTCATTTCACTGAGCCAAAAACATATATACTTTTGCCTTATATATACATATTCCATTTCCTCTTAAAAACCATATGTTTTGAACATAAAGAGAGTTCTGCGAAGAATTCCTATGATATATGGCAACTAAGATCTTGCCACCTATTGACTAAACACTTCATCAAATATGAAATTGGCCAAGCTCAACCTGATTTCCAAGTAATACATCTTCCTGAAGCAGAAATTTTTTCCAAAGATACTGACAAGATAGTCTTAATAAACTTATAAAAAAATTTGTGGCATGGCAATTATGTGGTATAATAAAAACACTCATGACAAACGAGCCTGTGCAGTAACTGAGAAAAAATAACTTATTCTTGTATTCCATTACTTCTATTTTTGTATATACTGACAACAATATCAATACAAATTTTCTTTATGGGCTTCTTCATCTTAAATATACTAAAATGCGTGCGGTACAATATGATGAATTTGAATAACGATCAATGTAAGTAAATTGTACCAGGAAAAATTTTTCAAAATAATTTTTCCTAGTACAATTTACTTACATTGGTCGTTATTTTTTTCTTCATATTAAGAATACAAATTTTTAGATTACAATCAACAAGGTGGCATAATAATTTGCAAAACCTGGAGATGTTGTGTAAATTCAATCATATTTAGGTCTTTCTGGATCTATTTCATTATTTGGAAAAGTTAGACCTGGCTATACATTGCATGTCATTTTGAAAAATAATGCAGATATTTGAAACTAAGGCTTAGATGTTCTTAGTTTTAAAATGATTTAACTTTAAATTTTGTTCAGTTCTTTGGTGCTTTATTGGTTTTTCATTAAGCTTGTAACAAGTAACTCGCCAAAACTGCGTACAGCAAGAAATTCAACATAAGCACTAAAATGGATCTTGTGGATCTTGTAAAAATATTATGGGTTCTTTAATTTGGAACTGCCCAAATGAAGTCTGAATTTTGATAATTTTGCCTGAATAGATGGCTGTAGCCATCACAGTCCCCATAACTCCTACCCCAATGGTTTTAAATAACATGGATTTATTGCAACAAAGTGAGATCTTTGATATTATTAATAGAAGTTTATTCAGTATTTTGATGTATGACTTTGAGAGGGATATTTTGCTAATTCATGAAAAGTTCAATGAAATATTTATGTTTAATTTTGATTCTAACTACCCAACTGGCAACTGTTGATCAAAGGTAAAACAAATTAAAAAAACTCTCATTAATAGATACTTGCTATGGGGATATTGCAACTTAATGTATTTCCTATAAAATGCAACTATCAAAGAGAAAAGGATTAGGAGACACAGTTTATCAAGATTGATGCCTTCAATCTGCAAGTTAGCACATTCCGCCGCTACAAGCGGCCGGTTTTGCTGATTCAGCTGGTTTTACAACCGTTAACCTTGGGGAAGTGGCCATATTTATGCGCAGTTAAACAAATCTGGAGACAACCATGAAAAAATAACTAAACCATGTTGAAATTAAAACGATTTAAGCTAAGGGAAGAAATGATTTGATGTGCATTTTAACTCGTGGAGTCTTTTACTTGTCTATAAAAGTAGCAGTTCACTAAACCTGCATATTGCGCAGTTGTGAAGTGTACACCATCAGGCGGAGGCCATTCATAATTTCAAGTCAAACACACTACTAACCTGAGACAACGAGTGCTTCATTTGGCCCAACAGTATGTAGATTTCCCATTTCGATGTATATTATAGATCTCTGTTGGGCAAAAAAATGCTTTCATCAAATCATGCAGATACCAACGTATCTTCGACTTAGGCCGATCTCAGCCATCTCTTACACCGGTCATATAAATAGTGGAAAACAGGTGCAGGTGTTCTGAAATGTTGAACACGATTTAAAAACAGTGGAAATATCGATGATAAATGGCTAGAAAAACTCACCTGTGACCACTAACCTATCCAGATATTCAATATGTCAAGCTAAACTGACTTTCCTCCTGTTGTTATCAGTGATCCGCCCAGCTCAGAACTCAAGAAGGTGAATGCGCATTGTCATGCATATTACAATAAAGAAAGCTCCTCCACAGAATCTAAAACCAGAGAGCTTCGCACAGTGGATTCTTAGCATTCCATTTTCGAAATAACAGGGTCACCGATAAAGGGGCGTGACCATAAGAAGACATTGGGGTGGGGGCACTAAGGCCAAGCTTTTGTAGTCCATCGATGAAATGGAAATTTTGTTACCACCTGCAGATTTCCGGAATGACCATGAATTAGCTGCAAGAAAAACTTTTCAATTATTGAAAATGGGAAAGAACCACGATTTGCCAAGAACCAGTAGATTTAGGTCCAGGCTGGCTGAATTTAAAGAAATTCGAGGCTGAATTGTAGCTTATTTGCTCTACAATTACTAGGGTGCAAGTTAAATATATTTATACGCAATATATCTCACTAATAAAACAACACTCCACATCTATATATAATGCAGAAACTGCATTTCAACAAAAACTAGAAACGATTTTATATACTCTTGCATTTAAATGTCCTTTATAATAGCCCTTAACAATTTTATTCAATTTTGATAAAATTTTATAAAAATGTTATTAAAATTATATTTATAATCATAATTTGCACATTCAGATATTTGTAGCTGCACGTAAACACAATTGATAAATTCTTAAGAAGTGGTAATTAATATAAAGAAGAGAGTAATAGAAGCACCTGCTTTACCTGACAGTTGTGCAAACTTTTGTATCGTATTGTATAGATTATTTAATGTTAGTTCTTACAATAGTGCACGTACACTAATTAAGACTAACGTAAAGCAATTTCAAGGATTACATAAGGCAGATTACGACCTGCAAAAAGAGCATATGCACTTGTTTTTGAGGAACCAAGTTTTAATCAAATTCTTGAATTGTGTAGTATTTTGTGCTATCATTTCTAATTCTGGGAGTGAATTTCAGGTTTATGGGTCTTGAAAATGTAAGGAACTAATACCATTGTTAGTAGTTTTGGCTTTTGGAAGGTCAAGAATTAGAGGTTTTTTGAGTCGGAGGTTGTGTGACCCGTTGTTTTGAGGTACAAAATAGTCTTTCATGAAAACAGAAAGCCTTTACCACATACCACCCATATCAATGAACAATAATTGTATATATGTGACATAGTATAAATGAATTCATAATAATCTTTTTTTCTCTGTCGCTCATCAATCTTGCTAATCTTTTTTAACAGCTTTGCTGCTTTTTTTGATTTTATTGGTATGAGCATCAAACATTAAATTTTCATCGATCTGAACACCAAGACAGGTGAAACTATAGCCATTTTTAAGAAACTTGGAAAATTTCTTTTAATAATGCATTTATTTATGATTATATCAAATCAACTGAGATCTTTAAGAATTTTGTATTTATCCTGTCGTGCCCATCTGCCTTTTTGTGATTTAGCTTTACAGACATTTGTCCTTTAGGGATCGGTTGCAGCTTAAGGTTGAGTTATTTCTAAGGAAATTGTTGATTGTTTTTATGCTTGAATGCTCTTTTAGGTATCTTGAAATTTTTTATTTTTGAATTCTCAGTCAGACCTTTATGAATTGAATTTGTAGTTTAACCAATGCTGACGAAATGGGTATTCATAATCTCAGCAGCTGACTGTGGATCACTAATGAGACAATCATTCTCAGAAATCGTGATTTCTGAATCACCTTGATCTTTGCTAAAAAGTATGGTTTTAATTTTTTTTTAAATGTTTTGAAACTATACTAGTATGCAGAATTTTGTAATAGAATTCTCAACAGATTTTTGTAAAGTAGTTTGACTTAACACGTCGACAAAGATTTGCACAATGATTTCGCTGTTCTTTATAGTTTTGAAAATTGTCTTTAGTTCTATATTTTTATAAATATACTTCAGTTTCGTTCGTAACATAATTGCTTTTCGATGGAGTTGACTAAGAGGCTTATTATTTGTTCGAACTTTTTTGGATTTAAGAGGGGCATGTTTGTTAACAATGCTGCTTAAAATATCTTGAAAGCTGTTGAATGCTTGATTACCATATTGTAGATATTCACAAAGATGAAAAGGTGCTGCCAGCAAATATTGGCAGAAACTTTCCTCTGTGAATTTACTTAAATCTCGGTAATGTTGAACTTTAGGGTGGTGTTTAGACAAAGACGACGATCTAAGCATAGTTAGAATGAATTTGTGGAAATCGCTTAGATTAGATTCAATTGCTATGAGCAGTGGCGGACTGGCCAACCGGCCATCGGCCCGTGGCTGGTGGGCCCCTTTTAAAATCTGGCAAAAAGGGCCCCATCTTTGCAGAAAAAGGCCCCATTTTAGGAATGTGGGGCCTTAAGATGTCCCATTACGAATAATATTTTTTTTATTATCATTATTATAAAATTATTTACAGTAGGGGAAGCAAAATTTTGATAGCTAATATAACAGCTAATTAAAGCCCACTATTTATACTACATTTACAAATCTTAAATTAATTACAATGAATGGATGAAATGATATAGGAAATGTACAAAATTAAAAGGATGACTCATTAGATAAAAATATACAATTATTCGATGATTATTTCAAAAATCCAATCTGCGCAACGTAAGGTTTGCATAGTCTGCAATTGCATTTTGTATCTTTTCAAGTTTTAATCTTTTTCTTAAATATTGCGAGGCTAGAAGATGTTTTAATGTCATTTGATAGCTCTTGCTAGAGCTTGGATCCCATAAAGGTTGTACGTTCTATACCATAACAATTTGATTTTGGTTTTGATAGCGATATTCGGGATATGTTTCTAAGATTATAGCATGTATTTCTTTCAGTAAAAATTTCTTTCATGAAACTTGGGTTAAGATTATGTAAAGTTTTTTATATTTCTATAAGAAGCAATTGCAGATTTTTATCATGGATAGATGTCGAGTTGTCTTTTTCAAGAAGAGTTTGAAAGCTTGCTTCATAGTCATCATAGGCAAGACACAAAGACGTTTCATGAATTCTGTTTATTCTGTTGTTCATCTGTCGATCACAAAACATCCAAATTAAAGGGCAGTAGCTAAATTGTGATAAAATGAAGACGTGCATGGTCTGTTTTACTTTTTTATCATCCATGTAGTTGGAGATCCGGGATAAAGCATGTAGCTTTTGGCTGGCCTTTTTGCATATCGATTGTACGTGTCCTTTGAACGACAAATTATTATCAATACTTATTCCAAGAAGTTTTTGTTCTTTACTTGGTTTAATTATCGTTTTATCTTTTTTCAGAGATGTGTCATTGCTGCTTTTACCAAAATTTATAAGGTGGCATTTGTCCCCATTCATTTTCATATAATTATATTGAAACCATTCTCTCAAAATAACTACGTCTTGTTCTAGTATTTTAGTAGCCTGCTTAATGTCTTGGTAGATGACATATAGCTTTGTATCATCAGCATAAATGCATATTTGGCTATTTGATATAAACATAAATATGTCATTTATGTATATATTGAACAAGAGAGGTCCCAAAACTGATCCTTGTGGCACACCTACACTCGTGGTTTTCCATTCACTGAAAAAGCCGTTTATTTTGACTCTTTGTTTTCTCTGGCTAAGGTACGAAAATGTGAAATTCAAGGCGCTTCTACTAAAACCATAAGCATTGAGTTTAGCAATCATTAGGTCATGATTCAGACAGTCAAATGCTTTTGACAGATCCATCAATAGTGCACTGGCTGTTTGTTTAGTATCTAGAGCTTTTTTGAAATTTTCTATGAGTCTGGGTAATGTATGTTGGGTGCTATAATTTCTTCCAATACCACATAGCAGTGGTGATAGAAAACCATGAGCGAAGGGAGTACTTGTGATTCCATGATTCTCTCATATATTTTTGATGCTGATGGTAAGGTAGCAATTGGTCTATAATTTTTCTTACTGAATTTATCATCTTTTTTAAGCAACGATGATATGTCTCCTAATTTGAGTTCTTTTGGAAATGTCATGTTAGATAGGTCCTCATTAAATGTTCTTTGTAAAATTTCAGAGAAAATGTCTGAATATTCTTCAAATATCCTAGCAGGTATATTTCTCTTAGCGGGTCAGGGTACATTTCTCTTATTTTTATGATACTTGGGTGGTTTTTATATTTCTCAATGGCTTTATCAATTGGGTCATTTATACCATCTGTAACTGATATGAGAGCTATATCTTGTTGAATTCCTAGATCTTGTGTTATGTTTATAAAGTAGTTGTTAAATAATTCTGCAATCTTGCGGTCATCACTAATTAATTCTCCATTTTCTTCCAATGTAATGGAGGATGTTGTTTTTATCTTTTCTGCAAAGACCGGTTTGATCGCTCTCCAGAATTTGTGATTATCTGTAAAATTACTTAAGTCTAGGTTCCTAAAATAACTGCTTTTAGAATTATGTAATAACTTTACACTTTTGTTCCTTTGCCGTTTATATGCTTTATGATTTTCCTCATTTTTGTTATTAGTATATCTATTTTTCAATTTGCTACGATGCATTATTGCCTTACGTAATTCTTTCGTCATAAATGGCCCATCGTTTGCACGAACATACTTTCTCTTAATGGGGGCATGTTTGTTAAGAAGACTTTTGACTGAGATATCAACACTTCCTTAGTCTCTAAAGTTTAGTATTCGATGCTTCAAAATTTCAGACCTGAAGCTCGGAATATCGAATTGTTTGTAGTCTCTATATGTAAGTATTTTGGGACCTCTCTTGGTGAAATCACCTTGGAGTAGGCTCAGTATCATTACGTGGAAGAAAACTGAGGTTGAATAAACGTCATAGCATGTGGTAATAAAATGAATTGGGTCGAAGCTAAATAAGAATGACTTTTTTTAGGTTGTGAGAGGTTAATAGAGACTTTTTAATATGATGGAATTTTCTAAAATTTTTGATTTTTCATAGACCCAGGTTCAGTTAATCTGCCCGACATTTATTGTAGAGTTCACTTAAATTTTTGCCAGTTAGCAAAAAAGTAAGGAGTGATTCAGTAACAAACTCGGCGTTAACTTTTTCTTTGACTCAAGGCATAGCATTATGATAATGCGATGCGATGCGAATGATAC